GGTAGAATTTAGTCACCCAGGCCTGGTGATTTCCAACCCACGCATCGGGACTAAAGGAGAGGGGCAGGGGTTATTGCCCGAAACCAGGCTACTACATACCTGCTCGCCTTTTGACAGGGGTTCAAGGTCGTATAGAATCTTCTGATCTAATCCAGCAATCCACGCATTCGGCAAGTTGGTGTTCGCCTGCCTGGTATCCACCGAACTGGCTCGCTGGCGACCCGGAAGCCAGCTGCGCCTTTTGGATGAGGGGGTTCCGGGTCGCGAATCTGGTCCCGACCCGGGGACAAACAACCCCGCGGAACTGTTGGGTCGGCTTGAGCTCCTGAGGCGGCCACGGCTTTGGGGCCGTCCACTGTCGGGGGAGCTGGGAGCGCTGTTGGCGAGGTCCTGGTTTACAGCGAGGAGGGAGGGCGGAGGCTGCAGGGGAGTGTCGAGGTCATAGTTGTCGTTGGGGTTCGGCGACAGAGCAGGGACTGGTTCCGAGGGGTCAACATAGGGGTTTGAGGACAGGCGAGTCGGTCGGGAACTGCTGCGGCGTCTATCCTGAGGTTGCTGATCGGGGGAGGATCGCGAAAAATTGTTGGGATTAGGAGAACTGGGCGAAGACGGAAGTGAACTATCTTTATTCGACCCCAATGAAAAGAGCGAAGATATCCGCTTGGCCGATTTTACGGGAGCAGACAACATCTTTTAGGGTCACTGTATACTAGAAGAGGCGAAACGATGTTAGTGAAGGAAGTTGTCAGTCCAGCGAAACCATGGAGAGAAGAGTGTGGCCCCCGAGAACGGAAGGGGAACGAGCCAGAGAAGCGCGAAAGTCAGAACAGGGAAATGAAAGGGAAGTCACGAACAAGTGAGGTAAGAAAGAATGCCGGACGACAACCAACCATGCGAAATAATCGACTAGGCAGTGGTGGACGAGGAATTCCCCGTCGCTGGACGTAGGTTCCGGCGTGAATGTGTCGCCGGCACTGGTTGGTTGGCGGGCTGGGATTTGGGGAATGGATCGGCAGGAGGGATCCGAAGAATGATGGAATCAAATAACTAAATGATGGCAGCAGATCGAAGGGAGAAGGAAAGTTGGAGGGAGAAAAAGAAAAAGAGAGGGACAAGAAAAGAGCGAGCGAAACAGCAAAGAGAGAGACGGAGAGAGGGAGAGGGAGAGGGAAAGAGAGAGAGAGAGAGAAAATGTGGTTGGTCCGGGGGGGCAGTGAAAGTGGGTTGTTGGATGGATTGACTGTTCAGACAGAGTATGGGGGAAGAGAGGGAAAAGAGAGACAAGACCCAGGATGACCCAAACAGGAAGAGAAAGAGGAAGAGAGCCTGAGAGGGAGAAGGGAGGAGAACGGAGGTGATTTTTTTTTTCTTTTTCTTTTTCTCTCTCAATAAGATTTCATAATATTAATATGGAGGGGAGATGGATCTTGCGTTCTGGCGGCCTTCTGGTGCTGCTTTAGACCAGCAGGATTATTTTTAACCTGAGTGGGACCGGGCAAAATTCATTCAATATTCATGCGACCTGGCCGATTGGGACTGAATTATCTGATTCAATAATCCTCACAGCACGGAGTCGTTTGGCTTCTGGAGAGAGAAGAAGCAGATTTAAACAATAACCGTGGATTCCCTGACATAAGAATCCTCTTTATTCTGGATCTGCCGATATCTTTCTTTTTCCGTTCTGTTTTCTTTTTTGCCTGCTGTCGTTTCTTTTTCTAATTATAATAAGCCTGCTAACTCATCCCCCATTATTATTATTTTTCTACATGATTATTCCAATCAGATCCTCCGATCTCATCCCATTCAGAGTTCCACAATCCTATTCGCCCTTTTCTCTTCTTCATTTTCTTCCCCTTAAAGAATCCATGGATCCCTCTGCATTGTCAACGCAGCACAACCCCCATGACACCTACGCAGTACTGTAGACAACTAAATCACTTGTTCTCCGTATGTACGGAGTAGACAATACTTCACAAGAAGGAAAGAGAGAAAAAATTAAATTAGTGGGGGTGACCTACACGATTTTTTCTTTCTATTGTTTTGCCTTCCATCGGAGCACACCAACCCCATTAGAGCAAGTGGGCTGGGGAGCAATGAACGAAAGAGGCTGTGTGGGTATTTTTTTTTTCTACGGAGGTTCCCAGTACATCCATACTCCGGGAATACGCTCAGGAGAGGCTGATGGGTTCATAACTGCATAACTGCACGGTAATAGCCTCATTTGCTGACCCCTCGGGAGGGGTCAGAATAGGCTGTGAAGGAGGCCCCAAATGTTTTTAACTACTCCGTCGGTGCGGTCGGTGTGCGGATTGCGGAGACTCCCTCGCGGTGTGTTTTTTTTTTATTTGGTTACGGTTCGTGTTGTTTTCTTGTCGTTTGTTTTAGCCTGCTGGTGCTGCTGGTTCTCCTCACGCCCAAGGCAGAATCGAATCCAACTCCCTCGCGCGGGCCTTCTTTTTTTTACTTTTTTTTCCCCTTTGCGCGTTTTGATGTCAACATCCTGCGCTTCGTCCTCATCATATCTCGTCATAGCCGATGGGGGCCAGGCAGCCAAGGCATCCATGGGTAGACTCCGACGAAGACGTCATTATTTGGTGGCAGGGGTATTAGTAACAGTTACACTCGCGCTACGTTCCATAGATCCGGATCGATAGTGCAGACTACAGAAAACAGGCTAGACTACAGAGTACAGATTACGGAGTGCGATAGAATCATGATAATAATTACTGTAGTCGAGATCTGTACCGGACATGCAACGGAGGAGATGGAGATGGGAGTTCCGGCTGAATCGTGAATTCCTCGCTGTCTGGGCTGCGCTCGGCGGCTTGCCTGGCTGCCGAGAACTCGGGGGTTTGTGCGAGGTGAATCACTGTAGGGACTCCGTATGTATGTATGTCCGTAGAGTATGTATGTAGGAACAGAGATGCAGGCAGGCAGACAGGCATAGACGGAGACCTCCGGAACTAAAGTTCGGTGTGCAGATATGTTGCATTCATACCGTCTTGCATGAAAATAATCAGGCGGAGGTATGCGCACATACTGTATGTATCTTTGATACGGAACTATAGGATCCGTACATACGGAACTCCATCAAGTGTGCTCATATATGTATCCGTAGATGTGCATCTCATATGTATATTTATCCATAGTTCTTAGGAACTACTCCGTACGTACTCGGCGTAGTTCATAAAGAAGCCCTCCGTTCCGAACACTCCGGTAGCGTTCCCCTAGTTTCCTTCTCGAACAGAAAACAAATATATATCTGACAGGTGGTCCGCTCAAAGGTACTTCCTCTACGGAGCACTTTACAGTTACGGCCATAGGAACTTCCAGGGGTAAACCAAAAGGCCAAGCCCAAAAACGGATTTATAATTTTATTCTTTGATTTTACACTTTCGGAGCGTTAGGCTGTTCAAGCCCACCGGAACCAATAACCAATAAGTTGAAGCAACCACACTAAATCGCCTTGCCCCTCAGACTACGAAGTAGTGTTAGTTATTATTCTCGCACCCCCCCTGCCCCCTTCTCGAAACCGGTTTGACTGCATGATCATATTCCTATTCAGTGTCCTCCGTAGTTATACAAAATATACCTTGAATGGCTAGTCATAACTTAGTGCAGAGACAGACCATGAACCAAACCCCATCTACTCATCTTACTGAGGGTACATGACTCCGTAGTTAATCAATCCTAGATGCTCTAGCTTGGCATCTCCTGTTTCTGTTTAAGACCTCCCGAGTGGAAACTGGGATGAGGGGGGGCGACTTCGGCGGGCGGGCGGCGGCGGAAAGCGAAAGAAAGAAAAGAAAAGAAAGGAAGAAAGGGGGGCGAAGTGATGCTTAACCAGACAAACAAGACAAACTCAAGCCAAGCCAAGCCAAGCCAACCCGATCCGATCCGTCCAGCCCAGAGCAAATCTCGAGGTCAGTTTCTTACGGAGTACTCCGTACAGAGGGGGGCAAAATAAGTGTTGTCGTCGCTGTTGTTGTCATCGCTGTTGCCGTCGGCAAGGAACATGAAAAAAGACTATACTACACAGTGTACGTAGAAGAACTGGAGGAGGCGTATGTATGTCTATGCTAAGAATAGCAACCATTCATCAACAACATAAATATTCACTGGTTCGTGCGCAACGCAAATCTCCCACTGGCCACTCCATGAGAAATCTCCTGGTTCCTTACTGGTTACGTCCGCAACCAAGGAGACTACGGAGGTAGGTACAGGCCAAATATGGCTACCTAGCAGGGGTAGTCGTAACCTACATCGTACGTAGGTGCATGATGTTTGGGGCTTGACGTGTCAACTTGGTTTCCGGTGCTTCGCGGATGGGGTCGCGATGATTCTAGTTAGATATGATGGATTCCGGGTCCCGGACTACACCGTAATGGGATATATGTGACGAGTCCTTTTCGTTTTCCTGAATGAGTTTTTGTTTCGTTGCCTGCGTCGGCTACTTTTACGGAGCCTGTTGCCTCTTGCGCCCTATCCTCCAGCTCCCCCTTGATTCGACTCTGCCGGTTTCCCGCTGAAGTAATCTCTGACTAAGAGACATTGATGTCGGAATCGGATTTACTACTCTTCCGTGACGGATGGGGCTTGGCGGGGATGTGCCAATCATTGCTCATCGTCGTCAATCCGCATGCAGCATACCTACACTCCATTATTGTACACATTCTCACCTCCATCCGCATCCGCAGACTTTGGATGCAGTGGTGACGGTGCAGGAGATCCGTCATCATAGAGTGAAGTGGCGGTCTATACATAAAGAACATAAATCACTCCGCCGGGTTCACGCCCAATTGAACTGCTCTGAACTCTGTCTTTCGGCTTTCCCGTGACAGCCTACTCTCTAGCTAGAAGATAAGCAAATCCGATAGAATATCCCTGTTCCCAAAACCGGCCTTTCCTGCCACATATCTTCCTACAAGGCCACAAACCAGAGACCGACACATCCTCTTTCAGCCGCAAACGAGCCAAGCAAGCAATTAAGCAATCAAGCCATGGGCTCCCAAGGAAACGATGTGATTGATCTCTTTCGAGGCCACCCAGACCCGAGCTTACTGCCGATGAGCGCGATAGCTAAGGCCTCCGCGACGGTCATGGCGACGCCCGACGTCCGCGCGCAAGCCATGCTATACGGGCCCGACGAAGGCTATGGGCCGTTGCGACAGCACATCGCACGCTGGCTGACGGATTTCTACCATCCCCGGGACCCTATCCCTGCCGACCGCATCTGTATCACGGGCGGTGCGAGCCAGAACCTGGCGTGCATCTTGCAAGTCCTCACCGATCCCGTCTATACGCGCAATGTCTGGATGGTGGCGCCCACGTACTTCCTGGCATGTCGCATGATGGACGACGCCGGATTCGCGGGTCGGATGCGAGGCGTCCCCGAAGACGAGTCGGGCGTGGATCTGACCTACCTCCGGCGGGAACTGGTGGCGGCTGAGGAGAAAGCGGAGGCCGAGGGAAATACTGAGCCGGTATGGTTGATTCCTGTCCGGGGGCCACTTTTGGTCGTGGGTACAAGGAAAACAAACTGACTGATGATCAAAGACTCACAAACCGGCCCGACCATGGGGAAAGATCTACAAACACATCATCTATGCCGTACCCACCTTCTCCAATCCGTCAACCCTGACCATGTCGCTTTCGGACCGCGAGAATCTGGTCCGGCTCGCTCGGGAGTTTGACGCCCTGATCATCACAGACGACGTTTATGATTTCCTGCAATGGTCGTCGGACCCGAAGAAATCTCTCGCTCACCCGGATAAAGCCCGACTTCCGCGGATCGTCGACGTGGACCGGTACCTAGACGGCGGGCCTCAGGATGAATTCGGCAACGCAGTAAGCAATGGCAGTTTCAGCAAGCTCATCGGCCCCGGGACACGAACCGGATGGGCGGAAAGTACGGAGAAAGTTGCATGGGGGATCTCTCAAGCGTATGTCAACCTTTTGATCCAGTCCGATCGCAACGAATGCCTCATTATTAGTCAAGATACTAACTGATCGGTCCTCTAGAGGCTCGAGTCGATCTGGCGGCGCACCGTCCCACCTCACAGCCACAATTATCGACCAGCTCTTCCCCACGGGGACCTTCCCCCGGTTTCTCGAGGAGTCGCTCAAACCGAGCTACGCAAGGCGATACTATCGGCTGATGGGGGCCATCCGAGAACACCTGCTGCCCCTCGGTGTCACGCTGCCCACCACGCCGGAGGTAGCAGGAGGGTACTTCATCTGGGTGCAGCTGCCCGCTCCGTTGCGGGCGAGTGAGCTGGCGCCCGTCGCACTGCAGGAGCAAAAGGTGAAGGTGGCCACCGGTAATTTGTTCCAGGTGCAGGGCGACCCGTCAGCCGGCCCGGACGATTTCAATCGAGGGGTGCGTCTGTGTTTTTCATGGGAGCACGAGGACAGGTTGGAGGAGGGGGTGCGTCGGCTGGCCTGCGCGGTGCGCAACGCTTTATCATAGTAATGATCGTAATAATAGTAATCATCATCATCTTACTCGATTGCTTCGAAGCGGACGAATTATTCTCTCAGCCCCGGGCGCTGATAACCAAGGATGGCCGACGGACCGATCCGCGAAGGCACCCTTGGGCCCAATCAGTCTGGATAATGGACTCGTCGGAGGGGAACGAACCATGTTCGACAGAATCATGGCTGCTGACCGGAACCGTACAATTCGAAATCCCAAAAAATTCATAAATGGACCACTTCCGGATGCCGAATGTAAGGGGAGGAGGGGGAAAAACAAGGTCAGCAAAGCTAAAAGATCGAGCCAGACCAGCTGAACGGTGCCAGATGAACGGCCGCAGTAGTCTGACTGCAGGCCGTGCAGATGATCGGTGCGACCAAGTCAGGCACCGCGATCAACCCTGTCAGATACCGCAAGAGTCAAGGGATGTCACCGCCCGGTTGAGGATGGGTAACTGCAACATTCCTCACGGGGTTTGGGACAAAAGGGCCCTCGGAGATACTCAGCAGAGACCTGAGTGAGACTGCCGAGGGGCGAGGTATGGGTTTGCGTGTTGTCTGTTAAGAAACATAACCTTGGCTTGTAGGGATAAAGCTTCAGAGACAAGTCAGTACGGTATCGCAGATTGAATGGATCAGATCAAATCACGTACGTTCGGAGGATGGTTCTTCGGTGTTCAATATTCAATAATCAATAATCAATTAATAACGAGTTAACCTGGAGTGGGTCCTTCGGGTTCATTTCGGGTCAGTAAATCATTAAAGCTTGGCTTAGGGTGTGTGGGAGTCGACGGGGGTGAGATGGAGATGGAGATGGATATGAAAGGAAAGGAGATGGCAGCAGTCGAGTCCTTCGAGGTATCTGCATGTATATTGCAGCATATCAACCAAGCAGATGATACACCAGGGTACTTACTCCTACGAAGTACACTTTACTGAGAAGTCTACTGCGGAGTGTCTGCCTGAGGTTGCAACCCCCCTGGATGCATGAGTGGGTCACGGGGTGTTTTTCTTACACGCGTCCGAATCATGTGTGCGCGTAAGATTCCCAGGCCGACTTTACACTTTCACTACTACTGAGTACTCCATACGCTGAACGGAGTGCCTAGTACCTCTCTAGTCTCTACTCAGTACTTCCACACCAGCCTGATCCGTGCCCAGACCTGTTTCCGTGAATGTTGATATGGAAAGCCGAGGAATGTTCACGCCTTGTACAGCAATCCAATGACCGGCCAGATGTGCTTCGCATCACTCGTCCGCCGTGATTCTGTCGCTTCCATTCCCTAGGAAACCTTGCAAATTCCGGCCAAGACGCGGCGCCACTTCCTCAGTACCGAGTCGAGATGCCGTTTTCTTAGACTCTGGACGCATGGCGTTCCCACTATTAGCGCAAGAAAGCAAGATTGTTGCTCGGCTCAGTGTCCCGCAGACATAGCTGAGAAGCGACGAATATGTTGATCGGCTCCTAGGAGACCTCTGAGGAGAGGGGTATATAGTCGGATGGACCACGAGGCACGAGGGATTCCCTGGGGTTCTTTTCTCTCTCTTTCTCTCTCTCTCTTCCGTTCTTTCTACCTCACTTTCTTCTTCCTTTCTTCTCATCACACTCTGTGCGGGTGTGATTGATTGGCGTTGGTTCCATTCCTACTGTAACCCTCTGCCACTAGTTCTGACACGGTATGACCCTCTCAGGTGGCATCCCCGGCCTGCTCGAGTCCAATCAAGCCCAACTGACCGGCGTCTAGTCTGCCATCGATCGTTTCACTTGCACCCCTGAATCCTCTCGTTTCAAGCGTCGCCCTCGGCTTGGCGATCGCTGTCCCCATTGGTCGTGCGGGTCCGATCTGCAGTGTGTCTGTAGTGGTGATTGGAAGCCAGACAAGTCACGGACGGCGGTACCGGAAGGATCGTTATAATTAACACCTTTAATTTTAGTTTGCCAGACTTAGTCTTATTAGGCTATATTCAGTACTCGAGCTGTCCGCGCATCTGTTCCAGGCGCCTGCTTTCATTGCTCTTTCTTCTCTTTGTTTATTCACCCCCAGTCTTTCCCTCTCTTTGTTCCTTTCTTTCTGTTTGTGTGCCATTCATTCATTCACTCTTTGTCTTTGTTGATTGTTGCTGGCATTGTCTTGTCAGCTGTTTGTTACACTCCCTGGTGTCCATTGACACTTTCATTCCTTGATTCAGAGCTTTCGCTCCTATAAGCGCTCCTTCTGGCGGGGATCTTCAGGCACTTGACCTTCCCTCTTGCTCGATCCCTAATTTCTGCGATTATCCCGACTTCACGAATCGTGTGACTGTCTCGTGTGACCGGCTACTACCTACTGCGCGATACCCCAACGCTCGGTGTCTGCCTAATCACCCGATCCCAATTACCTTCAGTGCTGGCTGCTGAAGTATCGACAACCTGTTAGGTTTATAATTCCGACACCTGTCCGCTCGCTTGTATCTCTGCCGGATCAGTGATACACTGCCATCTCGAAGATGGCGTCTCTCCATAAAGCGACCATGTTGTTTGTCGCACAGATTCTGCTCCTCGTGGGCTTGGTCAACGCCATCCCCATGCCCCAAGAGCTGGAGGCCACCACCCAGGTTGCCGCAGCTGCCAGTTCCAACTACTGGGTTGCCAACATCAAGCGCCAGGGCGTGGTGGCGTTTGGCAATGGAACCGATTACCAAGTATTTCGCAACGTTCAAGACTTCGGCGCTAAGGGTATGTGGTTCTCCATGTCTCAGATTTAGAGTATATCGGCTAACCAGAGCAGGTGACGGCTCCACGGATGACACTGCCGCCATCAACCAGGCCATCTCGTCCGGAAACCGCTGCGGTAAAGGGTGTGATTCCTCTACCGTGACCCCAGCTCTCGTGTACTTCCCTCCCGGTACCTACGTGGTGTCAAAGCCCATTGTGCAGTACTACTACACGCAAATGGTGGGAGATGCCGTCGACTTGCCCGTTCTCAAGGCTTCTGCCGACTTCGCTGGCATGGCTGTCATCGACGCGGACCCGTACGAAGACGATGGCTCCAACTGGTATACCAACCAGAACAACTTCTTCCGAGCCGTTCGTAACTTCGTCATCGATTTGACGGCCGTGCCTCAAGGCTCCGGCGCCGGTATTCACTGGCAGGTCGGCCAGGCCACTAGCTTGCAGAACATCCGCTTTGAGATGGTCAAGGGCGGCGGTGACGCCAACAAGCAGCAGGGTATCTTCATGGACAACGGCTCTGGCGGTTTCATGTCCGATCTTGTGTTCAACGGTGGTAACTACGGCGTGTTCCTGGGTAACCAGCAGTTCACGACCCGCAACCTGACCTTCAACGACTGCAACACCGCCATCTTCATGAACTGGAACTGGGCCTGGACCTTCAAATCCGTGTTCATCAACAACTGCGATGTGGGTCTCAACATGTCCAACTCGCCGCAGAACCAGACCGTCGGATCAGTTCTCCTGCTCGACAGCAAGCTCACCAATACCCCCACTGGCGTGGCCACTGCATTTTCCAAGGACAGCATCCCCGTTGGCGGCGGAGTGTTGATTTTGGACAACGTCGACTTCAGTGGTTCCAAGACTGCCGTTGTTGGTGTTGACGGTCACTCCATCCTCGAGGGTGGCTCTGTCGTGAACAACTGGGTCCAAGGTAACAGCTACATCCCTTCAACGTCGCTCAGCAAGCGTGCCTCGACGCCCGCCGACCCTGTGGAAGTCGTTATCGAGACTGTTATTGAGACCGTTACGGAGTGCGGCTCGCCCGCTACCGACGCTCTCCCTGCACCCGTCACGACGGATGCTGCAGCCCACGGTGCCCAAACCACCGCTGGCAGCGATCAGACCGTGGTATTCCCGTCTGCCAGCGATGGTCTCAACATGCAGGGTTTCGAACCCTCCGCCTCCAACGCTGCCGGAGAGACCCCCGTCGGCCAGCCGGCCGAGACAGCCAACGTCCCCGCCGTGTCTTCCGTTGAGCAGGGAACGACTGCTCCGGTGGCGCCCACGCAGGCCCCTCACTCTAACGCACCCGCCCCTGCGGCCACAACTTCGGCCCCTGTGATTCCCTCTGCGGGCTCCTCGCAGAGCTCCGCCGCGGCCGGTACTTCCGCTCCCGCTGGTAGCTCCGCTGCTGCCGGCACACACGCACCGGCGCAATGCTCCAGCAAGGCGGTCACCAAGACGCGTTTGCAAACGGCCCTGCCTGTCCATACCAAGGCTAGCGGACTGACTGGCAGCAACGGCAAGGTGTTCGAGCGCTCCAAGCCTCTTTACGAGAGCTACGCCGCCTCATCCTTCGTTAGCGTCCGTTCCGCCGGTGCTAAGGGTGACGGTACCACCGACGACACCGCAGCCATCCAAAAGGTTCTTGACAGCGCCACGGAGGATCAAATCGTCTACTTCGACCACGGCTCCTACATCATCACCGACACCGTCAAGGTTCCCAAGAACATCAAGATCACCGGTGAGATCTGGCCCGTCCTCATGGCTCATGGCTCCAAGTTCGCCGACGAGGAGAACCCCATCCCCATGCTCCAGGTCGGCCAACCTGGTGACACCGGCTCCGTTGAAATCACCGATATTGCTATTCAGACCAAGGGCCCGGCTCCCGGCGCCATCCTCATGCAATGGAACGTTGCCGAAGCCACTCAAGGCTCCGTGGCCATGTGGGACGTGCATTTCCGTATCGGTGGCTCCGCCGGCACGCAGCTTCAATCCGACAAGTGTGCTAAGACGCCCAAGGAAACCACTACTCCAAACAAGGAGTGTATTGGATCTTTCATGCTCCTGCACCTGACGGAGCACGCGTCCGCCTACATTGAGAACTCCTGGTTCTGGACCGCCGACCACGAACTCGATCTCCCCGACCACAACCAGATCAACATCTACAACGGCCGCGGCGTGCTCATCGAATCCACCAAGCCTGTCTGGCTGTACGGTACCGCCTCCGAACACAACCAGTTCTACAACTACCAGGTTACCAACGCGCAGAACGTCTACATGGGTCTGATCCAGTCCGAGACGCCCTATTACCAATCGAATCCCAACGCGCTCGTGCCCTTCAAATCGCAATCCAAGTGGCACGACCCTGACTTCTCGACTTGCACCACCGACGGCTGCAAGAAGGCCTGGGGTCTGCGTGTTATGAACTCTTCTGAGACGTACGTTTACGGTGCCGGCCTATACAGCTTCTTCGAGAACTACGGCCAGAGCTGCCTGGACACGGAATCCTGCCAGGAGAACATGGTCGAGGTGGACTGCTCCGATGTCCATATCTATGGTCTCAGCACGAAGGCCAGCACCAACATGATCACGTCGTCAAGCGGAACGGGCCTTGTGCCACAGGATGAGAACAAGAGTAACTTCTGTTCGACTATTGCGTTGTTTGAGCAGTCATAGACCATTCCCCTTCACTCGCCTGTCTCGCTCAGGTGAGCAGGGCCAGTCGGGTATGACTAGTTATTCATCGCATTCAAGAACCTATTATTTTCTTTTTTCTCCTGTCGGTATACCTTGTCTTGGTCTCGAGTTACGATTTCACTTTACTTTCTCTATCTTTCTGGACCTTGGACTTGAAATGATGATGGATAGAACTAAGGAAAGGAAGAGACATGGAAGAGAGTCCAGTCGAGTCGAGTCGAGTCGAGTCGAGTCGAGTTGAAATTTGTTCCGTTCCGTTTGTGGATATCACGATACCTTATTCTGGCATAGAATACTATATCATAACAGCTTTGATAATTGAATTAGATTTTATTTCTGTTTCGAAGATCTCTTTTTTCTTTTGCTTTGGAGTATCTGTTTTGCTCATATTATCTATCTACCTAGCCCTGCCTCTAGCAATCATTGTTTATCGTGCTGCTAGTTGAATGATTGATTGATTGATTGGATTGGGTTTGCAACTCGACTACCATAACTGCAGTGCATATGTAAGATGGTTTCACAAAGATACACCAAGAGAGACATAACGTAATGTATTAACTATACATAACCCATGGACAATTTTTTGAATATATTAACTTAGTATCCACAATCTATCGCAGAACAAACGCCGACCCAATTATCGAATTTAGCCCTATACCAAATAGCAATACATGATAGTACAATTAGCTAACTCTGTTTTTCTTACATGTAGAGCAAGCACGCAGACAAGCACGCAAGCAAGCAAGTTTACAACTCCTTCTTCAAGAAATGTTCCGGTTTATGCGTCGTCTCGTAGTCGACATGGACATACGCTCTCTCGACATCTGGCAGCGACTCGAGCTTCATCTGCAGTTCCTCGGCGACGTCGTGGGTGGCGCGCAGCGAGTCGTTCGGGTCCATCACGATGTCGACTTCCACGAGAAGACGCGGGCCGGAGGTATAGGCGCGGACGGTGTCGATGGCGGTGATGAGGGGGGAATGGGTCATTGCTTGAGAAGCTGTTAGTGGGCCAGGGAAATAGGAATGAACAGGGGAGGACGTACAGATGTAAGTGATCAATTGCTGCATCTTCGTATCGGCCGTCACGCCGATGAGGAGCTGGAACTCGTGATATGCGGTATACAGCCACAAGGCGCTGACGAGGACGGAGAGGATGATGGCGCCCATGGGATCGATCCACCAGCGCAACTTACTGCCGCCGACGGAGGTGAGGATACCGAAGCCGTTGATGAAGAGGTCATTGCGGTGGTCTTCCCAGAGGATGCGGATCTGGGAGACCTGGTGGCGCAGGGCGAAGCAGTAGACGAAAAGGGCGAACTTGGTGCAGAAGGCCACGACGACGGCGATGACGGAGGGGAGGTGGAACTCGCCGGTCTCGGACTCGGAGCCGCCGACCAGCTCGCGGATCGAGAAGGCGATGATGATGAACGAGACGGCCGTCATGAGGAAGCAGAAGCAGATGTTGCCGGCTGTTTCGATGCGGGCTTTTCCGGCGGGGAACTTGCGCGGGTCGACTCGGTTGACGGCCTTGTTGCAAAGCAGCAGGGTGAGGTTGGACATGGGGTCGAAGACGGCGTCGGCCATGGTCGTGAAGAGGGAGAGCGAGCCGGACGCGATGGCGCCGTAGAGCTGCAGCACGGAGAGGATCACGTTGGCGGCGAAACTGCCGTACACGGCGATCTTGTACTTGAGTTGGTTGTTGGTATTGATTTCGCGCGCGGTGCGCACGTGCTCCTCCACGGGCTTGAGCATGCGCTCGATGTTCTCATTTTGTGTCTGGTAGAAGCCTTGTAGTTGGCTTTTCGAGGTGAGGCCCCGGGAGAGGGCTTCTTTGCTCGTGGTCTTCGAGATGATGGCCGCGGGGTTGCAGCTGTTGCGTTTGCGGGACACATTGGCCCGTGGTTGAATGTGCTTGATTTCATCGGCGGTTTTGAGTTTAGACGCCAGCTGGAACGGGTCGTTTTCCGCCGTGTACCGTGGTGGAGGCTGGCCTTCTTCGTCGCTGGGCGAGCCGGAGCGGTGCTGGGGCGCATGCGGTTCGAGGGCGGTGGTGGTCGCTATGGAGGCGGATCGGTTTTGGGGGAAGGTCTGGAGTTGGTGCGATTGGGGGGAGGTAAAAGGGGAGGGATGGTGCGAAGCACTATGACGGAAGTGACTGTCTTCCATGATGAAGGTGGAAATCAGTTTCCTGGGATCAATTGAGTTGAGGAGAGAAAGAAGGTCGATACCGAAATCCGCAGCAAAATTCACGGGGAGATCCCGTGCTTGGCTGACTCAGGCTTATCTTATCGGATTGTTTAACGTTTTCAACCACCGAGCCGCGCCTACCACCGAGCCGCGCCCTTTCCACCAAAACTCCTACTTTCTTCATTTAACGCGTCTTTTCTCATCACCACAATTCAATATGCCTCTTTCTAAAGAATCGCGCATTCAGATGGCTATTTCAGCCTATCAGAAAGGCCAGATTAAATCAATTAAACGCGCTGTGGCCCTTTTCGCTGTTTCTGAAAGTACCCTACGCGATCGGCTTCATGGAGTTAAATCACGATCGGAAACACGCGTCAACGGCTATAAACTGACTGAATTTGAAGAGCAATTGCTTTCAAAGCGATTACTAAATGCAGATACACGAGAATTTCCAATTCGGTTCGAATTTCTGCGTGAAATGGCCCAAGTACTGCTTTGCAATCGGTTAAAAGATCTTATTGCAGCTATCGGAATTAATTGGCCTTATAAATTTGTTAAACGCCATCCTGAACTTCATACGCGATTTAATAAACGCATTACTTATCAACGCGCAAAACAAGAAGATTCAAAGATTATAGGTCCGTGATTTGAGACTGTACGAACGACTATTCAAGAACACGGCAAATATGAAAATGACATCTAGAATTTCGACGAAACTGGCTTTGCAATAGGAATTTGCTCTACTTCAAAAGTGATTACTGCAGTTAAACGAAGCGAGCGATCGCGCAAAATCATTTAAAGCAATTGTGAATGGATTACAATTATCGAAACAATCGGATCAAGAAACGTATATCTATTGTCAATCATTATATTGAAAGCAAACGTTTAACAGACTGTCTGGTTCCAAGAATCTAAATTGTCTTGCGACTAATGAATTTTTACTAGTCAGAATGGCTAAACGACTGATGAAATAGGTCTTCTTTGACTGAAAAATGTCTTTGAACCGCTTTTTAAACGCTATATAATTGATACAAAGCGCTTGCTTATTCTTGACGATCATAGTAGTCATTTGATTGTTGAATTCGATAATTTCTGCAAACAAAATGCAATAATATGTCTCTGCATGTCTGCTCACGTTTCACATCTTCTTCAATCGCTTGATGTGGGTGTTTTTGGCCCATTTAAAAAGATGTACAAAAAGCTTCTTGAAGACCGTATGACTGCTGGTAACAATCACATTGATAAAAAAAAATTTTCTATCGCTATATCCGGATGCACATAAGCAAATCTTTATTGCAATTAATATCTGCAACGGTTTTAAAGAAGTAGAGCTTAAACCGTTTGATTCAAAGCATGTTCTCTCTACGCTTACTTTTCAACTACATACATCTACATCATCACTAGTTAAAGGCTCAATTTCTTTTGCTTTTCAAATTCCGCAAAATACTCACCAGCTAGATTGAAAGGTTCGAAGCCTGCAGAGCAGCTTTAATAGAAAATGACAGCTTTTTAGCAGTCTTATTGCGCATATTCAATATCTTGAGAAAGCAGCGCAAATGGCGATGCAAACTATTCTTTTTTTGCAGTAAGAAATTAGGGCCGTACGCGCTGAAAATGGACGACAACGTCAAAAAAAGACAAGAAGATGTGCTGAGATAGATAATGATCGCCTTCTTAATGTACAAGAAGATGAAAATCGCGTTCAGCAGCCTGATACACAGTTTAATGAGCAGTCTGCGAAATCTACTCCAGTGTCTCGTCGACGAGTTCCGCAGCGCTGTAGTGGATGTGGAACAGTCGGACATACAATTCGGAATTGCCCTAGTAGATGGCTATAATGTCATATATTTAATTAGTTAGATTTAATGGCGTTGGTGGTTGAAAAGCCCTAGGAAGTAGGAGTTTTGGTGGAAAGGGCGCGGCTCGGTGGTAGGCGCGGCTCGGTGGTTGAAAACGTTAGCTCCACCAGAAATGCTTATTCAAGTTCATCGTACAATGTGCAAGAGACCAAAAGAAATGAAGGCATAATGTGTTAAGCACACTCTGTACCCTGCAAGGAAGAATGCAAACCCCTCCATACCAATTTTCAATTGGGCTTCTTCATCTTTCTCCCTTGCCTCATTGATGCATCTTATCTTGTCTGGATATACCTTTCTACCCACTAAACCAAGGAGGATAATGCAGGACATTGAATTCAAATGAATAATAAATATAACATGGCTAATGCTGACTTTGCTTTCTATTCATACATCTCATCCCCTAAAAAAGAATGAATCAAGAAACAAGAGACAGACGTAGCTGGTCCCTAGAAGACATAATCTACGCAACATTCTATAGACAAAGAACCAGGATCAAATACCCCCAAAGGAGCAAGCTAGATATATTTTCCATATTTTTTTCTGTTCATTTTTTTTATTTAATTTTCTCTCTTCCCACTAAGTAGAAGTCTGTTCAAAACAAGTATTATGTGGTATCTCGAAACAATCAAAAGAGGAGTATAAACGCAGCGCAGGAACGACAAGTACAGGAGAAAAAGGTGAATATACATAGATCCATAATAGATGACAACAAAAGTCAAGAAAAGATATTACCTGCCTGATAAGACAATTGCAAAACGCATTTAAGGAGTTATGTATGCTTGTGTGTCCGAGACGTGCGTTAATAAAAAGTTCAGATCCAGATCATGCACTTCTCGTGAACGCCTTAAGATTCGTTGTCAAATGCAATGGTGCCAATAAAGAACAGGGAATATCAAAGCAGAAGAGGGGATGCAGAATTATGCCGGAGATCGGATGACATGATGTGCGAAAAGGGTGGTCGGTATCTGTACATCCATGAAGAATGAGACAATGGGAAAGGTAGATAAAAAAGTTATAAAGCATTTGAGAAAAAGCAATTTTAAACGAAGGTAAAGAAGGTACTAGATCTATGGCGGAAGGACGGAATAGAGAAAGAGTGAGAGATGAGAAAAGAAGAGAGAAAGCAGTAAAAGGTAAGGATTTTTTTATTGAGATTTCACCAGGTGAAAGCTTCTTCAGCAAAGTCAACCACAGCACCTTTACCGATACTCTCGCGAGCGGCGGCACGGACCTCATCTGCAAAGGCACCAGGCCCACAGACCGAGACCACGGTGGCACCCACACGGTTGGGAAGGACTTCGTCTAGAACAACTTGTGGTCGACATCTACCCGGGAACATCTGAACCGTGGCACTGGGAGAGACGATATCACGGCTGCTCTTAGGTTTCGAAACGAACAGTTTGATGGTGAGCATCTCACGACGGCCGGGGAGCCGTAGGATCTGGTCCATCCACTCCCGTACCCACGCAAGGTGATCGGTACAGCGGACAGACCAGATCAGGTAGATCTGCTGCGTGGCGACGCGGCCTTCGGAAGCACGGATGATCAGGTCTCGAACATGTAGCATGTGATGCGTGATGCCTGCACCGCCAGAAAAGAGCACGGCGGTACCGTAGCTGCCCATATTACATGCGTGCGATGCATACGGTCCCTCGATAAAGCCTGTGGTGTGAAGTACCTGGTTGGGCGCAGCAAGAGCCCTGTTGTACAGAGACCGCGTCATTCCCTTCTGAGCACCCACGATAAGGGACACGGAGGTGGGCTGCTTGCTATCCTGCATGTATTGGTCAAGGTCGACCATCGGTTGCTTCTCCAGAAGCGAGGGGCTCATGGAACCGCTGGACGGAGACTTGAAGGGCGAGTCCACGAGTCCGGACGTGGTCACGCAGCTAACCGGCTCAACCCAGGCGATCGAGAACGGGTGAGACATCCACTTGGAGATGCTTGGGATGTATGCATACACATGACCACCAGGGTTAATGTGTACGCGTTTGGGAAGATGGAAAGTCACTTTGCAGGCCTCGCCGGGAAGAGCCTCAACGACGAGTTTGGTGCATCCTTTCTTCCAAGAGCAATTGAGATACAGCAGTCGTGCAATCCGAGCGCATCGCTCAATCAGCCAAAGAGAACCAATTGCGAGCATCCAGGGTTTCTGCGGTAGCTTGTCCAGATCGATGTGCACGTAGACACCGAGGAAGGCCAGAAAAGCGGCAAGCTGATGGAGATGCAGGAAGGTCTCGTAAAAAGCGTGTCGAAGGGAAGACGGCGAGTGCGTGGCCAGAAAAGCCATGGCGACGGTTCCAACCAAGCCCCAGGCGAAGAAAGGCTCGTTAACCAGACGATGGGCCATATCTGAGATGCTGGTCTCAGCCGTTGCGTTCACGCCCCAGGCGATGGTGTGGACAATACTCTCGATCGCGACCATTCGGCCCAACCAACGGTGAAGGAGGTTATAGGTGTCAAAACTGATATGCAAAACGGGAATCAATGGATTGTTGCGGCCAGCCAGGATGAACAGAGGAACCATGTTCAGGACAGCGAGCGTCCCCGATCGTCCACGAAGTTCAGCCACTAGAGCTGCCTTCTCATTCACGGCGTAGTCCAGGATGGTGCAGTAGGCAATCTGGCTGATCAGGTACAAGACGATGAGAACGGTCTGGAACCGGGTTGGCAGAGTGCCCACATTGATAGCGGACGACAGCTGCAGCTCTCGATTGTGTCTCTTATTGCCCAATGGCGAATAGAGAACATATTTCTTCATGTTCGACCATAAACGCGATTCTTCAATACTCCAGAAAGCTTGTTGCCTTGCAGTTGCCGACAGGGAGCTGATGTGACGAAGATAGGAATGACTGATTTGAGCGACTCGACCGCAGAAAAGTACGACGCCTACCACCAATACCGATGTAAAGATAATACGCGTGAACAAAACATCTCGAGGAACATTGACTCCGCCTAGTCCTCGCGAGTATTCGTATACATAAGTTTCGTTCGACGTCGATCCATGGCTTCGCGCAACGAGGTCACTGACCTCGTCCATTGGATCTCGAAAATGGGTTGGTCTATTAAACGAGTCGTGATTTAAAGGTAGCGGGAATTGGGTTTGAGGGTTGAAACGTGCTGAGTTATTTGATGGAAGAGTCCAGACGGGCGATTCAATCCGATGTCAATAAAGATCGAGGTCAAGTATGCGGTATGACGAATTGGAGAATGTTTGACGGCTGGCGGGGAAACCTTTGGAATGGAAATGCCAGGAACACTGGGTGACGGGGACAATGGCCTTGTAACCCCGGTACTTATAAGAAAAATAAGCTGGTTGTGTGCGGGACAATGAACTTTCCCCGAGTTGTGTCGTTGCTTTGTCCAAATAATGCAAATAATGGAGATAGTCGCTTATTCAACAACACCCGTAGATGGTTCAATGGTAGCACTGGCTAATACCACAAGGAGGCGGACACCGCGGCAAAGTCGAGTAAATTCGATGTCTGAAATCTTAGAACTTGAGACCTAATCATATTACAGATGGTCAATAAGGTCAAGAACAGCCAGCCTCCAGATATCCTAAACGCTTACCTCCACTCTCCTACATGCATGATCGTACGACGAGGAATCCAGCAAGGGGCTCAAGAGACGCTCAGCGTCGCGAATGACGGAAATAGGCGCGAGGGCGACCGAACAAGAAACGAAGGCGAAAAAAAGGTCCAACTCAACAACAGACAAGTCTATCGATTGAGAGCAAATAAAGATCTTTCACTACCAGTATGAAGGAAGGAATGAGTGAATTTCAAGTCCCAACCCGAGTCGACCAATGGCGACTAGCGAAAAAAGGGGAGGGGATGAACGATCGTGGTCGTCGAACAGACCAAGTCAGTTAAAAGAGGGGAAAACCACAATCCAATAGATAAAACTATTCAAGATTTTGACAGGCAACGAGTGAATGGAGTGGAATATGATGTCAAAACCTCAAAAGGAAAGGACAATCTCAGAGCCAGCTGAATAAGTTAGTAGGGAAAGAATAGTAGGGCAGAGAAGAGAGGGAGGAAAAGACGAAAAAAGGGCCTCGAATGAAGATCCATGGAGCAGGATGAAACCTTAAAAGGCCAACAGGGAAGGGCCACCGCGGATCGGATCTCCAAGGCAGTATTTTCCTAGCGCGAGACTGCGAGCAACCTGAGCAAGACCGAGAAAAAATTCATGGCGACTTATGGCGTGGTCCCATCGGGAGGAGTTCATCTCGAGCGCCAAGGCGGGCGTCTGCGAGCTGATTTGAACCTATCGGGGCCTCTCCTAAGGGCGCTGACAGGGCATCGGTGTTTCCAAATGGAAGCGGACGAGTCGTTTAGCTCCAATTGGCGTGTCTTGGCAGGTTATTGAATATAAATAACCTTGGAAAGGACAGGGGGGGTTAGGTTTGGGTCCACGGACCCCCCCTAAGTGAATGGCGAATGCTAGTGCACCTCGGTCATTCAGTGCCTGCAGCAAATGCATGTTGTGAAGGTGTGCCTGAAGAAGGAAGCGCCCAGCCTACGCGCCCAGGACCCAGGGCTGTAAGCGGGTTGGTGAATTGTTTGGTTTTGCTTTTTCTCTTCAGGAACTCAGTCATCGCTTGATCTCGCCACTACCAAAGGCAGTCAGCCCCCGTTGCATTGGCTCTGAAGTTGCATTTGTGTGTTTCATGTTGGTCGAGTGGCCACGGATATTGGCCTGTCGATAGCAACTAGGCACTAGGCAGCATCGCGACCCCACCGAGGGAGCGCGAAAGGGGGCCGGGAGTGAACTGAGCCCTGCAGAAAGTAAGAGGGTTGCTGACCAACTTGAGTATTTGCATTCTGATTTCTCACCTTATGCGAGCCATGATCCAGAGTGAAACAATAGTTGGTCGCTTAGACTGGGGCGAGTCGCGAGAGTGAAAGAAGAAGAAAGTTTTTCTACTTTTTCTTGTTGGACGAGGGAAATTTCCGACCGGAAGGTGGCCAGTCACATGGCGGATCACGGGTCTCAGGCTAACGGTGGACTCGTTAATCTACTGCGATATTGCGATGGATCTCCTATTCCTCTTGGGAATTCTTTTCCTTGCTAACGGGCAACGGCTATATTGTCCTACCGACTCCGTTGCTCCGTAGTCCCTGCCCGATCCCATTTGGATTATATTATTACCTATTATTTGGACTTCTCTTCGCGAGACCTCCGCTTCACAACGTGGTTTTCCCTCCGAATAGATGCAGGGTGTCTCATTCATCTAAAGGATTCGATAGTTCCCTGGCTTTCTCGGCGCCTAGGGTCAGTGTTAGTAAGAGCCCCGAGCTTCCCTGGTGGAAATGAGGCCCGTAATCAATCCAGAACAGGGACTAGCACCGTGGTATGACAGACTAAAGCAAATATGACCTGACTTTTGCTCGCCTCCTGTGTCGATGTGTTGCTATTGGGAGGGCCCTGGGGCTCTTATCGGAGCAGCAGCATTCCGAGAAGGGAGATAACTAATCATAATATTTCATTGATCTATTCGTGTTATTTTAGTTCTCTTGAATTATATTTTCATGATGCAGGATTCGCTGCCATTTCGACTTCATCGTCCCATCCAACCGCCGTCGACGCAAATCACATCTCCTGAAACGTAACTGCTGGCTTGACTGGCCAGGAATACGACCACACCCTTGAAATCCTCGGGCTTGCCCCATCTTCCTGCAGGGATTCGAGCCATGATACCCGCGTTACGATTGTTATCGTTGATCAAAGCCACATTCATGTCGGTAGCGATGTATCCGGGGGCGATGGCATTGACGTTGATCCCCTTGGCTATCCACTCGTTAGAGAGCGCCTTGGTCAATTGCGAGATGCCGCCCTTGGACGCTGCGTATGCCGGCACGGTGATGCCACCCTGGAACGAAAGAAGCGATGCGACGTTGATGATCGAACCACGTCGTCCGGATGGGAACTCGGATTCATCCCGGGCCAGAAGATAAGCCCCAAACTCGCGACATAACGTGAAAACCGACGTCAGGTTGACTTGCAAGACCTAGAATCACCCCACGTTCTCAGTTAGCTTTCCAGTTCCGGACGAAAGGAGCTCATGCCCTGCGTCCACGCGCAACCCTATTGTCTAGAGTCTAAAATCAGGAGATGCTGGGGGAGGAGACCAAGAGGAAACGGGCCGTTGGCCGTTGTCTAACTCACCTCGTCCCAATCCTCATCCGGGAATTTCTCACTCGGATGGCGCCGTTGAATACCAGCACAGTTTAGCAGAATCTGCGGCTTGATTCCTTGACTCGTCAGAGCCGGGATCACCCTCTTGATTGCCTCTCGATCTGACAGCTCTGCCACGTGGATCCAAGCCTTTCGACCGAGGCGGTTGATAATGTCATCGCGAGTTGATGTGTTTGATTCGTCTCTCTATCCCGTTGCCGTTAGCTCCGTCTTTGCGTCTACCTATTTGGCCTGGCGGATACCCAAGTCAAATAACATAAATGCGTAGCTCCTAGACCAACTCACCTGGATTAGAACGATATCAGCGCCTGCCTCGGCAAGAGCCAGGGCCATGGCCTGTCCAATGCCTCTTGTACCGCCTGTGACGATAGCGGTTTGCCCGCTCAGCGAAAAGAGCGACGCAGCCATAGCGGGAGGGTATCAATCAAGCTAGGTAAATAATACAATTGTAGATCAGACGGGAGCTCTCAGCACTCTGCTTCTTCACGGCCGCGTTAAATATGAACTTGCCGCCAAACTATCAAGCAATGTTTCTGTGTTCAACAAAAGGAAAAAAGACCAAGGCCGGTTTCTGGTGGCCTGGCGAGCGGCAGCCACCTTAAAGCGCCTTCTCACGTGCGGGGCAGCCAAACGCATTTCCAAAAGGAGAGGAAGCCATAGCCGACGCGCACTTCAAAGGCCGATACCCCGCAGTCGGCAACGGAACCTTCCTCGGCGGTGTTCCGAGTGGCCACGTGAGGTGTTTGCGTACGGTATCGGCATGTTGATTACACATACTATACCCACCTCGATATCAGAGGATTCTGTCTACAAAGTATTGATTGATGGAGACTTAACACTGCCGGGATGGATGCATCTAAGAAATGTCTATCATTATCAATCAGAGGTCTTTACTGCAATAGGTCTGGTGAGTTAGCGCCAGCATGCCGGCAAATGTGCAACGTGGTGAGATCATGCTGCATGTATGTAGCCATGCTAGATTGATGATCACGGGCAGATAAGCTGGTTGAATGTCTGGCTTATGAGTTACTAGACAATTGGGCTTTAGGCTCACTACCGGCGTCTACTAGGTAGTTTCAATTCGAGATATCCATATACTATATCAACATGTCAAGAATATCCACCGGCGATGCAGCAGTATAGACTACCGACTACCTGCCTAGCAGAGACATAACCCCCAAAAGTCTAGGCAACACTGTTCTCTTAAATCCTATCTGCAAAGCCTCTGGATCAACTGACCAACAGGGGAAATGCCTCCTCAGTATCACTGATTCTTGGTACAGTATCTATCATGAATAATAACAACCGAAGATGAAGTGATCGTCCAGTACAGCCCCGTAAGTAATCCGTATGTACGGGCTGAGTAATACGAGGACATCCTTTCCATCTAGTAAAAGGAATTCCTTTTCTCCCCACGCTCTTTCCATTCTCGAATCATCCTTGACCGTTGGCTTGACGATTTGGAATAGGAGGCTTAGGATTAGCGTGCGTCTTTGTCCCAGGCCCCCAGCCTACGCCTTTTTGACTTAAAGCACGCTTCGTGTGGGGAACTTCGCTGATCCAACCCTTTCCAGGATAATATGGCAGTGCCCAGCTAAAGGTCGGACAGACGCGGAGAGAAAATAGAGAAAAGTGTCCTATCTTCACTCTGAATTCGGGTTACGCCGTAGATCGATTTTATCTTGTCTGACTGATCTTTACTCTTTCTTTCCTTATGGGTGAACCTTTCTCCTGCCTGCTTTTCTCCGCCCCAACCGTGTTTCTCTGCCAAGGCCGAGCTGCCAACGATGCTGTGATGAAAATGCCGCTTTCGTGCTACGTTTGCCTTTGAAATTGTCAGTTGAATTCATTGAACCATGCAGGAAGCGATGGATACCGATGAACAGTCTCCGCTGGAGAGTACTCCGGCGTCGAGGTCCAAGTCTCGCTCCGATCACTTGATGAAGCGCGTGTCCAGGGCATGCTTGCATTGTCGACAACGCAAATCCAAATGTGATCTGTAAGTTTGCTTCTAACATCGAATTTCATCAATCAGATCGACCCATAGTCCCCTTACCATCGATTTTCACTCGGTGGAAGAATGCCTAGACTGATTGAGACCACAGAGATAGTAGTGGCAGTCCGGGAGTACCGCCGTGTCAGCGGTGTATCCGAGATGGTCGAGAATGCGTCCTGGGCAGCTCGAACCGTGGGGGCCGTCGCATTCGCAAAAACAAATTAAAAAACTATACGCCGGACACCAGCCTAACCGCTCGAAGAGATTCGATTCTAGAAACAACCAGTCCCACCAATTCCGACAACCGCCAGAGCACGAATGGTTCCTATCCCGGTCCGGTTGTTTTTGTGCCTCCCAATCCCCCAACGACGACTTCAGCATCGGTGGACGACGAAGATGCGGCCTCGATCGGCTCCGTGCCGCGAAATCCGTCAGATGCGTGGCAGTGCTTGACTGGCATTGCTAAAAGGGGCGTGGACGATGCTAGCCCCGAGGCGGTCGCTGATCCTCTGCGTCCCGGCGCCAGTGGGTTCACTTCGTATAATGTACTTCAAAATAGCGGCGTTGCCGATTTTCAACCCACCGGTGGTATTCGAGCCTACAGACTCGTCCAAGCGCGATCCTTGGACCCAGGAACTGTATGGCAGCTGGTGGCTCGCTATGCCGAGAACTTTCACCCCTACCTCCCCTTGGTCCCGCGGAAATACTTTCACCGCAGCGCTTTGGATGCGTTTGCCAAGAATGAAAAACATTTGCTTACTGCGGTGCTGACGATCGCATCGAAGGATCTGGTCGAACGGCCCGAAATCCATGAATACTGCTCCAAATACATGCACGAATTGATATCGGGGATCGCTGCCGGAACCGACTGCGACGTGGAGGCCGTCGAGGCCCTGCTTCTTCTTGCGGAGTGGGAGCCTCAGGGCCTTCGACCTCGTATTGAGCGCGTGGGTCGCGGAGAAGAAGACCGAGCGGCCTGGATGCACGTCGGCCTTGCATTACGGTCGGGCTACTTCCTCGGGTTGGATCGGACGTCATTTCGTGGGGATTCGGGCGATACCGAGACAGAGGCCCGTCGGCGGCTGGCGTGGACGAGTTGCTACATCTCCGATCGACTCATTTCTGTTCGCATTGGACGTGCGTTTTGGTCGCGAGGGCCAGGGCCGATGACAGGTCTTGTCAGTCAAGACTTTCCTTCTTTGCAGCCGATGAAAGATGGGGACGAGGACTACGCCCGGATATTTCAGGCAACTCTTGACTTGACTCAGCTCTACGGAAACGTCCATGACTTGCTCTACTCCGGAATGCGGACCAGCAATCAGATGATGCTCATGGGAGATTATGTGAAGTACGTGGACGACTTCCGACTAGCGATTCTGCGGTGGAAGTCTCTTTGGGGCACGTTGTCTTGTAAGTGACCATTCCGGCGCCTATGGATCATTTGGCACTTAAACTAACACCCACCAGGCTCTACGCCGATGCAAGTCACACTACAATTATCATATGAATATCTAAGGCTGTATACCAACGCTTTTGCGTTTCAAGCAGCAATCTCCCAGTCATTGGTTTCGAAAACCAAGAATGACGATCAGTCACAAAGAGAACATCTGCGATCAACGTTCAACAACGTGGCCTCTATGCAGGACGCCAGGTTCATCTACGAGTCTGTGGATGCTGCCAAAGCATATTTGACCATTCTCGTTGACATGGTCCACCCGGAGAAGCATCTGCACTTCATGCCTCTTCGGTTCTACCTGTACGGCATCTATGCAGCCGTCTTCTTATACAAGGTGCGCGTTCCCTTCAAAGCACACAAGCAACAAGCTAACAAAGCCAGGCGCGCTCATTCGGCGTCATGCCACATTCCGAAGAATTGAATGTTCGGGACCTCGTCACTCGAACCACCGACGTTCTGAAACGAGCGAGTGCCGGCCCGGACGATATCGGTTCGCGGTACTCTCGACTTCTTGAGCTGCTTTGGCAGTCCAAGTCAACATCGATCTCATCACCTGCGGGAACACAGCAGAGTAGCGATCTCCGAATGCAGAGCAGCTCCCTTCAGCATCGCATGGCCGAGCAGGCCAACTACGTACACTTTAGCCCCGCGAATGACTTCTCCTGGTTGGATCTGGAAGCCGTCGGAGATTATGTCTCGGGCGACCAAATATCTGGCAACACGCTGGCATTCGATGCTTTTCAAAATCCCGACCCATTCCAAGATCGGTCGCAAACATGGCAAGTCCCGTGGTCAGGGGATATGAGCAGCAGTCTTCTGTTCTAGTTGTATTGTATTGTACATACATACAAGGAGGGTCTACTTCTATGGGTCAGACCAAGGCGTGGAACTGTTCCTTTTTGGGACATATGAATAGCCGGCCTTCGTCATTATTTGGCTCCAAACAGAAAGACATGCCGTGACCCCTTTGACCCCCCACTCGGTGCCCATGCGGGGCTGTGTGGGGGGGAGGACCATCGTCACTCGGAATCTTGTCCGGCCCTCACTTTCATCTCTTGCCGAGGGAGCGGAAATCGCTCCTCACCTTTTATGACCACATAGACTGTCGCAGACAAAATCGAATCCAAGGAATCCGGAACTCCTTTGCAGCCATGGCGCAGCTTAATGAGATCCGTGGCCGTTTGGCCTTGATCACCGGTGCCTCAGGCGGGTAAGTGATTTTCCCATCCGTTAATTTACCCGCAACGCCGTGACGATCAGATCCGGGATGATACTAAGCGCCCGTTTTGAATAGAATCGGGGCAGCCTGTGCGCGCCAGCTGGCCGAGCGAGGGGTGCATCTCGCCCTAACATACTCCTCCAATCTAACTGCCATCACGGGTCTCGTGGACGAGCTCCGTTCCAAACATGCCGGCGCCTACGCCCTCCGTATCTCCATCCACCAGGTCGACGTCGCCTCGGCCGACCAGATCCAGGACATGTTCCTGCAGATCGACAAGGAGCATGGCCAGCGACCGGACATCCTGATCTCCAACGCCGGTCACGGCAAGCGCATCCCGCAGGTGTGGGACATTCCTCTCGAGGAATTCGATTACACCATCAATGTCAACCTTCGGGCCTCGTTCATCCTGGTTAAGGGAGTCGTCGAACACATGAAAGACCAGCGCTGGGGTCGCATCGTATTCATGTCCTCAATTGCGGCACAGGGGGGTGGGATCAACGGATGTCGTGAGTTCCCTCACCCCTCTCCCTCAAAGCTCCAAGGGTAAAATCTTATCTTCCCGGTCCAGTAACTGACAAAATAACTAGACTACGCCGCCTCAAAAGGCGGCATGACCGGAATGATGAAGAACCTGTCCACCCGGCTGGCTGAACACAACATTAGCGTCAACGACGTCGCGCCCGCCATGATCGGCGACACGGGCATGATTCCCAGTGCGCAGGCCATTCCGGAGGTTGCGGCGGGTATTCCGCTCGGTCGGCTTGGGGTTCCTGAGGAGGTTGCGAATGTTGTGACGATGCTGGTGACGACGGGGTATATGACTGGACAGAGCTTGTTGTTGGGGGGAGGGTTGAAGTAGAAATAGTCTGGTGGCATTGTATGCTCGTGTTAGTGTAAGCCTATATGGTTTGATGATTTATGACTGAATATGAATATATTCCCCTCTAGATAATATTTGGCTGCGTATGTCTAAATAGGACATGGTAAATTGTAAGTAGCTCATATGATAGAGATGAACCTACTTATATGAATATAACCATAACATCATAAATTCAATCCAATTTTAATTTCATGTCGTCAACATCACCGTATACACCCCCTCCCAGTCTATACAAAATACACCACCCACCTACCCCCAACCAGATCCACATAATAGATATCTACAGTTACCCTCCCTCAGATCCAAGAATTGACATAGCTCTAACTCTCAATAACAACCTTAACAACCGGCCTCCCTACCTCATCAACCCCCTTCCCCGCCAACCCAAACGCCCTTTCCCCCTCCCTCAACCCCAACCGATGCGTCACCACCTTCTCCTCAACGACCCCGAACCGCCCGCTCGCCATCAGCTCAATCGCAGCCGGATAAGCATGCCCATCATACCGAAACACCCCAATGATATCGACCTCGCGCAACGCCGCCGCCCCCACGGGCACCGTCTGCACGGGGTTCCCCATCCCGATTTGCACGAGCACGCCGCCCGGCGCGGACGCGTAGATCCCCGCCTGCACGCACGCGGGCACGCCGGTGCAGTCGTAGACGCGCGCGAACCCTGCCCCGACGGAGTGGGTGTCTTTGAGGGAGGCGGCGAGGGTTTGGGCGTTGGTGAGCGCGTAGGCGGTTTGTTCGGCGACCGGGGCGTCCGGGCCCGGTGGGGGCGTGGCTGGTTTGGGGATGAGGGTTGTGCGGAGGTTCAGGGTTAGGGAGTCGGCGATGGCGAGGCGCGAGGCGTCGATGTCGGCGATCACGATGGTCGAGAAGGCGTTTTGCACGGCCAGGGCCGACGCGAGGAGGAGGCCGACGGCGCCGGCGCCGAAGATGAGCGCTGACGATCCCGATGCGTCGTCTAGCTTCTGGGCCGTTTGGAGGTCCGCGGCGCTAGGGGGTCGGGAGCGCCGGATGGCGTGGAGGCATACGGCGAGCGGCTCGACGAGGGCGCCGCCGGCGTAGCTCACGTTGTCCGGGAGCTTGTGGCACATGGCGGCTGGGTGGGTGGTGAGTTCCATGAGGGTGCCGTCGAGATGGGGGTAGACTTTTGCGGAGCTGCGGAATTGCATGCCGGGGCAGATGTTGTAGCGGCCTTGTTGGCAGAGGAGACATTGGCGGCAGGGCAGGCCGACTTCGAGGGCGACGCGGTCGCCGACTTTCAGGGTCGTGACGTCCGGTGCGACGGCTGTTACGATGCCCGAGGATTCGTGGCCCAGGCACATGGGCGCGCGGACGACGAAGTCGCCATTGCGGCCGTGGTTGTAGTAGTGCAGGTCAGAGCCGCAGAGACCGGTGGCGCGGATGGCGACTTGCACTTCTGAGGGGGCGGGTTGGGAGACGGGTTTGGATTCCTGGAGGGGTTAGTTAAGGGTTATTGCATGATGTATAGGAGTGGGTTTACCAGGCGGAGGTCTTTGGCGCCGTGGAGGACTAGTGCCTCGCAGGTAGTAGATGCGGTCATTGTGTCTGGGGAGAGGGTAGATACGACGGTAGAGAGAAGAAAGGAGAAGGGAGAGGAACAGGATAATGAACCGGCGTCATGCGGAGGCGCAACTGAGTCTGTCTGGCCATATTTAAGACAGTAGAAGATAACAGAAGCATCGCTGGTTATCGGAAAAGCGACGTGGGGTTGGACAAACACGGATTCTCTCCGCGTCGGTTATTGAAGTCAATAGCCGACATTTACGGTACGAGTACATATTTTACCTGTTGACACCTACACAGGTGGTTCACAAAAAACTCGTGAAAAAGTGCTCAAAGGCTGAATTGATAGTGTATGGACATATTCACGGTCTATACGCAATCATTGATCCGTAGAATTCCCTCAGACACAATGCTGTATCCGAGGTATAGTTACTCTACCTACACCGGTAGTATGACATAGATAGCATAATACAAATACATACAAGCCCGAAGAACCGCCGACCCCCCACGCCAGAAACATCGCAATCAATCGACCCTCTTGACCAGATTTCCAACCAAATCATCATAAATGGTTCGGTAACCGGACATTTCTCCTGTGTCATTTCCTGCTCCATTTGGTTTTCCTTCATCCTTCAATTCTTCCTCTGTTTCCCATTCTCTACCTATCCTCGCGTTTCTCTATACTCCCCGTATCCTGCATCCAACCCCGCGTCTCTGACATCATGCCCTCCGCATTGCTGATCGGTGCCATTACCCACGCCCGCAAGGAGTGGGAGGACCTCTCGTCGCTGTTGACGCTGAAGGTGAGATATCCTTGTTTCACGTTCCTCGCTCTTTCTTTTTTCTAATGGAAGGATAATAGGAATTCCCCGAGGGAACGCGCGAGGATTTCATTCGCAATTGCAAAGACGGGCAGTACGATGATGTGCTGGTGATTTATCGGTCCAATGCATCCACCAAGGTAGGATGAGAAGTCCAATGATGTTATGGAAAACCTCTGGTAGCTAATTCATGCTCAATGGGGGTATCTCTCTAGTTCACCGGCCCCTTCGACGCAGAACTACTCTCTGTCTTACCCAAGTCTCTGAAATATATCTGTCATAACGGCGCCGGGTACGATAATGTGGATATCCCGGGGTGTACGCAACGCGGTATGATCCCTTATTTTATACTTCTGACACAGCAACGTGAAGCAAGTGTCTTTACTGACTTTTCAATCTAGGGATTCTGGTCTCTAGCACGCCTGTCGCAGTTAACCATGCGACGGCCGACGTGGGCATTTTCCTTATGATTGGCGCTTTGCGACAGGCTTACGTGCCGTTGGCTGCTCTGCGGGCTGGTATGTCCTCTTTCTGCTCCCTACCTGACCTCTCCACTGTGGGTTGATCGATGAAAACTGACCACGCAACAGGCCAATGGCAAGGAAAAGCGACTCTGGGCCGCGATCCTCAAGGCAAAGTGCTAGGAATCCTTGGTATGGGAGGCATCGGTCGGGTAAGTACCTCTCCTCTCTTCCTTACGAGACAGAAGGGGGGAAAGAAATCCCAACTAACCCAACCGACTAGGAAATGGCCAACCGCGCAAAAGCCTTCGGCATGAAGATCCACTACCACAACCGATCCCGACTGTCGCCTGAGCTAGAAGACGACGCTACATACGTGTCGTTCGACGAGCTTCTGGCGACCTCAGACGTACTGAGCTTGAACCTGGCCCTGAACGCCAAAACCCGACATATCATTGGCGAGAAGGAGTTCCAGAAGATGAAGGACGGGGTTGTGCTGGTCAACACGGCCCGGGGCGCGCTGATTGATGAGAAGGCGCTGGTGACGGCGTTGGAGTCGGGCAAGGTAAGCATTGCCCAGTATACATACCCCAGACTAATCTAATGGTATCTACTACTAGGTCTTGTCGGCGGGATTGGACGTGTATGAGAACGAGCCGGTCGTGGAGCAGGGGCTGGTTGACAACCCTCGGGTGATGCTGTTGCCGCATATCGGAACCATGACATACGAGACGCAGAAGGACATGGAGTTGCTGGTGTTGAATAACTTGCGCTCGGCGGTGGAAAAGGGCGAGATGATCACGTTGGTACCGGAGCAGAAGTCGTAGAGGTAGATACAAATAGACAGGATAGGGAATAGAGATTTTTTGTATTGAATGTCATTTGAACTAGAGGGGCATATTGTGATCTGACCAGCTAGTCAGTGCTGTAGACTGTTGTAGAGATGACAGGAACTATTATTAGTACAGAGTCGAGAACAGAGGACGGAGTGGTGAAGCATGCTGAAGAGAAGGAGACTTGGCGGCGATCGAGGGTTCTGCCGGGCGGTGAGGTACTCAACTACCCAGCACAGCCTAGCGTTAGGGCTCGCTTAGGGCCCCGAGCGCCAAGAGCGAAAAAGCGCACCACAACGAGACGAGCCTCGCGATCTCAAGTTCCAGTGGCCGCCGAAAGAAAAGCGACAAAACTTCTCACCCGACATCGAGGACCACCCCGCCCGGCAACCACATCAAGATGGTGAGTGCTATTTTCGCTGATGGTTTATGGTGATGAAGACATGGGCCCGAATGAGACGAAATTCTTGTCCCTCTGCCCCGTTGTGATCCCGATCCTTGTTCGATCTTCCAATCCCAATATTGGCGACGTCGATATGTTCCGAGAGAGAGCGAGAAAGAGAGAGATGAATAAAACTTTTCGGTCCTTTGTCATCCACCGCCATGATTACCACCACGAAAGCTTGTCAATTGCGTTGTGAAGGAAAAGATATCGGGGACATGTTATGCTGATTTGGGATTTGTCGTTTTTCAGGTCCGTTACGCTGCTCAGGAGATTCCGGCCGCTAAGAGCGCCCGCGCCCGGGGCTCTTACCTGCGTGTCAGCTTCAAGAACACCCGCGAGACCGCCCAGGCCATCAACGGCATGAAGCTGCAGCGCGCTCTCACCTTCCTCGGCAACGTCACCAACAAGGCCGAGGCCGTCCCCATGCGCCGCTACGCCGGCAGCACTGGTCGCTGCGCTCAGGGTGAGTGATGAAAACTCTTTACGATGCGATGGATACGTCTGGTTCGAGGTCACGAATTGAAAAATGGATGAATGTCGGAGAAGATAGAGGAGGACTTGTGCTGGAAATCGAGCCGATATTATGGAAACTACTGGGGACTTGGGAAATTTGTGGACTACCAGACGGGACAATCCAGACGCAGGGAAGGAACATATCGGCTGACAAGTTTTCTTTTACTTTACAGGCAAGCAGTGGGGTGTCAGCAAGGCCCGCTGGCCCGTCAAGTCCGCCGAGTTCCTGATCGACCTCCTCAAGAACGCCGAGTCCAACGCCGACACCAAGGGTCTCGACACCGGCAACCTCATTGTCAAGCACATCCAGGTCAACCAGGCTCCCAAGGGCCGCAGACGTACTTACCGTGCCCACGGTCGTGTATGTGTTCTCATCCGGTAAAATCTGATCGAGCACCGAAGGCTGACTCGGATTTTCTTTTAGATCAACCCCTACATGACCAACCCTTGCCACATCGAGCTGATCCTTACCGAGGGTGAGGAGTTCGTCCAGAAGGGCCCTCACGTTGTCAAGCGCGAGGAGGCTCGCCTCAGCTCCCGCCAGCGCGGTGCTGAGATCCGCCGTGCCATCCAGGCATAAGCGGTTTGTGGGTGTCGGGGGGAAAGTAGTAAAGTAGTCGGAAAATGAATGGGAAAGCCGGAGTTTTCTGTTGTACGGAACAAATACCTGGTCACGGAAGGAATACAAAAATTAAATTTTTGCCAAAAATTCGAATATCACGGGCACCGATGATGATTCTCGGCTCGTAACTGTCTTGTTATGAACGTGTTCCTTGCGTCTTGACTCTTGTTCCGACCTTCCCTCTGGTTTTGCCTCTGGACTTGGAGAAGAGCCGGGCAGTCTTTTGCACGTCGCCCACGGCTCTTTACGACGAACGAATGTCATTACCGAGGTACAACCTGACCCGGTACTCTTCTCATATACTTCGAAATACTATTGAGCGTCTCTTTTTTTCATGAATGGGTTACGGAATCATTGTCTACGATCTTGACTGGGTGCGCTGATGCCAGGACTATCTAACCTGTCCACCTCTTGGCTGGGTTATGGGGAATTGCATCCCTCAGCCCTATCGTAATCGTAGGTAGTCACTGGATGATCCTCGATCATAGTTATGCGGTCGAGATTGGCCTGCCCATGGGTAACCCGACAGGATACCTAGCACTGCGTACAACACTCGGACTTATACCCACCAGTCTTGTCAGCCAGTTGCATAGTGTCCGGCCAACAGCGACTGGTCTGTAAGGCCAAGGGTGGCTGTGCTTCCATGCAACGCTGGCCACGAGACCCGGACAGACTGCGAGGACTCGTTGCTTTTTGAGCTTAATGAAAGTCCACGAATAATGTCCCTAGAGATAGAATGTAACAAGTACCCACAAAGACTGATGACGATGTAAGATCTTTAAAAGTCGCTTGGAAATAAAGTATATATACGTATGCCGATGTGTCAACGATCGCATTTGCCTGGATCGCCGCGCAAAGTCCCAGGCATCACCATTCCTGACGAATGGAGAAGGGTTCGGCCAAGAATCAGGACGATCTAAGGATAGAAAAAGGGCTTGCGTGTCGTCGGGTTTGCCACTTTGATGGTCTGCCTAGAACTGGAACGGACGCTGGAACTGGAACCTGGGGGCCTGAGGGGAGTCCTCCTTACCTAAGCGCTGTTTATCATTCGGACAAAGCACCTCCTCATCTGCGCTTTCTTTCTTTTTTTCACATCCGTCGGCGGAATCGGTCTTTGTTTTTTTATTGGTCTTTTATTTCCATTCGGCATAATGAAACGGATATTTGGTTCCTTTAACAAGCGGTCCAGTAGGTCGTCCTTGTCTTTGCGACATCTAATCAATCGATCGATCTAACGGTTACTCATCGTCCAGACACAGCGTCCTCGCTGGACGGCCCCGCGGCGTACCCTGACGACTCCCCTGAGGGCGTTATCTTAAGAGAAGTGGTTCGTATATCTTCTCAAGCAGATTGAGAGTATAGATTGTGATCACAACCCGCTAACACTTGTGGTGATTGATAGAATGCCTTTTGCGAAGCGGGCGCCGGCCCCGGCAATTCCGTACGTACTCTATCACAATAGGGGAACCCCCTCCTTAGCCAATGCAAGGCAGAAGGCTTACAGTCATGATTACAACAGCAAAGTACCGAATTCGTTCATCTTCCTGGTATCGTCGAAAGCGCCGAGTCCAGCCCCAATGCCGCCCGCGAAGCCGCCCATCGCATTCGCAAGTTGCTCTCCGACACGGCCGCCACCGCGCCGGCCAATGCGCAGTATAATGCGATCATGCTGATTCGCATCCTCATCGATAACCCCGGTCATACGTTTACGCGCAATATCGATGCCAAATTTGTCGCGACCGTGAAGGATCTCCTGCGACAGGGGAAGGACCCGAATGTGCAACACTTCCTCCGGGACACTCTGGATACCTTTGACACCCAGCGACCATGGGACGAGGATTTGACGCTGCTTCTGCAAATGTGGAGGAAGGAAAAGACGAAACTCACAAGATCCAATAGTGGGGTATGTGAACCTATTGGGAGTTCCCGGCAACACCGTGAATACCTTCAAATGGTCAAAACCAAGCGCTAACTTTTCTTTTGGATATAGAGCACATGGCGTTCGCAGACTTCGCCGCAGCCTCAGGGTCCTCGATCGAATTACTTTAACATTCGACAGAATAATGCATCGCTTCCGCCCCCGGACGAACTTGCCGCACGTGTGTCCGAAGCTAAGACGTCGGCGAAGCTCCTGATCCAGTTTGTGCAGTCAACCCCGCCGGCAGAGTATCTGGAGAATGAGCTTATCAAGGAGTTCTCCGACCGGTGTCGGGTGGCTGCTCGTGCTATGGAGAAATACATTCACTCCACGGACCCGACGCCTGACGAGGATACGCTGATGACGTTGATCGAAGCGAATGATGAACTATCGGTAGCTCTATCGAAACATCAGCATGCTATTCTCAAGGCTCGCAAAACCATGGGCCAAGCCGGGAGCCAGTCGCCTTCTTCGTCCGACGATACGTCGGCGTCGGGGGCATTGCGGCCGGTTCCTCCACCACCCCCTGTATCACAATGGCAAACGCAGAGTCCTCCTGGACCCTCCGCGGCACCGGTGCAACCACCTGCAGTGCCGATGATGACCCCTGCAGCAGGGTTCCCACCGTCGACAAACAATGGCGCGGGACAGCATGAGTATCGGTCCGAGGATTTCCAGGTCCAGAATCCCTTTGCGGACAACTTCAGTTCTCCTATGAACGCACCGACCCATGCCGAAACTTCACGGATGGATGGGCCGTCCAACGACTGGTGGAGCGACCCCCAGCAACGGCCTATCCAGCGAACCTGACGGCTTTTGAGCGCTGCTTGGCATTATTTCCCTTTCGTCTTGTGTCCATTTTTCTATTTATATTTCCTCCCCTTGATTCTTTACATATCTGTTATCCCTCTACTGTCATTGGGCGACAGGACGAGTGAATGTCTTGCCACGATTTTGTATAACCGTACCCTCCCTGTTATTTCGATTCCTATGATACCTCTTTTGCGGATCAATACTCATTGAATATTTTTTGCCTGAATTATACATCTCTTCTACTATTTCTTCATTCTTTCTTGTATGTATAACTCTCTGGTAGGCGGTTTGGACGGGACAGAAGTACCTATCCGGCTGGTGGGACGATCAAATAAGGCCCGTTCGGAAAAGTTTCAAGCAACTATTGAGGGCTTAGATGGAGTTCAGTATCTCCTCCGTAAGGCCGAGCCCATACACAGACTATTGACTTATGGCTGATCTTTTCCAGGAAATGCGACCGATCAGAACGGTCATTAAACATAGGAGACTCCAGGACCACGATGGTGCTGTAGCGGGTGGGGCGAAATTGGCCCAAGGAGGAGAAGTCCAAAATCACATATATGAAATATATTAACGGATGAACCAGACAGGATCAATCACAGAATCGGAGACAGACGAGGGTAATTAAGCCAGGAACCGCGCATGGTTTCACTTGGGGCTAAACCAGGCGCCGGCTTAATGAAGCTGAAACCCTAAGAGTGCCAAGCATCCCGGACCTGCTCCTAAGCTCCTCTTCGATCCTCCACTTTTGTTTCACTCCAATTAAGGTGAAACTCCACGCGCCGTGCCCGTCACAATTCACAGGCGCTGACGCTCTTGGCAGGTCTGTCCGACTCTGTCGGCTTCTCGCCGATGCTGGTTGCCAATCCCTCCGGCGGGTTAGTGAACTGTCAGTCTCCATCTTTTCAAACGCCTTGACCGACATCAGTTATACCGCCGTTATTTCGGTGGAGTTGGACCAGGGCCTGAATCAGGGAAACTTGGTCCCTGGTCAGGACTAGAGTCTTGTTTCACGATCCTTCGTCCGATAGTTATGGAGCTTACCCTAGTCAGCCGTCATCCGAGAGTGACGGGAACTTGGTATATAGGCATGGAGGAGGAACCCTCGCCTTGACTCTTTTTTCTTTTCTTTCTTCTTTCTCTTAGCACGCAGGCTTGCCTTGTCTTCTTTCATTCCACATTCTCTTACACCTTTGGTCCGTGACCAATCCCATTCTTTCAAACTTTCATTCACTCTTTATCTTGACTTCCGGTATACTGGTATACCTTGTCTTTCTCTGTCAAACCACATTCTCTTCGAAACAAACCACTTTTTCACCTTTCAAAATGAAGACCACCGGATCTATCCTCGCCGTCGCCGGCCTTGTCTCCATGGCCAACGCCCACGGTTTCGTCACCAGCCCCAAGCCCCGTATGCCCGGCTCTGCCATGCAGTCTGCTTGCGGTCAGCAGGTCAAGACCAACCAGGAGTCCGACAACTACGGCAACATCCAGGGTGAGCTCCAGGTCGCCAGCGGCCAGAGCGACTACGACGCCGCCAAGTGTGACATCTGGCTCTGCAAGGGTTACAAGTTCGCCGACAACAAGGACAACGTCTACTCCTACAAGGCCGGTGAGAAGATCAACTTCGAGGTTGACATCCGTGCCCCTCACACCGGTGTTGCCAACGTCTCCGTCGTCGACACTGCCTCCAACTCCGTCATTGGCAGCCCCCTGATCTCCTGGGACGAGTACGCCTCCACCGCCTCCGGTGTCAAGGACGACGAGACCAGCTTCAGCGTCACCATGCCCGACGACCTCGGCAGCAAGTGCTCCACCGCCGGTGACTGTGTCCTCCAGTGGTACTGGTTCGCCGAGTCCATCGACCAGACCTACCAGTCTTGCGTTGACTTCACCCTTGGTGGCTCCGGCTCCTCGGGCTCCTCCGACTCCGGCTCCAGCTCCAGCTCCAGCTCTGCTGCCGGTGCCGCCTCTACCACCGCCCCCATTGCCATCACCACCACCCCCAGCACTGGTAACCAGGTTGTCTCCAGCGCTGCCCCTACCACCCTGGCCACCAGCGTGAAGCAGGCTGCCACCACTGAGGCCGCTCCCGTTGCCACCACCGCTGCTGCCTCCGCCTCCACCTCCATCCCCAAGGACGGCACCGCTGAGGAGCAGCTGACCTACGTGGCCAGCATCTTCAAGGCTCTCCTCAACTACGCCAACTAGATCATTTGATCTGAATTAATTTATCTTTACCCGATATACCTTGTGCATGTGAAAAGGGGGGTGAAGATGGAGAGGAGCAACTAGGTGATAGAACTTTTCTAGACCCAAAATAGAAATTTTCCTTTTTGCCTGCTACCTAATCTATATTTTAATCCACTCTTATGTTCGACCTTGGCTCTCCAGTCTCCATGTTTAATCTATCTGCCTGAGTCCCGACCGTATGACTGGCAGCGTAAATAATAATAATCAGTTTGCCTGTTACCACTTGCCAACGGCTTCGTAGTTAGTAGTTCTACTAGTCAGATTCCCGATCGCTAATTTCCGAGTTAATCTACTTTAATTAATGCTGGCTTCTCGGCCCTATACTAGCTTTCTAGCACTCTCTGGGCGCTTTAGGTCTATTCTAAGCTTACTCTGGTGTTTTTCCCACGGGGATGTCGTATTCGTACTTTGTCTATGTCTTGGTCTTGGTCTTTTGTACTTCTGTACGGGGGTACTCAGACACAGAAAGAGAAAGAGAGAATCCAACGGTTTAGACGTCTTCTATAGAGTCCATGGATGACCAAGTAATAAGAACGGTTCACCTGTTCGAGGGTTTCTTTTCTTTACTTTACTTTTCTTCTGCCTAGTGCTTTCCACTGTCAATGGCAAAACTCCGAGTGGAGGCTTAGTAGTTATTAATCTAACCGTACGTCTGACCTCGGACTTTTCTTTCCATGGTGTTTACCGCATGTTCGTGACGCAGTTTGTTCACCCCACCTCCATGAGTTTCTACTGTGGAAGATTGATATGCCTGAGGTTATATCGTCAAGTTTTTCGCTATATGCCTTCTAACCACCTTCTTTAGCGCAGTTTGTTGTATTCATCCATTCGGGTCATCATGGTTTGACTCTTCTATCCAGCAAGCACGCCAACATACTCTGAAAGGGCATCGCCCTGCAATATTGACTTGACTGTTATGACATTAGTTGATGCACTTAGGCTTTCGACTACATAGGTGAAGTTCCTCACCTCTCGCGCCGCGGACTTCTATGCTCAGTTCCCCATGCAGCCGCGCAACCCAGGCTCCGGGGAGTAATCAGGCCCGACAACTACCAGACGTGGATCTCTGGCCCCGAGGCCAGGTCCGGAGAGGCGTATGTCCTGCTGACGAAGTATGGTCGTGGCGACTACGAGACTGTCGGGACAGGTGTGCAGACTGTTTCGATATCCTGGCGGATCTGGGCCTCACGGGACGTAGATATTCCGTGGAGGATATCTGGTCTGGGAATGCGGCTATGGTGAAGACGGGGGGCAGTATCTCGGTGGAGTTTGGAGAGGGGGAGATGGTTTTTGCAACTGAAGAGATGGTAGATTTGGAAGTGCTTGTCGTTGCGGGGAGTCTCGAGGAGAGGAATGGGGAACAGTTAAGTTAGTCTAGTCCATTTAGGTATTCCTAATCTAGTAATTGAGCAACGTAGGTAGGTATGTACATACATACATACATAGCCAAGACGCTGGAAGTATTTTTGTCAGTGTTCTATCTATCTATATCGAAGCAATCCACATACCGTACAGATCTACGGTTGGCGGAGTTCCTGGGATGTCAAATTGACTAACCAACTACGTATAGGGATGGGAATATGCGCAGGGTTAAGAAGAATGGTATACATTCATTCGCATTCATATACAGACATACATATACATTCATATAGGCAAGTTCGTAAGACAAGATCAAATCAGAACGAGAAAGTTTTAGGAGCACAAAATCCAACCAAAAAAAAGTATTCAAAGTTTAATTAACGAGAGTAAGAAGCGAAACAAGAGGGGAGGGAAGTCCAAAAAGTGGAAAGAAGAAAAGAATATGTTCTAAACACTTTATAAACATGTATAAGTAGGTATGTGTAAGGGAGAAATGCTGATGCTGCATCAATCCACTCAATCCAAAAAAAAAAAGACAGGAAAATAGGGAAATCTATCCACAATCTAAATCACAGCATATGAACACGGTATATAATATGACAAATGGCTCATGGCTTATTCCTTCTTGGTCTTCTTGACCTTGGGAACCCGAGCAAGCCAGTAAATGAACACGGCAGCAAAGATGTTGAACACGATGTAGACCCACATGAGGCCGAAGTTGCGCCACGCATCGGAGTAGTCACTGTGCACGGCCTGCAGGAACGTGTCGGTGCGACTGATGGCACAGAACGAGCAGGAGCTGGTGGAGTCGGGGTTGTCGAGGTATCCACCGGCGGCACTGATGTACGGGCCCATGTAGTCCTGGCAGGTGGTGTTGGGCGGAGGCGTGAAGTTGAGGAATTCCACATTCTCGCAAATTGCGTTCGTGCCGGACACACCGGTCGAGAGCATAGCTGACACGAGATAGGTGAAGGGCGAGACGCGGTACATGAAGATCCAGAAGCCAGGGAGAGCTTCGGGGGTGGCCAAAACACCACAGAAGATCAGGCAGAGCGAGAAGAGCAAGTTGGCCAGGTTACCACCCGTCTCAGCGAGTTCGATACCCGCGATGATCATGTGTGCGAAAGTCGAAGTGAAGAGCAGGAAGGAAAGAATGAGCAGCCACATTAGCGCGCCACGTTCGTGGACGGAGTCGGTCGGCTCCGCGTTGCGGTAGAGACCGATGGGGTAGTACCAACAGACGAAGATAACGACACTCATTAATGCGTTCCACGGCAGCTCCACAATGATATTGGCCGTCATGAATGCCTTCCACGAATAGGTCTTGGAGGGCCGCTCACGGGCTTCATACAGCGCACGCTGCGTCGTGAAGTTCGGCATAATCTGTTGAACCAAGTTTCCGAAGATCGTGAGAAGCATGAAGATACTGAACATCTGGTTTTGAAGACCCTGCTTGGTGTTCTGGGCGTGGAAGAAGGAGAATCCGATATACAGGGCGGTAAGAGCACAGAGCGTGGCTTTCGAGTAAATGTACACGGGAGTCCGCCAGTACTGGGAGAACACACGAACCAGGCACTCGTACAGCTGCACTGTGAAAGGAGCAGCGAACTCGTTAAAGCCACTAGGGTCCGCCTTGGCGGGCTCAACCGATTTCTGGGAGAGAGAAGACTTCAGCTCGGCAAGGTGGTTGTGGACGGCCTTGCGCTCGGGGCTTTCACGCCAGACGGCGGGCCAGTCAATGTCGCTGTGAGATCCAGGGGCGGCACCAATAACTTCAAGCATCCATTCGGCGGGGTTGGCATCGGCGGGCAGCTTCGGGGCGCCATTCCTCTCGAAATAGCTGGCAAGCGTAGACGACTTGTCACCGATATCACCGAAATACACAGTTCTTCCACCACGGGCGAGGAACAGAAGGCGATCGAATCGTTGGAAGAGCATGGCAGAGGGCTGGTGAATAGTACAGAGAATGGCCTGTCCATGTTGAGTCAAGGTGTCGATGAGATCAAGAATGGACCAAGAAGTTTGACTGTCGAGACCGGAAGTCGGCTCGTCCAGGAACAGAAGGAGCTGGGGTTTGGCGGCCAATTCCACACCGATCGTAAGACGTTTGCGTTGTTCAACGTTCAGACCTTGTATCATGTTAGACCGCAAGTCAATCATAAACAGCCAGGGGGAGCATAAATACCTTCACCAGGGACACCAACGACCGCGTCGGCGTACGTTTCCATACCAAGCAACTTGATGACCTCTTCGACATAATCGAGCTTTTCCTGACGGCTGACGTGGGCGGGCTGACGGAGGAGGGCACTGAAGCGCAGTGCCTCTCGCACGGTGGTGGTGTGAAGATGAAGATCCTGTTGTTGCACATAACCTGTTTTCCGCTGGAAAGACTGGTCCCGAGGGCGACCATCCACCAACATGTCACCAGACACGACACCCATAGTGACACGAGTGGCGAGGACATCCAGAAGCGTGGTTTTACCGGCACCGGAAACACCCTGAAGCAGTTAGTATTAGAAGAGAGCAATTAGACAATAGATCGGAGAAGACTCACCATAAGAGCAGTACAGGTTCCCGGCTTCACCCAACCATCAACGTGGTCAAGGATGCGTCGAGGCTCGTTCTTGATCTTGATATCGTAGCACACGTCTTGCCAGTGGAAAATAGCCTCCTGTCGCTGGATACCAGCGGATTGATGCTCGCCAGATTCGTCCGTCTTCTGCGAGGCGCCGACGCCCGTGCTGGTCTCGAGATCTTCGGGGTTGTGAGGAGCTTGACCGCGACGGAAGAGCAGAACTTCACCCTTAGACTTGGCCTCAGAGATGTACTCGGTGGTGGACAGGTGAGTGAACATGAAAAACACCATGAAAGCGATCATAATACCCAGGTTCCTCCACTTGTGACTTTGATAGTACTGGAAGCTTTGAGCAAGATACGTGGTCCCATCGATGTCAGTGGCACCAGCAACCGCCCCGACCTGAGAGCAAACTTGGTATGCCCGGTCGGAGTATCCATCGCCGGATGGGACAAACTCCTGGAGAGAACAAGGGAACGTCCGGCCGTGGAATTCGTTGACCATCAAACTTTCAAAGCCGTAGGCGATTGGGTTAATGTAGTTCATCCATCGAGACCAGCCAAGCATGTTTCTCGTGGGAATGGTGAACCCGGTGTAGATGACCAGACCGAGAATGAGAATAGCAGCGGGCACCAAAGCCTGGGACAAACTGCGAGAGGAAGAAGCGATCGTACGGAACAGCATAGACATGGTCAAGGTAGTGATGAACGAGAAGAGCAGGAACGTGAAGAAAGCGCCCGGCTCCTGGCGAAGACCAGTCATGAAATAAAGCGTGATGTTGAAAATGATAGCGTTGCAGATTTTGTAGGGCATATCACATAACATCGAGGCAATGGCTTCGGCGAAGGGGTGGTACATAGCGTAACGGGACTGTTTCTCGACAATGGGACGTTGGGCGTACAGAGTCAAGATCTGGGCTGTGGTTAGCCTCCTGGGCATATAATTTAACAAGTCAAGTCCGAACTGTCAATACATACCTCTAGCGCACTGGAAAAAGCATTAAGTAAAACGGCAAAGAAGAGCAGAGCTCCACGAGAATAGAAGCTGGAAGTGTCCTCGTTCATCTGGTAAAACACACTTCCAATGACCAGGGCCATGATGAAGTTACCGATGAGTTGGGACAAGGTCAGACTGGCGTCACCCTTGAGACGTTGGAAACCTCGAGTCATGCAAAGGCTGACCTGTTCCCATAGAGAGACGGTGTAAGGAGAACCGACGCGCTGGTTCTTCGCCTGCATGGCCTTGCGAGACTCAATGAACTGGCCCAGCGACTCGCCACCAACGGGGTATTGTTGGTTGTATTCATCGATCTCTTGCATCAACTTCTGGTACGCGGCACTGCTCTTCCAGGCCGCCGCGAACTCATCGGGCGTGCGTGGGACCTTGCCATCGTATCCTTTCCGGACAACGCGCTCGGACGGGCTGGTGAGAGAGGTCAAGAAATCGGCGGTAGTCTGACGGTCGGGGCATTCGAAGCCCATGTTCACGAAGAAGTCTCTGGCCTCATCAGTGCGGCCGAAGTAGATCTGTCGGCCTTCGTACAAGACCGTGACCTTGTCGAAGACATCGTATGCGCTCTGGGAGGCCTGGTAGATGGCCACGGCGACCGTAGCGCCGGCATATTTCGTCATCAAATTCAAGGTCTTGCAGAACTCCAGAGCGTTCGCACTATCCAGACCACGGGTACTGTTATCCCAGCACTGCAACGGACTTCCACTAAGGGTGGCCTCCGCGATAGAGACACGCTTACGCTCACCACCAGAGACACCACGGACGAAATCGTTTCCGACCTTGGTGTTGATGGTATGCGACAGACCAAGCATGGCCATGACGGCGTCTCTCATGTGCAGGGCATACTGCTCCTTCGTGACGCCTTGAATGCGGTTGCGGGGGCACCGAGCAAGGGCGGCAAACTTCAGGGTATCGCCAACAGACAGCTGAGGGAAATGCACATCGGTCTCGGCGGTGTAGATGGCTTCACCCTTGAACTGCTTCCGCATTTGCTGGGCCGGGATACCTTGGTAGTTCAACTCGGCCTTGGGGTCCATGTGAATACCGTTCATTTCACCGGCCAGGGTCTTCAAGAAGGTGGAACAACCACTGAGATACATGATTAGCACATTGACGATCAGAGAATACAGGAATGAGTGGTCATCCATACCTTCCAGGCCGACCAAGAACGACTAGCATCTCACCACTCTTGACGAGACCATCGAAGTCCCGAAGAATCTGGATCTTCTGCTTTCCCGAGCCGGCGATAGCTCGAGCAAGGGCTCCGACCTGAAGTACGGAGTTGAAAACATCCTTCTGATAATCCGTGGGACTACCATAACCGTGAACGCTGAGGTTGCGGAAAGCGACACCGGCCTCGCGCTTACGGTGGGCGGGGTCGCGAGCGGAGAGGGCGAGCAAGTTCTTCATCCAGTGCTTGGCCTTGAAGTTGGGGCCATGGGGGTTCAGGGTCGAATCCTCCTTGGACTCGATGAACGGGTTCTCCAAGCCGGTCGTAGAGAAATGGGTCGAGTTGCGTGTCAAGCGTTGCGCCAGACGATGGATCTCCTCCTCGTGAATTTCGTCCTCGTCGTTCTTCTCGAGGGCGGTTTCCGCGGAGCTCAGACTGCTGCTGCGATCGCGGCCCTTCATCTTCTTGATCTCGTCTTTGCTGGAGCCTTCGCCGGCGTCTTGCATCTCGTAGGATTCTTCATACTCTTCGACGGAGTGGTGGGTGGTCTCTCGGGCGGCGGCGTCCACCTCGTTGTCGGCCACTTGGGAGCCCTGGGCTCCTATCGTGCGCGCAGGATTAAGATTAGGGTTTAAAGTCCCCAGGAGAGACATGATTAAGGCGTTCCGAGACGTCCAGTCTCTGAATTAAAAGTAAGCTTAAACGAACGGAAAAACCAAACCATATAATATGGCAGGTGGGGGGGGAAGGAATTATTATAAGTAAAGAGAGAATGAGGGTAGGTTCAAGGAAAGAAAAGAAAGGATAAGGAGTGACAGGTAAGATGCAAGAAGAGACAAACGGCGAAAGGATTGCGATCAATAGAACCAGGATTAAGGCCGGGAGTGAGCACGACCTTATCCCCGTATGTATTGCGGCCGTAATCTTTCGTGCATCCGAGAGGAAAGGAAAGAAAAAATCGAACCTCGAAACCAAGTCGGGGCCCGGAATGGCTCGCGCTTTCCCCCTTTGGGCTTTTCTTTTTTTTGCACGGGATTTTAAGTTCGCCCAATCAGGAAAGAACATTGCAGCCGCAGACCAATCGGGACGAGCACAAACGAGGATCCGGACCCATCGGCTCCAGAACGGGATCGTAGACTTCTTTCTCTCCGGCTGTATTTTTCCTCCCTCTGCACTTACGAGCCTTACGAGCTTAAGCGAAATGTATGTATTCTTTAATTCTAATATCTGGGGGCGGATGTTTCTGCCTCTGACTCCCGACGGCTGTGCTTTTTCCATTTTAAGGCTGACCTTTCCTGGTGGACCCTGAGTCCGTGATCTTTTTTTTTTTTTTTAGTTTTCACGAGGTTGTCACCCTCGGAGTCCGCAGCCTAGACTGATAAGATCTCTCTGATGGAGGGTTACGACTTACACCGTAGGACTTTTGTCATGCTGACGGGAAGCCGATTGGGGCAAAATTCTGCGTTCGAGATTTTCTATCCTGGAGGGTAGAGGGAAATGGATATGCAGCCCGCACCCAACGGAGAACTCCTATCGCCACCGTCCAAGTGATCAGGTAGGTAGGTATCATCAGAAATACCCAGTAGGCATGCTCATTATTACGTACGTCAGTACGATTGGCTGCCTATCGGTCCAGGCGTCAATTTCCTGCATGTTGCTATGTACTACTGCGGTTGTGCAACTTGAAATCTAGGCTCCTGGGCCCTGGCGCACACAGAGCCATAGGGTGCATGTGTCACTGTCACAATGCCAATGAGGGAGGATGTCTCATTGACAATCACAATGAGTCAGCCCCCTGACGGTCCTATACTAGGTACCAGCAAGATAATAAAAATAATCCGGGAACGTGGCAACAACCAGCCGGCTGCCCGAGAAGGTTAGCGGCACACGGGAAGGCTCCTGCACGCCGCCAAGCGGGGCGGCTCTCAAGCGATCCGAATCCGGTGGGTTTGGCCTGGCTCAGCCCCTTTTACCGTACCGTATCGGAGTCCCTCAGATCCGAGATCCAGACATAAACATAAACATCTATCTGCCCTCGAGTGTCGATTCTTATCTCCATCCATGATCAGGTCTCCTTCCGTCTCATTCTGCATTATGATTGCATCATTGGCAATTAATAATTACTCAGAGTAGGGATATGTCTGTGCTATTGGTATACAGCCCTGTACGAAGTATACTATATACATAAGGTCTGCATCACTCGGCAATGCCCGTCCCATATCCCGAGCGACGAACACTGACCACCCCCAAAACAACCCGATACATTCCTCACGCTGGAGTTATGACCCCCAATTCCAGAGTTATGAATCTGAACATCACGATCATCCCAGACAGAATCCCAGATCCCGCTGAAATCTACACCGATCGCTCATCATCCATCCCAATGACCTAATCGAGAATCTTAGTCCCCACGCAGAGGAGAACCCCTACCGATGCTACCACGAATAACAGCCGTGAATCTGCCCAGAAGCATCGATTCATCCCCCGTCGATGAACAAGATCGGCGCGGATCTACTAATTTAATCACCCAGCACTAACTAACTAGTAGTAGTAACTACACCTGGTTCAGTGGTGTTCGGCAGTCTTGATTCCTTCGTATGGAGTGCACATCGAGATAAAGTGGGCTTGTTCCATTCCCTCACTCCGTCTGGGACCGGTTTTTGGTTCCTGAAACGCGTCTTTTTCTGGTCGTGTTTTGTTTTGTTTTGTTTTTTGTTGGTTTGGTGTTTTTTGTGGTGCGATCGTCCTTGATGATGTGTTTCGGTCTCGTGGGACTCGAACTGGAACCTGGCAATAATAGTAACACTAAATACTACAGAGTAATGACTCGACTTGCGCTCGACTCGCAATGCTCCATACAGTTACAGTCCTACACATCGGGCTGAGATACTGGTACAATACGTCACAGCGGTGGGTTAATCTTCAGGGGTACAGACTCCTCCGTACAGTGTTGAGTGTTCAGAGTTCAGACTCAGAGTAATGAGTTGAAGATGGATCCACCCTGGTCAATTCATGCACGAACAAACCGAAGACTCGAGTCGAGTATCAGCATTCAGATCTGGACAAGTTAGCTGCATAAAACTGCAATCCTTCGCGCCAAGGGTCTAGCCGGCTATATAAAGCATCGCCGTGGTGCTACCGTACTACACCGATAGTTACGGTGTACAGATCTCGCTGGTGAAAGGATCTGCGTTCGGCCTGGGTCCGGCACGTCTGCTTGCCCACGCGGCCAACACCCCTGGTCTACGGAGTACATTCTATAGAGAACTATGCCGAACTAGTAGCTCTTCGTGTGACTATGAGAAAACACGGAATGCCGAATGTCAAGTGGTGAATATCTTTGCTTCAGAACGTACCACAAGGAAGCGGCTGGGATAGTAGTGGCACAATGTCACAAACTCATAGGGAGTCTATCAAACCTTCCAAAAGGCGGGCGCTCGACTCATTAAAAATACATGCTTTCATTGCAAACAACTAAGATTCTTCTTCGGCTTCGACTTCGGACTCCTCGTCGCTATCTTCGTTAATCGGTTCGACAAGAAGGTTGCCTCCCCGGCCGATCTGATCGCGGATCGTGCCTCCGGCATCCATCTCGTACACGGCCCGAGGCATTGGCGAGACCAGTCGGAATCCATACTGATGCTCAAACCCAACAGGCTTCTCGACATCCGTAGACTTTTCTCCATGCAGCTCTTGCAAAACGTCGTAGCATTCAACAAAGGCATAAAGCTCCTCGATATCAGCGGCAGGTCCGAACTTGCGGATGACTCGCTCCCCCGAAGGTAGACGAATGCTGATGCGCACCGCGTCTTTGACGTCCGGACCCGGCTCGTCAGTGATGGTCTGTGCCCGCCACCGCTTCCATTGCTCAAGATCGCGTATCCGCTTCTGCTCGGCCGCTTCACGCTCGGCGGCCTCTTGCTCCTCCCGCTGGCGAGCCGCTTCCGCTTCCCGTCGCTGTCGTGCGCGCTCCCGATCAATTGCCAAAGATCGCTCGTAGGCCGAGTCCTGTTGTTCGCGGAGACTGCGCGAGGCCTGTTGCTCCGCCCTCGTAGCGCCGATCCGCTCGAGAGGTTCTTTGTGCTGCGAGATCGCAGACCTAAGTTTGTCTACAAATTCCGCCGGAGATGTAGTTCCCGAGATCCTCGTCACCACCGACATCGCCGTCGACGACACATTCGGGGTGTGCACTATGGCAGCGGCAAAGGGGAATTTGGTGCACTTCAGAGAATTCGCCACCTGGTAGGCCTCCGAGTCCTGGACATTACCACCCCAGACGAGCACATTGTTCTGCGGCTCACTGACGAAGTCCACCACTTCCCGAGAGAGGAGAGTATCACGGACCCAGCCATTGGTGTCGTCATGTTCGGGGGCAATCAAAACCACCAGAAGGAACTTGAGTTCCTTGTGGGCTTTCTCCAGAGCCATGTTGTATCCATTTTCCAGGAATCCGGGCGAGTTCGTACCATATTCTTCTTCAAATTCCCGGATGAACCGAGCAGCCGTGTCTTTGGGTCCCAGGGCGCGACGCCCATTCGTGTTTCGCCGGGCTCCCTGGAGAGCGGGATTTGCGGTGGTGAAAAAGCGGGGCAGGAAGGGGAACAAGGCTCCAAAAAGGCGGAAAGAACCGCAGAGTATGCGGTAGAGAAGGTTGAACGGAGTGAAGAGTATGGCCAGTAGGAACGGCGGGCGATAGACCGTCTGGTCTTCCGGTTGTGTTACGACTCGGGGAGCAGCGTCGGTAGCTCGGGTGGCAGGGGACAACTGCGCGGTGAGGTCATCTCTCATGAGGTTCTGCGTCTGGCGACTCGGTCGGGGAGGGGGAGTGTTGTCGATTGCTGCACGGGCTTCCTCAACGGGATCCGGCCCTTCGCCATCGAAGAACTTGGAGATTGCAATCTATTTCATTTGAGTTCTGTCAGCCTCCTCGCCATCATTTGGTCTCCGAGTTTACATCCTCAGTCATACCTGAACATTCCATTGGCACCGACGCAGCAGCGGAATAGCTTCGGCCGGTTCCTGACCTGTCACGGTAGTATAGGTTTCGAGAGCAGACCTCTCGGCGTCCGAAAGGTCGGAAATATCAAGCCCAGAGGAGGACATTGTCGATCTACTTGTCAATCCATAAACGCCCAGGCGGTAGAGAAATATGCCCGAAGAGCGACCAGGGTCTTGGGAGGAGAAACAAAGACTTAAATCTCGACGAGGACTTATGGAGTTATCCGGGCCATCGAGAGGTGTATATCACGAAGCGACAAAGGCACAGCGTGAAGCAAACGTGGAGGAAGCGTGCAGCAGGAAAGTACCTCAAATGAGCTGGCCTCTTCCAGGAAGCTCCGTCATCGCACCGTAGCGCCAAACGCGCGCCTGCTGGCTGGATGGCACGTGCACGGGGCATACCGCCCGACCGTTCGAGTTCCCCCGCGGGCCTTTTGACCTGATGCCTCCCTCGCTCCATCCGTGGCATGAAGGTGTCTTTGAGACCTTCGTCTCCGGATACTGGATTACCGGCTTCTTTCTTCTTCCATTCATATGTCTATGACAGGCGCTTGTCTTGACTCATCGACCGGCAGACAACTGCTATATCATCGCCAGCGCCCCTCCCCCTACGATCCTACACCAATTCACCCTAGCGGCAGCGATTATTCTTCCGCAGCTTTGCGTGGACCTCTCTTGTTCCTCGTGGATTAGTGTACGATCTACCTAAATAGAGGAATGTGGTTTTCTCTCGTCACATTCGGTCACCCGGTCTCTTTTTGCATTCCTTCAATGGATATCCCTCTGCCTTGATCCGCGCGATTCTCCGGACAGACGATCATCCCCATGGCTTCAACTGGGAAACCCCCGCTGGACGATTCCCGTCGTGGGACGGGATCACCCAAAATCAAGTCGCGAGGTTAGTGTCGCGGGTGATGATGCATCCCGAATTGGATGTCTGAAGCTGCTTCATATCGAGTTTGAAGCTTGCAAGCTGACAGTGCTCCGTCCACCTCTTCAGAAAATGCGAAAGATACCCTATGTCGTAATGTGACCATCTATGGCCGGTGTCGATATGAGGATAAAGGTACAGCGATGGTTCTTTAGCTGTTTGTGGGAGCATTGGTGTGATCTAACATGTGATTGTTTGAAGGATGCGCTTTCAACCACGATCCACAAAGGTTCAATCCAGCATATCAATCGGACAGGTTCGCAACACCCTTTTTCCCCGGGTCTATTGCATGAATTCATGGGCCATGGAATGTCTTGAGTGAGCAGTAACTTACGTCAGGTACCACCAACAGCAACAAAAAGCGACTCAATGTCGACTCCCCGAGCTTCACACCTTCCCTCTTATCTTCCAATGGATCATCCCCAACGATGTCTTCGGCAACCGCGAAGAAGACCGCCACGATATCTCCCAAGGCTGCAAATGCCGCTCCTTTTCAACCTCGAAGTATATCTTCCCGTACGGTTTATTTCCTTTGATAATATTGGGCATTTCGCTGACAAGGCAAGAAGGCTCCAACGCGAGCACACCCTCTGGTCGACAAGAAACGTTGACTCCGGACTGGTCGGTAGCCGAAGCACAGGAGTTTATTCCTCAGACCTTCGATACATCCCACATGGTAAGATGCGCCTGGCTCTTATGTTCTTTAACATTGCTTGTCCGCCTACTTGTACCACTATGACTTCCGTCCCACGTACATCATTCTGCCGTCATGCATGCGAAACGGGCTCTTGCGGGATACTTGTATGTTTGCTATTGGAAGGAGGAGCAAGTCATGCAAGGTCCCGCGGCCTGCGTTTACTCACTGATGGAATATTCTTCCACGACATTCGAGTCTGCTGACCCGTTTGCTTGCCCGCATTTCCTTCTCTCGATCTTTTTTGGGGTCTTTCATCACTTCACAGCTCTAAACTTCCGACATGTGCCCATTTTTGACCGCCCCCTTACTAACCGTACACATCCAGGCCTCTTTACAAGGAAATAGCAATGGCGGAGTCCCCGCGTCAAGTCCTTTTGATCCTTTCGTGACAGCCCCAAATCCACTCTCCGCTGCCGGTGCGGTCGGTTCTGTGCAGGCAGGCGCATTCCCGCATGAGACTGCAGCTGCCGCCGCCGCTCTAGGCGGAGCCGCATTTTTCGCCGGACAATCTGGCTTCCAGCAGCCGGTAAGTAGATTGACAAGGTAGATCCGTCATCATCATGGCTGATCGTTTCAAAGGTTCAATATCATCTGTACGCGCCTATCGGACCTCATAGTCAAAATACGTTAGGCTACCAGCGAAACGTCCATGATCTCTTTCTTCCAAATGACTTCCGTGAAGAACTTCAAAAGAAGTCGGCTGCGGCACTGCAAACCCTGCCCAGTATGTTGATCAGGTCGAGCTTGGAACATCATGCAGCTAATGTCAATTAGATACGCAACTGCCCGCGCAGGTTGATTACTTCCACTCCCTAGTCCCTCTAGATTTGAACCATCAGAAAAATGCGGCAATCTTTGGGTTTCCCAGTTGGGTTTACAAGGCGCAATCGAGTAAAGATGGGAATTTTTACGCTCTTCGACGTCTGGAAGGTGGGTGCTTGATCTAATTTTCCCGAAACTATATTGCACAGGATCTAACTAGCCCAGGCTTTCGCTTGACGAACGAGAAGGCCATCCGCTCCGTTCAGGCCTGGAAGCGAGTATGCAATGGCAGTGTGGTGACCGTTCACGACGCCTTTACCAGCAGAAGCTTCCAGGACAGCTCGTTGATATTTGTCACCGACTACCATCCCCTCTCGAAGACACTCGCGGAGCAACATCTGGGTGCAGGAAACAGGTTTCCGGGCCGGCACAATACACCTATCCCGGAACAGGTACTCTGGGGCTACATGACACAGATTGCGAATGGTCTTAAGGCCATCCACAGTAACGGTCTTGCCGCGAGAGTCATTGAGCCTAGCAAGATTCTCTTAACTGGCAGAAACCGCATTCGCCTTAATGCCTGTGCGATCCTCGACGTGGTCCAGTATGACAACCAGCGAACCATCGCCGATCTCCAACGTCAGGATCTCGTTGGCTTCGGGCAGCTCATCGTCACCCTGGGTGCCAATTCGCAGACAGTGATGCATAATCCCACCAAAGCTATGGAGCACTTCACTCGCGCCTACAGCCCCCAACTAAAGAATTCGGTGTTTTGGCTATTGAACGGGCTGCAAAAGGACCAGGACCGTAACATCGACATTCTTATTACCGGCATCTCCTCACAGCTGATGTCGACTTTTGACTCGGCTCTCCATCTGGATGATCAGCTGACATCCGATCTGAGTCGGGAACTCGAAAACGGCCGCCTCGTGCGACTGATGACCAAGTTGAATCTCGTGAATGAGCGACCAGAATATGAACATGATAGGCAATGGTCAGAGAACGGCGAACGATACTTCCTGAAAATCTTCCGGGATTATGTCTTCCATCAAGTGGACGCCCAGGGCGATCCCGTCGTTGATATTGGCCACGTACTTACATGCTTGAACAAACTAGATGCAGGAAGCGACGAGAAGGTCACATTAGTGAGTCGAGACGAGCAGAGCTGTTTTGTGGTCAGCTATAAGGAGGTTAAGAAGGCTTTGGAATCATCGTTCCAGGCACTTCTCAAACCTGCTCGGAGGCTTCACTAGAAATGAGATGTTGTTCAGACATAGGGCCTCGTCCTGTTCGACAGCATTCCTCTGACTTTGCTCTGTTGACATCTTCGTTTTATATACAGAAAGGGGATGGGACAAGATCATACTGATCGTACTAGTCTGTTGCCCGATCTTTCTACGACCGGATAATAACCTTTTTCAAATGTTTGCACATCTAGAAAGATGGATATGATGGTGCTTTTGGGGACTTTGGTCCGGGGGCAGTCTGAATATGGTATGGGTATGCGTATCGATATGGAATTTCCTGGTTTATACAATCTTGTCGGAGGGAGGATGTATGTCCTACTTTACCTATATCCTTCTGTTTATTTCTTTTTGTCGCTTTGCTTTGTTTCCGACCAGACTCTGGGGATATGATGTGATATGCAATATACAATGAAGATACAAATCATGCATTTTATATTTTATCTTTTGTTTGGTTGTAGGAGATGGGTCTGCGTAGATGAGAGAGATAGGGAGAGAGAGAGAAAAAGAGAGGGAGCCAAGGAAAGAAGAAGAATAAAAAGATCATGACTCATGATTCATTCATTGTTTTTTTTTTCTTTTGTTTCAAGATTGGCAAAGTGTCTTGACTAATACAGAGTTTGGTTTTTTCTTCAGTTCACGATGGCGCTGGTCTGAATCTGAGTTTGGGTCTGAGTCGGCTATCGAGAACCCGATCAATAAATCCATCCGTCCATCCATAACGATTCTCCATGCACTATTCACTTTCCTTACCTCATTTCAGATCTGTCCGAAGCATGTAGCAAGGTCTGTGATAGTGGTGGGTGAAGTACCACTTAGCTAGCTAGCTCAATATAGAGCAAGTAGCCAGTCGGTCAGAAGGTCTGTCTGTGGGGGACAAGAAACGAAAGGGAAGGGGAAACGCAAGGAAAGGAGATAAAAAAAACGAAAATAAGGACAATTATTGCATAGCGCGCTCTGTGAAAACAGATCGGTCCTCGTGCTGATCGAGTAAGAAGAGAGGATCTTGATAGTGACGCTGACTTTGGCTCTATCCAGACCAGACCAGACCAGACCAGATAGACCATCATGGCATGATCATGACAGAATGGAACGGATTACTCCTCCGGTTGCACGAAGGGATTGGCAATCTCCTCGCTGCCGTCGGCCGGCGAGATCAGCACGATCAGAGTACCGCGGGCGACGATCAGCCCGAGGGAGCGGGTGTTGTCGTTACCCTCGTCATCTGATGGTGGTTAGTTTTGATGGAGGGACTCGGAGGTTGGACTTGGTATCAACACAAAGAAAGAAGAAAGAAAAACATACCACGCATAGATTCCTTCACGTCGTCCAAGACCAGGTTCATCAGCTGATCATAGCCCTTCAACAGGCCCGTGACTGCGAAGAGTTAGAGAGATAGACAGACAAAAAGAGATACAAGACAAGGAAGAGGATAATATGAAGATGTACCATACCCTCACGACCACCGTTGAACTTGACCCGCACCTCCTTATCCATATACTTGGTCAGATCGAGGATGTTTTCCTTTTTGGGCTTCTCCTGCTGTTGCTGCTGAGCACCGCCACCGGCACCGCCACTTCTGGCGCCACGAGCCGACCGGTCGTAACCTCCGCCGCCGCGGCCACGACCTCCTCGGAATGAGCCTCGTTCGGACATGGTCTGAGTGGAGGGGGGGGAGAAAGGGGGCAAGGTACGAAGACCAGAATTAGTCAATCAAAAAGGGAAATAAAATCAGGTAAAGTCAGATTAAAATAAAACTGGGGCCACGAGCTGGGGGGAGAGAGTTATGTAAGCGGGGGGGAGGGAGGAAGGGTGGAAAAGTGAAAATGAAATAAAGGAATCGATTCGGTGGGAAGAGATGGAATGAGGGGAGGAAAAGTCGGTCCCGGCGGTCCAGGCGCCGGTGTAGGAAAACGGGGAATGGATGAGGTAAGGGCGGTTAGTAATGGCCAACTGACACTATGAGGCATTTTTTGGGCTCGGTCGGCAGTTGCAGGTGCAACTCGTTCGGTGGCCGTGAATCTCTAGTTTTTATCAGAGATATACGAAGTAGAGAGTTATGTAGTAAACGGAGAGAAATGAAATATTTTTATTATTAACTGCTATATACATTCAAGAAGGGAAGAAAAGAAATACCCCGTATGTATAAGAAAAAAGAAAACAAAGACGACCAGAATCGGCTGAGGAGACCTTAGGCAACGACGGGCGGAGCGCGAGACACTCCGTCGAGACTTCGACCCGCGTCCTGCAGCGCCTGGACGCACCTCTCCCAATCAATCTCTTATCGGAGGTCGTCCCGTCATCTTGCAAGGAGTTGGTTTCATTTTATTTATTTATTAATTTCATTTTTTTTTCTTTTCATTTTCTAATTCCGTTTCATTCTTTTTCATTTCACTTTGACTTTCTCTTCTATTGAATATTTAATTAGAATGTCTGACTAGCCAGGGACGCGACGTAAGACGACGGTTCCGACATCCCGGGACACACCGAGTGGTCGGCGGAAGAGACCGGCGGGACTCCGCCCTGCGCCAGAAGGATTGATTAGTCCGGCTGCCCTCTTCCTGACCGCACGATGTACCGTATTTTTATATTTATTATCTCTGTAATTCTATATACCATGTAACTGGACTTACTATGCTCTACATATCTAGGTAATTATATATGAATTTCTAAAATATACAGTATATCAGTACTCCGTAGATCCACCGGTCGACAATCCGGGCGTTCGCTTGAGCGCCCGTTCCGCCATCCGCAGCGTCCCGTCATTCAGCCCCGTCATTGGTGCCTTTTATCTTTTTTTAAACTCCTTTTATTAATCCTTGATTAAAGACAAAAGAAAATAAAAAAAAAATCGAAAAATAAGATCATCCATTATTACAATCCTCTGCTTCATGGCAATGGCAGTCCGCCCGGATTCTTATTCTCCTAGAACCCTGCAGAATTATCCATACTCTAGATAGTGATATCTTTCTATCTCGGTCCGGCCGGGCCAAACCTGCCCAACGGCTAAAAAAAAAGCGTGTCCGCCTGGAGACCAACTAAACTCCCTCTCCTCCCCTCCCCTTCCCTTCCCTCTCTTTCTCTCTGCACCTCGTGTCTTCCTCCCCTCTCCTCTTTTTGATTTCTTTTTCCTCCCCCTCCCGGATCTCTTGTTTCTCCCCAACCCCTCCCCCATTCCTCTCTTCCCTTCCATCATCCGGTTTTTTGTTGGGGAACCTGGTTAGCATCATTCGCATTACCTAACTCCATCCATTACGCGCTGCCCAGTGGCTGATCGGTAATCCCGCATTCTGCGCCTGACGCTCCGCCATCGGCTACTCCATTACTCAATCGTTCAATTTCCTCGACTTCTCTTTCCACCTCCTACTCTTCCTCCCCTCCCCGCTCTTCCTCTCGAACCCTCGCGGTCTGACGGCGCTTCGTCGCAAGACCAAAACAGCTGTTACGTTCTTGTTTTAAGTTAGACGTCGCCATGGATTCCAGAACGACGACAGAGTCGTCGAGTAAACGACCGCGATCTCCGTCGGGGGACTTCCCTCCCATCGCATCCAAAGTCTCCAAGACCCATTCAAATCACCTGCAAATCAACTATCTTGCGCGACAATATCCCGACAACCTCCCCCTGGTTTCCGGCGACGACACGATGCCGGCCATCATCCACTTGATCGGTGAGTATGATGGTGTCCTACAACGACACGAGAGCATCGCCGGCAACCTAGGCGCATGTCCCTTGGGTCCCATCCTGATCAAGCGTTTCGAGCGCTTGTTTGACGGACCTCCGCGGGTCCTCAAATCGCACGGCAAAGACTCGCCCAACGTCACCTGGTTGGACGTGGTGGAATTTGCCAAGAGCAAGCCGGAACAGTTCAACCTAGAAAAGTCTCGCAACGGGGTGCGAGTTTGTCAATTCTATACCAAGCAATGTCGCGTGGAGATCAGCGAGGAGGACTTCGTCCTTATCGCCTCCGGGATGCCCCAGAAGATGATCCCTCCGCAGCCCATCATTGAGGATGAGGAGAAGGAACTGGGCGCGTTGGAAATTCTGGAGAAGAACCTCCAGCATATCATCCAGGTTGCCGACCAGGGTAGGTCCTTCGTCGCATCAGTCGAGACACCAAGGTACTGATCATATTATCCGTAGTGTCGGCTCGTGCCAGACAGTTGAATCACCGACTGAAGAACCGCCGGACCGCCATCGTCACTCGTCGGGAAAACGATTCCACCCTGCATTCGCAGCAACAGCAGCAGCGCTCGATCAGTCCCGCCTGGCGCGATGCCAATGGCAGTCAACTTCCACTCAATGGCAACAGTCAGCCCAACTCAAACGCACATTCGCCCTCGACGGGCTTTGTCGCCGTGAACACCGGCCGGCCCGGGGCAAGCGGCGGAGACGCACTGGCGGAGGAGAATCATGCCAATGCGCTATCGTCGCAATTTATGTTTTCTCACTCCAATACGGACAATGTCACTATCATCAACGGTACGTCTATCAAGGGGGCATCCCCGACAACGCGCGCCGAGCTTATGAAGAAATTCTTCACCACTCAAGACCGTCAAGCTCGGAGCGACGAAACGCCCGGGTCCGTCAACCGGCAGTCATCGCGTCCTCCTCGGCCGCGCGCATCGGACGCCGCCGACTACGGCGCAATGTTCACCCCGGCAGCGCCCACCACGGTGGCCATCCCCAGCACCCCATCCTCGTTACTGCCGCCTCCCAAGTCCCACCACCACGAGAAGGATGACGGCGGGCCGTTCAAGATGGAGATGGTTGCGCGCATGGAGGAGCTACAGCGGGGTGAGCGTATCCTGCCCCCGTGTGATCGATGTCGTCGGCTCCACATGGATTGCCTGAAGAATTTGACCGCCTGCATGGGCTGCACAAAGAAGCACGCCAAGTGTTCATGGAAGGACGTCAAAGAGGATGAGCTGCGGGAGGTGCGGGCCGAGCGCAGTTCCCGGGAGCGGGCAGAGGAGCCGCATCTGAAGGAGACTCCAACCGGTGTACCTCCAGCCTCTCTGCCGGGAACTCTGTCGGCGACGACCACTCCGGGGTCGAGCTCCATGATCCTGGACCCGGAGCGACATCGCGTGGACCGTGAGATGTATCGCGAGCACCGAGAGCACAGGGAGAACCGTGAGAACCGCGAGACCCGTGAGGTGGTTCGGGATGGACACCGAGAATTCAGCGTCCGTCGCGAATCCGCGCCGACGACGGGGCCTTCTCCGGGGACGCCGCTAGGGAAGGCTCCCTCCCCACGACGGGCCGTGAGTGAGCTCCAGAGCAGTACGTCGCTGGGTCATGACCGGCGCATGGGGATCCAACGACACCACGAGCCTGTAGCCGAGGATGATGACCAAGGCGCCAATCACCGGCTAATGCAGGCGATCATGGACACGGTTGATCACCACGCGCGGGTGGCCGCCGCGGTGAAGGATGGGGGGCCAGACGCTCTTGATCGGGAACGGGAACGCGAACGCGAGCGTGAACGAGAGAGGGAGCATGAGCAGGAACTGGAGCGTGAGCGAAAGGTGGTGCGAGCATAATTATTCTATAACCTTCATCAGGGAAAGAGGAGCATGGCGGTGGTTTGAGAATGGTCTGTATCTATCTATGATTGTACTGGTTTGAGCGTGTTTAGATATCCCGGTAGTTTGAGTTAATTGGTAGTTTGCATATACAGACTGATTTATGTGATCCAAATGACTTAGTCTAGTATTTAGGGTTAGTCGGGTTATGGAAGGCGTCCCGATAGAATATATATCCGCCTGTCGAGATGTGTGAAAGCAAGGAGATGAAATGATCGACAACCCTGAGAGTCAAGCTAAAACAGACAACGCTTCCAAAACTTGAAAAAAGCATTGCAAGAAAAAAAAAGTCTACTCGCACCAAATTCAGCAGAGAGAGAGTGTGTGGAAAGGAAAAACAAAAAGACAAATCAAGTCTCAACGCCAATTGGCGCCGCTGGGAATCGAACCCAGATCGGGACGGGACTGCGGGACAACCACAACGTCGCATGATAACCATTACACTACGGCACCTTGATTTGATGAAAGGCTGCTCCTTATTATGCAACATAACCCTAAGAACTACATACCATAACTATACCATGTAGTACGTACTCCCACCGGAAAAGATCATATCCACCTCCCACACCAACTCTGCCTGAGGTTCTTCACCCCACATTCTTGCCTTCGTTTACTTCGGCATCGGCAGCGATCGGCGGGGGTTTCCCGGTGTTGTGGAGTGGAGGACATGCTTAGGCAATTCTTATGCGGTTCTTGTTCAGCGTGCGGGGTGCCGTAGCTGTCGGTGTCCATTGAGGGGGAGGGGATTAATATCTCTTTCTTTCTTTCTTTCCTTTCTCATTTTTAGTATTCCCTGTCTATCCTACTCTCTACTCGCCTACCGACTCAATCCATCTCCTCTCCTCTACCAAAGTAGTTCTATCTCAATTCCTTATTTCCTCAACACCACCAGAGCAGCCAAGCAGGACAACCTTCGCACCCATTAACCCCCAAAACCAAACAGAAAAAATGGACCCCTCAACCCTCACCCTCCCCCCCATGAAAGACCTCACAGTCGAAAACATCACCGAGAATGCCATCCGGATGAACTCGCTCTGCGAGGACGAGCGCATGAAATACGTCCTCGAGCGGCTCGTCACGCATCTGCATGATTTTGCGCGCGAGACGCGCCTCAGCACGGATGAGTGGATGAAGGGATTGCTGTTTTTGACGGAGGTGGGCAAGATTTGTACTGATGTTAGACAGGTGAGTTTATCCCCTCTCTCCTTCTGAGTTGACTTGGGTTGGGTTGGGTTGGATTGGGTTGAATACTTGACACCAATGCCGAACTAAGTACATACTGTACATACATACATACCTGCGCATATAGCTAACAGCGACCCCCCCTCCGGGGGTGTAGGAATTCATCCTCCTCTCCGACATCCTCGGCCTCTCAATCCTCGTCGACTCAATCGACCACCCCAAACCCCCCACCGCAACCGAAGGCACCGTCCTCGGCCCCTTCCACACCCACGAAGCCACCGAGCTCCCACCGGGTACATCCATATCCTCGGACCCGCACGGCGAACCCCTCCTGGTCGTCTGCACCGTGAAAGACACCTCGGGGAACCCGCTGCCCAACATCAAAGTCGACGTCTGGGAGACCGACTCAACGGGGCACTATGACGTGCAGTACGAGGGCCGCGACGGGCCCGATGGTCGGTGTCTGGTACGGAGTGATGAACAGGGCGTGTTCTGGTTCAAGGCGATTACGCCGGTCCCGTATCCGATTCCGCATGATGGGCCCGTGGGACGACTGTTGGGGAAGCTGAAGAGACATCCGTATCGGCCGAGTCATATGCATTTTTTGTTTGAGGGGAATGAGGGGGTGGATGGGTTGGTTACGTGGGTTTTTTTTCCCTTATCTTATCCTGCTTTTTATGCTCTGCACCGATGAGGGAGATGAGAAAAAAATGAAGCTAACGCTGAACATGGCGGGGAATATAAATAGGGCTCTCTACCTCCGCAACGACCCCTACGAGAACTCCGATGCCGTCTTCGGTGTCAAAGACTCGCTCGTTGTGGACATCGGGCGCGCGGGACCTGAATACGCGAAACGGTATAATGTCCCAGAGGACCATGCGCTCTTGACGTATGACTTTGTGTTGGTGTCTGAGGCTGAGACGAGGGAGTTGCGGGAACGGAATTCGAAGATCGCGCTGGATAAGCTGGGGAGGAAGGTGAGGATGGTGGGGGGGTTGCCGGTGCCGGATCTGGATTGATATTTTTCTGGGATTGTGTGCTGGCTGGTGGGTTGGGGGTGATGTGTATGAGTGCTTATATAGGCAGAGAACCATATGAGGTTATGTTAAGATATAGGTAAGTAAGTATGTAAGTAGGGTTAAAACGGCATCTCATTACAATCCAACAACGACATAACATTCTGACTAAAAGAGAACCAATCACCCACGTTGAACCCATCTTCCCCTGCAGCAGCAGCAGCAGCATCACCACCACCAATAGTTCCAGTACTAGCAAGCCCCTCCAGATCCCCCAAATTAGACTCCAACTCCCCCATCAACGAACTCGGTTGGACCCCAAACGCCGCAAGTCTCGCATCCACCTCCCTCCGTAGCAACAGCTGTTCCTGCTCTTGCTCGGAAACAGAGACAGCTTTCAGCTCACAATACCGCCGCGCCACGCCACAGAAGACCTGAAACAGGTGGTGGTGTTTCGCAATGGCTTTGGATTCGGGACACGCGGACTCGATCGAGTCGTTGAATGTTTGCATGAGTTGCACGTCTTCGACGGAGCCGGTTTCCACGGCGTGGCAGAATAGGACGATGAAGGGGACGAAGGGGACGAAGAGGATGGACCTGTTGTTTATGATTGGTTAGTTGGGGGTGAGGTAGTAGGTAGGTAGGTAGGTAGGTACTGTAGGGAAAACCTACCAAATAACATGACCAGACAAGGCCACCGAGTCGAATGCCCCAAAGTGGTTAATAAAAGCCATATGATGTTGCAGGGCAGCGCGGGCCGACAGAATACACTCGTTGTGCAGTGTTGAGGAACCGTCTGGCGGCATCGCGCGATACACAAGAGTTATCATTGAGAGACGGAGAACTTCGTCGGTCATGTAGAGCGATTTGGCAAAGGCTTGTCGCTCGCCGGGGGATAGGGTTTCCATCCATGCCGTCTGTTCTCGGACCAGGGGTTAGCTATTCACATCTTACCTGGGTAGTGTGGTTGGGGGAAACAGGTGCAATACATACATTTTCCTTCAAAGTCATCTCGGCATGATCCTGAAGCTCCTTCGCCAATGCATCCGCTCGTCCCCTGCGGACATCCGCCGGCAGCAAAAGCGATCCCGCGCAATACAGCTCCTCATAGATCTTCCCTGCTATGCGAGCAAGGTTGACCATCTGGCGATAATACCCCACCAGACAAAGGTCGCATGATTGCGTCTCCGTGGGGATTGGGATAGTAATATCACCGTCGAGAATAGACGAGGACTGGCCATTCCGGAGAGAGAGGAATTTCTCGAGAAAGTAGACCGTCCAGAAGAGAAGGCCTTTATTGTTCGGCGCGCACGTCGCTGGGTCGGCACCCACGGATCGAGTGTGGTAGCCGAGAGATCGCACGCTTTGAGAGGCGGCGCCTACTAGGATGTAGGCGAGGGAGTTGTTGGAGGTGTCGATTGCGTGTACGGCCTTGAATTAGAGTTAGCGATTCTGGTTCTCTTAGTTGGTGAGAGAATGGAGGGGACTTACGCCCAAGATTAGGGCTAATGTCATCTCGTAGCTGTGCTGTGTATAGAGGGAGAGCCGGGACAGCGCTGTTTCCAGGTTGGCACGAGATGATGACATGAGGGTTCTGCACTCGGCATGCGTAGGGCCGGCCGGGTGCTCAGGGTGAGTTGCCATATAGGTTGCGAAAACTGACGAATTGGTTATTTGTCCATCGGCGCGGGCAGAAAGAAAGGTACCTACAGTATAGTGTAGCATTGAGAATGATGAATTCTGCATTTGAGTAGTTCTCGGAGAAGTAGACTTTCAAACACAAGTCCGATAGAGATTGAGGGTGGAGGAAGTTGGTAAAGAAGACTCTGAGGTAATGAAGCTCTAAATCTTGTATCTCTGTATTTACGAGTTAGCTATAATCGAAGTGTCCGAGCACCCACGCGCTCTTATTCGGAAGGATTCATACCCTGTGTTCTCTGTAAGACAGCCACAGCAGTGGCTACTGGAGGCATCCCCACGCCGTCGTTCACATGAGGGAACAATGGCCTCGGTGAGAGTGGATGCGAGTTAAACACCTGCACAATGTGAGAGACCGTGTCCAACAGGGCTCTGAACTCGGAATTACTTTTTGCTTCATGTTGCGAACCAACAATATTGTGCAGGAAGTTGACTGCGAACGATGAGTGTGCAGAAAGTGACGACTCCCCTTTAAGCACTGTTTCTTTTTCTATCAAATTCTCTGGGCGAAGGTCCTCACTATGCCCTTGAGACGGTCGAGGTGGCTTCGTGGGCACGGTCAACGTCGTGGTTGGGAATGGGTTCTGGGTAGATGGTGACGCTTGTGCTATGGGCTTGGGTGTAGAAGCGTGCGAAGCAACTAGCTTTTCCACAAGATCTCCCAGTCTGTCGAGTCTGTTTTCTATGAGGTCGATTTTGCGCTCACTGTAGACAAAGATCAGTAAGGGAGTCGGGAACTAGGTAACAGAAACTGAACTATTGCGATGATATCAGGACACGGGCCTGCTTAGGCCGACCGATCGTCTTGGTAGAGACACAGTTCAGGCCTGCGTCGTAACAATTCGAACAGGGTGAGGCGCGATCACAGCGTATCTTTGGTAATCAGTTGGATGTCTAGAATGGTTGCTGCGTTTCTGACCTTACGACTGTGGCAAGGGTCACACTGGATGCGGTCTTAATATCTGTAGGTAGTAGAAGCGTCGGTTGAGCACTTACCGCCCTTTTGGACAGAGAAGTGCTTTCTTGGGACATTTTGTGCCAAGTGAGTTCTAACTAAGTAGTGGTTGTAAGTATATGTCGAAACGCAGGGTGGATTTCTATTAAACCATTTCTATGCGGAGCCCGCGGACTCCGGAGCCCGCGAGTTCCGCTGTCCGATGGATGCCTTCAACTGCTTCCTTTTTGGTCCGGACTTCGGACTGCCAAGCATCACGGAAGATGAATTTGATCCTCTGCCATCGCCACAGGCGTATACAGACAGCCTTAGGGGCCATTTTCTATCCTGTTATAAGATGGCTGAATCCCTCCCTAGCCTGGCGCCATGCCTCCATCTCGTGTCCATACGCACTCGTTATCTAGTCGAAAAGAACCATGGCATCACTAGACGCAGAGAAAAGCGTCGAAAGTTCAACGATCACGTCGGATGCAGACTCTCCTAAACAATCTGCCTTCAAGTCTTATCTGGTAAGTGGGCCGACACTGCAGAGTTACTCTCGTTTGCTAAGGCCACCCTTTGCTGCCACCAGAGAATCTTCAGTTACGGCGAGACAATCGACTATGTACTTGGGACTATAGCTCTACTCGCTGCCATTGGTTCGGGCGTTGCTTTGGCCATGGTAAATCTCGTTATAGGCGACTTCATGACGATCCTCAGCGGCTCTACTATCGGGCCAAACCTCCCGGATGACTTCATGCCCAAAGTCAGCAAGTATTCGTGAGTTGCACCATTGAATCGGTATCTGATAAAAGTTTCACGGGCTGATACATCTTTGCTAGGCTATACTTCGTTTATATCGGTATCGCTCGGTTCGGTTGCACATACCTATATGCCTCCCTATCCACCTATGTCGGGCACAAGCTCGTCCGCAACATTCGATACCAGTACCTCCGGTCCGCCCTGAGTCAAGAAACTGGGTACTTTGATCAAGGCATCAGCGGGTCAATATCCATGCAGGCTACATCGAATGGAAAGCTCATCCACTCCGGTATTTCCGAGAAGTTGGGTATCCTGTTCCAGGCCGTTGCGACGTTCCTTGCAGCTTTCATTATAGCCTTCATCAGCCACTGGAAACTAACGTTAATCATCATCTGTATCATTCCGGCGCTACTTCTCATCGGAGGTGTTGCCTCTTTCGTCGACGCTGGCATTGAGACAAAAATTCTCAAGACGTATGCCCAGGCTGGGACCTATGCGGAGAATATTCTCGGTGGCATTAGAGCTGTTCACGCATTCAACCTTCGGCCGAGGGTTGTTCAGAAGTATACGCAGTACCTGGACGAGGCACACAGCCTAGGAATGAAGAAGAATCACTTATACGGAGTGATGTTCGGCGGAGAGTTCTTTGTCATGTACGCCGGGATGGGATTGGCGTTTTGGCAGGGAATTCAAATGCTGGCTCGTGGTGACGTTCCTGACGTGGGAACTATCTTCAAGTATGCCCCGTTGCTGTTTGTGCATGCTGTATGCTGACTAGACGGAGGGTGTTGTTTTCTGTCGTCATAGCGGCCAGTACGATCACTACCGTTGCCCCCCATACAGTCACCTTTGGCCGTGCTGCCAGTGCCGCCGCAGAGTTGTTTGTCTTGATTGACAGAGACTCGGAGATCAATGCCCTCGATGACTCTGGGACAAGACCGTCGGACATAGCAGGTGCCGTTGAGTTTGAGAGTGTGAAATTTTGTTACCCAAGTCGGCCTAACGTCTGTGTACTCGATGATTTCTCTCTTCGGATCCCAGCAGGCAAAGTCACTGCTCTTGTTGTACGTGAGATGTCTCTATAATTCCGAGCGCTGCTCTGTTAACGTTCGAGATAGGGCTCCAGCGGTTCCGGGAAGAGCACGATAGTCGGACTGCTGGAACGCTGGTATATCCCCGGCTCTGGTAAGATCACGTTGGACGGGGCCAGGATTGAAAGCTTTAGCTTGAAGTGGTTACGTACCAATATCCGACTGGTGCAGCAGGTATGTACAACCCGACCAGCGCGATATTTTCCGCTTTTAATAACCCTATCCAGGAGCCCGTTCTCTTCAATGGCAGCGTGTTTGACAACATTGCCAGCGGACTGGTAGGCACGGAATGGGAGACTGCCCCCTATGAGGTGCAAAAACAGCGAGTGGAAGACGCAGCAAAGCTTGCATTTGCACATGATTTCATATTAACACTGCCTCAAGGCTACGATTCACAGGTTGGTCAGAAAGGGGGCCTGTTATCCGGCGGGCAGAAACAGCGGGTTGCCATTGCACGCAGTGTTATATCGGAACCAAAGATTCTTCTTCTCGACGAAGCAACAAGTGCCTTAGATCCGCAAGCTGAAGGTATCGTGCAACAGGCGTTGGATCGTGCCGCTACGAATCGTACGACTATTGTTATTGCTCATAAGCTAGCGACTATCCGCAATGCTGACAATATTGTTGTCATGTCGAAGGGGAGGATCGTGGAGCAAGGACGTCATCAAGAACTGGTCTCCCTGGGTGGCACTTATGCAAAGTTAGTCAAGGCACAAGATCTCTCTGCCACACAGCCCACTGGCAATGCCAAGGAGATTATTGAGAAGGAGTCTATTGATGAAACCTCGGAGACTGTTGCACCCCTACAGAAATATCGGACGACCGTGGCCCAGCAATTGACAGAGATGCAGCAGCGGGAGGACTATAGCCTCTATCAAAAGACAGGCCTGATTCGCAGCATCGCCAACTTGGTCATCGCGACCCCCGACTTGAAGTTCTGGTATTTGTTTACCCTCATTTGCTGTGTGATTGGAGGTAAGTGAAGCTGCTATGACCATCGCGACAAGTGTCTAACCTCTCCCAGCTGCCATTTACCCCGGTCAAGCCTTGCTCTTGGCCAACGTAATGGACATCTTTTCCTCCGATGACATCGTCGGTAGAGGTAACTTTATTGCTCTCATGTATTTTGTCATGTCGCTTGGTTGCATTCTCATCTACTACGGCCTCGGCTGGGCCACCAATGTCGTCGCTCAGGTGGGATTGTTCAATCCGCCATTACTCACTTGTGCTAATTCCATCACAGACCATCAGCAAGACATTCCGTCATGACATTCTGAATTCAATTCTTCGACAAGACCTCCGCTTTTTCGATCGACGCGAGAACACAATCGGCGCACTGACTGAACGACTCGACTCTTACCCGCAGTCGATTTTTGAAATGATGGGCTTCAATGTCGGCTTAGTAGTGATGTCAATAGTGAATGTGCTGGCTTCGAGTATCCTAGCCCTGGCAATCTCGTGGAAACTAGGCCTTGTGGGCGTCTTTGCTGGACTACCTCCTATGATATTCGCCGGTTACGCACGAATACGCCTGGAAACTAAGATGGATACTGATATAGGGAGAAGGTTTTCGCAGAGTGCTTCTATAGCTTCGGAGGCAGTGCTGTCTATCCGCACTATCTCGTCTTTAGCTTTGGAAAGACCGACTTTGACAAAGTATACGAATGAGTTGGATTCGGCCATTCGTTCGACTACTATTCCGCTTCTATTCACGATGATATGGTACGCGTTGACGCAGTCAATTGAGTACTTTATTCTAGGCCTTGGATTTTGGTACGATCTTCATTCTTTGTCTATGGCAGAGCATCGGACTAACTCAATTTTAGGTGGGGATCAAAGCTGATCAATGATGGCGATATCACGTTCTATCAATTTATTGTTTCCTTCATGGGCGTCTACTTTTCAGGCCAGGGAGCAGGTCAGCTCTTCAGTTACTCAAGTAGTATGTCTGCTTTCCCCAGCATTTCTTAGGGTATCTACTAACATCCTCTCCCAAGGCTTCACAAAAGCGAACTCAGCTGCAAATTACTACTTTTGGATTACAAAACTTGAGCCAATGATCCAAGAAACAGACAAGAACCGAGATAATGACCCTCCAAATGATTGCAACTCCATCGGCATGCAAGATGTCCACTTCTCTTACCCGTTTGCACCAGACACCAGAGTTCTGAATGGTGTCTCATTGAACGTATGGCCCCTTCTCGTATCGCCTCAACACTTAGATAGGTATCAATAGCTAACTAAGCCATCTCAGATCCAAAAAGGCCAATTCGTCGCATTCGTAGGCGCCTCAGGCTGCGGCAAAAGCACCATGATATCCCTCCTGCAACGCTTCTACGATCCAACTCAAGGAACCATCACAATCGACTCCACCCCTCTCCCTAGTCTAAACCCGCTCGGCTACAGAAACGAGATCGCCCTTGTCCAGCAGGAGCCTACTTTATTCCCGGGAACCATTTTTGAAAACATCTCCCACGGTTTAGATCTAAAGGATCTCCCACCACCAAACACAAACACAAACACGACCTCGCCTCTCCACTCACAAATCGAAACCGCCTGCCGCGCCGCCAACATCTGGGACTTCATCAGCTCTCTCCCAGACGGCCTATCCACGCCGTGCGGCACAAGCGGAAGCCAACTCTCCGGCGGCCAACGCCAACGGATTGCAATTGCGCGAGCATTGACCCGCAACCCGAAGATCATCTTACTAGACGAGGCAACGAGTGCGCTGGATACGGAGTCTGAGCAGATCGTCCAGGCGGCGTTGATGAATGCCGCGACGGATGGGAAGAGGATTACTGTTGCTGTTGCGCATCGGTTGTCGACTGTGCGTGAGGCGGATTGTATTTTTGTGTTTTTGGGTGGCAGGGTTGTGGAGATGGGGAGGCATCGGGAGTTGGTTGGCATGGGGGGTGTTTATGCGGGGATGTGTGAGGCTCAGAGGTTGGATATGTAGGGTTTAGGTGGGTGGGTAGGGGGTCAGGTTTGTTTATGGTTGTCTGTAATAGAGCTCGAGGTTTGGTGTACTCTGATCTGCTGTTTTTGGGGTACTGGGTAGTTATTTTCTAATCTTTCTATAGTAGGAGAGCTGGGGCTCGTGGAGCTGTAAAGCCTTAGATTTGTACTTATTACTCATTTAATATAGATAGTATCCTCGATCGCTTCAAATTAATCTTACCTCTACTTGTATCAATCACTAAAGTCGTTCATATCGGACCCTATTTATTTATAATGACCAGGTGTTGGCAGAAATACTCATCTGGCGTCCTTCAGTATCAAAAAACCACATGATAGCTTGCTTCGTGTAGCGCGGGTTTGCCCCAAGGTCCATTGATGCCCTATTATTGCATGGTACGGTTCACAGTAGGATATAGCTCTGGGATTTCTAGTTTACCCGCTGGAGGGATGGAACAGGCCCTATAGGTATTCCATATGATCAAAAGACCGCGTTTATCGAAACAGGACTCTAATCCCTTTACTGTCTTTTCTCGCAACAGGAATGATGAACTCGGATGCAGTGTCAACGTCTCTCTCGCGCTCCGTCTCATAGAGTTCAATTGACGGAGAGTCTTTTTCTGTAGGAAGACCGTACTTGCGAAAGATACCGGCAACGAAGTGGTAGAGCATACAGTGCGCAACGTTGATTCTAGAGTGTATTCTATTAGCCGAGAAGTAAATGAGCCGGCATCAGAGAAGAACCCACCCAAGACATATCCTCGTCCCCTTGGAAAACGTAAGTAGATAGCGGCTAAGCTGTGGATTTTCAAGCCATCTCTCCGGAACGAACTCGCTTGGATTCGGAAACAGTTCGGGATTCATGTTAACGGACCGAGCGTCCATGCTGATTGAAGTGCCGGGTGCGAAAGTCGTGGTGGTACCGGTGCGAGGATCAATATACTGGAGAGGCTTATCGGGCGATATCCGCTGCATACGAAGAATGCCCCCAGGGTGCATTCGAAGTCCTTCTTGGATTACCGCAGAGAGATAGGGCAGTTTTTCAAGCTCCGAGAGACTCATAGGACTGTCTGGGTTGGGAAGGGCCTGGAGAAGCTCTGCTCTTAGCTTGTTCAGTTTGTCTGGGTTGGCGAGGAGTTCGAATATTAACGGAGATGCGGTTGACCCTGGACATTTTTTTTGTTAACAGCATGCTATTGTATCGAAGAAAGGGGATATGATTACCGGTCGTGGAGAAACCTGCAAGGATGATTAATTCGGCTTCTTGGTGTAGTCTCTGAACTGACTTTTCAGATGGAGGCATTTTGGCCTCCATGATCTGGTTAAATATGGTAGTTTCTTGTTTCTCAGTCGGCGCTTTTGCGGCGCGTATCTGGCTGTTCCATTGCTGGGGTACAGTCAGTATTATTCCCCCAACAAAGAAGAAGCACAATATGATGAAGAACCCTTAATGAGAACTCACCTGATGTAACTCAAACAAAGGCGCCAGCGCAGGTGTCATCCACGCCACAAGCTGAGGAGGTTGGAGTCCTATAAAAGCCCGCACTAATGCAAAATTTCCCATAGCATGTGACAGCTTGAAGCTTTTATCCAGAGCTTGGAAAAACGGGCTACTGAAATCCTTCCTGTCCACACAGCCTGTTGACCTTCCAAAACAGAAGCTTGCGACAATATCCGTCGCCGCCGCTGCAATGGCCTCGTTTATTGTGGCCACTGTTCCTGTATCTCGGTGCTCTTCAAACCGCCTCAGAAGTTTTTTTCAGGGTATTCTGGACGATGTATTCTCGTTTACGAACGCTTTGTTTGGAGAAATATGCGTTGAGAGGTGCGCGTCGACTGCGGTGGAGGTCGTGTGGGATTGTGCCAGCTGTTGCTAGTGGGACTGTTTGTTTCAATCGCGTGAGAATCTGTGAAAATCTATAAACGAGATAGAGAGCTTCACCTGCCACTGATCTGGGAAGCCATGGATCTTTATCCCGTTTCTGTAGAGGACCGGCGAACAGCACGTCAACAAACTCGGGATCGTTGCAGTGTACTTCGTTTGGTTTTATCCGGACGATTGGTCCTTGTATGAGTCTGAGCATTTAATACAGATTCACATGGTAGAGATGCACATACCATATTGTTTGTGGAGTTCGTCAATCTTGAGGAAATATTCGCCCCTGCGCCAGACGTCGTAGTATAGTTCGTACCACCGCGTGAGGGCTCCAGGGTGTTAGAGACATCAATTAGCAGTCAACCAGTTGTACGGACACTAACCTGCTATCTTCGGTCCAGGAACATTGGCAAGAGGATGGATATACACTTCCAAAGTGTGTTAATTCAAGAGAGAGAGCTCAATTGGGGTTTATAACACATACGTCGGTACACTCCCAGCCCTATGAGGTATGTTCCCCATCCAACCGCGACCAGACATAAGAACATAGGTAATGTCAAGTTACCCAGCCCAGGTAGTTGGTCTCGAGAGTTAGAAGAAAGAACAGCCATGGTGGCGTGTTGAGAGTCAATTCGTAGTTGAGACCTCTTCAGTATCTTATCAAGGCAGGGAACACTTTTATAAGTAACGTGATATTACAGAAAGTGCTGAGATATTGATTGCTGTGCGGAAGGAGATGATCCACTTATACATCAATATAGATGTGTGAGATGACGCCACTGACCTGATGATCCAAACCCCCTTTGAGGGACTGGTTAACCGGATAGTTCTGACCCTGACCTTGGCTATTCAGACAGCCTGTTACTTAATTAAGAAGGCGGCGTATGACTTCTGATTGACTATCGAGCAGAAGCGATAGCGATCGGTCTTTGGAATACCACCTTTCTGCAGAACTTTATCTCTTCTGTCGTCTAAATGCCTTCGGGATTCAGGGACCATATAGAATTTTCTAGGACTACTTACGGCGTTTATAGTCTCGGGTTTATGGTGATTAGGAACATTGATAGAATCTATAGTTCCTTTTATTTTGACTACAATTTTCAAAGTGATTTGGGAAGACTACACAGACAGAGATATCATTTAAGTATGCTACCTTTGTACAGATTTTTTTTGAGGGGCTCAACATCTCGAGCTGAAAGAGCCGAAACGGATATAGCAATGAACAAGGCAGAAGAAAGGTTAATCTGCTAGAGAGATGAAGAGAGAAAAGCTGGCAAGGCCCGTTCCCTGTGATCATTCATGCAAGGAACACAAAGGAGTCCTAGTAATTGAATCGGACATACTGTTTGACCTTTAGAGGATGTCGGCCGGACTTATAATTAGACTTTATCCACTTGAAGGAAAATAAAAGAGTCGAGGTATCTAGAAAATCCGGTGCGACGTATTTACTAATGTTCTCCGTAGCAATAACGGTATCAAGGCAGTCAAGTCATCAGGTATCGTTTGTCCATTTCCACCTCAGTCAACGCGGGTCACCAGCTCCAACCATATCCCCGAATTCACTTCCCTCGTCAGGCTGAGCCGGTTGACTCTGCTGACCCGAACTAGGAGAAGACCCTTTCAGCCGACGCACGCCGTCTCCTTCCTCGACCCAACCGCCCACTTTCTCTACTCCCTCGATGTATTCCGTGCCAACACGCAGGTTTAGCCCCGCGCTGAGAGCGCGTTCGATGCGCGTCTCGCGGGACTGCGAGACGAGGACCCGGAAGACCTGCGCCAAAAAACCGCTGAGGATGTCAACGCTCCAGTCGTCTGGGACAAGGCGGAGGACTTCGCCGACGTCGAACCATGAGGCGAAGCGGGCGAGGAGGTCGCTGGTGCGCTCGAGGCGTTCCGAGAGGTCCTCGATGCGCAGGAACTCGTCTAGTAGATATCCGAATAGCTCTGTTTGGAGGGGACGCTCGGCGAACTCAACTAGTGCACCGGTAGCACTGGTGCTGCGGGGGCCGCCAAACAGGCAGTACCTTACGGCGGAATCGTAATCGCCTAGTCCGTGTGTAAGAAGACGCAGGGCTTCGCGGTGACGGCCCTGCAGTCCGTCGAGGATGACTGACTCGGAGACGAGTACGTTCTGGAAGGGCTCAATTCGAGCGAGGACGGCGGGGATGGAATATGTGAGGGTGGGGGTGGGGATGGAAGAAAATTGGCTAGTGCTGCTGCTGCCGCCTCCCAGGAGCTGAAGGAGTCGGAGACGAGACTGCCACCATGGTTCGGAGGGGGTGTTCTCAACGATGAAATTCATGTAGGTTGGCTTGGGCGGTTGAAGGGCGCGATAAGTAGAGTAAGATTCCGAGAGGGACTCTCGCGCGGCTGGTGAGGACTCAAGAACGGAAAGCACGGTATCAAGATAATATGATAAGAGGTCGTCGGCGTATTGAGTTAACTGTAGTTATTGGTTAGATGCGAAACTTTCACGAGGAGAAAGGGGAGACGCACATTCTTCGAAAAGACGAGGTGTTCAAGATACTCTTGCACCGCATTGGAAGCTCGCTCCTTGAGTAAGCCGACGACGTCCCCAGGCTCCAGTTTGACTCGGCTGGTGTGGTCCGCGAAGACTTGGATACCCAAGCCTGGGTTTCGCTGAGCTAGCCAGGACCCGTACTCCTCCACAAGCTGCGCATCCTTAATTTTGACTAAATATCGGCGCATCTGGATCTCAACTCCAGCCGGGGACATTTCACCACCGATATCCTCCTCGCCCTCAATGATCCGTCGCCACGTCTTCAACACATTGCCTGACATCTTTTGACTTTGGTACAAACGACTCAAGATGAATAGCCGCTTGTAACTCTCTAAGAGGGCCACGGCTCGATCGAAATTCCCTTTCCAATTGTCAACGAGCCGGTTCAACTCAGCTCGCACCGGGGAAGCCGAGCGCTGTTCAGGCGTGAACTTTGAGTCTTGCTCGAGGAGGAGATGCAAGAGAGCCCCGTCAACACTGTCGAACACATAAGTCTCGTCTGTGATGCTTCCGTAACCCCGTTTCTGCTGCCATGAAACCAAAAAGCGTTTCACCATGTTCAAAATGTCACTGTCGGAGGTGGCATCCCTGGCGGATTCATCTTTTTCCTCTCGTTGGATGTACGTTTCCACGATATCTGCAAGCCCAGCGTGAATCCAGATTCCTTGAGGGCCCTGTAGTACCTCGCAACGAAGGAGGGGAACCAGTAACAAGGCTATACGGGGGTCCAGATTTCCATCCGTTAGTGCCTTTTCTGTCATTTTGATCGTAGTGGCTTCATGTCGGTGCGCCGGGTCCATGAAAACTAGATCGCCGAAAAGAAGCAGGCTCGACTTCTGCTTGATATAGTTCAATCCTAGAAATTCCGCCTCCGATTTGGGCTCAGATTCTTGGACCAAATCAATGATGCCCATGACCACATCGCGGTCCAAGACCTCGTGTTCATTGTCCTCGGGAACCTGGGCGTTACCCAGCGCATTGTCAAGCTGAGTGGTTAATGGGTTTCTCACGACCCGCCATATAGTGTTTCCTGACCACATAATCAGACTGCTTCGAGCCTTGCCTAGGTCGCGGGCTATCTTGGCCTCTTCGGCATTTCGATCCGCTTCCCAACCACCAGATTTATCCTTCTTAGCGCCATCAGGGTCAGGTTCAAAAAGTTCTTTTTCTTTCTGCAGCTGTTCGATAGATGCCTGAGTCCGCGGGTCGACTACCGAGATGTGTGGAGACAATGATGGTGTCTTCAAACGAACCATCTGCATTACTTTCCCCAATTCTTGTACCTCCAGTTGACTAGGGCTAATTGTATGCGCAAGACCAACGTGAGGAACTTGCACGTCCTGGGAGGGTATCTCTACCCAGCTTTTTTGGCCCTCGGCCTCTGCTGGGTCGGCGTCCCATGGTTGTACTTCGATGCGTTTGCGCGGGTTTCCGTCTTCGTTGGTCTCCATCACGGCGAGTATGAGCTCGTCGCTGGTGTCATCAGGGGCTTGGATTAGATTGTTTTCGTCGCCCTTGTCGATGACAAGTGACTCGGGATACCTATGGAACGTGATCGTGCCGCGGTCCACATCGCCATCCATGTTGACGAACATCCCAACACCTGGCTCCGTTGTGTCCGTCCCTCTAACGAGCAAAAATTCCGAGGGGGTGGGAGAAAGAACATGCGGCTTCAGCTGCGTTGACTCTTTAGGCAATGCCGGGAGCTGTTTCGAATCATCGCCAGGCCTAGAGTGCTGTTCAGAGGATACTCTAGGTGAGGCACTGGCGTCTCGCTCTCTTGACCGCGGTCGAGTCGGCGTCCCCGAATCCGGAGACAGTTCAGGCGTCCCGGAGCTCGACCGGTCTTGAGAGCCCGGGTTTGGATTCGGATGCAGCATGCCTGCTAATGTATTCAGGCTCGAGCTCCTATTGTGCCCATGGCTCTCAGTCGGCGGAGAGCTAGCGAGTGGTGGTGAAGATACTTGCGGTATGTCTTCCGCCTGCCCGGATCCGAGGGCTTCATTCAAGAACGAAATGGGGAACAGAGGGATCTTTTGTTGATGTTCCACGTCAAGGAGCGAGTATGTATGTCCATCAGCGGCACAGGAGATTATGCCCCTGCGCGACGCCACCAAGCAGCCCGGAAACTCGATATTCCTCCGGAGTCGAGCCCCGTCACCGATCCGCACCAGCATGATCTTATTCTGGGCACCGATCATGATCACAGGATCTTCCGTATCATTGGGATCCGCGTTTAGATCAAGACCCCCAATCCAGTGACAATTGTGGACTTTGGTGTTTCCAAAAGCCGGGCTGAGCTCCGGTAACATGTAGAACGTGACCGTCCCATTGCAGAGCACACATGCTTTGTTCGCAGTCGGCAGAAGGACGATCCGTTGGATCCCCGGGGGATTCGAGGTTGCTTGCGAGTTCTGAGAGAACGGGATAGGTAGTCTCGAGGCTAGGATGAAGGAGGATTCGTTTGAGGTGTCCGACGGATCCGGGGGCAGGCAGACAAAATGTAAGATCTCGGCGGCGGAGGTTCCGATATAGAGATTGCCATCTAGCAATGAATTGATTAGCAAGCATGATATGGGATAGGCTGGTATAGCTTCCATGCTGAAGACTCACTCCAATACTCGACACAGGTAATGTAAACATCGTCATTGGGATCGTCGGCCGTCAGAGGTACTTGGTCGAATAAAGGTCGCAACATATAAGGAGCAGCCTTAGGAGGTCCAATCCTCCGCCTTTTGCGGGGACTGGTACCGTCATCTTCGGACACCATGGTGAGACCAGCTCCGGTGTCTCTCTCAGGTCACGGCGAGATCATGGATGAGTGGAACGTTTCCTACGGCTGCGGAGCGAACGGCGGGAGTCTGGGAGAGCGCCGGAGCGGCCTCGCAAGTGGACCCGGGGAGGTTTAGCGTGGCTGACTCAGGCGGAGGTGCCTGCCCGGATGAGTTTAGCGTGGCCTACAGGTGCTATGAAGTATACCGTTTCTATAATCTATTTACTAGATAGACCATACGGTGTACTGTTAGATATGTTGATTTAGCCTTTGGTATTCATTTCATCCTTGTAAAAGGTAGAAGCAGGTTATTGAGAATATCAAAATCTCACTACTGCTGATCCAACCCAAGACACCTTAAGATCCAGCATTCACCGGAGTACATCAGTTGACAGCTGATAACATGGACCCTTGAATACCCTCGATTGTGATTGAGAAGCAAAGATAGAAGAGAGAGCGAAATATTATGCCATTGAGGGTACTCTTTGTTATGATGTCATGTGTACTACTCTTGCATACGCCGTTGTATCGGTGACACGTGATGGCCACTTGCAATTGCAGTGTACCCAATCGACATGTCACATTCGATGAACTGTACTCCCGGTCTCTCATATCTAATAATACACCCCTAATAATCCCTTAATTTATCAACCCCCCCTGGTGGAGGAACAACTTCAATCTAAACATAGACGGGCTGACGCGGTCGGAACATCCTCGGCCCGGGTCTCGGCCTCCGTATCGCATGAACTGGCGACTCCGTGGCTCTGGTGGCCTTCTTCCCCTCCGCTGAGGTGCTGAAGTTTGTTGGTTCTTTTTCTTGATGGGGGTGCTACTCTGACTATCCAGGTCTTGAAAGCGAAGTCTAAAAAAGTTGAAAATCCGAAAATCCCCACAGAATGGATACGTTCCACATCACGGAGGGCATGGTGCCTGAAGATGGACACGACGCCGAAAAGGACAACGCCGCAAAGCTACCCGAGGGTGCGAACAAGTTCCAACGTGCGATCGCGGCTTGGAGAGGTATGGTTTCTGGAGTCGCCTTATCGTTGGAAAGGAGTGTAAGAAGGTCTGACAATTATTCTCCAGGGATCGACCTAACCAACACCGTCGCGAAATTGGACAGTACCGCCTCGGACATTGTCTCCCAGCAGCGTGATGCGCTTGTACAAAGGAAGGATCTGGCTCAGAAGACCAAGGATTTCAGAAAGCTAGAGGATGCGGCTAAGTTATCGGAATACAAGGGACTTTTGAAAGGTAACAATCATATCAACGCTGGCTTTATTCAGTCGCTCGCGGGGCTGACACTATCTGCACCCAACAGCATACCAAGGATTCATCGATACTTTAACGAATCAGGGCAAAGCCTCGTCGTCCGCCTTCCTACAACTTTATTCCTCCCTATCCGAGGCCCCCGACCCCTATCCTCTTCTCGAAACGTCCGTGGATTCCCTCGTTCACTCCGAAGAAACCGTTCCTCGATTGACCTCCGAGCGGGACCAACTACAAGGCTCCGTCGACCGACTTACCTCCCAGCTAGAGGACACCGAGCGGCGACTAGAAGAAGAAAGGTCTGCAAGGAAGAAGCTGGAAGATAATCAAGAAACAAAAATCAAAGAAATCGAGACGTCCTGGTCCGCCGTGCTGTCGGAGAAATCCAACAATTGGACCGCAAAGGAGAAGAGCTTGGAGGAGAAGGTCGAGAACCAAGAACGATTGCTCAAGGAACTCAAGGCGAGCTACGAGGTATCGCAGCGCTTGGGTCAGGACGATGACAGCGGCAACGCTTCGCAACAAGGCGCTACTGCGGCGGAATTGGAACTGGTATCCGCCGATCTGGAGAAGGCCAGCCTCAGGCTAGCGGAGGTTGAGGCTCGCAACGAGCAGTTGAGGCTTGAGCTGGCTCAAGCTGTATCACACTCTCAACCCGAGCAGACCACTTCCGTCGAAGACGATCCCGCCTATCTCCGCCTGCAATCGGAGAACTCGTCGTTGTTGCGCAAATTGGATGCTGCGCGATTCGACAAAGATTCCCAGCGACACTCGTGGGAGTCCAAGATTTCTCAATCCGAGAGGCAATACACCAAAGCGGTCGCTGAGCGGGACGAGTTACGGACGAAGTTGGAGAAGGTGGCTGATTATGAAGATATTCGTCGAGAGCTGGAAATGATCAAAGTAAGTCATATGACAAGGGCCATGGTCTGCATCTGCTAATCTCTGGATCTAGTCTATCGAATTCGCAGCGGGCGATGATGACGACGCAGCGGATGTCACGGATGCTGCAGGAAGCCCTAACGGAGGGACCAAGTCGAAGGAGGACTCCAAAAACAACACCCTGGAACAGCTCCTGTTAGCCAGAAATAAGAAGCTCACGGATGAGCTGACTCTACTGCGGGTATCCCATCGCGACCTTCAAGGACAGCTCGAAACTCTTCGCGATGATCTGTCGATAACCAAGCAAGAATTGGAGAAGTCGCAAAAGCTCTCTACCACCCTTGAGAATGACCTTCTTCACGTCCAGCAGGAGGCTGCAAACACCTTCCCCTCGGCTGCCATGTCAGTTGCAGGCACTTACACGTCGAAGTATCACACATCTCGGCGGGGTGCGACATCACCGACATCGTCCATCATTTCAGGATTCGACCAGGCAGCCAACTCGGCCAATACCATGGATTCCATCCGCACAGGCGAGCCTGTCGGTGGGGGATCTGGTATCTTGCCTATGATTCAGGCCCAGCGGGATCGCTTCAAGAAGAAAAACACCGAATTGGAGGAAGAGCTGTCGAAGATGTACGACTCCGTCAAGTCCCTAAGACAGGAGGTCTCTTCCCTTCAAAAGGACAATCTCAGTCTCTATGAGAAAACTCGTTATGTATCAACATACAATCGCGGCCCGGGAGCCTCCACATCTGCGTCTTCTTACGGCAGCAGGCCTAGCGCATCCTCCGTGCACCTCTCCGCAGATATGCCGTCCGGACTATCGCTCGACCGCTACCAGTCCGCCTACGAGGCCCAAATCTCGCCATTTGCCGCGTTCCGAGGTCGTGAATCCGCACGCGCCTACAAACGGATGAACTTCCCTGAGCGGATAGTCTTCTCCCTCACAAGAATCATCCTGGCCAATCGCACCAGTCGCAATTTGTTTGCGGGGTACTGCTTTGCCATCCACATTCTCCTCTTCAGCATGCTCTACGTCATGAGCAGCATGGACATTGAAAAGCACAGTGCAAACCTCGCGACTGCCGCCGCCGTCGGCGGAGTCGGAGCCGGAGGTGGCAGCGGTTATCCCGGGGGGCAAGCCGTCAACGGAGATGATTGGCAGCAAGAAGGTTTCAACCATGCAGGATAACTGCATGAATTGCGTTACATTACACCGTGGTAGGTGGTTTCCTGTTTGGACGTGCTATCCACCTGCCTACATATTACCTGTGGAGGTCCTTGCACTACCTTACGGCGTTTGGGCGGTGGCGGTCATGATTATCCTGTCTTCATATTATTGGTGTACCTGTATCTACTGGGTTCTGGACTGTAGCTGTAGCCATTTACTTTGTTCTATTCTAGGCGTTATTCAAATTAGGGCATCGTTTTCTTCAGGAGATCTTTAACCCCTCCGTGGGGTGTCCCACTTATTGGTGACAGCTCTGCAGATAAGTGGGTTCCCAGCCCTACTGCTAATTCGGTCGCACCCATTGACTGGTACAAATTTCTAAATATTTCTGCCTTGATTGAGGCCAGTATTAGCGAGCATAGTGTCAGTATATTTTTAGGAGAAATATGCCTGCATATCTGATAGAGTTTGCAAGTGCGGTTACTTTGACCCTTGGCCCTTTGGACAAATGATGCCCGTTGTCCCAGAAATCGTATACTTTAGTGGAAGTTGGGAAAGGAGAGTAAAACACAGACAATAAGAATAAATTCCAGTGTATCAATTAATAGATAGATATGAAGAGAAAGCTATTTCGAGAAAGATGAGGTGAGGGCGAAAAACTGAACACCCAGGCGATTATGCTGCTTCATAATACAACATAGAAAAAAGCTAAGGGAGTTGACTTCTGATGCCCCTCCCAGGCTTCGAAGCATTCCGGCATACCATAAATGGCAACCCCATGGAAGCGTCTTAATATCCATCTGTTCACTATTAATATGAGCTACTAACGAGGGGGTGTTAAATCCCCGAGATGCTGTTCTGCACGCTAACCGCCATGGGCAAATCCTTAAGCGCCGAGCTGGTTATTATTAGATATCGACACCGACCGGATAATTTCAATGCAGCCTGAACAAATGAAGGCTCGCCAGCTTTATCCCCACTTGGTCACTCTGGCAAATAACCAGCAATCAAGCCCCAGCCAGCCAGATGCACCAATCATGAGGCCAGAAGAGTCAATCTTCAGCAGTACCAGCCGCCCATTAATCCCTCCTGTTTCGCGTGGCACACCGACTAGCATGATATGCCGTGAAGTCTGAAGGATTCCCACCAGCGCATACCGAGATCCAATGAGGAAGCTCGATCTCCGATGGTGGTGGTAGGCGGCTTCAGGGATCCTCTGACTCGAGGCTGTTTATAGATCCTACATTGCAAGTTTCGAATGCAGCATAGTCGTTTCTATAATTTGCAACTGGGCGTGCTTCAGGAACCGGATGTGATGCCTCCTCGTCTTTGGCTATATATGCATGGCTTGTGACCGGGTACATGTTGATCTTTTTCTTTTTCTCTCTTCCAGACCTCTCTCGCCTCTCCGCTCTCCTTGATCTTGCTATCCTTGACCTTCCTTCTCTTGTCTGTTGGCGCGCCACTTTGATACCCATTGTCTTCTTGTTTCTCAGTTTATACCTCCGCCGTCTATACACGGGAAACGTTATTTCGTTCTATCCGTTCCTAATTTAAAAGACATTCTTTTACCTTTCTACTCTCTCCCTCAGACTTGGATAAGCATCCGGCATGCGTCCAACTCTTCTATTCATTACCTGCTTGGCAGCAACGTCCGTTGCAGCGCCAACTCTCTTCGACCATGCCTACGATTACTCCGACGACATGGCATCGTTCCTGGGGAAAGTGAGCAAGCACATCGACAAGATCAAGGACATCATGGACACCTCGACGACGTGCGACGCGTCCAAAATCGCGCTACCGTCCTTCGCCTCGGAGCTTCCCTCCCCGTCTGACCAAAAGCCCCTTTATGTTGCAGTAGGTCGCGGTACACAGGTATGTCAAACACGTAGCAAACAGCCCCCCTTCCTCACTGCCAACCTCCGCGGCTAACAACTAGAGTAGAACTATACCTGCGCAACATCGTCGTCCGACTCGAAGCCCGAGGCTGTTGGCGCCGTTGCCCGCCTCTACAACGCCACGTGTATCGCGGCAAGCTACCCCGATATGATCGAGATGCTCCCCAGTATCGTGTACAAAATGCAGCTGCCGGACAGCGACGCAGATCCTCTTCCCCCGGCAAACATCGATCTGCTCGGTCATCACTACTTTTCGGGCTCCACACCAGTCTTCAACTTTGATCTTGCTTCGACAAGGCATGGAATCGCGTTCACGAAGAAGGGCGCTGAGATCGATGCCCCGTCTAGTGCTGTCAAGGGAGGGAATGGCGCCGTTGCGTGGCTCTATCTGCCAACTGTCAATGGGACAGTTGGTCGGTTCAAGAGTGTTTATCGGGTGGATACGGCGGCGGGACAGCCTCCGGAGACGTGCAAGGATATGCCGTCGGAGTTCACAGTGCAGTATGCTGCCAATTATTACTTTTATGAGAGGTGATGGGTGGTGGGAGGGTCTTGATGTACAGAATATATATTGGGCGTTTTTCATTCATACCATACGGGATGGACATAGTTATGACTGGTATGACATCTACAGTTGATACTGGATAATCAGCAGTAGCACATCTCCCGTAAACGACCAGACTATCATAATTGAGGTATAAGTGAGGATATCACCGTCGTCCCTCGACAGCAGCTCGATGACAGGAGCCAATTGGAGCAGGGCTTGTCCGAGTCAGGTGACCTCGCTATCCGGGCCTAACCACCCTAGTCCCAGTTAGGCCTAGCGCATTCTGATTTTCAAAGATCCCCAAGTCTCCGTTTGAAAAATCTCGACCGCAACAACGACGAGCTATACGGCCTCGACCGAACACTGAAAGTCAGTGCGGGTGCGATTTTTTCTTCGTTGCAAAAAGCTGCTTTTCTTAGTGCCTGTGGTGCTTTGCGATCTAAACGGTTCTGCCGCTCCCGACCGGATACCTTTCTGCCGAAATTTTTTTTTTTCCTCGCCCGAAAACTTCTCTTCCGTCGCTCCTCCTTCAGCTACGGAATCCCTTCACCTTTTAATCTCTCAACCCTTCGATCAATCTCAATCTACATAACATAATGGCTTTCGGTGGACCTCCCCGAGGACGTGGTGGACCTCCTGGTCGTGGTGGACGTGGTGCCCCCCGTGGAGGTGGTGGCCGTGGTGGTCGAGGTTTGTTCACGATCAAGTCCATGCTTGGGAACGGTATCCAGGTCTATCGATTATCAGCATTATCGCTTTCAGAATCGGCCGTGATATCTGATCCGACCGATCGGCCAGTTTCATCGTGCTGTGATGTTCAGCGTTTGCGTTGAAGACATCGAGTCCTGTGACGGTTCCCTTTGGGAATCGGAGTTGCTAACGAGGTCTTTTCACTATCTCTAGGCGGTCTTGGAATGGGTCGCGGTGGTCCCCGCGGCGGTGGCCGTGGTGGCCGTGGTGCTCCTCGTGGTGGACGTGGTGGTCGCGGTGCTCCCCGTGGTGGTGCTAAGGGTGCCCGTGGCGGTGCTAAGGTCGTTATTGTAAGTGACACTGACACCTTGATTATCGCGAAGATTTGGAGACACAGAAACTTACACGGGTGTGCTTTCATTAGGAGCCCCACCGTCACGCCGGTGTCTTCGTTGCCCGTGGCGGTAAGGAAGATTTGCTCGTCACCAAGAACTTGACCCCCGGCGAGGCCGTCTACGGCGAGAAGCGCATTTCCGTCGAGTCTCCTCCCCAGGAGGACGGTGCTGTGACCAAGACCGAATACCGTGTCTGGAACCCCTTCCGTTCCAAGATGGCTGCCGGTATCCTGGGTGGTCTGGATGAGATCTACATGAAGCCCGGCGCTAAGGTCCTGTATCTGGGTTCCGCCAGCGGTACCTCCGTCAGTCACGTTGCTGATATCGTCGGACCGACTGGAAACGTCTACGCCGTTGAGTTCTCTCACCGTTCCGGTCGTGACCTGATCGGCATGGCCACCCACCGTACCAACGTCATCCCCATCGTTGACGATGCTCGTCACCCTCTCCGCTACCGCATGCTCGTACCCATGGTGGACGTGATCTTCGCCGATGTTGCCCAGCCCGACCAGGCCCGTATCGTGGGTCTGAACGCCCACCTGTTCCTCAAGAACGAGGGTGGTGTCATCGTCAGTATCAAGGCCAACTGTATCGACAGTACGGCCAAGCCCGAGGTGGTGTTCGCTCGCGAAGTCCAGAAGATGAGAGATGAGAAGATCAAGCCCAAGGAACAGTTGACTCTGGAGCCTTTCGAGCGTGACCACTGTATAGTCGCTGGTCTTTACAAGCGTTCTGCATAAAGGGTTTGCTTAAAATTGGTGGTCTGATTTTTTGTTCTCATGTCTTAATCATTTCTTGTGATCTCTATTTTTTTTTCTGGCGTCGAGTGTTCCGTGATATGTCGAAATGCTTTCTTTTTTCTTTGTGTGTGATCCCAATTCAAGGTTCTAAATGTATTTTTGCTTGACACAGAAAATTTCCAATGTTTCATTTCTTTTTTCTTAATCTTGAAGTATCAGACGGATTGTGACAGATCTTGCAAATTGCCTGCCATCATGCGGACTGGTATTCCACGAAGGACCCTCACCAGCAGGCAATTCGGACTTCCGCCGTAGCTCGGCAGTCGGATTAGTGTCCGAGAACAGGCCATCGGATTTGTTGCGGAGTGTCCAACTAGTCGAAAGGAACTGCGAATGAATCAATCACGATGGACTCGAAGACCGAGAGGAGTGGGGGATTCATCTTGAACCCCGCAGTTGAGGGTGATCACGATTATTTAAAGCCTGGTAGACGTGCGCGGTGCTGCGTGCCGCAAGACTCATATTTGGACCTATTAACCTCGTCTACCAGAACTTCTGAATTACTCTCTACACTACAGGAGAAACTCACCTTGTCACCATGTCGATAATCATCACGGGAGCCAGCGGTTACGTCGGACAAGAGCTAGCAGCGGCTCTTCTGTCCAGCTCGCCCGATATTACAGTGACGCTCACAGACGTGATCGAGCCCGAAGTGCCCGCCTCAGCAGCAGCCCACGCATCGCGCGTGAAGCGCATCCAAGCGGACCTGACGAACCCCAGCGTGATCGAAGAGCTCTTCGCACCAACCCAGCGCTTCGACACGGTCTACCTTCTCCACGGCATCATGTCCAGCGGTTCCGAAGCGAACTTCGAGCTGGGCATCCGCGTCAACCTCGACGCCACCCGGTCCATCCTCGACCGTCTCCGAACCACCGCCCCAGGCACCAAAGTCGTCTTCACATCCAGCCTGGCCGTGTACGGCCTCGCGCCTCCAGGCCTCCTCATCGACGAGGGCAACTTCCCGCCCGTCCCGTCCTCCTCGTACGGCTCGCAGAAACTCATCGTCGAGACCCTCCTCAACGACTACTCCCGCCGCGGCTTCCTCGACGCCCGCTGCGTCCGTCTCCCCACCGTGACCGTCCGCGCGGGCAAACCCACCCAAGCGGCGAGCAGTTTCGCCAGCGACATCATCCGCGAGCCGTTCCACGGGAAGAGCGCCGTGTTGCCCGTCAGCCGGACGACCGAGTTATGGATCTGTTCGCCGTACACGGTGGTCAGGAATCTGCTGCGGGCGCGCGAGATCCCGGCTGAGGCGTTTGGTGGGGAATCGCGGTCGGTCAATTTGCCTGGGTTAAAGGTCAGCGTGCAGGAGATGTTAGATGCCCTGGAGAAGATCGGGGGGAAGGAGAGACGGGCGCTGGTGAGGGAGGAATTTGATGCGGATGTCGATCGTATCGTGCAGACGTGGACGCCGCATTTTAATACGGCACGCGCGTTGAGGTTGGGGTTTTCGGAGGATGTGTCGATGGAGGAGAATATTCGGCAGTTTGCGAGGGGTTTTGAGTAGATTTGTATATGAATGTATTCATGGAATAATGTAAAGGTGTGCGAATTAATTGAATTGATCGTTGCCAGCACGAGAGCATAAGAGTAGATATACGAGGGAAAAGCCGGGTAGGAAACAGTCGGGAGGGAACGCCGGTTTGGAAAAGCGGGTCATGTGATTGGCTGACGGGCAGGCGAACAATTTGACTCCCGAACTTCAACCTCGCAATCTCCAGGGCTGCCCGTCTTAACAGCCGTTGCTTTTGCTTCATCCCTCCCCCCCCCCTCTCCCCCCCCCCTTCTCTCATATCTCCATTATAATTCCTCTTCACAATGGCCTCCCGGCGCCTAGCATTCAACCTCAACCAGGCTCTCCGGAGCCGGGCTGCCTTGAAGGCTGTCCAGCCCGTGAAGCGTGGCTTTGCGTCCCCCGTCAAGCTGCCCTCCACCACCCAGTCCACCACCCTCTCGAACGGCTTCACGGTAGGCTATCAATGGACAGAAAAGGTTTCAATTGCGTCGCAGACTTGCTGATTGGACTGTTTAGATCGCCACTGAGCACTCCCCTTGGGCGCAGACCTCGACCGTCGGTGTCTGGATCGATGCCGGTAGCCGGGCAGAGACTGACAAGACCAACGGAACCGCGCACTTCCTGGAGCACCTTGCTTTCAAGGTATGACTTGGTCTCATAGTTGATTCACGTCTATGTGCTAATAATTCTTTCTGTCTAGGGCACCAACAAGCGCACCCAGCACCAATTGGAGTTGGAGATCGAGAACATGGGCGGTCACCTCAACGCTTACACTTCGGTACGGCCGGAAAATCCACCCTGTTGAGAAAAAACACCCATGACATTGACCACTGACAACGAATTGGATTTAATAGCGAGAGAACACTGTCTACTACGCCAAGTCCTTCAACAACGATGTCCCCAAGACCGTTGACATCCTCTCCGATATCCTCCAGAACTCCAAGCTCGAGCCCGGTGCCATTGAGCGCGAGCGTGATGTGATCCTCCGCGAGCAGGAGGAGGTTGACAAGCAGCTCGAGGAGGTTGTCTTCGACCACCTGCACGCCACTGCTTACCAGAACCAGCCCCTCGGCCGTACCATCCTCGGCCCCAAGGAGAACATCCAGACCATCTCTCGGGACAACCTGGTCGACTACATCAAGACCAACTACACCGCCGACCGTATGGTCCTGGTCGGTGCCGGTGGTATTCCCCACGAGCAGCTCGTCCGCCTGGCCGAGGAGCACTTCGGCAGCCTCCCCAGCCAGGCCCCTACCTCTGCGGCTCAGGCTCTCACCGCTGAGCAGAAGCGTGTCCCCGAGTTCATCGGCTCCGAGGTCCGTCTCCGTGACGACACCCTCCCTTCTGCCCACATCGCCCTCGCCGTTGAGGGTGTCAGCTGGAAGGACGACGACTACTTCACCGGTCTCGTCGCCCAGGCCATCGTCGGTAACTGGGACCGTGCCATGGGCAACTCCCCCTACCTTGGCAGCAAGCTCAGCTCCACCGTTGAGCACCAGGGTCTTGCCAACAGCTTCATGAGTTTCTCGACCAGCTACAGCGACACTGGGTGAGTCCTCTCAAATATCTTGATTGGAATGGAATGAATTGAAACTGACTAATTAGTCTCTGGGGTATCTACCTGGTCTCCGAGAACCTCACCCGCCTCGATGACCTGATCCACTTCACCCTCCGTGAGTGGTCTCGCATGTGCTTCAACGTCACCCCCGCCGAGGTCGAGCGCGCCAAGGCCCAGCTGAAGGCCTCCATCCTCCTCTCCCTGGACGGCACCACCGCCGTTGCCGAGGACATCGGTCGCCAGATCATCACCACCGGCCGCCGTCTGTCCGCCGAGGACATCGAGCGCACGATCGGCCAGATCACCGAGAAGGACGTGATGGAGTTCGCCATGCGCCGCATCTGGGATCAGGACGTCGCCATGAGCGCCGTCGGTAGCGTCGAGGGTATCCTCGACTACCAGCGTATCCGTGCGGACATGAGCCGAAACACCCTGTAAACGCGGAATTGTTGTGTATGTTTAATCTTATACATTTTTGCTTGCGTCTCAGAGTTACGGAATTTTCTTTTATTTTTTTTTTGTTATTGGTGATTGATTTAATAGATCTAAGATGAGGAGGGGTGGAGACGTTAGTTGAGGTAGCGTGTCTTGTACAGTATCAACTGTCGCTGATATACTCAAAACTGTATTTTTGTTTGTTATCTCGTCTGATCCAACTTGTAGGACTGTTGTATGGTTTACCTACAGTATTTACTCGCCAAGCATCACGTCACAGGAGAGAAACGAAAAAAAAAAAAAAAAAGAAAGAAAAACTCGTTAAAAAACCATAACTAGTCAAGTAAAAGAAAGACCCGAGAGAAAAAGAAACCTAGGTAGGGAACCAGCCCATCCATCCATCCATCCATCCATCCATCATCATGACTAAATCAAAAAGAGTGACTCAAACCACTTTCCACCTACTGAAGAGGACTAGAAATTCCCATTCGCACTCGCATACGCCATCCCCGCAGGCGCCTGATACCCAGCGGCACCCGACGACGCCTTCTCAATCTTCTCCGACTGCGCCTCGGCCTCCTTATCCTGCTGCATGAGCACGCAGCACGGACAGCAGCACGCCGCCATGCAGTCCTTGCAGCCGTTTCCTTCGATGCCGAAGCGGTCGCGCATCTGGCCGCGCTTGAGCATCAGGAGAATCCAGTAGAAGCCGACGTAGGAGGTTAGGGCGTAGAGGCAGCACTATTTCCTCTCTCTTTCTCGTTAGTAAAGGTTTAAGTGGGCGTGGGGTTTTGGGGAGGCGAGCAGGGTGTTAATAATTAATGGGTTGGGACGTACGCTGCCGTTCATATGGCTGTATTCCTTGAGTGCTGGGTCGTCGAGTCGCGAAGAGACCTTTCCGTAGAGGAAGCAGGGACAGCATGCAGCTTTGAAACCTGGTTTAATTGTTAGATCGCTGTCAATGGCATTGGAAGGGGAATAGATAGGTGTACGCACATGTTCCGCATGGGGAACAGCAGCTCCAGAAGCCAGCGGTCCATTCATGGTTGTGTCCTTCGTGTCCTTCGGCGCCCATTGTATAGATGGTACTTTTTGTAGGGGTGTTGATCGATATTATATATTGACAGACTATACTGTTTACTGTAGTATAGTAGGTGGTGTGTGTGTATGCTGATAAGAATGGTATGATAAAAGAGGGACAAATTAAACAATCAAACCAGATCTACCAAGCAAAGAGAAAAAAAAGATCGATCATCCTTCCTTTAAATAAGACAGCCACGCCCGGGTTCCAACTCTAACAAAATTAAAACCTAAAAAAATCCAGAAAGGAGAACAAAACAAACGAAGACCACTAGAAAATGGGGCCAAAGACAGGCAAACAGGGCTGTACCTTTGTCCGACGTCGCCCAAGGGGGCCAAAACGAAGACAAGACTTGGGCTAGTCCAGCCTTTTGGTTTCTAGTTGACGATGATGGATGCTGATGCTTACGGGCTGTTATTTCTTGTTTCTATTCTATTCTATTTTGGCCTTGGAGAAAGGGGATCAGGACTGGAATTGTGGTTGGAATGTTCTCTGGGTGTACTGGAAACGGTGGAAATGAACCCAAGGATCGACACTCACTAAACCGAAGCTAAATAGCCACCAGCCTCGTGTTGGATGCCTAGATCGAGGCTCCCAGGAGTAATCAGGTCTGTTCCTGAGGCTGTGGTCCGTCAAAAAGGTCGCTAGCTTGGTGGGAACCCACTTATTACGAGGGAGATGACACGGAAAAACCATTCCGACATGCCTTAACGTTGTTTAGGAAGATGCTTGTTGTTCTCTTCAAATTTAGGAAAATGTCTCTAAGTCGGATCGTTGTAACATTCCTGTATCTTTTAGACTGGGAAAATAATGACAGACCCGTTTGCGATACCAAAGTAGGATACTGCTTCCTAATTCTTGTTCAGAGCAGCGAGATATATTGGATCTACAGGGTGTATAGACTGTTCTATACCCTCCATGGGTGCCCATCATCACGTGCGGCTGAGTCGAACTTACCTTCTACAATCACTAGCGAGATCCCTCCATCAACTCCGTCAGAAACATGTCAACTTCAACACAGTCTTCTTACGCCAATGAGGAATCCACAGTCGGATGGATATGCGGTAGTCGTTGCCTGCCTGCCTTTGCACCAGCTTGGTCCATCTTCTGCTACTGCCGCCGCCAAAGAAATGCTCTTCACGCTCCCCAAGATCCGCGTTGGGTTGATGGTTGGGATTGGAGCTGGTATTCCAGACCAGGACAGCTACCAGGACATTCGTGGCTATAGGCGGTTCCTCAGAACGGAGGCGTAATCGTCTACGACTTTGGAATAAGGCTTCCTTCTTGACCACAACATATCGGAGTCCATCCTCGATCGAAACTTGAGTCTCAACTAGGCTCTATGAAGGGACAGCCTTCTCTTATGGATGTCTGCCCGGATCCTAAGATCCAAATTTGTTGGTAGTCTCGGTTCATCTTTGTTTTGTAACTCAGTAGTTTTGATCGATCCCTCGCGCTGGAGATTTGAGCAAGGCCGCTGTCGCTCCGCAATTCCCACGGACCGCGGCCGTCATCGAAAACGTGCGATCATATCTATTTCTCGAATTTCTACCAACGTCTTTGAGCCCTCATCTACTGCAAGGTATAATGGTAATTGTCCATCCTGGCCCCTGGCATTTGGATTCGCCCCGTGCCGCATCAGTTCCCGAGCGTCTTTCAACCTTACACAGGTACTGCAATGGTCGATCGGACTGTGACCATCCGCGCCTTCAGGAAATTCAGCCGGAGTAAGAGTATGCTAGTATATTATTAGGATGTGTGAATTCATGAAATGTGGATGCTGACCTTGCAACAGAATGAGTAGATACTTCCTTCCCTTTTGAATAGCTCTCCCACCCTTCTTTCCTTCTGATTTCTTGAGCTTACAGGCATTTTGGATGCTCATAGTTGCGACCCTTTAGGTCTTCAACAACCCTCCCTCTGACCATTTGAACCATTCGGGTAACAATCTTTGATCTTATGATGTGAAGCAACCGCTAATTCAATTTTATCAATGGAACTAGCCTACCCCACGATTGCTGAAGAAAGAATCACGGCTACCTTCTTATCCACAACACCATGGACCCGGGCAGAATAGCTGGGATTCATAGTCTTCCAATCGAGCTCCTCGAAATGATACTCTTGCACCTGGGCATGCAGTTCTTGCTGGTCACTGCACAACGCGTCTGTCGAACATGGTCAGCCGCTATTCTCAATTCATCCCCCCTTCAACAAAAGCTTTTCTTCAAGCCAATCCCGGACAACGAACCCAGAGTCGTGAACCCTCTGCTTTCTTCGACCTTTCCCTTTTTTGTCATGGGAACCAATGCTGGTCACGAGGCCTACTCTACCGAGGATCTTGAGAACTCTATTATCAATTGGCCTGAAGATATCTTTCTCAGAGACCAAATGTTAGTTGGCGAAGAATGCTCATACAACAACCCCCAGTTAGAGCCCTCGGCTGGCTTGAACATTTGTATCCGGAGGACCCCATATCAAGAGATTCAGTCCGTCGATGGTACCTGCCTTTTCCCAACGGTGTATATATGAGCGCCTTCTATGACTTGATCATCACGCCCCTGGGAGGCCAGAGAGAACAGCAGGAGCTTGAAACGACCTGGACAAGTGGACTAAGTGATTCCAGCGAGCATGTCCTGTTGAAGGATGCTGAGGGTGGAATTCTTGACTGGGGCGCATTTCTTGGCCGTGCACCTCCGGAAGTTATTCTACGAACCCACAATAGAGATGCTCTCCGTCCTATCGACCGGATGGTATTCTTTTGGGGTTTATTGCAAGAGTATAAGTATCCATTTGAGGATGAAGCCTTGAGTGCTCTGAGAGAAAGCATCAGGCCATATCGGGGCGAGGAAACTAGCGACAAGGATGTGGCGGCCTTGTATATTGGCCCATCAATCTAAAACGTGGAGAATCCTGGGTTGTACTTCACTAAGCACAGGGCACATAGCCCATGTAAATTAGATGATTGGAAAAAAGAGACTAGACAAGCTCTGACTATTACTACCTCTCGAGCGCTTCTTAGTTCTAGAGGGTGTCTTTTTGCCTGAAGATCCTGATCTCTTGGTTTAGAAGACGTGTTTCCCACATTTTTCAGTCCTGCCTTTCTGGGGACCAATGAGAGAATATAACCACTACTGTAAGTTTGTTGTGCTACGAAATCCAAGCTTGACGGCGAGCTTCCCCGATTTTATTTAGACACAATGGATTAATGCAAGTACAAGCGTGATGGAGGGTAGGTGCTATACAGGTTGCCCAGTGTGCCGCATTAATCACCTACAATTTGATACATTGCTGAATTGGGGAGTAGTCTCGTTTAGTATTCGACAATCGCATACACATGGCGGAAGAAAAACAGAAGTGAACAAAACAAACTCCCCCAGATGGAAGAAAACAAAACTCCACCCAAACTAGCGTCCAACTCACGAGCGGTGAGTATGCAGAACCAGGACCCTACCAGTCAAGGACCATCCTATATCCAACAAAAAAAGCAATTTTGCTATCCGGCCAACAGAGAACTCCGACCAACAGCGAATCCAAGCAAACAGAACCCTACTCTTGCAATGGAACCTTCTCAAGAAGCTGGAGCAATACCTGGTCCTTTTCGGGACTATTTCGCCGCGCATGTCTATAGCTGGATCCTGCAAACTCCGAGCCCGAGCCTCCTCTGTTCAAGCGTTCAGTTCTGTACTCAATCCGCTTTTGCCGACAGACAATCTTGAGCTTGTCGACCGGTAGCACAGGCCAGCACCTTTTCCCATAGCCATCAACATGGATGACTTTGGGCTCGCGCCCCATGGCGAGAAGCTCCAGCTGAGTCCCCACGTCTGGCACCAGCCAATCACCTCTATCGGACCCTGCGTCACCATAGAGGCCGAGAAAGTCTAGTCCACACGGAACATGGTTCATAAGTTTGAAGGGCGCCTGATGCTTCCTGCAGTTACCCAACAGCAGGTCAGTCCCAATATTGAGGGACTTGAGCTTGGTGAATTCTTTCAAGGGGGGACAAAATATCGGGGTGTCGTGCCGGTTTCGTTCGATCTTGGCACCGCAGAGATCGAGGGTCTCGAGTGTGGTTTTGTACTCGATCAATCGATTCCAGAGCGCAGCTGGGCCGTGCAGGGCCCATTCGGATCGAGGAGTGCTTGTAAAGTCGACGCACAGGCTGGTCAATGACGGAACCTTGTCCAAGAACTGCAGGAATTCTTCGAGCAGGGTCTCCTTGTGCAGGTCGATGGTTACGCTGGTCAAGTGAGACATTGTGCTCTCTTCATCAGACAACTGCCAAGAGTATAGACTTGGGTCAAGGTAAGCACGCAATAAAATCATCTCGCGCAGCTGAGGGAAGTAGATGAACGGCTGGTAGCGGTCGACTTGGAGGGGGAGATTCCAGGATGGCTGGTCATCCGTGTCTAGGGACAATTGTTTGAGCTGCTTGAAAGCGAGCTTTTTGCGCCCGTCATTGGTGAAGTAGTCCGATCCCGTAGGAATCGCTGCGTTCTCTGCGACGGCGCGAAGATACGGATCGTCGTAGCTGACGTGCATGGCCAAGGACTCGAGATCGGTAACACAAGCGAGGATTATGGCTATTATGGGTCGTCGGTCGTCGACTCGCAGCGCGTTCAACACCTCCTCTGCCTCGTAGTAATCGAGTCCCGACTCGTACATTCCCCGATGGAGAGTGGCAAGATATTCATGGCACAGGCGCTTGGCGAGGGGCACACTTCTAGGTCCGCTGTACTTGAGACAATGCAGCAAGTTCATCACCTTGACGTGCTTGGCCAGATCCGGCATCTCGACAACCGTCCGCATGAACTGCCAGAGGCGCTCGCGGTCTCCCAAATCTCCATTGTTCTTGAAGGTGTGGTAGAGTCGCGGAGTCGCGGCGGAATACCAGCTGTGGTTGACAAGGCTGAACCGGTACCAGTCGTGAATGTCGCCGGTGTCTTCGACATAGGAGAAGATCATGTCGATCATTTCCAGGGGCAAAGCCGACGAGAATTCTCGAGTCTCGTTGACGTTCTCTTCTAATGCAGTCATCTTGTTGGGAGTGTTGAATGCCTTTTCAGATTGTCGGTTCTCCCTGACGGTTTAAATGGCGGCTGGGGGAACTCGCACGGTCGCAAGGCTTCAGTATTATTTCTTTGTTTAAGGCCTCAAGATTCGCTATCTGAGTACAGACAGACAACAACAAGAGAAAGTTGATATCTTGCAACCTGCGACGGCGAGTATCCGGTTATTTGGAGAGGCAACGCGTTGATAGCTGGGAGCTGCAGAGTGGAAGGTCCCTGGAGGTGGACAGGTTCGTTTGTGGCTGAGACAGCTTGGGATCTTCCTGTTGGGCAAGGGGCAGCTGCGTCCATGATTCTCTGAGTGAGAGGCTCCCATTCACAAACATATTCACTCTGCATTTCTTGTGCGCACTTCACTCTCGGCATAGTGCTGCTTTCTGGTTACGCGGTTCAGATATGCAGAGCAGAACGTGTTTACAGTGCAACCAGACAAGCGCACTGAGTGACCAAGACATTTAATATTGCGAAAGGAAATATATGTACATCAAGCAAATACAAGAGCATCATATCAAGTTCGAACATGGCGATTCCCCGGAGTAAATACTTCTCCTTCACCCCATCTTTGAGTTCCACTCTTCATGCTCCTCCACATTCTCGATGCGGCAACTTGAGCCACCGGTTACTCTCTGCATTGCGACCTGCGTCAACAGATTAATAAATACTGCACATCGCCCCTTCTTTTGCTCTCCATCTCACTCGCTTTCCTTCCAATTTACTTCCCTCATAATCATGGCTCCTGGAGAACTTATCAACCATGTCGATGAGAGCGACCGATTCTCGAGCGATGCCATCAGCCATCCGCTCAAGTCCCACAGCAAATTGATCCATCCGCCATTTTCCAATCCTTCGTTGCAGGTGACTGCAGACCATAATTTAAAACAAGTCGACGCTCCTGTGTACGCCCCGCAGGAAGGCGAGGTGTTGTTGCAGATCAAGGCTACTGGGATTTGCGGGTATGCGACCGAAATCGAAGACATTGTTATTGAAGTGTCGAGTAGAGCTAATTAATTTGGCTCGTAGGTCAGATGTTCACTTCTGGAAAACCGGTCGCATTGGATCCTTGGTTTTCGAGGGCGATTGCATAGTTGGACATGAAGCCTCGGGTGTTGTTTTGAAGTGTGGTCCGGGGGTGAAGGGTCTATCGCCTGGTAGGCGAATTTCTTGAAATCGCTTTCTTAATACTATCGGAGGTCGCTGACATAGAAACAGGTGACGGAGTTGCACTCGAGCCGGGTGTTCCCTGTGACAGCTGCTTTCTGTGCAGCGAAGGCCGCTATAATCTTTGCGAAGATGTTCAGTTCGCCGGTGTTTACCCCTATGCTGGCACCATGCAGCGATATAAAGTCCATCCGGCAAAATGGGTTCACAAGTACGTCCAATCCCTCGTGTCTTTCGCGGTCGCCATATATCCTAACCGGCACATCAATTAGGCTCCCCGATAACGTCAGCTTCGCCGAGGGAGCTCTCCTTGAGCCCCTTTCCGTCGTCATGCACGGCATTCGCTCCGCTGGGCTCACTCTCGGACGAGGTGTAGTCGTTTGCGGTGCTGGTCCCATCGGTCTTATTGCCTTAGCAGCTGCGCGCGCATCCGGAGCCCACCCCATCGTCGTCACAGATCTTGAACCCCGCCGACTAGCCTTCGCGAAAGAGTTCGTCCCGTCCTGTCTTACCTACCAGGTTGATACGTCACTAGACGCCCAAGGCAACGCGGCCGGCATCCGAAAATTATTTGGAGACGAAGAATACTTCGCACCCGAGACTGTGTTGGAATGCACGGGCGTGGAGAGCAGTGTCTGCACGGCAGCTTATACGGCGCGCCGGGGCGGTACGGTCATGGTGATTGGGGTTGGGAAGGCGATTATGAACAACTTGCCGTTCATGCATCTTTCGTTAGCGGAGGTGGGTTGCTGGCTCATATTTTGTCTCTTTTTTATCTATTGATGGCCCGCTGACTGACGATGATTTACAGATTGATTTGAGATTCATAAACCGCTACCGAGATACCTGGGCGCCCGGAGTTACATGCCTGAGCGGAGGGATCCTGGACTTGAAGAAACTAGTCTCGCACGTCTTTCCGTTGGAAAAGGCTGAAGAGGCCTTGCGATTCTCCTCGGATACCAGGAACGGGAGTATTAAGGTGTTGGTGGTGGATGAGGTTGAGGCAACGTTATAGATCATGAATGAATAGAGCAAACTTTGACATCAAGCGATAGAGAGTGTTATAGATGATGATAGCTTTTATGGACTTTCCTTATAACTTGGAGCTACTTTTGTTTGAAGGCGAATTGCTCAATTGGTGGCATATATACCGTATGCAATTTGCAATACTATATTTTCTAAATTTTGAAAATTCTTTCGTTCTTTCCCCTTTCCTTTTCTTCTTCTTCGATTTGATACTCTCCATTTACAATAAGCAAAGGGCCTACCGAACACAACCCAAACGCACTATGTTCCGCGCACAGTGCAAAAATAGTCCCTGCTGAAGAAGGCATGAGGATGTTCCCAATCACGAAACTCAATGACAGGTGGAGGCCGCAAGAAGTTGCGAGACAGAAAATAGAATAAGACAAGGTGGCTCTACGGGTATCCCCATGTCATAATCCGACACAAGTCATGGCCCTTCCACCCCGGTCGGCAGATTTAACTTCGTCCCTGGCTCAAAATCCGGGGTAAAGTTCAAGTACTCCGTGGGTGGACCCACGGCATCCCAACGCGGTAGTTCCAACCGCGGGGTAAGAAAACCCCACGCGGGAACGTGGCCTGTTTGGGCAGGTGACCCTGGCGGTTGCACCTGCTCTCTTAAGAGGTCTGGTGATCGCTTTCTGCAGCACCTTCAACTACCGACCATTTCATCACCTTCATTTATGTGTTGCATTTCCTCATCTTTTTCGACTCATGGCGGAATCAGGCACGTCGAATCGGTCGACGACCAAGTTCACGAGATGTCGGACGGGGTGTTTACGTTGTCGGGTAAGACGGAGGAAATGTGAGTGTTTGTTTTTGCTTTACGCTATGTGCCTCAGAGTGTTGGTTGAGTTGAACACTAACTGTCTACGTTGGGTAGGCGACGAGGGAAAGCCAACTTGTCAGAACTGCATCGATAAGAACCTGGTGTGTCAGTATGGATTGCAAGTGTCTTTTCTCGCGAAGAACACTTATACGGTGTCGGCGAAGGAGCTGCGAACTCCGAAAAAAGACGCCAGCTATGGGAAGATTCAGGTGATTACTTTTTGGTGGGGTTTGACATTGATGCTGATATGACAGGTTAGTTCGTGAACGAAGATCCCCTCGCCTGCACTAGTGATGCGTCAACGGATGAGTCGCCGTCGCCTGTGTTGAGTCCGACTACAGATGTTACGGTCCCTCAGAGCGAGGCACCACTTGGATTGAAAGGTAATGATGGAGATACCCACGATGGACATGCGCGACGTAGTAGCGAAATCAATGGGGATATCATATTCGATAGTAGTCAGGATTTGCCATCGCCTGTTCATATCCCCGGCGGACAATTTCAGTCTGTCGCAACGTTCAGCGACAGAGATGAGTCTGCCGTACGTGGTCTGCTAGCACTGGGATCCAGCAATAACGTGAATGATGTGGCGACCGTCAGAGAAGCGACGCCTGGCCTTTCCGAGTTTGATCCGAATATGATATTGTCTCCCTTGCCGAGCCCATATACAGAGGGCAAAGAAGGCACGGGCTCGATGAGGTTTCCTTCTATCAATGCGCCGAATAACGATAATGCGGTCATGGCGGTCCTTCCACCACCCATTGACTATCTTTCGATACCCGAATCTGATCGACTCGACCTCTTGCGTCATTATCGCTACCATGTAGCTCCTTGGGTGAGCCCGATCTTCAGATATCCATTTTATGCAGGGATCTAACACATGCTCTCTGCTAGCTCGATATTTGCGATATGCGACAACCGTTTGGCCTCACTGGACTTCAATTAGCCATGGGCTCCGAAAAACTCCTCTCCGCGCTGATGCGACTCTCAAAGGCGTGCATGGTGCAGAGTGTCCCCGAAAGAAGCTTTCTAGCAGACTTCACCGAGTCGATAGCCGACATGAGCATGCTTGGCGACTCTACCGAAGCAACCCTACTATACGTTCTTGAGGAAGTACGATGCCTCGTGACGGATGTTCCAAGAGCTTGGACCAGAAACGGATACCCCGACGCTATTCAATCATTGGTTCAATATGCGTACGGCGATGATATTAATTCGGCTCTATACTGGCTGACGCTGCGATTGAGTAAGTGAAGCCTGGCACAGGATGCTCGGTTCCTTTTTGACGCGAGACAGATTTAGGAGTGGCCCTGGCGAACGATAGTGGCATTCAACTACCACTTCCTATGTCCCCCGTCCCCAATGTCTCACTGATACCTCATTCTGAAGACACATATGAGAAAATTCGCCACTATGCTCATTCCATACTATGGATCGTTGGGAAGACTTTGGTGATATGCCACCCAGAGGACATGTCCAATCAGCCACCTCCGTCGCATCAATTAATGGACAGTTGGTTGCAGGCATTCGAGGAACTAGGTCAATGGTATCATCTGCGCCCACTTGAATTCCAGCCAATGATAGAGCTTGAAGGGAACGACCAGATATTCTATCCGGAGGGTGGCTTTCCCCTCTTGTTGTTTGCAAATGGAGCTGGCGTATTTGGAAACCAGCTGTACCACACGGCCATGCTATTGTTGCTCCAGTCAAAACCTCGGACGGTCTTACTACACAACGCCCCCTCTCGATTTTCTTCTCCGCTATGGCACGCGCAACGCATTTGTGGGATTGCACTGAACAATGACCGTCGCGAATGCTGGGATCCCTGCTTGCTGGCTTCTTTCCTTATAGCTGCTAGACTTATGACTCACGAATCTCAGCAAAAGGAGATTTTGCATGGTTTTGAGCGTATCAAAATGGTGACCGGCTGGGATGTTGGCGAGCATTTGACACATCTCCGGGAGGACTGGTCATTTTCCGACGGAGCTTGAGCATATTGCTCTGAAAATGTTTCTGAATTAACCCTACGATTGCAGCGGGATGGGATACGGTCTTGTGTGGCTATTTCTTGCGCTGCGACGAGTGTCGTAGCCCCACGCAATTTCCAAGTCCCGAATTCGCCAACACATCCCCCATCCGGTTTCGGCCTCGATGTGTCGGATCAACTGGATGATCTGCTGATGTTCAGTTATATGGCTGAAAAGTCGGCCCGCAATCCAGAGGGGTTGGATGGCATTGTTCAGACATCCCTGGTGTGGATTCGCCAAGGAGATGCCACAGACTCGACGCGCATGCCACAGCAGCGACAGCGTAGGCGATCGGGGCAGCCTGGTGCCTTTAGGCATTGTTTTTAGCAGCAGAATGCATGCTGTATGATAAAGTTGATTTGAAGAGATCGCCGCCCAGTGGATGAAGAAGATATGTGGAAAAGGTTTGCGGTTGACTGTTTGAACTGGAACCAATTCGTTCGGGCGCTCGGAAAACCAACATTGTAGCTCACTCCAGAGCTGAAGCCATTTAGAGGCAAATACCTGCGCTGTGCAACCATTGTCTTCTCCGAGTTCCACGAACTTGGTCCGATCGGAAACGAGCTCTGTCGCTCTCATACACAGATATACTGCGTAGTTGGCATGCATATCTGCGCTTTTCGCTTCGTTGAACATCCGGTACGCATCACCTTCATGACATCCTGGGGGAAGCCACTTGGATGGATGCAAAAGCGTCGTTTGAGTGCCATCGGATATAAGTGCTCCACACAGATCTAAGACGAATTAGAAATCACATACATCCCAGCATAACGCTATATGGAAAGTTCAATAAGAAGGTAGAAAAGTTCGACTCACCCATCCTAGCATAACACCAAAACACAGCCTGCAACAACCCCTTACTAAACCCATGAATCCCAAACGCATCGAACAATGCCGCACAGCCCTCCAAATGCCGCCGCCAGTCCTGCGCCCTTGCCGACATCATCTCCAAACAGCAGAGCAGCACGCACGCCGCGACGATCTTCGGATCGCGGACCTGCAGCACGGGACTGAGAAGTCGGATGGCCTCTTGGTAGAGCTCGAGACTGTCGAAGAAATCCTGGACTCCTTTTTTGCGTTCCATTTGGCGCGCGGAGATTGCGAGGATGGCGTAGGAGAGGGCGGGGAATGTTCGTGCTAAGGCGGGCATTTGTTGTTGGAATGTGTGTTGGGAGTCGAACATGTCGAGCTTTCTTTGGTTAGATAGGGATTTGCATGTTGGGGGATGTGGTTAGGGGGCGTGGCATAATTGGTGCATAGAGATACAAGGACAATGGAACGTAACACAGGATATGTTCAACAGGTGTAGAGTAGTCGAACGATTAAGCAATAGGTGAGAGAAAGATTGGGGAAGAAGAAGAAGCGAAAAAAAAGGGGAAAATGAACTCACCCAAGGCGCCACCTGCGCAACATAATTCTTCAAGTACCCGATTCTCTTCACGCTTGAAACCGGTGCGCGTGCGCGTAACGACGATCCATCCCCTCGCCGCTTTCTCCTCCTCGTATCAGTTTCAATTAGGTCTTGATCATGCAGTTGACGGTGTTGCTGATCATGGGCAAGATCGGGACTCAAACTTCCGACTCGGGTCGGGACCGCCGAATGCGCGAGGGAAAATAAGATACACCGCAATTCTTCCTGAGAGGCTAGAAATCCAGGATCTTGCGAGAATCCGTCCTGCGACCAGCCGCCTGCAGGCGAGTGGAAGGCTCCTCCTCCGGTACTACCACCTGCTCCGCTCCCCGGCCCGCCAGCGACGCTTCCGCCGATCGAGGCGGGTGAGCTGTAGCTCTGACCCTGGTTATGGTTTTGACTGTGAGCGTGAATTTGTGGAGCGGAGGGGGTGTAATCATGCTGATTGTGGTGGTGGTGCCATTCGGGATTATTGGCATTAGTATGGTTGTGACTGCCTTCTTGGATTGGCGGCTGATGGTGAGAAGGGGACAGGTTGCTATTCTCGGCCCCCGGACCGGTTTCAGGGAGTGTAGAGGGTGCAGCTGCAGTAGGTGTGGATATGGATGATGGTGAATGATGAGATTGACCGTCTAAAGAGAGAGAGTGATGGTGTGTGTGGGATTGGGATTGGTCAATGCGTCGACGCTTCTGGGGTGGTGATGGCAAGGGGAACATTCTTTCATTGTAGGCGCTCGTTATCCGAGCCTCGTGGTGATGGAGAAATGGTACTAGGGTGAGATTGATAGATGGAAGAGGTAGGTGTATGCAGGCAAGGTAAGATGCAGCAAGTAGAAGACGAAGATCAGGTGTGTCGGAGCTGGGGGTGGGAAGTGGGGACCGGGACTGGGGTCGACCGGCGGCCTTAGGCAGAAATGGCAGGATCAATGTCCCGGTAGGTATGGCCTCGCAATTACCGATAGCGGCGGTGGGAAAATGCCAAGAGCGGGTTGTAACTTCCCCGATGACGAGAGGTGGGTAGAGCTGAGTGTCACTACTAACTCCACGTCTTGAGCTATTCTGTGTGTTTACTGCCAAGCGAAAAACGTCACCACCGCCGCTAAGAAGGACAGTAGGCTAAAATGGTGGTACGATGCTACAGTGCCAACCGAGTCAACAGCCGGGATTCCAATGGACAAGAAAAGCCAAATGCAGGAATCCACACGACTCAGCACTTAGAGCGCCAATGACGTCGGAGAAACAAAAATAAGAAAAGGAGAAAACAGCGCATCCAAGCGACGAAGCATCAATTGGCACATTCCTTCGGGCCTGCCGATCGCTCCCCATATCATGCTTGTTTAGGCTTAGGGCCATGCGGGGTAACCTTGTACTCCGGGGAAATTGGTGGCTCGAGTTTCCGCATGCGGCCGGCTGGAGTCCAAATCTGGGGAGGGATTGTCACTCACCCCGGACTTGGACCGGGGAGGACAAGCCAGCGTGACACCAGCGCGGGATGGGCTGTTAGGACTCTAGATTTGGACTGGTATATATGAACGTGGATTTCGACCGGGATGGGATTAGGTTGTGGTATTCTTATTCTTGTTTAACTTTCTACTTCAATCGTTTGCACACAACTACGGAAAGGAGGAATTTCGAGGTTTGATGTACCAAGGAGTATTGGTTTGTTCTCAAGATGGTCCAGATTAACATGTTCGGGACGGGGACCGTCCTGCAATCTGCAATTTGGACGGCGTGTGGAATGGCCTTTATTCTATTTGGTGAGTACTTCTGATTTGTTCTATATTGTTTAAATGGTTTACTAACTCTAACTCATCTAGGCTACGATCAGGGCGTATTCTCCGGAATTGTGGAAAACGATGACTTTCTGGACACCATGAACCGCCCCAATGACAGTTTAATGGGCATCATCGTGTCGATATACAACCTAGGCTGTTTCTCTGGGTGTGTTGTGAACTTCTTCATCGGCGAATGGCTTGGACGGCGTAAGGCTATGTGGTTGGCTATGGTCTGGGTTCTGGTGGGTTCCTCCAAACCTCGCAGCCCTCAGTCCAATTGCTAAAGCGATAATTAGATCGGCGCAGCGTTGCAAACATCCGCCTTCTCCGTTCCTCATCTCATGGTTGGTCGATTTGTCACCGGTATTGGCACCGGAATTGAGACCTCGACTGTGCCTATGTACCAATCGGAGTTGTGCGAGGCTTCGAAGCGTGGAAAGATGGTTTGCAGTGAGCCATTGCTTGTTGGTGTGGGTATTGTGGTTAGGTGCGGATGAGATTACCAGGATGGGTGCTTGAGATTGTGCTAACTGAACCAGTTACTTTTTCGACTATGGCATGAGTTTTGTTGGAGGTCAGATTGCCTGGAGACTTCCCATCGCGTGTCAGATGATTTTCGCTATCGTGAGTGTTTTCTCGCTCGTATTTTTCCAATTGCTTTCATCTGCAGTTTGTGGGACTCGTCACTAATGGACACAGGTCGTCATCGTGCTTGTTTTTGGACTTCCCGAATCTCCGAGATACTGTTATAAAGAGGGACGCAACGAGGAGGCCCTGCAAATCCTGAGTGACGTGTACGGTCGGCCTAAAGACGACGAGAAGATCCAGGCTGAGCAGGCCGAGATTCTCGATGCCCTTGCTGTCGAGTTAAAGCATGGAGAGTATCAGTGGAGGTAAGTTCACACTAGAACTATAGGTACCGAAGAAAGGAGGGCAACTGATCGAACCAGAAATATCTTCAGAAAGGATGAAGTTTCCACGGGTTATCGAGTGTGAGTATCCAAATCATCTTCAAATCCATGAGGGGAAGGAAAAGGAATTAACTGTACCAGTCTACTCGCCTACGGAATGCAATTTATGAACCAAATCGGCGGTATTAACCTCCTCGTGTCAGTAAACTTGGCCCTTCATGCCCCTTTTGAACTGTGCCACTGACCAGAAACAGGTACTTCATTCCTACCGTTCTCAGCAACAATGTCGGTCTCAGCAAAAACCTCTCCCTCGTTATCGGCGGATGCGTTCAGATTATGTTCGCCGTTGGCAGTTTATTCCCTGTGTTGTTCGTCGACAAGGTCGGTCGAAGAGCGCCTATGATCTGGGGTTCATTCGGACTGGGAATTTGCATGATGATGGTCTCGATTCTACTCAGCTTCAAGGGAACAGACGTTGAGAAGCCCACTGCGTCGGCTTCGATCGCGTTTTTCTTCATCTTCATGCTCATCTTTGGTGCCTCTGTCAATTGTATCCCATGGTGCTATGTCCCAGAGATTTTACCTCTTCACGCCAGAGCTAAGGGGACGGCCGTGGGTACCTCTTCTAACTGGATCTGGGTGAGTCGTCTTCCAATAATCCCTCCAGTAGGGCTGTATGTACTGACTGGGAGGCAAAGAATTTCTTCGTCGTCATGATCACCCCTGTGATTATCAACCGTCTGCAATGGAAAGCGTACTTGATCTTCATGTGCACTAACTTTGCTTTCGTGCCGCTGGTGTACTTCTTCTATCCGGAGACTGCGAACTTCACACTAGAGGAAATTGACTTCCTCTTTACGAACCCGGACAAGGGACCCGTGAAGCTTTCTAAGGAGCTTCACAAAGAGAGAAAACGGGGACAGGGCAGGAGTATTGTTGCCGAAGCTGGGATTACGAGGCGGGCGAGTGATGGCAAGAATCTGGGGAGTGATATGTTTGAGGAGCAGGTTGAGAAGGTTTAGGAATTCTTGGGTATTAGAAGATCGTATTATTATTTTGGCTGAATTTATGCCCTTAAGAGGCAGTGCTCGTTAGATATGAATTATGACTGATATCACTCATATGATCCGAAGGAAAGGAATTGCATTAACTCCCTAGTCGCTGCTATTCCCAACTTCCAGGCGGTAAAAATATCGACAATCGGCTATTGAGCTTTGTAGAGTGACTGAATAATGATGAATTGATTATTTAGAACCGCACCCCCCTCTCTCAATCGCACACATGTGAGGACGGGGCACGAGGGTCGCCTAGACCCGACTAGAAAGAGACTTTCAATAATACCAAGATTATAGGTGTTGGACCCCTGACACTCGCTACTCGCCTCCAAATATAGCTTAGTGCGCAAGCGACCCTTAGTGGGTTTAATTAGCCAGCGGTCTGCGTAGCCTTCATTCTTTACTCCTGTATCTTTGATACTAGAGTACTCATGGCGGAAGTCTCATTAAAACCCAATCTGGGCTGGAGAGACCGGCCAAAAGCCCAGCTTGACTATGGTGTTGGATGGGCATTCCGGTCACCCTCGAGCGAACGACGAATTGGAGAAGAAAGGACCTCAATAGTTGGTAGCCATCTTAGGCAACCACCAAAGATCCGAAACCGACAAACAAAGAAAAGAAGAAACAGGAAAGGTTTGTAGTCATGCCAAGTGATTATCCTGGTTGGCAGCGGATTACCAGGGAAATTGCGACCTGAATGTGTCTGATTCCTAATGTCTTTTATCCTGGGTCAATAGAACATTTCTACATGGAGCCTTTGATTCCCGGTATTCAGTTTCTTGATCGTCAATGTGGAACTTCCGTTATGAACACGTTCATGTTGACCCGATCACCAGATCAATTGGGCTTACTCTGTTATGCAGTATACTTGCGGAACGCCTAACTGCCAGACAGACAGAGCTTTGCTCTGAAATCCTAGGATGGCTACTGCTTCCATTGTTTACTAAGACGAAAGGACCTTCGAAGATTCAAGGAACCCTCGAATCGAATCCCATCAAAAACCCCGAGACTCTACCTACATCCATAGTAACTCTATGGCTAGTTGCCTCGAGCGTTGCTGGGTTTTGCTGGTTTCGAGCGGAGTTTGGCCTGATTGGATTCTTCGTAAGCCTTACACATCAGTGTTATCCCGAACATATACAGCTAACCTTTCTAAAGCCGGTACTAACACCGTTGCTATTGATTGTTCAGAAGTATTGTTTTAGAGTCGAGCCTCATGCCATCGTAGGACACGATCCAAGCATCTTCTTTCCCTGTTCAAGCACGATCTGGGTCTCAGCCATAGTGGGTTTGTTCGCCGTTGGCACACTGTCTAATTGGGACATTCGAAGCAATGTGCTCTCAATCTTTCCGGTCGCTGCTCTTCTGATTGCCTATATCGCCGTCGTGTCCAGCAATCGCCGGTGGACTCTAAATATTCCTCAACCTTTCTATTTTGAGCATGAAATCAAATCTCATGCTATCCGTGTTGTGGCTATTTTGGTGGTCGTACTAGGAATAGAGACGGTTGTCTTTGGCTTCCCTCCTGCTGACCCTATGCGAACAGGGACAATGGGGTTGGTGAAAGCTTTGAAGCTTTATTCTATAGTTTATGCCGTACGTCAATATCACTTTTCTCGATACAATACTAACTGATCCCATGTAGGCTCGGTACTTTTCGTGGCATACTATCACACTGACAGAAACATTCAGCATCATAGCAACTCGCGACCCCTTCACGCAGTCGTCCGACTTGGAAGCCGCCTCTCACGTAGTGGCAATTCTTCTTGTCCTGAGCCAGATTGCTTGCATAATTCCGAAGCGAGCGAAGGCAAAATCAGCCCTCTGCCTCTTCTTCTCTCTCATCGCTCTGTTCCCTTACGCTGCCAACATGATTGCCATTCGGATGGTACAATCTTCTTTGATACACTCACAGAAACATCCTGTGGAGGACCTAATCCTCAAATCCCAGGTGAAATTCGACGCTCTAATCCAGAGACAGTCCAAGAACCTCACTGGCGCGGCAGACGAGTATCGTCGTCGGTATCACGTCCATCCGCCACCAGGCTTCAACGACTGGTACAGATTTGCGCGTTCCCACCAGTCCCCTATCATGGATGACTTCGATACCATCTATCAGGGTATCTCGCCGTTCTGGAGACTGAGCGGAAGACAGGTTCTCGACGTCGTGGATCAGGCGCAACGTGCACCAGGAGCTGACCTGTGGCTCTGTGTCTTTTCAGGTCGTGAGGCTACAACACAATGTAGCCATCCCTTTCGCAAGTCGGACAGAGACATTAATCACCTATTCGATAGCCTCTTGCATCAACTCCCGGGTGTCCTCCCCGATGTCAAGTTTTTGGTCAACCACCTGGACGAACCGAGGGTCCTCATTCCACCACAACCAGCAGAGTCAGAAAGCGCATATCATGAGCAGAGTAATAACCGTGCTGATTTCTTTAATTTATCCGACATCTCGGGAAAGACAACCTGGGACACTCTGACAGAATTTTGCTCTTCTTCGTCTGAACACACAGGTGCATATCCCGACGCACACACAGAAACCCCATCAATTCTCCCATTCATCTCGAATCTGTCATCGGCTATAGACCTCTGTCGCCACCCCGAATACCGCAGCATGCACGGTCTGGCCATTAGCCCGACGAGCTTTCTACCATTCCAAGGCCCCGTGCCAATCTTTTCCACCGGCGCACCATCCACCATGGCAGATATTTTGTACCCCAGCCCGGCATACCTGCAGCCCGAGTTCCGTTATAACAACAACAGCGCCCACGACGTCCCTTGGGCACGAAAGCGCAATCAGCTATACTGGATGGGGTCTACTACCGGCGGATTTGCCGGTCCAGACACTCAATGGCAGCATCACCATCGCCAGCGATTCGTCCAGCTCGCCCAGAACCTCGACCAGAAGGATCATCTCTACCTTCGAGAAATAGACAATCACAACGGCGAGGCGACCATCACCTCCACACATTCCTCATTCCTCAACAGCCGTCTCTTCGACGTCGCTTTCACACGCATCACCCAATGCTCACCTTCCTCCTGTCGCGCCCAGCGACAATACTTCACCACACAGTCGTGGGCCGACAAGGACGGCGCACTAGGCTCGCGACTCGTCTTCGATCTCGACGGAAACGGTATCAGCGGTCGATACTACAAGCTTCTGGCCTCACGGTCGACGCCCCTTAAGCAGACTATATTCCGTGAGTGGCATGACGACCGGCTCGTGCCGTGGGTCCACTACATTCCTGTCAGTCTTGGAATGGAGGAGCTGCCCGAGCTAGTCTCGTACTTAACTTCGACAACAGCTGGGCAGGCACGGGCGCAGGAAATCGCGGAGCAGGGTCGGAAATGGTTCTTTCAGGCTTTGCGTGACGTGGATATGACGGTGTATACGTATCGGTTACTTTTGGAGTTGGCGAGGATACAGGATCCAGAGAGGGAGGCTTGGGAAATTCCTTGACAGAACCAATGGCTTTCGGGGGTATCTGCTAACTTACATGGCCGCGACATTTATATGTATAAATGGATGGATCTATAAGCCCTTTTATGCATCAGCCTATCCATGCTCTACTAGAACCTGCACTTCATTCACTACGCAAAATGCCGTCGTAGTTCTCGCAGCTTTGCTATCCACCCTAACTCTGGCATGCGCATTCTTCGTGAACACCAAGCCCAGTCCCAGCAAGAACCGAATCTGCTTCTCACGTATTTCAAAAACAAATTATATAAAGAGTGACTGTAAGCTAAAGAAAATAAGTTAAAGGGACAAAGAGTGGGAGTGCTAGTAGTAAAAAGATATATACTCTGTCTGGTGTCCTAAGTGACCTTACCTAATCAGGCATAGTGTGTGATTTCCACGCCAACAATTTTCTCGCCCCGCCTTCACCCTGACAGTGACAAGTGACCGAACCACCAAGAACAACGAAATGGGCAAATGGTTGGATGTCGTCCGGGACTGTGACAAGTAAGATACCACCAGAGCTGTGATATATATGAACAGTCCCAACTGACCTGGCATAGCTTTCCCTACGCTGAAGATGAGGACTCGCAACATAAACAACAGTACAGCTACGATTCCTTATGGAAGTTCTTCCTTCCAGAAGACCCTAGGCCACACGGTCTGATGGTCGACTCGGTTGTGTCAAAGATGCCTTGGACATCGGATTTCCGCGTGATCTCAACATCCCACAAGAAAGAAGTTCATCTTTTGCGGCCTCAAGGGGAACAGAATTGGCAAGGTCAATGCTCTAAAGCCATTGAGAGACAGGTAGCCGTCGCGCGAGAATCGGGGGCTTTGCCAGGCCTAGGGAGACCACGAGACGAACAATTCCCTATCGTTGGCGCTCGGTTCCCCGTGGGGATAGATCGCTCTGCCTTTTCGATGTTCGGGATTATTGGCCGCGGGGTACATATGACCGTGTACACTCAAACGGATTCAGGAATAAAATTCTGGGTGCCTCAGCGGAATGCGAACAAGTCAACGTACCCTAATTGTTTGGACAATACCGTTGCCGGTGGGATGGCTACGGGCGAGGGACCGTTAGAATGCCTGCTACGTGAAGCCACCGAGGAGGCAGGAATGTCGGAAGACAACCTGCGGAGGGATGTACGAGCCGCAGGTACGGTGACCTGGATCAACATCAGCGACGAAAGATCGGGAGGTCAGCCGGGACTGATTAATCCCGGGGTTCTATACGTCTACGACATGAAAGTGAAGCCCGACGTTGTCTTCCAACCAGTGGACAACGACATCGAAGCCTTCCACTTGATGGATGCGGACGAGGTGAAGCAGGCTTTGCTGGGCGGCCGATTCAAACCAGCAAGTGGATGTGTCATGCTTGATTTCCTGGTTCGACACGGTGTCATCACGCCTGAGGAGGAGCAGGACTATGCAGAGATTGTATCTCGGCTGCACAGAAAACTGCCCCTGCCGTCGCGCTCGTACTCGTAAATTTGCCGGAATCCTTCGGCGGCGGGGCACGTGGAGACCGCCACGGGCCATTTTCTATTTTCAAGCACGCTAGTCCCGATGAGGACGCCATGACGACATTCCGAAGGCTTAGCCTCCAGCGTTTCCTTCTAGGCAGCTTTCATTTCCCCTACATAACGTGTCGACGTCGACGCTTTCTTGCGTATCTTTTAATCTCTATTCTTAAGCAAAATACAGATCCTGATCAACCTCTCGCCAATTCAAATCCCCATTCGAAACAGCTTAACCATCCACATGTCTCAAGCCACAACCTCCCAAGGGACCATGTGGTCCAAAACCAAAAACATCGGCAAGAAAAACTTCGACAAAGCCTGGGACGCTCTAGACAAGCTCGGTGCGCCCGTGAACCGTCTTAGCAACAAGCTTGGCTCCGAAGCCTTCTGGCCGATGACGCTAGACAAAGAAAGCGAGAAGGTCGCTCGCATTCTGCGAAGCTTCTGTAAAGATGGAGTTTACGTCGAAGAATCCGCACAGTCAACGCCTCCGCCGACACAAGGGAATAATGCCTCTAAAAAGCAAATCGACAAACCGGTTGGAAAGCCGAAAGTGTTAAAGAAGATCCCATCAGAGGTTATCCGACAGGCCAAGGGTTTGGTGATCTTCACTGCCATGAGAACGGGGCTATGGTTCAGCGGTGCTGGAGGCAGCGGAATCCTGCTGGCCAGGGTCCCAGAGACTGGTGAATGGAGTGCACCCTCTGGGATTCTGCTGCATACGGCAGGACTCGGGTTCCTCGTTGGCGCAGACATTTACGACTGTGTCATGGTGATCAATACATACGAGGCGCTGGAAGCTTTCACGAAGGTCCGCGTTACCCTGGGTAGCGAGATTAGCGTCGCTGCCGGTCCTGTTGGAATAGGAGGAGTGTTGGAATCGGAAGTGCACACCCGTCGCGCACCCATCTGGACATACGTCAAGAGTCGAGGTTTCTATGCCGGTGTGCAGGTGGACGGAACGGTTGTTATCGAACGAATGGATGAGAACGAGCAATTTTATGGCCGGAAGATCCCTGTCCAAGACATCCTGAAAGGCCAAGTTTCGTCTAATCATCCTTCGGTGAGGATGTTAATGCATACGATTCACTCGGCGCAAGGCGACAAGCCTTTCGATCAGGCTCCCGCTGGAATGCAGGCGCCCACGGGACCGAGCCCTAGCGACTATGTACCGGAGGAGCTTGCCCAAAGCCACGTGGCTGGACCGACAGCAGGGCCGCCAATGGGACCCCCAACGGGGTACTCAACGGGACCTCAAGTGCCAGGAGGGCCAACAGGGCCAACAGCACCACATAGCGATGGACTGGCGATGGAATATTATGCTAGCGGGGCACAACAAGGTCCGCCGCCTAGATACTGTTAGGTACCTAGACGGGCAATCGGAACGCAGGCGTTGTCTTTGTCTTTTGTGAATTATGCTATTGTTATTATATCCTCTTGCTCTACAGGCAAGCCAGCCTTTGATTTAATAGATTGATATCCCTATGTCGTTCATGTGGAAATGTTTAGTTTCTTTCCCTCTTCTCACTCGCTATTCCTTTCGCCTCCCTTTGATGCGCTCTTCAGACTCGGGCATCAATCAAGTGTACTAAATTCCAAATTACAGCAACACATGCAGTCCAGGCGTGATCAGCGGCCGTGGGGACGGCAGTTTGATAAGACGGTAGCCGCTCACATGATTGCGACCTAGTATCCCGCGATTGCCAGAATCCGGGGTGAACCAAGTAAGTCAGATCTACGTACAACAGGCCTCTTGCTACCGTTGAGCTATGCCGTTGGTTCGAGCACCGATCCTTCCTTCAACTTAATGCGGCGTTTGAGAAATTGGTTTCAAATTAACGGCGTATGTGAGAAACAGGGTGACATATTGGCTACAGGAGAATCTTCTGAGCAGTATCGTGGTATAGATATTCTGTAACTGAGCGGGCGATGCGATATCAGAAACTAATCGTCTCAGCCGTGTACGTCCCACCATTGTGGATATTCTTCGAAGCCGAGAATGTTCCACTGAACACCTGAGTCGGGGTCGGCGATGTCACAAATTCCTTCACACGAGATTTACTCTGCACCGGTCTTGCTGTCTTTCTCCAGGCTGCTAATATACCCTTGGCGCAGGATGCAGCTGTTGCAGCTGCGTACAGCTGCCACTTTTTGTTCTTATGACTATCTGCATAGTCGCATGCGCCTTTAACCACGATAGTCGGTACTGTGTCCCACAGCCCGGCTGCTTCCATCTCAAAACCGATCACCCCTTCCTCTTCAGCAATCCGGTCGCGATATAAGGCAGAATTAACGATCATCTGGTCTGCTGAAGCAAGGCCACCAAAGTGTACCTCCGGACAGTGAGATTTGGGACTAATCTCCCTCGCGGCAGCCTGAACTCGAGCTCGAGGTATTAAGTTCTCAAAGTCACACCCGAGTTCGGCACAAGAGAGCTCCAAGGCTTCAAGACAAACATCATTCTCGGAGCAATCGCCGCTTGAACATGCTGTTCCATTATGTTTATGGCGATAGGTCGCCTCGAAGAGCTTATCCTCCTGAGCACCAGGATATGTCGAAGCCGCATTAGATAGGGTCGCAAGATTCTTTCGAATTTGACCTTCAAGCTCGCTCCGGGCGACGTTCCCTTTTAGCTTTGATAAGAAGCCAGCGATTTCTGGGCACGGTCTGCTTGGATTGTCATGCAGCGAGTTCTTCCGGATGAACCTATTTGAATATAGTGTTCCAAAGCCCGAGTTTATGATATGAGTACTGATGATTATGTCTCCCAGAATGATTTCCTGCTCCGTCTGTGTGAAAGGCACCGCGCCGCATATACCAACCAACAGACCAAGTCGAATGTGTGGAAAACTGTGTCGGAGGTTTGCTGCGACGGTAGATGCCGATACTAAGCCCCTACGAGGAATCTGAGCAAGAACGACGTAATGTTGACAGATCCGACCGATGGTATAGCCGTTGGTATCTCCATCAGCCTTCTCGAACTGCTCGTTTTGCTCCCATATCTCATCAAACAAAGCTATCATAGCATCAGCCTCGACGCCAAGTGTGCAGAAAATGGCAATCTCAAAGGCCTGACGATCTCGAGGCCGAGTAAGTTCGTTGCGCAGCATGGCTTATAGGGTCAATTGAGTCGCAATTTGGTATGATAGCAGTAACCAACGTAAATTTCAACTGTGCGATTCGAAAAGCCTAGACGGTGTGATACAGACGACACAAAGAACACGTGATATAATTAAGTATCATGACAATCAATTTTGATTTGCTAGGATTTACTAGGATTGATAGTTACCCCGCATTGAGCCGACCGTGTTTGCGTTCGCGGACCAAACCTCTTGTCTACCTACACCAAGATCCCTTCTCTTCCGTACCTGCCCTCACCAGGAGTGATAGTTCAAGCCGTGCCAACGATGAGCCAGACACAACAGTTCACTGGCCATTTCAGCAGTGAGCAGCACCAATTCAATGGCAACAACTTTTACGGCCCTGTCTCGTTTTCTGCGCCGCATCAAGGTGAACCACAGCGCCTAGTATCTACAAATGAATCCAGAAGTATATTTCCGGACGGAAGCAATGGTAGTATAGACCAAGCATCTGAACTTTGCCTGGGCGAAAGTCCAAGCTGGGATGGTAAGTGATTAAGAACCTAGTTGTCCGACTAGGGGAGGCTAATATAACAAGACTGTCTCAAATCACTGAGAGCTGAAGAGCTAAACGAGCGGGAGCGACTTGTAGACAGCCCTGCAGATGGTACCTGTGAATGGCTGCTCAACTCGCCAGAGTACTTGCATTGGAAGAGCGAGCACGGCTTGCTCCTGATTAGAGGCAAGCCTGGGAGTGGAAAATCCACGCTTCTGAAGTACGCACTGGAGAAAGAAAAGGAATATGCTGCTATGTCTGGATTTCTGGTGTTGTCTTTCTTCTTCCATGCCAGTGGCACGGAGCTTCAGAATGGGGCTATTGGACTCTTCCGCTCTTTGATCCTTCAGTTATTAGACCAGGATCAGAGCTCTCGACACATGTTTCGAGAAATTTGGCGAAACCGCTGGGTTACGGGAGGAAAAGAGAAACTGCATATGGAATGGAATGAGAAGGAGTTGCAAATGAGCTTCACGAAGATGGTGCTCCAATGTTGCGCTCGACGCGAAATTACCATATTTGTCGACGCTATCGACGAATGTGGAGATCAAGACCGAGATCGTATGATTGGCTTTTTCTACAGGCTGAAGGGTAGAGGACGACAAAAACTAAGTAGGCCGAGAATTTGCTTTGCGAGCCGTTCCTATCCAGATGGCCAGATAGAAGCAGAGTTTCGTGTTAAGCTGGAAGAGCGAAATCGGTATGATATCGAGAGTTTCATGGAGCAGGAGTTGCGGCAGCCTGACGAAACATCAGGAGATGCAACAGTACTGAAGGATATCTTGTACAGCAAGGCTGAAGGTATGTTCCTTTGGCTGGTTCTTATTATCCCTCAGGTTCACGATTTGAGTGGTAAAGGATTGAGTTTCAAGTTTATCCTGTCCAAGATTTTGGGATGTCCCCGAGAACTTAATAATATGTACGAAGGTCTTCTGAAAAGAATTGAAGACGAGGAGCTCTTAGAAGCTTGCACTCTATTCCACGTGGTGTTTACCTCGCCTCGACCTTTAGCTCTCGATGAGCTCAGGATTGTCATGAATGCTCAACCAAGTGGTGAGAGGGAATCCCTACTAGATAAGGAAGGCCAAGAACACCCACACGATATAGAAAACGACGCTAAAATGAAGAAGAGAATGATACATTTGAGCAAAGGCCTCATCGACGTGACAAGTGCAACAGATGAACAAGGAAAGGCTGTTGTCGTCTTTTGCCATGAAACCGTCAAAGACCATCTACTGAAAGGAGGCTTGGACTATCTGAATGGCCGCTTAAAACAACATCAACGGCTTGCCAAAGTTGCAATCCCCCGGCCTGATAACACGCATCTACTCGACGTGTTGACCCAAGGAACTTGGAATTTGTGGAAACGAGCAATAATATCAAAGATGCTCAACTTTCCTTTTTATGTTGCCATGTACTGGCTGTAACATACAATTGCAGCTGACCGAGAGAGGAATGCAGGAAATGGATTGCGTGATCGAACCAGAACATACTGGGCATATTGCATAGAAGTGCAACAACAGGCGGTCTTAAGGTCTTGTGTAAGAAACCAGTTTTGTGCACATAACAGAATAATAAGGGATGGTTTCATTGGGGAAAGTATATTTACTAGAGCCCGCAAAAGAGTATAAGCTTCTATACGAAAACGGTTGAAGTTGTGGTATGTGTGATTGAGACGTGTTCAGCTTTCTCTGACTGTTCACTTTGGGACATAATACCACACTCAAAAGCTCATGACAAGTTTTCGATTGACGTCTCGGGTCTTGCATAGAATTTGAAATGGTATTTAGCGATTATCAGCGCAGGAAAAAGCACCATGTGCAGACTTCGCGCTAAGCGCAATGCTTTCTCCGGTTGCCCAAAGGCCCATCCCACACTGCGAATGTCAGTAGCCACCAAATAACCTGGGTACATCTTAACTTACTATCAAGCAGCACAGCAAAACCAAGAATATATTAAGAGCAGCCAACGCGATCTTGGGTCCCGAGTCAAACCTCCTGTTCATGTGCAACCAGAAAAGCCCTTCCAGCCCAAACGAGAACCAGCTTCCAAAGGCCGCCGCTAGAAGGTTCGGCATGTCATTAAAAACAGGGATCGCATTAGCAATGACCCATGCAATTGTCCACAAAAACAGAACAATGAGCACCCAGGACCCATAAGATATGACTGATCTCTCGTTCATCCGGTTCGTGCCGCGAAAGACCCGAACGTATATAGTCTTGGCTCCAACATGCCCGAATATGACACCGGCAATCACTATTGTCCCGACGGCGATGCCAAATGCAATCTTTGCGACGATGGGGCTTGCGCTTAATAACGCGGGACTTTTAACACCTGCCCCTGCGTAGCGATAGATCACAACAGCGGAGACGAGGTAGATGGAGGTATCGGTAATCTGTAGAGTTATAAGAGCCTTTGTGAAGTCTTTTGGCTCTGCTAGCTCGGATTGGAAACTCAAAAATGCCAGGTGACCTGCAAAGGAGATGATAATATTCAGAGTGGCAGAGAATCCGGAGCGGAGGGTGGGTTGGTTTATAGCAAAGGCTGTGGGATCTGGGGCCTCGATACCGATGGCGATCACCGTGATCATCACTGATGTGAAAATAGACAGGGAGGCTATCATTGATAGGGGCAATGAGTCATTATCTCGAAGAGGAGGTTACGATATGCTCAGTGGAAAGCTTACATATAACTCCCAAGTAGGAAACTTCTTGAAGACGCCTCGAAAGCGTCAGGAGGAAACATAGAATTGCACCCACCAAGCTAAATATTATAGAGCAAGCCCCGTGGTCGGTCAAGGTATTCATCATGATCGAGAAAATGAGGATATGCCCACCCATAGAAAAGATGAAGAAGATGACCTGGGCGACCGTGACGATCTCGCGACCCACAGTGCCAAAGAGTATCTCTGCGGCGTCGGACATGTTGTGAACTTGGGGATACCGCAATTTGAATTGACCGAGGACATAGCCAGTATAAGTTGTCAAGCCCCCGATTCCAATAATCAGGATAAACCCACTGTTACAACAATGAGAAAAGCTCGTGCAAGGAACTAGAGAGGTATCGAAAAGCAAACAACATACGGCACGAAACCTAGTGTTGCCATCGAAGATGGGAGTGACAAAACCCCGAGGGAGATTGATTGGGCGATCATTACTAGAATTTGTTAATTGTGATCAATATCCATCCTCAAGAAAGGACCTTCAGACATATGGCACAGTTCCTGCCATTTGTATACGTTAATGTTAAATTACTCGATGCAGCTTCTGGGAACTTAAGGCGCCAATTACATACCACCATTTCATGCTTCGATATTGTACTTCAGCTCCTTCTTCGCCGAGGAAAGGGTCTTGTCGCCGAGGTGAGAATGTTGCGTCTTTGATAGTACCCACGTCATGAAAAGTTCCTTGTTCCAAGGAATATTGTGCATGGCCTTCATTAATGGAATGTCCATCGTCACGATCACTCTGATTTGTCTTCTTAATCGCGTCAGTCATATTATCGGCTTTGAGGCTGCAAAAGCAGATGACTTTTAGGAGGATATCTGCTGAGATTGAAGTGGGAACTGGCCTTCGCTGGACTGACAGACCGACCTTTATATCTTCTGTTATCTCGATCTGCACAGCAAAGATAGAGATCCCGGATTTGGCCTCGGATTTCCCCGCATTCAAAGGCCAGTGAGATTGAAGAAGCTCATTGCAAGTGGTTCAGGTGCAAGTGGGCACGGATGAGTCCTTCTTCACCGTCCTGAATGCGGGGCAATAGATGACTTTATCGGACTGGAAAAGGAAAAGTGGACGGAATCGAGGACGCAAAACACCCGCTCACGTGGACGGATAATGCACTAGAATAAGTGCAGTGGCAGAATTCGACAGTATCCTCTTCAGGCCAATCCAACAAGAATATGATAATTCTGTATTGATAAGCACTATCCAATCCCCTACTCATTCGAAGAAGCAATTGGCGCAATGTTCACGATAACCCCCACCCCCTCCTCATGGGCATCCAATTATCCGGCTCTATGAACTCGTGAAGTTGGTCAACGAGCCATTCGACAACAGCCAGGCACTGAAGGTGAAGCCAGACCAAATTGAGAAATTACTCAGAAAACCAAGAATGTCATTCTCCAATCGAATATCTCTAGTGCAGTACACTGCGTATCCACCAAGTCATTTCCAAAGAACCATGAGGCTGAAGCCCAAGACAGGCTACGTAGGTATTCCAGCTTGATTATCGCCAAGAAGGATCAACGACACCATACCAACATAACCCAAGCACAGCACCTAACAGAATTGCAGCCGCAGGCGGAACATTGAACCATGCACTCTCAGCATAAGTAACAGCGGCAATTACAACCCACCAGGGTTCCTTCGCCAGACTCTGTCCATCACGCTCCTGGGGAGTCAAATAACCAATCTCCCAGAGCCGGTAAACTGCCGTAAAGACTAATCCCACAGCAGATGCATTCACACCGCGGAGAAAGTCAATAACATACTTGTGTTTTCGCAGCACACGCCAAAAAGATTGAATTGCGAGGGCAAGCGTGATGCCAGGGAGGAAAATCCCCAATCCACTAAGGAATGCACCGAGAACAGTAGCGTAGGATGTTCTTCCAAGGGCGAGAGCACCGAGAAAAACAGCAAAATTGAAGTTTGGACCAGGAAACGCTTGGATTATGGCGAGGCCGATGAGGAAGTCCCGACTGGACACCCAGCCCGGATCCACGACGTAGGAACGAAGTAGAGGAATGACGACTGGACCCCCACCAAAGATCACTGTACCTGCAAGGTACATATTTGCAAACAGGTCAAGAGCCAAAGGGGGCGCTGAGAGCTTGGCTCTTGTAACAAGAATGGTGATGAAGGAGGCTGCAGTTTATAAGTCAGCTCATGTGTAGTAAAGTGCCGTTCAAAATTCCCGGACAGGGCTCACCAAAAAAGAAGATGAGAACTGTCACCCCAACACGAGTACGAATGACATAGTCGCGTGACGGAGGCACCTGTGTTTCTTCTGAAAGCAACGTATCAATTGGGCGTGGCGAAGAAGCCACTGCATCTGGCCTCCTCATTCGCAGCATCTCCACCCCTGTCCCCACTGATGGATTCGCCGCAAATGTACGCTCATGGTCCCGGGACCCGGGCATATCACCCTCCGGCTCGTGCTGTCGGTTTCTATCTCTCCATGCTTTCTTCGCCCTCAGAATCCGCTGACATACCCTCCCATCCCATAGTGCAGTGGAAACTCCGCCAGCGACCATTAAAACAGGAAAATACCAAAGCGCACTATAGCAAAGGCCCGCACATGCACCGAAAATAACCAGAATCCGAGAGATCTTGTCACGAATTGCCTTTTCAGCTAGCTGGACCGCAGCAAGAGCAATTATGCCTACTGTGGAGGCGTTCAACCCGGAAAGAAGAGCGTAGACTGGTGCAGGAAGTGTTTCCTCAATCCGTTGCACGCCGAGAGAGAGGGCATACATGCCGATTGCGCCGGGGAGACTAGTGGATTAATTAGCACATGGTTATATCGATGTAAATCGAAAAGGTATTTGAAACTGGTACATACCACCAGAGAAAAAATACAAGCAAAGCAGGGACAAATCCTGCGTGTAGCAACGCTAGACAGAACAACATCTTTGTTGACGCCGGGCCTGGAAGGCCCTGGCATATGGCGAAGAGCTCTTGATACTACACTAATTAGTCCATGATACCACTTTCACTACACCGCTGGCACCTACTGTCTGATCATCAACCCACTTCTCCTTTTCCACAAACCGAGCATGGAATATCTGGAAATGAACCGGTGGTCCTCCAAAAGACGTAAATCCCAAATACCAGGTATGGTGGATAACGTCTCTCAAACGAGAAAGCAAGGGCTCTTCCCCACGTGTAGGATCGGTTGCTCCTGCATGACTGCGCCACTTTTGTTTCAGTAATCGTAGGGACGAGATGAGTCGCGATTGGGTTGGCAGAAGCATTCTGAATTATCTTGAGCCCCGAAATTTCAGATAGCAGAGGCAGTGAGTGATGACCTGTGTGAAATCGAGAATTTTGAAAGGGGAACGTGCGATGGGCTCAGGTCTGGAGCCAAGTCTGCCCTTGTCCAATACAAGATCACTGACTTTGCACATGCTCGAAGCCAAGACCTTGGCATTATAGATGTCACTGCTGAGGCTTTGGCTGGTTAATCCAGATTAATCTAGACTCCTGTTCAGGTTAGACAAGTATCATGAACTACTACTGTACTGCCTGTCGTGGGTAGAGCTGACTTCTTGCTCCCCCTCTTCCGGAGAAGAAAAGAGTTACTTTGAGAGATGGCACATCCAGCAGTTGTACACATAACAAGGTTTGTATGAAACATCGATTACTAGAAGCTTACATCAAGACCGCTCAGAATACTATATTTGTTTCATCTGTGAATCTTGCCTATTGTATGTGACCAAACTAACTGGCGATATGTATGGAATCCCCAAAAAGGGCGATTGCGCTATTAACAAGATGATCGTGGTCCACTCTACAGAATAGCTATTTTAGATTCGTATACCAGCGTTGCAAGTAATACACTATTCGTACTAATGATTGATACGTAAATCTTAAAAATAAAGAAAAGAAATTGCAATGTAAATCCAGGGCTTGATCAGCATGCCGGACGCCGACCAGCGGAGTCGGTTTTTGCATCCAACGCGTTCCCCGACCTGACGGTTATCCCGACCCACACTCGCACAGTCCCTACACGCATTCCGGCAGGCTATACTTTCAGCATGACTTCATTTCTAGAACCAGTTGGTTACGTGGATTGGTGTCCTGAGTTGAAACGCCTTGTTGTAAACTGCAACGAGCCTGTTGTCAACCGGCCCTTATATAACTCCTGCCTGGATTTTAAGTCGTCCTTCCATGTTGAGAAGTACGCTGCTGCCCACGTGTAACCCAGAGACCTGCAATGAAGACTAGCTTCACAATCGCAGAACCGGAATCCGAGGCCCGAACTGCAATCGCATAGAGAATAGTGGGGCTTGATACTGAATTCACAATTCAAGAAGGGGGTGAGAAGCTGCCCAGCAGCAATCGGGTCGTTAACTTCTAATCCGACTGTAAGCCTGGTACCTAAGTTCACAAATAGCATCAATACGACTAAATTCATGGTTGCCGAAATAGTACTATACAGTCCCCAGGCACAAGGTAATTGAGCGCGGAGATAACCACGAACATGAAGGAATCGAGAACTCAATTTACAAAATGAAAGGGCTCCAGAGGTAAGTACACATAATTTTTGCGCGTGTCGTTGGAGCGGAGAATTTAAGAGCATTCCTCACGGCCAAGAATCCCCCCCTGCTCTGGCTTCGCATTTTGACAGTACAACATTTTTATAACATCATTTGCACGTGTAGAAGTTCATGATGGTCACCCAATGATTGAAGGGGTTCGTTAAAGGTAGGATAAAACAGAGCGTTTGTAGCATATGCAGGTCCTTGCGTCCATCGGCATTCCAATGTTCTGTGAAGAAGTGTATGCGAGGGAGGAAATCGAGACATAACCTGATCGCCCCTGCGACTACCAACGAATAGTCTAAATTTAAAGGGGGTGGTAGAAGGGGAGAAAGATGTGAACAAAAAGGAAGATAGAAACATAAAATAGTCGAGCCCCTTTGGTGGACTGGAGCATCCAGACCATGTCGGGGATATGGCTTACAATCAGGCATCAAGATCAATGTATCTCATTGCTTATTTCGTATTGTTGCAGGGGTAAGGACTGACCTAATCGAAGAGATTGTAGTAGCGCATTCCTACGTATACGAGCTTTCACACAGGCTCGAGACCAATGTCCTACGTAAAGGCGGGTCCGCATCGTGTCCAAGCAAGTTGTTGAGGCCGACTCCACTTTCTTCATGGATCCATCCGTAGAGAGACAAGTACAAATGACAGTCACGGAGTTCGTTTTTGAATCATACGAGGGGCGAGTATAACAATATGGTTTGCTGACTCCAGCTGCATGAACCCAGACCTTCCCGGCTGAGCAGATGTGAGGGTGGGAATACGACCGTGGAGAAACATAACCCCTAGGATTTGCTCGTCACAATGATGAAACACAGGTTTATACCCAACTATTGGTACCTTTACCACGTACCTAATAGAGTATTCCAGCTTGGCACTGTGTAACAATCCGTGTCCTCATCGACGTCTAATGATGGCCTCGAAGGGCACTGCATGAGTGCATCATCTAACTCGTGCTGGCTGCGAAAGGCCCGAGCATGCATCTTGCTTGATTTGCCCCTTATACATCTTGAAGCGGAGTGCAAACTGTGTCTAGGCTTTAGAAGTGTCGCAGACCACAGATTCCCTTGAGCTGTCAAGCCGGGAACAGCATGGAGCCAGAGTTCAAAGTCATCATTGTTGGCGGATCCATTGCAGGTCTAACACTTGCTAATTGCTTGGACCATTTAGGGGTCGACTATGTCGTGCTGGAGAAGCGAAAGGAGATTGCACCTCAGGAGGGTGCCTCGATTGTTCTCATGCCACATGCTGGCCGAATTCTGGAACAGTTGGGATTGATCGATGAGATCAGCAAATTTATCGAGCCGCTGCACACCGCTCATGTCTCCTATCCTGACGGCTTCAAGCAAACCGACCGAGCGCCGCAGGTGCTCCTTGAACGGTATTTTCACTTCTACTTGCCCTTCGACTGTCTGTTATGACCGATCGACTGATACTCCGTACTGCTATACAATAGGTTCGGGATCCCTCTGGCCTTTCTAGAACGGCGTAAGCTATTACAAATTTTATATGGTTCTCTACGAGACCAGTCCCGCGTGTTAGTCGACAAGACCGTTGTTTCTGTACAGCAGAGCGAGGACGACATCGTGGTCGTTAAGGTACAGGATGGATCGATCTATCGCGGTGACCTTGTAGTTGGAGCCGACGGGGTGCATAGTCGAGTACGACGTGAAATGTGGAGTTTGGCCGAGTTGCAGTATCCGGGCAAGATAACAGAAGAAGAGAAAAAGGGTAAGTGAGCTCCCTCGATATACAGCCATGATATTTAAAGAGACAATCTGACTTCTGCATTCTATTTAGGCATGGAGGTCGACTACGTTTGTGTATTTGGCATATCAAATACAGTGCCAACCCTCCATCCCGGTGAGCAGGTAACTGGATATCAGTATGGGAGATCTCTTCTCGTTTTCCCTGGACAGAACGGTCGGGTGTACTGGTTCCTTTTCAAGAAACTTGAGCGCCAATATGAATATCATTCGGCCCCTCGATGGGTCGAGGGGGATGCTGCTAAGATAGCGGAGGAATTCGCGTTGGACGATGTTTGGGCTGGCCTTTCATTCAATCAGATATGGATGACCAGAGAAGTCGTTGGTATAACCAATCTAGAGGAAAATGTATTTTCCACCTGGCACTCCGGCCGTGTGGTCTGTATTGGTGACAGCATGCACAAGGTATGTTAAAGGCCTGCCTGGTACTGAATCCACACTCACAGAAACACTGTGCTAGTTTGCACCCAATACAGGACAAGGAGCAAATAGTGCAATCGAGGACGCTGCAACATTATCTAATTGTATCAGCAAAGCGATTGGCACGAAGGACAATGCATTTCGCCCGTCCTATCATACACTGCAGCCAGCCTTACGTTCCTTTAGCCAGAGCCAGGCCAAGCGTGCCCAGGAGATATCTCGAAGTGCCAGGCTGGTCATAAGGCTTTCTACAGGCGATAGTCTGCTCCTGCGACTTGTTGGTAGGTTTGTCCTGCCCTATATTGGTGACATTAGATCAGATGTCGCATCAAGGATAATCGCCGGTGGAGTACAGTTGTCCTATTTGGAGCCCTCACATTGTTCTGGGCCTGGCTGGCAAGACTTTCGCCGTAGCCAAGAGAATCGATTAAGCTATAGTGCTATTTTTGTAGCTCTAGGACTTGCTACGTGCCTGGCTGCTTGGTTGATAGGATCTGGACTGATTTTGTCGTGAAGCGTTCATATGCATCGAGTAGATAAAGATCAGGCTTGTAGAGAAGGGAAGATATAACAACCTCAAAACGCATGACTCTAACTTCTCACTGTTGTGGCATCGCCAGTACGTTACGACCATTCTACTAGCAAGAACCCAGTACAGCGTTTCCGCAACTCGTAACGGACTCTCGCGCGGATAATCCCCTATCGGAGAATAGCCTAGTAGACAATGGCATCTATGCCGTAACTGTTAGTCTATTCTCCTTCCAAAAAAAGACCAACAGATGCCTAATCATGCAGTGAAACATGTTGTATCTTTCTCATCCATGGAGGGGGCAACAGTAGGATCGGGCAATTGAAACCCCTGATTCATCCCGTCACTACCATTGTCGTTTCCTACCCAGCTGGCAACAATACCCTTGCAACATTTCTATATCATTTTTCATTTTGACACTGGGATGTCTGATCAATCATAAACATCGTGACATTATCCTGGAACTCGATATATGGCTTTCGTCGAGGGACTGCCAGGAACCAGCAACAGCAAGAGTCCAACACTGTTAATCTGCTCTTGCTGTCAGCAGGTGTGCATAATCCGATGAGAGACGCCATTTCGTATTAATCCCGGTCCAATTTGAAATAATACGTGGTAGCAATCAGCTTGCACACAACCTATTTTGTTACTGGGCATGCCATAGGCCGCATTCGTTGCCCAAGCGGATGATCTCGGATGGGTAGTAGAGGGCGAGCTAAGTGTATGAAAAGGTCATACATACACTAGGTAATAAAGGGCAAGCGGAGGCCATACAGCGAGGGATCCAAAGATATGACCTTTCCATCATCAGGATACAGTGAGGATAAAACTGAGGTTACGCAACCGAACACGAGGCCTCTGACACTGGTCTGTTACTGGCTGTGAATGGTGCGACGTTTGATTAGTGGAAAGACTAGAAACAACATAAAGAGAACAAGGTACTCTCTTCGAGTCTAGACAGGGTGGCTCTCAACCTACTGTCTAACTCGCGCCAGCCCTTTTGGTCTGGATCATGGAAGCATTCAGCCTGGATGGAGGGCCTCCTGAATACCAGCAAGTGAGGCCACTATTGCAGACGGTTCTTTTTGCCTCTGGTCTGTCATGGTTAGCGAACTACTTCATCGTGATCAGGGCGGCCTTTCGCGGCAACCCACCGGGCGTATCGATGATCCCACTCTGCAATAACCTCGCTTGGGAGCTTGTATATGCCCTCATCTACTGTCCACCACATTTCGCTAATAAAGTGGTCTTTCGATCCTGGTTGCTCGTCAATGTTTTTGTCATTTACTCCATGGTCAGAAGTGCACAAGGGTTGAAATCGGATTCCCTCTTCCTACCACGCTACACATCCTTCTTTGTCGTCGTCGGCATCACATGGTTCTTTTCCGGTCATTGGTCGCTTGCAGTGTATCTCGGGCCCACCAGGGCCCTTTACTGGGGTGGAATGATATCCCAGGTGATCGTCGCAGTGGGTGAGCTCGGTGTTCTTATCCAACGAGGACACACGCGTGGACTATCATACGCCAGATGGTGAGGTTCATTTTATTTCCGTATGCTAGTGCTCCGGATGTTTCTGACGAGTTCTGGTGCTGGGTAGGCTATCACGATTTATCGGTGCAGTTCTTGCAATGGCGAGTGTGTATATCCGGTCATATTCCTGGTCGGAGGAATGGGGATGGTCCGATAATGTTATGATGACCTGGTTGGTTGCCTCTTCAGTTGTTTTGGATATTGTATATGGGTTCTGCTTCTGGTTTACGCGTCGAGTCGAGCAGCATGAGAGACTCGGTATGAAGAAGGGGTGATCCCTTACAGTTTCTGTCAACATCGTCATGGGGAAAGAAGCAGAGAACGAATGGAAAGATTTGAGCAGAATACCAAGAGCGATCCTAAGCTCAGACAAAATTGTCAGCACGTACTTAAAGCTCAAACATTGAAGCGTGAGATAAGATAAAGAATGGTTCATAATGGTGAAAAGCATCGAATGTTTACGGCAAAAGCTATTCCTCCGCTCTGTAGTGGGAGGTATATAAGTCGGGTGTCAACTCCGTCCCCGCATCCAGAGTACCACCGTATCTTACCATCACAACTCCATCATGGACTCCCTCGACAAGGCGTCATCCACAGCTTTCACTATTGATAATATCCCTTTTGGGGTCATCAGTACTCCCGATAATCCCACCCCAAGATGTGCCACCGCCTTCGAGGACCAGGCGGTCGATTTGAGCGGACTGGAGAACGACGGGGTTTTTGCCTCGATCGTAGACTTTGGCACCGGTGTTTTCTCGCAGGTGATCTTTCACACTTACTGGTCTTCTTTTTGAGTGCAATAACTGTCTAACACATATGGACGTATATCTATAGCCGAGTTTGAACAGCTTCGCTTCCCTACCGAGATCCATCCAGGTCGAAGTCAGAAAAAGACTGATTTATTATCTCGAATCCACGGTAATCAACAAAGAAGAACGACAGAAGTGTTTCACCCCGATCGGTCAAGTCACAAACCATCTACCTATGAACACAGCCAACTATACGGACTTTTATTGTTCCCTTGAACATGCACGCAATGTAAGCCACCGTCGTTTACATCTACGGGGCATTGTAAGCGCGAGCTAATATATTTCTAGTGTTCTGAGGTCATCGGTCTCGAAGTCAACCCCAACTGGTACTGCATACCCTCATGCTACAACGGCCGCACATCAAGCCTCAGAATATCGGGCGAACCCATCCGTCGTCCATGGGGCGTGATCCAACCCTCTGAACCAGGCTCCTCTGCAGCCTGGGCCCCTAGCCGACGACTCGACTTCGAGCTCGAAATGGGCATCTACGTGTCCAAGCCCCTTCCGCCGGGGCAGATACTTGACATCCGCCAAGCCCGTGATCATATCTTCGGTTTCGTCCTTCTGAACGATTGGTCGGCGCGAGACATCCAGGGGTTTGAAATGAGCCCGCTCGGTCCGTTCCACAGTAAGGGATTTGGAACGACTGATCTCGCCGTGGGTGGTCACCATGGAGGCCCTGGTGCCGGTCGCGTGTGAGAGAGTCATCCCGCAGAGTCCGGAGCCATTGAGACATCTCGCCTGGAAGGGGCTGGCTGAGGAGGAGATTTTTAGGGTGGAGTTGTCGGCGAAAATATTGAGTATGATTATTTCTGCACTCGACCCTTGACAAATGAAAAAGCGATAGGTGGACTAATTGGGTTGACCAGGAAATGGGAAAATATATCCCGTCACAACGACTAATCTCAACGAGCTATACTGGAGTCCGTATCAGCAGATCACTCACCTCGTCAGTGCCGGAGAAGGTCTAAGCACAGGTGACATTCTGGGAACGGGGACGCTGTCGAGTAGCGTACGTTTGTTACTTCCTACGTTAAGGTTTGGCTGACTTGAGGAATTTAGCGAGTGGATTCGACGGGAGAGAAGATAGGACTGGCATGTTTACTCGAGAGAGCTCTTCCCAAGAACGAATTGAGTGCCTTGAAGAGCGATGGGCTTGTCTACTTGGAAGATGGAGATGAGGTTGTGTTCGAAGGGTGGTGTTGGAATCCTCATAGTAGCAGGTGATTTGGGTTCGGGGAGTGTCGTGCGGCGATTCTGCCGGCGTTGGACTTGAGGGATGCATAGGAGATCATGGCTCTACCATAATTATCTCTTTCGTTTTCGAATTGGCCACTACGTACCTAGGGACCATGAATATATTCAAAGAATGCGGCGATAAGATAAGAAGCCATTACGTAATCGACGGGCCGACTTAAGTCCGGTGTGGGATGTTTTCCGAAAATCGTCGCTCATTGCGATATGAAAATGTTCCGCTGCGGAGAAAATCACTGCAGTTCGGTTCTTTTCCCCCGCAAATCTCGTCACAATGGGTAAAGGCAAGCGCGGCAAGAAGGTGAGATTGCACTTATAGTCTAATGACTCTTCGCGATTCTTCCCTCGGTCGAGTTCAATCAATTAACACTGTCGCAGGGCGGCCCGGCCAGAGGCGAGCGCCAGAACTGGCAGGATGTCCCCAGGACCAATGCCAAATTGGAAAATTACTACAATGCGCAGGGATTCATCCCCGAGGAGGATAAGGAAGCGTTCTGGGAGGCTATGCGCAGAGATCTGCCTAACAGCTTCCGGTTTACGGGATCGCGAGGGTATGTGTCCGACCGGAGTAGCGTAATGCGCCGTCGTTGAGCTTACATCCGTTGTGCTAACAATGAGACACCTTTGAAGACACGCTCTCGCTGTTCAGAAGAAACTCCAGAACCACTTCATCCCCGAGATCACCTCCATCAAGTATGAGGGCAACCTGGTCGAGCCTCCTCGCCCCGTACCCTGGTATCCCGACGAGCTTGCCTGGTGGATGACCACCCCCAAGCAAGTCATCCGCCGTTTCGCGCCCTTCGCATCCTTCCAGAAATTCCTTGTCGCCGAGACCGATGTCGGCAACATTAGTCGTCAGGAGGTTGTCAGCATGATTCCTCCCCTCTTGATCGATGTCCGACCTGGCATGACCGTGCTTGATATGTGCGCCGCACCCGGTAGCAAGTCCGCGCAGCTGATGGAGCTTCTCCATGCTGGAGAAGAGGAGTCGATGCAGGACGTGTCCAAGCAGTTGAAGGAGGGCAATGCGGGCCCCGAGCCTCTGGGCCCCGAGGGCCTGAACGATGATGGCAGAACCACTGGCCTGCTGATCGCGAACGACGCTGACTACAAGCGCGCCCACATGCTTATTCACCAGATGAAGCGACTCAGCTCGCCCAACCTGATTGTCACAAACCACGACGCTACCATGTATCCTTCGATTAAGCTGCCTCCTCTCCCTGCGGCCGATGGAAAGAAACCCCAAAACAGATACCTGAAGTTCGACCGTATCCTTGCGGATGTTCCTTGCACCGGTGACGGCACTGCCAGAAAGAACATTGGTGTCTGGAGAGACTGGACCCCTAACAACGCGATCGGTCTGCATGCTACGCAGGTCCGCATCCTTGTGCGTGCCTTGCAGATGCTGAAGGTTGGTGGACGCGTCGTCTACTCTACGTGCAGTATGAACCCGATCGAAAACGAGGCCGTTATCTCTAGCGCCATTGACCGATGTGGCGGCTCTGCCAACGTCAAGATCCTCGACTGCAGCAACGAGCTGCCTGGCCTGAAACGGAGATCTGGTTTGAAAACGTGGACCGTGATGGATCGCGAGGGTCGCATCTGGAACAACTGGAAGGAGGTCGAGGAGCGGAGGGAGAAGGAAGGCATTACTGGTCTGGGCAGAATGGCCGAAGGCATGTTCCCGCCCAGCGGTGAGAATGCGGACCTACCTCTAGACCGGTGTATCCGTATCTATCCTCACCTGCAGGATACCGGTGGTTTCTTCATTACCGTGCTGGAGAAGACTTCCGAAATCAAGGCCAAGCCCGAGGATTCCAGCAAGGTCATCCCCAAGGGCACCATTGCCGCCCTCACGGAAGAGCTCGATTCTAAGCAGAAGAACGGGAACGGAGAGCCGCTCGAGAAGATCGAGGCGTTGGATGATCTGGTGACTCCTGACCAGGCCGCCGCCGAAGAGGCCAGCAAGAATGCGACGGTTGCCGAATCGACCCACCAGCCCCCCTACTCCGCCACTAACCAGATCTCGCCGGCGAAGAGAGATGCGGACAGCCTGGAAGATGAGCTGCCTAGCAAGAGGACCAAGCTTGAGGACGGCACCGAAATCGTTCTGGGCGATCGCCCTGTCCACAAGCCTGCCGAGGTGGCCGAGTCTGACAACATGGATACGTCGGAGGCCAACTCTACACCCGCTCCTCAGGAAACCACCGAACTGGTGAAGAGCGAGCCCAAGGCCCAGCCTCCCCAGAAGCGCAAGCCGGGCCAGCCCATCGAGGAGCCCTACAAGTATTTGGATCCAGCGCACGAGGAGGTCGAGTCCATCTTCAAGTTCTACCAGATCTCGGAACGATTCCCGCGGGATCGTTTCATGGTTCGCAACGCCCAGGCATACCCCTCCAGAACCATCTACTATACCAGCGCATTGGCGCGTGACATTCTCACGACCAACGAAGGCCACGGCATGAAGATCACGCATTGCGGTGTCAAGATTTTTGTCAAGCAGGACGCGCAGCGCCTGGATGTCTGCCGCTGGCGAATCCAGACCGACGGACTGCGGATTCTTGAGCCCATGCTGGGCCCTGACCGGTCCGTCACCCTCAACCAAAAGTCCACCATGAGGAAGCTTCTCGTGGAGATGTTCCCCAAGGTCGATGACAACGGATGGCAAAACCTCGGAGAGATTGGTGAGCGCGTGCGGGATATTCCCATGGGTTGCTGCATCTTGTATGTTGAGCCCGATGGCAGCGAAGACGTTTGGACGTATGTTTCTTCCCCCTCCCCACTTTTCTTTTAGCATTTACTAATCGTTAATAGTGAGCGCATGGTTCTTCCCCTATGGCGCTCTCTGCACTCCGTCAACCTGATGCTTCCCAAGGAGGACCGTCGCGCCATGCTCCTCCGTCTCTTCAACGAGGACCCCCCATTGATCAACATTACCCAGAAGCGGGCCAACGCTGCCGAGACAGCCACGCCGGAGACGCCGGCGGTCGTGACGGCCAGCGAGCAGGCAACCCCCGCCACCGCGCCCGCCGAGGCCGAGGAGGCGGCAATCCAGCAGGAGAACATTGCATTGGGACAGGACGAGCAAGAGCAGGCGGAAGTCCGGGAGACTTACACCAAGGCCGGAGATGAGGAGGACCGGTTCAATACGACTGTATAATGTGGGGGAATCAGCACGCTATACCCAGTCACATCTCTGCTTGTCAAATTACATGACGCAAACATTTAAAATGTAATATAAAAGAATCTGACGTTTAGAGCTTGGCGGTGTTTACTTACTCGTTTTTGGCATTGCCCGTATACTTACACCGGAGTATGTGGATGCGATTGATTGATCCCTGCTCGTAAATATTGTTGTACTGTTCGCCTCACCCGCTCTAGCGTCATTGACTGTCTAGAAAGCTCAGGCACCTTCACCATACGACAGAAGACAAACAAGAGACTAACCAGAATGCAAACCCCGACGATTCATTCATTGCACACTAGAGCCTAATGCCCAAAGTACCGGACAACCCATGCAAAATCCCCTAGGCCCGGATAAATATCGGCAAAACGGCACAATTGTAGAAGAATATCCTTATATCGGTTAAATCGCCAGAAGGGTCTAATCTATTTCATGCGGGTAGTGATTAACCCCTCTCTTCTAATAGTGTTGCAATCTATCTATGGAGTTTGGTGCAGTCTCTGGCTTCCTAAGCGAAATTATCTGGACGCTCTGTATATATTTACATCGGCCATAGATAGTATATACTATCCTCAGAGCGAGCTCATTCAACCCACCCCTTCTAACCGAAATCACTCTTCCTCTAAAGGACCTCCTTACCCCAGCATTATATCATAGTGGGTTAGTTAGCGTGGAGAGCAAGACCAAGATTTGGCCCGGTCTTAGAAACCCCGCACGGCCAAAGCCGTTCGGAAAAGCTTGGAAGTGTTTTTTATGGATCCTATGCCAAGCTGAGGGAGAGATTGGCTTATTGGAATAGTCGTGGTGGTGGCGTCACCGGAAGATTGCGAGATTTGTGTCTGTCAACCTGTCAGCCCTGGGTGGTCAAGTCGGGCATGCACTCTTCGTAAAACCCCAGATATGATCGTCTAGTATACTCCGTATACGGTTTGAAAGAGGCGTCCCTTGCATATCGCGATATAAGGGACGATCCGAGCAACGTGAACCGAAGATCCGCTGGCATGGGTGTGGATGTGGGCGTGTGTGAGTGCAGGGGAAGGATAGATGCCGGTGAATGATGGCCTGATGTCTGATGGATAGCCTGAAGGGTGCCTGAAAAAGCAGTGCGGAGAAATTCACCCCGTGATCGTCGGCGCTAGTCCCCAATGGGCAGTCTCCGTGTGGAGGAATTCCAGCCCGCCTTCCTCATCCTTCGCTGTTCTACATTTCTTCCTGCATTCTCGGCATCGTTTAGCACGAGAATGAGACACTGCTACACCGAATGCAGTATGCAGAAATGGCTAGGCCCCAGACCCTTGCAATGGTATGGCCTGGTCTGGTCTGGTCCCACTTCATTCCCTTCTTTCCCCGCTGCGTGCTGTTGTCAATGATGTGATGTTGAGCACCTCGTGGCTTGGCTAGGAACTCAATCGGACCATGCTTTTTGGTCGGAGAATAATGCGGGGCACAATGCAAGGAGACAATAAATAGAGAAGATCGGCCGGCGTTCTTTTGACCTGGATTTTCTGGCTTCTGACGACATCTACCGGTTCAATTCGTGTCGAGCGGAACTCTCATCATGAAATTCCTGTCTGTCGGGGCCCTTGCCTTGCTGGCAGCACAGGCAGCAGGGGCTTCGATCAAGCATAAGCTCAGTGGCTACACGCTCACAGAACATCCGGACCCCGTCAAGCGGGAGCTGCTGCAGAAGATCGTACGTTTGGTCGATTGACCTGATCATGGTGAAGGCATGTTCAAACTCATTGTTCTAGGTCACCTGGGATGACAAGTCTCTTTTCGTCAATGGAGAACGTATTGCGATCTTCAGTGCCGAAGTCCACCCGTTTAGGTAGAAACAATCCCTATTTTCTCCCAGTGCGCTGTTACTGACCCTCCCAGACTTCCCGTGCCCTCCCTGTGGATCGATATCCTGCAGAAAATCAAGGCGGCCGGATTCAACACCGTCTCGATCTACATCGACTGGGCCTTGTTGGAAGGAAAGCAAGGCGATTACAGAGCCGACGGTGTCCTGGCATTGGAACCCTTCTTCGATGCTGCCAAGGAGGCCGGTATCTATCTCATTGCCCGTCCTGGTCCTTACATCAACGCCGAGGCCTCGGGTGGTGGCTTTCCGGGATGGCTGCAGCGAGTCAACGGTACCCTTCGGTCCGGGGATAAGGCCTATTTGGAAGCCACTGACAAGTAAGCTGGCCGCTTGAATTAATACGCGATGATCGCTAATGTTTGTTAGCTACATTGCCAATGTGGCTGCCACCGTTGCTAAAGCTCAGATCACCAACGGCGGACCCGTGATTCTCTACCAGCCCGAAAACGAGTATAGCGGTGCCTGCTGTGGTGAGAAATTTCCCGATGGGGATTACTTCCAGTATGTGATTGACCAGGCCCGCAATGCCGGGATCGTCGTTCCTATGATCAGTAACGATGCTTATGCTGGTGGACACAACGCCCCGGGCACTGGTGTTGGCGAGGCGGACATTTATGGCCATGACAGCTACCCGTGAGTCCCAACATCCCATGTCGCAAACGCATTGGCTAATTAATCTGTTCAGGCTCGGATTCGATTGTGTATGTCTACCTGTCTCTCGTCTGGGCAATCGCTAACAAGCACAGGCCAACCCAAGTGTGTGGCCCTCGGGTAACCTGCCAACAGACTTTCGCCAAAAGCACCTTGAGCAGAGCCCTTCAACCCCCTTCTCTCTTCTCGAAGTAAGTAGAGCAAGATGACAAGCTACGATCCCGTCTAACTCTTATAGTTCCAAGCTGGCGCATTCGACCCATGGGGTGGACCAGGCTTTGCGAAGTGCGCTAGTCTCGTGAACCATGAGTTTGAGAGGGTCTTCTACAAGAACGATCTTAGTTTCGGAACGGCTATTCTGAACCTGTATATGGTATGACTTATAGAACATTCGCACTGAAGGTGTCTAACTTCTGCAGACATTCGGTGGTACCAATTGGGGAAACCTTGGACACCCTGGCGGCTACACATCCTATGACTACGGCTCGCCACTGACGGAGACACGCAACATTACCCGGGAGAAGTACAGCGAGCTCAAGCTCATTGGAAACTTCGTCAAGTCGTCCCCGTCCTACCTGCTTGCCACTCCTGGGAACCTCACCACGGGTGTCTACACCGACACTTCCGACCTATCCGTGACTCCTTTGATCGGCCGCGACACTGGCTCGTTCTTTGTGGTGAGACATAAGGATTACAGCAGCCAAAACTCCGTGTCGTACAAATTGAACGTTCCCACCAGTGCCGGCAAACTGACCATCCCTCAGCTGAAGGGCTCTCTCACTCTGAGTGGACGTGATTCCAAGATCCACGTTGTTGACTACAATGTCTCCGACACCAACATACTCTACTCTACCGCGGAAGTGTTCACCTGGAAGAAGTTCGGTAACACCAAGACGTTGGTCGTGTATGGCGGACCTAACGAGCATCATGAGCTGGCCGTAACTGGTCAATCCAAGGTGAAGGTCATTGAAGGATCTGAGTCTGGCATTGTCTCCAAGCAAATCAAGAAGGCTGTTGTGGTCGGCTGGGACGTTTCGACCACTCGTCGCATTATTCAGATTGGAGACCTGCGGGTCATTCTTCTCGGTAAGTTGACTTTTCCCAGTATTGATCGAAACTGTTCTAACAAGATCAGACCGAAACTCCGCTTATAACTACTGGGTGCCCCAGCTTCCTGCGGAAGGCACTTCGCCTGGCTACAGCACTCAAAAGAATGTTGCCTCGTCCATCATCGTCAACGCAGGCTACCTCGTCCGGACGGCTTACGTGAAGGGCAGCGACCTCCACCTGACTGCCGACTTTAACGCCACGACTCCGATCGAGGTGATCGGAGCCCCCAGCAAAGCCAAAAATCTGGTCATCAACGGTAAGAAGGCCTCCCACAAAGTCGACAAGAACGGCATCTGGTCCAGCGAAGTCAAGTATACCGCGCCCAAGATTAAACTCCCAGAGTTGGAAAAGTTGGACTGGAAGTATCTGGACACCCTGCCCGAAATCAAGTCCTCGTACGATGACTCCGACTGGCCTGCGGCAGACCTCAAGAAGACCAAAAATACTCTCCGCCCATTGGATACTCCGATGTCTCTTTACTCGTCTGATTACGGATTCCACACTGGATATCTGGTCTACCGCGGTCACTTCAAGGCCAACGGCGACGAGACCGAGTTGTTCATTCGGACCCAGGGTGGCTCGGCCTTTGGCAGCGCCGTCTGGCTAGACGACAAGCACATCGGTTCCTGGACCGGTATCGACAAGAACAAAGACTACAACGCGACCTATGAGCTTCCCAAGCTCAAGCGCGGCAAGTCATACGTGTTCACCGTGGTGATCGACAACATGGGTCTCGACGAGAACTGGATCGTCGGTCAGGAGGAGATGAAGAACCCGCGCGGTGTTCTGAACTATAAGCTTTCCGGTCGGGATGCCAGCGCCATCACCTGGAAGCTGACCGGCAACCTTGGTGGTGAGGACTATGCCGACAAGGCCCGAGGACCTCTGAACGAAGGTGGTCTCTTTGCCGAACGTCAAGGCTACCACCTACCGCAGCCTCCCACCAAGAACTGGAAATCCGGTAGTCCCTTCAAGGGCCTGTCGAAGCCGGGCGTTGCCTTCTACGCCACCCAATTCGAGCTTGATATCCCCAAGGGCTGGGACGTGCCGTTGTACTTCAACTTTGGCAATAGCACTGAGGCCGCGTACCGCGTGCAGCTCTATGTCAACGGATACCAGTACGGCAAATATGTGAGCAACGTGGGTCCGCAGACCAGCTACCCAGTCCCTGAAGGTGTCTTGAACTACCGCGGAACCAACTACGTTGCGTTGACGCTGTTTGCGTTGGAGTCGGACGGCGCCAAGGTGGAGAGCTTGGAATTGGTGAACACGACGCCGGTGTTGACGGCACTGGGCGAGATCAAGGCAGCGGATCAACCGAAGTATAAGAGTCGGAAGGGGGCCTATTAAGTGTAGAGGTAGATGGGACTGTAAATAGTGCCGTACAGTATTTGGTCTCCATCTCAATATCTTGACAATATACAATGACTTTCAGGTTCGATTATCCTGTTCCAGTAAACAAAAACAGATCCATGGAAACAATCAGGGTCGGCCATTCTCCGACCGACACTAAAACTAGCGGCGACTTTTCCGTGCTGCAGGCATCGGATGACTTTCCCCCCATCAATTCCCCATTTTCCGAGATGGAGCACGACCGAACATCCCACATCTTTCTACGTCCCGATCGCCCGTCCACCCGACTGTTTAAAGCATGTCGTCGCTGTCGGAAACAGAAGATGCGCTGCGATGCTCGCCACCAGGTACCGTGTACGCGCTGTAAATCGGCCGGTCACGATTGTCTGGTGGATCCCATCCAGCGCGGGCGTTCGCAGCGAGACGACCACCGGTATTTACTTCTACTTCCGATATCCTAACTCAACTCGGACACAGCTAATAATTCCCCTAGACGATACGGCCGGGATCGAGATCCTCTCTCTCCCAGCAGTTCCCGTCTCTCTCCAGAAGCAGGCGAGTCCTCGCTCCTGGAATCACCACCGGACAGCTCGCGCCGCAACAGCCGCCACGGACTAGAAATCCAGCAATTCAGTCCCCAGGAGATGATCGCGCCGCAGTCAGCCATGCACTCCATCTCTGTGAACCTCGGCGGCTCCACAGACGAGATCTTCGTTGGGGAGCCCTCCTCGTCCGGACCCGGGGACCCAGCCAGCGACATCGTCGCCCGGGGCATCCTGCCCGAAGAGCAAGCGCGCGGCATCTACGAGCGCTTTGTGACAGGGAGCAAGAACTTCCTGCCATTGTTCGATCCCATCCGCGATACCTTCGACTCGATCCGTAGTCGCTCGCTGTTCTGCTTCTCTGTCATCCTGTACCTGGCTAGTCGCGCGGTTCCGGAGCTGCGTGGTGACGGACACTTGCAGCGCGTACTGCAGGACGAGGCGCAGCGGCTCGCTGAGGATAGTTTCTTCGAACGCCCGACGAAACTGGAGACTGTGCAGGGCATGATCCTGTTGGCTGCGTACTCGGAGAAAACGTGGTTCTCAACGGCGCTGATTCTGCGCACGGCGTTGGACTCGGGACTCGAGCGCTCGTTGGATACACTGTTAGAGCAGACGGAGATCCCCCGTAGTTATATATCGGCGTCGTTGGAGGATCGCAAGTTGGTGTGGCAGACGAGGACGTGGCTGATTAGTTTCACGCTAGAGTTGGATGTCGCATCGGGAACGGGCAGGAAGTCTCGGTTGAGTGAAGTCGACGTGGTGAAGCTGAAGCGGTTTCTAGAGTATCCACTCTCGCTGCCGAGTGATATGCGCAATGTTTGCATTATCGAGTTGCATCAGCTAAGGGCGCGATCGCGACAGATCATCGAGAGCTCGTCGGCGGCGGATCTGACGAGCATCGAGTTACCGGCTGTGATGACGAGATTGCAGAATTGGTGGACGTCGTGGGATGAGATTCATGATCGTATGTCTCCTATCTCTACTCTGGTCTTCATTTAGCATTATCCATCTGTGGTACAAGCTAACTGACATAGATAATGGCTTCCACGCCGGCGCCTTCCAACGCTGCAGCCTGAAACTGATGCTCAACTACGCCAAAATATTCGTGCTCTGCGCCACCATCGCGCGCATCCAGAAGCTCGACCCGGATTCATCAGAGCGCGAGTCCGACGTCGTGCTGGGCCTATGGAAATCGCTCGTCGAGGTGATCATGAACCAGCTCGCCTTTCTCATCCACGAGACCGCATACCGATGCCAACTAACCTGGGCGCCGACCTATCCGGCCTTGACGATTGCTTTCGTCAGTATGTACTCCTGCCCTGTGATCTATTCCATAATATGGCATCCTGGATGTAGATGGCGACAGAACCTAACTGAAAGGTAGCTACATTCGCCGTGCGCATCGCGCGCTGGCGTCCCACCCTTATCGACCATACCCTGCTCCTGCGCCGCGTGCAGCAAATCAGCGACTTCATCAAACTCCCGCCCTACCCGGACATCCACCGCACGGTGTCCATCTTCGTGCGCTACGCCGGCGCCTTATCAGCCAACCGCGGATCCTGCCACACCGCTGGCCAACAACCCTCATCCCAGCACCAACCCGACAGCAGACCACATGCCCAGGCGCACGGAGGCACCAATGCACCATACGAGCCGAACATGCTCGAGACCCACAATCCTAGCCAGAACACTAACAACAGCAACAGTAGTCATAACCTGTCAGGCGCACCTTCGGAGGATACCGCCCTTTCTGCAGCAGGGACAGGGACAGGGGCAGGAACAGGGAATGGAGCCGGACACGCGGCCACGAATGGGAACCTGAATGCCGGCGCCGGCGCCGGGGGAGGAGGTGGGCCCGGAACGTCGATCATGAGCATGGAAGTGCCCAACTGGACGCTGTCGACGCCGATTGCGGATTCGTTTGGGTTGTTCGAGGAGGGCCAGACGGATGTGTTTGATTTTTTGCCTGCCATGGCGGGGATGTAATTATGTCATTTTTGGCAGTGTGGCATATAGTGTTGGGTTCGATTCTTTGCATGTAGATAGTTCTTATACTTTCATAGTTTAGGAGCATAGCGTACTTAGAATGCCTGATCTCTCGAGATCATGATAGATCAATCCAAAACAAAACCCTGACCCCGAGTAAGGCATTCGCGCATAACACCGGCACATCACACAGCCATCGACAATCACCCCCATCCCAGACAAAGAATCGTGGTCGAGATCTAGAACGTGAAGTATCAAGTCGGGGAATCGGCTCCGGTCCGGATTCTGCAGTCGTCCGGGGCCGGTACCGGGGCCGGTTAGGGCTACTGCAGTCTACGCATATCATTGGTTGATATGGTGAATTATTATGGGGAATTCAATGGGATTGACGCGATTGGCTCTCTGTTTTGAGGGTTTAATAGTAATGGATTCAGGTTTTCACTCTTGCGTTGCGTGTGAGGGCATGACTCAGATAGGTATAAATATATGGGGTTGGTGTGCTTGGCTGGGTTTTGGAGTAGAAATTTCTTTATTGTGATTATTTACATTGATTTGGTTAAATTGGATTGAGTTGATTAACTTAGTTGGTTGTCTTGTATCTGATTGTGATATGATTGAGTGTTTGTGTCTACAACTGTGATTTCCAGAACGAGTTCTATATCCAATACCACCACTACAATGGCCAAGAAACACCCCCTTGCCTCGGAAAGAAGCATGTCGGAGAAATCTCCCGCTCCTTTACCAGGTACATACACATCTACTTCCAACAAACCATACCCCCATCATTCATATTAACCACCAACTTAGAACCCACCCCCGGCTTCATCCTCACCACGACCTCCACGCCAGGAACCTACACCCTCGCCTTCACCCCCTCCTCCCCAAAGAACCCCTACAACTGGCCCCTCCGCCGCAAACTCTTCATCTTCGTCATCGCCCTCCTCGCCATCATGAACAGCGGCGTCTCCTCCGCCCTCCCCTCCAACGCAATGCCCTACATCCAGCCGGACTTCAACGTCCCCGACGGTCCCCAGACCAGCCTCCCTACCGCCGTCTTCCTGATCGGATACATCGTCGGGCCGTTGATCTTCAGCCCGCTCAGCGAGACGGTGGGACGACGCTGGGTCATGGTTCCTAGCTTTACGGTGTTCGTGCTGGGGACGTTGGGGTGCGCGTTGGCGCCGAATTGGGCTGCTTTGTTGGTGTTCAGGTTTATTTGTGGGATTATGGGTGCGGTGCCGCAGACGGTCATTGGAGGTGTTTATGCGGATGTGTTTGGGGATGGGAAGGAGAGAGGGAGGGCCATGGTTTGTTATATGTCGGTATGTTCTCTTTGACTCGCCTCGTGACATGCATGTTCGCTAAGAGGGATTTGTATGTGTTCAGACAGCTAGCTTCGGTCCTATTCTAGGCCCGATTATCTCGGGTTATGCGTCTCAGTATTCGTGGCGTTGGACCTTTTGGATCGAGCTGATCTTCGCCGGGGTTAGTTGGTTGGGGTTGGCGTTTATGCCTGGTGAGTGTCCTCGGTCTATACATGCATACATGCACCTGTGCATATATATCTCTATCCAGGACTTGTCTCCCTAGAGAACCTAGAGAACTAACAGACTGGAAAGAAACATTCGGCCCCGTCATCCTCAAACGTGAAGCCTCTCGACTCCGCAAAGCCGGTGTCATCATCTCCTCCTCTGGCGGCAAAATCGATTTCCTGCGCGTGTTCTCGCGGCCGTTGACCATGCTGATCACCGAGCCTATCATATCCTTCACGTCGGTCTTTATCTCCCTGGCATACAGTCTCGTGTTCTTTTTCTTCCAGGCTTATCCGATTATCTTTGGAGGTGTGTCCTTATCCCCCCGTTGCAATTAGGGTTAGGGCTGACTGAATCACGACTAGACATGTACGGCTTGAGTATCCAAACTACCTCGTTGGCTTTCTTACCAGGTATTTCCCTCCATTCCATCGCCCCTCCATCTACCCTATCTTCCCAGTCTACCAAGAATACTAACCCAAAAAAAAGTCGGCGCCGGTGCCTCAGCAGTCGGCCTCCTGGCCCTAACCTACGACACCTACTACGAACGCGCCAAAAAGTCCGGCGCGCAATGGACCTCAAGCCCCGAACTGCACCGCCTCCCAGTCTCCTGCCTCGGCGGAATCTGCCTCACCATCTCCCTCTTCTGGCTCGCCTGGACAGCCCAACCCAGCATCCACTACGCCGCGCCCATGACCTCCGGGTTCCTCTTCGGCTTCGGCTACCAGACCATCTTCGTCTCGTTGTTGACCTACGTGACGGATGCGTATACGATCTACTCGGCCAGTGCGTTGGCCAGCTCTGTGATTATTAGGAGTATTATGGGCGCGGTGTTCCCCATGGCCGTGAAGCCGATGTATGCGGCTTGGGGGGTGCAGTGGGCGACGAGTTTCGTCGCGTTGTTGAGTTTGGTGTGTGCGCCGATTCCGTTTGCGTTGGTGGTGTTTGGGCCGAGGATTAGGGCTGCGAGTCGGTTTTGTCGGGGGATGACGCGGCAGCATTCAGCGGATGAGAGGGAGGAGGGGGGGAGAAGGGAGGATGTTTAAAGGATCTGGTAGGAGGGATTTGGCTTGCCGGGATACAGGACTTTCATGATGATGACGATGCGATGCGATATGATCTGGATATATCAAAAGTTTGTTTACCCTTAATATAGATTGAGGTAGAGTAGATAGACCTTTCGGTAATGCTTAATCTAATATGATCATGACACACAAAGGTGTCAAAATCCATGAAGCATCAGGGCCCTACCTTTCCATGCAAAGGTTGATAAACCTTCCGGTAACGTTCAAACTACTATGTAAATGATATCAGCAATCAAGCAGATTATGAATTAGTATCCCTTGGCCCATAAGCTTATTATTGAAATTAGCCAGAAAGCAATTCTAATTGGCCGCTCGTCCACTTAAACCTATAGTCCTTGCAAGAAGAGCACTCGCAGATGTAATTGCAGTTGACAAAGTTATCGAGCTGTTCGACAGAGCATATACGTTCCTTTCCTTATCCCGATCTCGCTTCCATCGGTTTATGTTCATTCATCCTAATATCTCACACTCAATACCATCGTGTCAGCAAGCAAGTATGTACAACGAAATCAAGCTCAAATACAGACGACGGATATGCCCCCGTCCGACGATGTCTCATATGGATATCGCGTCTCAAGACTAGAGAATGAAAGGAAACCCCTATTACTCATATACTGATGGATGACTCAAGCAATTATATCGCTCGTCTCATGAGGACTTTTCTCGCCGGCACCCCTCCTTGCAAATGTCCTGAGATTGATATTCTCGCCTCAGAGATGTTTGAAAAGGGGCACATAGACCACTACCTTGACTCGGTGCTTCAGAGCGTAACGTGTCATTCAGATGTCGCGCCGATTCCGTGGATGTAGGATGAGAAGACAGGCTCGGCGAAGGGCAGGTTGTCGGGGCATCATACTTGTCGGTGTCTTGAGATGGTGTGAATCGGGCGAGAGAGATCACGTAGAGATGTTTGACAAGGATACTTCTTTGGGGGATTTAAGTAGTCAATTGGTATATAGCTATGGGTAGTGGGTGTGTAAATATTTTGGGGGTTGTGGACTGATAAGGTGGAGTAGGTAGGTAAAAAAGTACTTATCAGAAATAGCAAAATGGGTGAGATAAGTGGATCAAGAGAGAGATATCGAAGGACTTATAAAGGTGAAGGTTTTTGAATAGGAATGATGCATCGTACGTGGGTGTGTCGTAGTGAAGTTATTCACTAGCAAAAGGCAGGATTTATGAGTGTCGACAAATTGCTGTATAGCATATCTGTACAATTAGTAGGAATGTTACGATTCTCCCTGGATATCCTCAGAAATACAATCTCTGAAGGTTCATAAATCCAACCATGTTGTTTTCATATTCCCTGTTCCTATCCAATGTCTATTTTCAGTCCCACAAACATTGGAATATACTTAAGTGGAGACCACCGATAAGACGTCACATTAAGCATCACCCTCTAAACTAGATACAAAAATCAGAGCAAGATAAACTAGAAAATAAATTTGACCCAGTAAATAGGCCATTTCAAAACCCCTCTAAGCCCCCTCCGTACAACAACCCTTGATAGGCCAACTCACCACCCGCCGATCCCAGCCACCCGATTATCCGCAGCGCATCGCATCCTCTGCATTTTCATCTCGACTTCCATCGCATCACATCCTCTCCTATCCTCTGTCGCAAATAATCGATAGATTTATTTCGTGGAAAATGTCCTCCGTCTACCTCTACCTCTACTGTCTATGATAAACGATCACGAGGACTCCTTCACCAACGACTTAACGCTATAATAATACCCTTGCGACGATATCCTCACCCCGCAAACCAACCACACCACCTGCACCACGTACCTTCGAAACCGAAACCGAATAGAGAAAGCAAACATCCACGCATCAAACAGAAATACTACGCACCACCCCATCAGCAACTCCTCCCAACATATCTCCACAACAAAAACCCCTACCACCAATGAAATACGCCGCAATCTCCATCCCCGCCTCCTACGGCCGTCTCGACTCCTCCCCAACCCCCGGCACCGTCGCCGGCATAATCCTCGGCTCGGTCTGCGGCTTCATCTTCCTCCTCTACCTAATCTACCTCGGGCTGTCCTCGGGGCGCCGATTCAGCGGAACCCCATCGACCATCCCGCCGTCCGGCACGGGGACCGAGATCTCAGAGGCCCATTCGGGCCGGTCATCGCGGTTTAGGCGACGACGCAGGGATGATATTGTGGAGGTGGAGGAGGGGGGGAGGGGGGGTACGGAGGACGGGGAGAGTCGGATTGTGGTGGAGGAGAGTATGACGAGTCGGAGTCGCGATGATGGCGTGGTCGAGGTTATTGAGGAGGAGGATGGGAGGTCGCATAGGCCGTCGAGGGCGGGGACGGGGAGGAAAGGGGGGTATAGGAGGGATAGGTATGAGGATAGTGAGTATGGGAGTTCGAGGTTTTAGGATTGGCGCTTGCATTCTGGGGGGAGGGAAGGGTTTGGAGGGGGGGGGGATAGATTGCATGAGATGTGTTATGATGGTATGAGTTCATGAGTATATTAATCAGCGAGTCAGTATAACTTGTTCATGTTATAAGGAAATACAATCGATCATTGTCTTCGTTAAACGAACCACGCCAGACCAGACCAGACCAGGCAAGCAGGCAAGACTAATTGAAGCAGAAGAAATCCGGAAGAAAGTATGCTCCATTCCGTCTTCCATCCTCCAGAAGAAAAGAAAAATGAAAAAAAAAAAAAAAAAAAAGAAACCCATAACAACTCCAAACACCCCGAATCAAACCGCGAGTCGCAGGCAGTCGTAATCGCAATAATCGGACAAACATCAACAACAGCACCCAGGTATTATCGACCCGAGGTATTATCAACTCCCTAAAACAAAATGTCTAAGCAGCAACAACACGCCAACGCACCCAGAATACCCGCGCAGATGCCACCTCCCGACGAGCCTCCGCCACCGCGGTCACCCGCATAATAGCCCTGCGGTTGTTGAGGCGGATACCCTTGTTGCGGCGGGTAGTACATCTGCTGCTGGGGCGGCGGAGAACCGTAATAACCCTGCTGAGGAGGTGGAGAGCCGTAGCCGCCCTGTTGAGCGTAGGGGTCGCCGGCGGGAGGACCGTAGTAGCCGCCTTGGTTGTAGTAGTCTTGTTGAGCGCCGGCGGGAGGAGGCGAGTAAGGGCCGGCGTCGTGGACGGGCGGTGGATACGAGGGAGGTGGGCCGTCCTGGAGGTCGGTTAGTGATTGAAAGAAGAGAAGGAAGGGATGGGGGACGAACTGGTTTGTTGTAGGACATTTTGGCGATGGAGCGACGGTCGGGGAGGAGGAGGAGGTGGTGGAGAGGTCGAGGAGAGAAAGAGAGAGAAGAAAGCAGGAAGAAGAGGAGAAAAAGACAAGCACTTGGCGTCCGGATTAGGCAAGGGGCTGGGCCTGTTCGTCTTGGTTCTGTTCGAAATAGTCTCTTATCCTCGTAAACCAGCAGAAAGACCGCTAACTCCGTTAACTGCCTACTGGAGTGACCCCGAGCTTTTATATCCTTCCATGGAATCACGATGATTGTCTGCCTGTCAGCGCCACGGCAAGCGCCCTGCACCGCCACCCGACGTGAACCTGTCACTGTTTCCTCTGTCGCTGCAAGTGGACCTCACTAAAAAAAACCCCCCCACTCGATTGGTACGGAGATAACATCACAAGATAGTAATTCTCGAATCGAAAGATATCAGATTGCTTGCTCAACCGCTCATCAGTTCGTTACGTACAGCGGTGGGCACTTTTGGTAGAACACATGAAACAAAATCGAAGATGAGATCACAGATGAGAGTTGTCTCGGAGAGACATGCCGTTGCCAAATAACCACAAGAATAAAAGAAAATAATGGGAACTGAAGTTACAGAGAAAGAAAGAGAAAATGGGTGAAAGAAAAGGGGAAAGAAAGCATCGCCGTCAGCGGCGACCACGAAAATGAAAAAAAAGAAATGCATAACCAAAATGTAATGCTGGACTTTAGTCGGTCTAAAGTGTCACATTCGCTGTCATCATGCAAAGGTAAGGTTGATATATATCTATGCCTTCTCCTCGAGCGAGGCTTTCTGCAGTTCCTCGGACACGTCGGCCGCCGCATCCTTCTCCTGCTTCAGTTCGGCCGTCGCCGACACGGTGCCGTTGACGCCGCTGTTCTCCTGCGCGGGCTTCTTGGCCGCGTCGGTCGCCCGTCCGTTGGCCTCGGCCGCGGTCGACTCCTCGTCCAGACGGTCGATCTCGTCCTGAGCCTTCTTGATGTTCTGGTCCGGTCAGTCAGTATGCATTCTTGCATGGGGAACAGCCGCTAGCTTACCTCCTGGGTCTTCTCGGCCTGGGTGCTCTTCCATTCCGTGATCTTGGCGGCAAGCTTCTCGATCGCGGCCGGAACGTCGCTTTGGTTCATGGGAGGATCGATCTTGACCTTGGCAAAGTCCTCGATCACACCCACGTTCATGTTGAACTTGTCGGCCGGCACGGCGGCGTTCGTGGCAGCGGCAGCAGAGGTGGAAGAGCCCGTGCCCTTCTTACCCTTCTTGCCCTTCTTGCCGCCGCCACCGACAAAGTAGTCCTCCTCGCGGTCCTCCTTCTTAAGCACCTTCATGCCCTTGAGGTTCGAGTCGTCCACCTTGCGACCCACCTCGGCGCGGAAGTTGGATCCCTGGTCCTTCTTGTCATCCAGACCCAGCGTCGAGAAGTCGTACGAGGGGTTGAAGTGACGGATCAGTCCCTGCGCGGTGAGGATCTCGTCGGTGTAGGCCAGGCGCGAGGCCTCCTCCAGCTTCTTGTCGGCCACCTTCTTCTTCTTCTCGCGCTCGAACGCATCGCGCTGAGCCTTCTGCTTCTCGCGACGCACGCGCCACGCCTCATCCTCGTACTCCTTGTACGCCTTGCGGTTCTTGTAGTAGGTGTCCTTGACTTCGCGGATGGCCGCCCACTTCTTCTGCTGTTCGCCGTGCAGCTTCGTGCGCTCGTCCCGCAGCGCGTTCAGGTTCTTGAACGCACCGTCCTGCTCGGCCTTGATGGCGTCCAACTCCTTCTGGATTTCGGAATACTTGTCGCTAAGGGCCTTGGCTTCGGGGTTGTCGAGGGTCTTCTTCAGGTTGGCGATCTGGGCCTTGAGGTCGTCGATCACCTTCTGGGCCTCCTCCAGACCGGCGAAGTTCTTACGCTGCTTGCGCAGGTTCGAGACGTCCGACAGCGCCTTGCGCTCGTCCACCAGGCGCAGCGTTCCCGAGTCAACCTGCTTCTCCAGACGGGCGATCTCACGGTCAATCTCGTCGACGTTCTTGAAGGACATGCGGCCGCGGGAGTTGTTCTGCTCCGCAATGCGGGCCTTCAGGGTGGAGTCGAGGGCATTGATCTTCTCCTGGGTGCTGGACCGGGAGGACTTGAATCCTTGCTGCTTCTGGCGGATCGAGGAGAGTTCAGCGCGGAGTTCCTGCTGTCTCTTTCCGGCGGGGGAGTCCTGGTTGTTGGGCTTGGCGGCTTCGATCTTGGCCTTGACTTGGGTCTGAGATAGGTAAGAGAGTTAGTAGAGAACATAAGAAAGGAACATAAAACCAAGCGATCGGGAATTTCAATCGTGAATAGCAAGCGAAAACATTGTGTAGGGTCGAGCATGTAAACATTGCGGATAAACCACCGCAATCGTCAATCTGACGGGGGAAACATCAATGGATTGAATCAATGGTTACGAACCAATTTCTCCTGCACAGCGGCATGCTCCTTCTCGGCCTGAGCGAGATCGGCCTTGAAAGCCTCCTCGTTCGGCTTGGTAGGTTTCACCTTGGGCTCCGTGGGAGGAGCGGACTTGGTCTCAGCGGCCATGATGAGGACCGGAAAAACAAAAGAGAATGGATTGAAATTGGGGGGAGTCAATCCAGAAAAAAAGGGGAGAGCGAAAGGAGGAAGAAAAGAAAGACAATTGAGACTTGACGGGGGATGGGGGGGTAAAGGAGAAGAAAAAGAGTAACAAGTTGGTCTGGCCTTTTCTCTGCTCTTCTTTCCTGGGCGGCGCTTAACCCGAACCTCGTTGGCGCAGTTAGCGCTGGTCCGCCGATTTTTCGAGACGCTTTTTGTTCTTCCCTATCAAAGCATCGCCTTTCACCTTCCGCCCACCTTCACTTCGGCTTGCTCTTGACCTCAGTTATTTCTGACATTTGTTTCATTCTCTTCCTTTTCTATCGTCCGGTTTTTGGTTCGCGCCTCGCGCGCTATATTCAACATGGATGAAGACTACTCTGCAGGTTCCCAGGATGCCGACCGCGAGATGACCCGGCTCTGGCGCACATTCAAGACAGTACATGAGCTGCTGGCGGACCGAGTAGGCATTGTCTTTACCTCGAGACATATTTTTAAAAGCTAACAAAGGTACAGGGCTACTCTATCATCGAAGAAGAACTCCAAATCTCTCTGGACGACTTCAAGCGAAAATATGCCGACCCTCTTGGATACCCCGAGTACGCCTCCCCCAAACCCTCGTAGTTACCACAAAAAGCTAACATGTCGTTCTTCGACCAGCCGCAACAAAATGAAAATCACGGCCGCTCCCTCCGACGCCATGCTCGCCAAATACACACCCCTGCCCAGCAAATCGAACCCGAACCCCCAACCCGACTGCGGCACCATCTACGTCGAATTCTGCGCCGACTCGTCCGGCGTCGGCACCAAGCAAGTACGCGCTTTCAACCACTGGGTCGACGAGAACAACTTCCACACCGGCGTTTTCATCACCCAGACCCCCATCTCGCCCTCCGCTGTGCGCCTCCTCAGCGGCGTCCCCGGCCGCATCTGCGAGCACTTCCAGGAGCAGGATCTGCTGGTCAACATCACCCGGCACGAGCTGGTGCCGAAGCACGTCCTGTTGAGTCCTCAGGAGAAGGCGCGCTTGTTGGAGCGCTACCGTCTGAAGGAGTCGCAGCTGCCGCGCATTCAGGTGTCCGATCCCGTGGCGAGATATCTGGGTCTGCGGAGAGGTCAGGTCGTGAAGATTATTCGGAAGAGTGAGACGGCGGGTCGGTATGCCAGTTATCGCTGGGTTATTTAGAGGTTGGATTTGGGGTATATGGGGGTGGGGTTCGACTGGTACGGGTGCAGACTTTTCCTTTCATCTTATCTGACGGATGGTCTGTCAATCAGGCTGTATCCTGACGACATCCGTGAGGTCAGAAAAAGACGAAAAAGCCCCGCACTCGCTCCACTATCCATCCTATCGATTCCAAATCGAAACCGCAAGAAAGGATGGGAAGCTCGAAGATCGCAACGACCATTCGACCACAACCCACGAGCAGGAACATGTGAGAACAAGAACACAAAAAATCTGGAACCTAAACCCGACGACGGAGGATGGATCGTGTCGTGTCCCACAAAAAAACAAACCTAACTCCAGGCATAGGGGAAACAGCAAGGCGTAACGGCGAAAAGAAAAGACAGTTAGTTTCATTTGATCGGGTGTGAAATTTTGCTATGCTATTTTTGGCTGATTGATGTCCGCCATTATCATTGTCATATTACTTTTACTTTAAAATAGGTTATCTCTGTGAAGTAAGGTCGACTTGACTTAATTTGCAAACGATGTATTATTTATGTTTTTAGCTTTCCATATTCTGCTATATGTATTGTCTTATTGTTGGGTGTGACTGCTATAGACTTGAATGGAATTCAAATCCTATTTCTTATTCAAGTTTGGGTCAGAAATGATGTAGGGAAAAGTCCCTCTTGTGTCATTATATATCGTATCCTATTCGGCGAACTATATACTTAATTTTTTAGCCAGGCTGATGGCTTTTCCTTTCCAGACCCAATCAATTGATCGCCTTTCTAATCGAGATCCTTGGTCCAACTACAGGACGCTTTACGTGCTACCTAACAATCATGGCCAGATGGGATGAGGCCTAGCTACATACAGTGGAACCCAAATCAACGCCTCTTGTGGATCTGTATGTATGCAGTCCCCAACACATAGACACCAACATCTACTTTCCCGCTGCGAGTTCGTGGACAATTTCCACCACCTCCTCACACTTGGTGAACAAGGGACAATGGCCTGTCTCTAACTCCCAGGTGCGCACCTGACATCCAGCATCTTGCATCGTCTTAATAAAGCCTTTCTGGTACTCCAAGGGTACCGTCATATCCTGAGTCGAACAGATATACCCGATTTGCGGGATGCCGCCATCTCGCCATGCGACGTGCTGCAGCTTAGCGTCGAATCCATTCCCATTCCATCGCTGAAAGGTAGCAATATAGGCGTCGACCTCCTCGTCGGATCTCTCAGAGGGTCCGACTATAAGGTTCTTAGGATCTCGAGAAACACAGGTCCGATCGGCCGAGAAGTCAAAAGCCAGATCCATTAGATCTCCGTGGCCATGCGAGACGACGACATCAATCATGGATATTCCTTCGGTAACGGCAAAACCAACGATATATATGAGCTGGATGATACCTCCGGGGAGGCTCTGCGCACGACGAGTAGTGATCCCCAGGCCGTTGGATAAGGCGTTCGTGCCAACCTGACCACCGTAAGAATGGAGTAAGACCAAAACCTCACGGCCAGCGGAGACGAGACTCTCCACATAGGTGCGGATAGAGTTACTGTCTTCTTCGAGACCGGCGTTTGGAGGGCGGATACCATTCATTGAGGGAAGGCGGGGGACGTGCACTTCGTAGCCGAGACGGCGGAGAGCGGTAGTAAATGACGAGTAGGAAGATGATTGGTGCCAGGCACCGTGGATGAGGACGATCGTGGGAGTGGTCGTGGTAGTGGAAGTGATATCCATAGTGATTGATAACAGGATTCGAAAATGAAGAACTATTTAACAGAGAAGGAAGCACTGGCACAGCACATTATATAGCCCCGGGGGGTTTTCCACCCTAACAAAGAAACCATTGCACTATTCCTTTCCTGGGTAGAGCACTCCATCGCCCCCTTTAGTATCGACAGGGGCATGTAAAAAGACGGGGCGGTCAGCCTGTGGCGTTTAAGTCAAGGCGATGTATCTTACCTATGGTATAGAAAGGAAATGAACTTGGTCATTCTTGTTTTGTTTTTTCTCCATCATCCACATCACCCCGCGATGTAGGTCGATGATAGACACAAGGGGACAGGGATATGAACAGGGTATGAAGAGATTAAACCAAGGAATTGAAGCAAGAATATGACAAATGGTCTAAGAGCAAAAGGATCTTCCAATGTATGCTGCTTCAACTTGGGCTTGCCTCGTTGTGAATAACATACATGATATGAGGGCTTTAAACTCCGCTTCTGCACCTCACAGCAGGAGGTACGAACACCGAGTTCCCAAGGGACCATGGTATCCCTCCATTAGCAGGCAAAGCAGTTCCGTCATTCTGACTTTGGACCTAGAGATATACACTTAGCATGGTCATGTAATCACGGAATTTATCAAACAGTTGGTTTTGGCGGATTGTGGGGGGCCAACCGGTGGGTAATGAACTCATGGGAACAACTTAATGGAGCTAATCTGATCACTGCAATCAAGGTCTGTTCTTGGTTCTCGACCGACACCCTGTATACTGATCTTGCACACCAGAAACCTCAGCCCGAATAGTAGCGCTGCCGGACTATCTACAACCCCGGCCGTACCACTCTATACAATCCTTAAATAATCGATCGCGATGAATTCCCGTTAGTTCGCTATATCTTTGATGGATGACTTCGTTCGAATCAAGGGGATGTATCTGCATTGGCTATCTGACGATGGATGCTTATGGACTCGGTGAAGCTAGATACTAGCCCAGTCGTGTCTCCTTCAGATACGCCGCAATATTGGGACGCTGTTCGAAAACCTCCTTAAACCTGACCAGAGATTCTGGGAGACACGACTAGAAGGCCCGAATTAGCTTTCAGATCATCTATACTAAATAGGGGCTTGCTCACCGGAAGTGTTCCCGTTCTCTCGTCGTTATCAATGGATTGGTAAACGGCAAAGTCGGCATAAGTCACCGAGTCGCCCAGCAGGTAAGGACCAGCTTGATCCCGGTAGTACTGATCAAGAAGGTTATAGTAGTCCGGGGCAACCTCATTCTTGTACTTGTCCGATTTTTCCGTCAGATTGGCCACCCAACGGGACTGTCTAGTGGGTTAGCTAGGAAGGAATAAGGAGCGCGGATGGGTAAAAAACACTGACTCTCCAGTCGATATAGATGTCCGATACCGCATCGACCACGAATTTCTCCGCATTGGTTTGCCCATCATAGTGACCCAGTGCCCGGGCAAAGAACCGCAGGATGGGAATGTGCTGGGTGAGAATCATGCCCTGGTACTCCAGTGCCGGCAGTTTGCGGGTCCTGATGATTCCCTGCTGCTGGAGCTTCTTGCTGTTCTCGGCCCAGGTCTCGTCGTATGGATAGCGAGTCTCTTTGATCTCGATCCCCGCGTCCATGAGGAATAGCTTGACTACTTCTCCGCGGCCTAGGCGACCAAGGTCGAAGTAGTGGTAGACGGGCATGGTCATCGGGGTAGCCATCGTGATTTCGCGAGAGAGTGAATGAAACGGAAAGGTGGAAAACGATTCAATGATCAAATCTGGGTCCAGGCTGGCCTACTTATTTGTCCATGGTTAACCAAATACAAACCATGATGACATCATCAAAATGGCGATGCAAGCGAGCTACGCGAGCTACGCGAGCGACACGATCCAACCGCCCCAACCTTCTATGATTGATATTGTTCAAGTCGCGACATCGTACAAGAGTGGGTCGGAAGGTTTACGGTGTACTGCTGACCCTGTACGGCTATTTGATTGCTTCAGATAAAAGACTGGCGACGCCTGGTGCTCACAACCTACACCGTTCAAACTGCCGCTATGGCGAGCACAGCGCTACACGGATGGCATCCAGGCGAGATATCCATCCAGCGGCAGCTGGGATATGCAGACGCCGTGAAAGACGCCTGGCCGATAATCCGCAACTTCATGCCTGAGCAGCATCGTGCCTTCCATACCTCCAGGCTGCCCTTCATCCCCATCACAACCGTGGATGAAGACGGACGCCCGTGGGCAGCGATTGTCGCGGGCTCAGCAGGGGAGGCTGGCTTTGTTCATACCCCAGACTCGCAGACTCTCTTAATCCATGCTCGTCTGTGGGATGGAGACCCACTACTTGACACAGTCAAGGCGTGGGTTGATTCAAGCCATACCCTGTCCACTGTTGCCCAGAGATCGTTGACTGCGGGTCTGGGAATTGAGTTCTCCACTCGACGGCGCAACAAGTTCGCTGGGACTATTCAAAGTGTGGAGTGGCAGTCTAACCTGGACTATAAGCTACACTTGAGAGTCACCCAAACAACAGGGTATGCACTCGAAGACCACAAGCCCTGGAAACTAGGGCGCGAACGCTGATAATGCGCAGGAACTGTCCCAAGTACATCAACGTTCGAAAGCTCATCCCTCATCCACATACGTGTTCCAAGGTTGAACATCGACATCGGCGTTGGGGACCGCAGGGCCGACTTCCAGATGAAGTAGTGACGTTTATCCTCCAGGCTGATACGGTCTTTGTTGGGTCCATTTATAAATCATCGCCGTCGGATCTGCACAGGTTCCCTCCGCACGCTGGTATGAACGCTCGCAGTGGCTTACCGGGGTTTATTCGAGTGAGCCCGTCCGACGGCCGCACGGTCGTGGTGCCAGACTACTCAGGAAATCGATTTATGTCCACTTTAGGCAACATCGAGGCTAGTGGGCTAGTGGGATTGACAATTGTGTCGTTCACTACGGGCGACATTCTCTATTTGACGGGTACCGCTAAAAACCTAGTAGGTCCGCCTGCGCTTGAGGTCATGACAAGACATGCCGCCCTCACATCTGTGAATGTTACCGGGTTCGTCTTCGTCCGAAACGCTCTCCCAGTTCGACAGCAGGGTAATACCCCCGTTGAACGCAGCCCATACAGTCCTAAGATCAAATACCTAGTGGAAGAGACGGGTGCCCAGAGTAGGGACAGTGCAGAGCACAAGGCAAAGCTCCAAGAGGCAGTACATGTCTCTTCGAACCTTGCAGTGTTCAAGTTTAAAGTCATCTCTAGGCCTGGCGCTGGTACTCTGAGAATCCGCCCCGGTCAAGCCATCGTGCTTGATTTTATGGACTGGATAGGACCACCGCAGTACCAACACATGGCAAGCTCCAACCCTGGGTCAATCAATGATGATCGTGTCCGTACATGGACGGTTTCTAGTGCCCATGAAGAGCAGAATGTGACATGCTTCGAATTAACCATGCGAGAAATGAAAGGCGGCGCCGTGACCGGCGCCCTATTTGATCGGCTGAGGAAAGACCAGTCCGATCAGGCAGGTCAGCACATTGTTTTTGACACTCCTATTGTCGCCAACGTCGTTGGTATCACGGGTGACTTTTTCATCGACCGCGAGAAGATCAATGCGCTGTGGGTCGCCGGTGGCATTGGAATTACGCCATTCCTCGCTATGCTAAATGCACTGGCAGAGCGTGGTCTTGCAGTGGAAGGCGACGTCATGCTGGTCCTTGCAACGAGAGAACCGAACATCATGCTCAATATGATGCGACCCTCTCTTGAGAGAATAGCATCAACCGTTCGGATCACCATTGCCATATTCACCCATGACTCGGAGTTCAATGCCGCTCATCTCAAGCCAAATCAGACCATTTGCGTTCATAGAGGTCGCGTGCTCCCAGAGTTTTGGAAGGATATCCCGCGCGACAAAGACGTTTTTATTAGCGGGCCCAATGGGTTCGGGGACTCAGTGACAGACGGGCTGCGAGCTGTCGGTTTCTCGCCAAATAAAATCCATCGAGAAGGCTTTTATTGACGAACAATGTTCATGGTGCCAATTCTAGTGCAAGTTACTGTAGCGGATCTTCAGCAATCCAAAATTCGTGCTCGTCACATATCACTAGCCGTTTTATCATGGTCGAGCAAAAGACGACTTCCATTGATGTGATCATGAAGCGTCTGATTAAGGTCAAACTCGGAGAATGTCAACCATTGTGCCCATTCCCTCACGAGAGGCTGATCCATGACCCATTCACTGAATGGCACATCCGTCCCATCACAGGTAGTGACGGCAGGTCTACCGCCATTGGCAGAACTTGCCCAGCGGGCAATACACAAGGGGGTGTGAGATTCCTGCGAATCGATTTCCTCGCCAGGCCGGGCTTGAGCGTAGTATGTGACGTAGCCCCGCCCATTCAAATTAGGGAAAATAACTGAAATGACACGCCGATGTGGCGGGGTGAAGTATTCCACATCAGGCCGTCTCGGCTCCCGGCCCACGCGTTTCTCGAGAGTAGACAAGACCTCCAGGCTTGCAGCAAAGGCTTTGTTGTTGCAAACCCCTTCCCGGCCGATGCGGTCCAATTCAAATAATATCCATCGAAGCCAGGTTGGCCTCGGGCAAGACTGTCCAGCGAGAAATAGCATTGGTGAAAGCCCCACTCTCAGGGCCTCGCATCCGAATGGGATATCATCGGAGGCGGATGAGCTACTCAGGGCTGTCGTGACAAATCGCAATAGCTGATAAGTGAAATGATAGCAATCCAGCTCGAGATTGCTCTCACCCCCACTGTAAATACTTAGTGCCCAGGAGAGCCTCATTCGGTAGAAGACATAGAGGGCGAGGATGAGACAGAAATCCTTTGGCAAGATTGCATACGGCGGCGGGGGCATAGGAATGTTTGCCAAAGTTGCAAGGTCAAAGTTGACGGGCTCCGAGAGCGCCTCATCAACACCAAGCTTGTGGAATAAGATTCCAGTAGTTTTCTTCCACTCCTTGAGTCGCTTGATGAAGCCGACGATCTTCTCTTCTGGCATCAGTTTCCGATGAGCTGCAACTGGACACCACATCAATGCCTTGATGTCGCTGTCCATGGAGCCCATATCGAGAAGCTGTTGGAGTAGATATCTTGGTGAAAAATCTAGACTTGCTTGCAACGAAGCCGACGCAGCGCCAGAAATTATGCTTGGTCTATATAGCGGCGATATCATTCGGATCACCTTGAGATCCGGCAAGGTCACACGGCGGATGATATCCAGGTCATGGAGACACAACTCAATCGGCGTCTTAAACTGCTCTGTTTCCCGGTTGCTCGTCGAGCACATTGCGTGAAAGTAGTGGTTGGCCATGTGAATGTGACGTATTGTCGCCGGGACGTTCCCATCGAAGCTCTTGCATCTCATCAGCTGCTGTTATCAATCCTCCATGACGGACCTCACCTCGATATATGCAAAGAGGATGAGCACCCCTAACAGAAGAGCCATGGAGATTTGCGTACTGGCCAAACTATCCGAAACGCCTTTTAATGCATTTGAATACATTCGAATGGCAGTGACTTTGGTGTCGAAGCCATGATTGCGGTCGTTCTCTGTCTGCTGAGACAGCAGTAAAGTAGCTCTGTGCATACATCCGAGTGCAACGACAGCATCAAAGACATGCTCTACCCCCCACGCCTCCTGGCAAACATAGTCTCGCCAAAAGGATAGGCTCTCGGGTGGAAATAACATTGGCATAGTCCTGAACAGGAACTGATGGAAAGCCAATAAATCGCGCGCTCGGGCATGTGGCAGCTGTGATGGGGTGGGGTTATTTGGCAAAGCTATCAGCGGGAGACCGTCCAGTCGGACCTGGGGGCGTATCGTGGCGTCCTCTGGATGGCCTAGGTCTGATGGGGGGGCGTTTGGAGTGGTGGAGGTCGGGCATTGCGTTGATCGCTGAAAGGCCAAGCTCCGTTTCCCAGCATATCCAACACATTCTACATTGGCGAATTCACAGCGCTCGCACGTCGGTTTTCTCTCGTCGCATTTGACCCGCCGTGCCCTGCATGTCAGGCAGCCTGTCCGGGATCGGCGTTTCTTGTCATTCATGGCGAGCGCTAGGGGAGAACAAAACCCATTGCTGTTTTAGTTCGAGACGCACGCCTCGTGTAAATCACTCAAAACGATTTGGAGAGTCGAGTAACTCGAGTTGAATCCATGCAGAAGCAAAGTGATGCCAGTGATCGCGGTATCACTCGGCATCGGATCGGGCCGAGAAACAACCACCTGCCGCAGGTCACCGCCTGCCGCATGATATTCATACTCTTTACTCTTTACACCTTTTTATCTCAGCCATTATGACTCCAATTGAGCAGGTGCTAGCAGCAATCGAATCGTTAGATTCTAACAAATAAACTAACCATACGAAAATTCGAAACAACTTGGTGTGCGCCGGTCAACCTTGTCTAAACGCCATCAAGGAAACATGGGACCCAGCGAGTTCTTTACTAGCAACAGGCTAAAGCACTCGTACGATATATCGATAAGCTGAGCGCGTGTTCTACAGCTGTGGCATGAGATGCTTCGAAGTTCTGCTAGAGAAATTACAGGGACACAATCCTGAATGACCATGAAAGAGTTTGCAATGAGGAATAACTAGTAGCCTACTCCGCAATTGCCAAGTTCGCCGACATAGTGGATCCCAGGGCTCCACATCTCGACGTCTCGAGGTAATTCGCAATTTAGCAGGTAATGTCAGCCCCTTCAGTACATTGCCCAACAGCGCCTCCAACCTAGATGGATAATTTTCACCGTGATACAGCAAATAAGGCCAACAGTGTAACAGCAGATTACGAGGGTAATCAGACCCCAGTACTCTCCGTTGCATCTGAAAAGGATTTCACCGGCGCCTGGTATACCGACAAGTGTTCTTCGCGGCAATACATTGTCAGATCATATGCATATAGAGCATACAGCGCCATAAAAGAAAAACCATGTGACAATAGAGAACTTACCCAAAGCTCACGATTGTATACGAACTGGCGTAATACATGCCATAATTCTCGACCTTGCATAGCTGAGATATGCAGACCGGAGTCAGACTGATGTTGCTGCCGCTTGCAAAGCCAAAGACCAAACAATAGATAATCAACACGGGGGCCTTATCCCCGGCTGGAAGCCACAGACAAGCATTCGATACGAAACATAATATAACCATGCAGGTCAGTGTGTTATACCGGCCCCATACATCCGCGAAATAACCGGGGATAATCCGTCCAAAGAATGAACCAGCATTCAGAATAGCAAGTAATTGGTAGGAGAGTTGTCTGGATACACCGTGGGCCAAGGCATAGGATGAAATGTAGCTCATGGGAATGAAAAGCCCTAGTTCAATGAAAAAGACCCCGATTGTTGTGATGGTGAATTTAGGTTCTCGAAATATTCGAAGATCAGGTAACATATGCGAAGCTGGTTTCTTGGGTAGCCGTGACTTGATTAGTAGATTAGCGAGGATAAGCGTTACCAAGCAAATCAAGGCTACCACTCGAGTGGCCCAAGCCCAGCCGATGATGGGAAACAATTTCTCCATTACTAGTGGGAATACAATGCCCCCAGCAGAGCCACCCGTTGTAGCTATACCTGTTGCAATTCCACGTTTTCTGTTGAAGTAATGTCCAATGGCAGAAACTGAAGGTGTAAGTATTAAAGAAGCCGCTAGCCCTCCAGCAAGACCAATTGAGAGCATAAAATGCCAGTATTCCCGGCAGAATCCAAGCGTAACCGTCATCACCATAGCCAAGATTGACCCTATGATAACCAGAAGCCGCGGTCCTTTGGTATCAAATATTGGACCGATTTGAGCACCGCAAAAGAAAGTGAGAAATGCATACATGCCAAAAATCCAGCCAGTAGTTCCGCTGCTGTACTCCTTCAGCTGATGGTTTTCGACATAGGTTTGAAGCGTGCCCATGCTGTTGATAAGCCCAAAGGTAGAGAACAGGCCGAACCAACCCCCTACTACCACAAGCCATGCTTTGAGACCACCTTCTGGATAGTCATTCTCGTCAACATCACTCGTCGAGCGGGTTATGGGTGTTCTGAATGCGGGTGGATCAGGATTGGTTTTAACCGACACAGCATTCATTTGGCCATCTTGCACATCATTGTAGGTACATTGTGCCGGGAGCTGGGAATCGGATTGGAAAGCGGGATCGTCGCGGGCCGCTGAATGCATCGTGGTTGGTTTTGATGATGTCGACGGAATGGTGGGTACTCGGCATATGAAACGGAAAGGTATTAGGTATACAGGAAATGATATGATAGGTACGCGTTTGTTGGTTTGCTTTGCCTTTCCGGCTTTCAGCCCAGCGAAGCTTGAAGTATAGAGAATCAAGTTATAAAGGGGGCACATAAACGTCAAATTCCGTGCTCAGCTTACCGAGGTCACAGTTTCCTTACGGTGCAGGGGCACTCGGCCTTTAATGGACTTTAGCCATCAGTCGTCCAGCTGAATTGCACCGGTGTACACTGCGCACGCATGACAAGGCCCCAACAAATGTCTGGAGCAGGATAAGCCCCGGTCATAAAATCTCCGGCCTCAGACCATGGCAGATTTGAGGACGGGCTCATCGGACCGACACTAGAGGTGTAGACGGCGATTTCAAGTCTAGTCGCCGACCATCAAAACCATTTTTAGTATTGTTATCAACGCAATTGGCCACCGAAGGGCGCACCTACCTACCAAAAGGTCCACATTGGAGGTGCCTATTAATCCAACCATGAGCAGTCAAGTATAGTAGATGCTTTCCTTGTATTTTTGGCTTCTCCGCGTTGAGATTCACCCAGGCGAATCCGTTAACGTCGATCTTGGTATGAATCTCCAGGAGGCCATTACTCTCCTTATCAAGGTCAAGGCCCTGGTAGCTTGTTGCCTTGGCGAGCTTGCCATTCAGCCTATACGAGCAGCCGTTGTACCGGTAGGGCTGGATCTTTGGATTCCGGAACCCTCATTCTCGATGATGGGATAGGCGGGGTGGCGGTGAATGTTGCGGAAGGCGTTTACACTCTCTTGGCGGTCTCGAGTAATAATATTATGAAAGCCTGCTAGTTTATATCGGAGTCAGTCGCCCACCTCTTTGGGATGCGAGCTATGAGTCCCGAAGAGCCACCGTTTGTTAAAGATAGCAGCTCGTATATTTCCGGTGATGTGTACCGGGATGCTGGCACATAAGACCCTGATAAGCATAGCGGCGATCCCTCGGGTGGACCGAAGAACAGAGATCCACTTGCAGCTATATCGACATATGCACTGCATACAGTCTCCAACACTTCTCCATCCTGTGGCAACACCAGCTGATCTCGGTTTCTACAACCAACTCACGACGCGCAGATCGGAGCGGCTGGGGTAACAAATGTCCCACCCTGCCCCAGAGACAATGCCTCAGTTTGGGCCCCAGGGTATAATGCGGCACCACTCCCGATTAGAGGCTCGCACGCCCCGAGGGGCTGCCATTGCGTAAGTATCATACTATTGTTCTCTTGCCGTCGGTTCCCAGATGTCTGGCAACGGAGGCAACGTCGGAAAATGTGCCACTTGCCGCCACAGCAAGGTCAAGTGCTCTGAGGGCCTTGCTTCAATTGCCGGCGGCGGTCGCTATATTGTCAATCTAAGGATAGGGATAGTAAGATTGTACATGGTGAGAATATAGTCCCCGTGCCTTTCTGGCTGGATAATGCGTTGAAACGGCTTTAAATATCTACATGGCATGCAAAATAGGCGTTAAAATTGAGAAAGGGCCATTGACTTCAAGTATCCCTGCAATGAATGCTTTCGAATTGATGATTTCATCTCTTAAAAACATTCTCTAACGCGAATGCGAACCCTAGGCATGCCTGCGTGCAAGGTATTGTGCAATATCTGTACAAGGCATATATACGGAATTGACTCCCTTGCTGCAGTAGACTTGAAGAACTGATTCGATCGGGAGATCGGTTCGAGTATGACTGTTTTTGGTCTGATGGGAAACACGCCGCAGCCGCGGCTTGGTGAGATGGCGGCCGAGAAGAGTCGTTCCCGCGCTGAGTGACAGTGTTCCATAAATTAGTGGCCGAGCCCAAGTCAGGGAGCGATGATCCGTGATATGTGAAATACTCACTGAGCAGACCACTAAACGCCCACCGAGGAAATATCCGGTCGTCCTAGAGAATTAAGTACGTATAGGTGCGTCTGTATATACTCCCAAATCAGGCTAAGGGCCCAAAAATGAAATGTATATAAATGAATATATAAAACAAACCCACCAACTCCATCGCTAGATAGTATATATCCCCCATAAACCAAGGTACCTTGCCATGAACAATCCAATCCCAACCCAGATCCCTATAAATGAAGTATAATAGATGTAAAATGACATGACATGATATGATACAACCCATCCGACTTACCCAGCCAATGCCACCTAGGATATGTAACTCACCCGATAATCATACACACAATGCATACACATACCTACGGTGCACAACCAACAAATCAAATAATCTCACTCATCCCTCCCTCCTCAATAACCCCCCAACATCCTGAAGTTCCACATCATCACGACCCTCCGGGATCGGGAATGACCCGGAATGACGATACTCCGGCTGCTCGAAATGCACGCTGGAGCCCCGTCGGGGTCGTTCCGAGGCAGACGACGAGGAAGAGAGGTTTGGTGTGCGAAGGGCGCTGGTCGGGTGGGTTGGTGAGGACGGGGTGGATGAGGAGAGAAGTCCGCCGACGTCTTGGAGGAAGGCGAGGCTTCCGGTGCGAGAGCGGGTGCGGGTGCGGCTGTGAGTGAGTCGGGGTGGGTTTGGGTTCGGGTTGGGGGGTAGAGAGCGAGGGTCAGGAGGAGGGAGAGGGTTTGTGCCTGGCACGTGCAGAGTAGATGTAGAAGGCGAAGGGTCGAGAAGACCACCGACGTCGAAGAAGGATACCTTTCCAGGTGAAGAGGATGGGTGTGGGGTTGTAGACGATTTGTTCGTTTCGATGTACTCGTGAGGACTGATTTTCATGTCTAGACTGCCGGTCGTGGAGGTACCTTCGTCGTCATCGGTGATTGTGGACGGGTGGTTGAAGGTCCAGTCTGGGTTGAGACCCGCGGTGGTGCCCGGGTGTGTTCCGTAAGGCTGGTAAGGCCCGGCGACCGGGGCAGGTCGCGGACCCTGAGTCTCGGAGTAGCGGAGGTCGGCGTCGAGGCGGATTCCTAGATCCCCGGCGAGGTCGGAGTCGGAGCCCCATTGGTGATGGGTGACGGTGGCGCGGCGGACCGTGGTGTGGTCGAGGCTCTCGCTGACGGAGGCGGAGCCCTGGGCTTTCTTGTACTTGGCTTTCTTGACGCCTTTGTCGCGCACAAAGGAGCCGATGACGACGGCGTTGGAGACGGCCGTGGCGGCTAGGATCTCGAGAGAGGCGAGTAGGGTGCGGTACTGTTGCGATCCGTTGTGGTGGATGACGGAGGGGACGCGGTAGCAGGTGATGCCGACGAGGATTAAAGAAAGGGCGAAGAGGACCACGAGCGAGACTTTGCGCTTGATCGGCATGTTGGACATGACGACCAAGGGGATCGGGAAGACCACGAGGAGGATGTCGGTAATCACATCGCACACGCCCATCGTAATGAGATTGGCATAACCCAGTCGACACTGCGGACCGGGATCTGGCACGACCTGCCAGTAGTGATGGAATGGCTGACACTCGGCCAGCGTGGCGATCAGGACCGCCACGAGCGTCGACGCGAGGAAGTAGTAGAGGAACAGCAGGAACAGTCGGATCGATCGTCGCCAGATCATGCCGGCCACTCGCCGGAGGAACTCGCAGACAGTCAACTTGGCCATCCAAATACTATATCAGAACAGACCGTTAGCCCGACAGCATATACCTAACGGGAAGACCGATCTTACAAGATCGCGTAGAAGATCCTCGCGCCCAACACCAGCCTACTCCCGATGACGCGATGTCGAATCTCCACCTCCGTCAAGCCCTCCGTTTTCGTGTTGTTGGTGCCCCAGATCAAGATAACGTGGACCAAGGCCATGCGAGCCAGCAACGGGATGATACTGGCCATCATGACCTTATCCTCGCGGAAGAAGCGCTCGATGCGGACATACCGGCCGCAGACGCGTGTCACAATAATGGCCAGCGAGAACGCCGTGGTCCACCAGCTCACCAGCAGCGTGGGGTTGTCGTCCAACTTGGTGCGAATATCTGGTGGAATGTCGGAGTAGATGCGCCTGGGACTCAGCATACTGGCGCTGATAGTTGAGTCGACAGCACCGCCTCCGCAGAGGGGCCCGTCGGCGACCGCAAGCCGGGATGAATTTAGGGACCAAGCAGGAGATTCAGCGATATGGTGTTGAATACCGCGCTCACATTGTTCATGGCGGATCCTCCGTTGGTGAGGAGGGAGCGCACGTGCCCAAGACCCCGGAGTTGCGGATGTGGGGGAGGCGATCAGAGAAGACCGACTGGAATCGACGACAGATCGATCGGTTGTCGGTACGGAGTGCTCCGTAGAGAGATCGATGATGGACAGATTGCAGTATGTCGATATATGCCAGGCTGCAACAGCTACAAACAAGTCAGAAGGGGAGGGAGCTAATAGATGTACAGTACCTCCAGCTTGGACAACGTGGAAGGGATAACAGGGAAAAGCAACAGGTCGGAGTCCAATTCACCGCCGTTCTGACCTAAAGGGGCAGATCATATATTACCCCGTAAAAACAACAATAATAATCATAAGAATAATCGACTGGCGCCAGTGATTTAGTGCGAGGGCACCACGGATCAGGAGTGGGTGGAGATAACCGAAGAGAGGGGATAACACTACCAGTAACCACCAGTCCCTGCTCCGTATGTACCTCAAACCCTTCCTCTGACCAGCATGGCAAAGTCCAAGAGGTAATCCTCCTCCCGGTCATCCATAATATCCCCCAAGGGTCATGGCGTCCAATTACCGTCTGCCAATGCGGGCGATAACGCCGGGACGCCCCATTTTTCCCATTCGCCATCGATGAATGGCCTTGTCACTGCTCCTGCTTCCTCGAGGTCGAGTCTCGAGTCCTTCGAGCTTCTCGAGTCCGGAAAGATCTGCCAGCCAGCTCACGAGCTCGGAGGGTCGCTCGAAGAGGGCGAATCCCAACCCTTGCGTTTTCCGTTCCCATGGCTTTGATAGTATGACGGATACGAAGTTCAGTTGCTTGTCATTTCTTGGATGACGAAATTGGCCGGATGGTGTGGTAGAGGCGGTTTCTCCGAAAGTTTGTCCTGTCCTGGTTGGTTTTTCTTTTCTTTTGCCTATCGCTGGGTGGGATGAGTTCCAAGGTACAGCGTTCATAGGTACAGACACGGAGTCTCCAGGACGGGCGACCTCCGTGCCGAGAGCTGGAGTTGGACGGACTTACGAGCTGTGATCAAACGCGGTGGAATGTCTGATACATAACCCGACCAGATCAGACCCAACTAGTAGCTACCTAGCTCCTGTTGAGAAACTCGGGGAGAGGCGAATTCACATGCGACCGCAACATCGCGATTCCTTGGTCGTGGTGTGGCTTAGATGCCAGAATGCCTAGATTGGCCTGACTCGTAAGTGTAACCCGTCGGCCTCAAGTTGTATCAGTGATAGTGGTTGGTTCTCCTTTTTTTTTTTTTCTCTCGTGATCGCTATCGGCGATGGATAGGGTAATTGCTCGGCCATGCCATGCGATAAGTTAGGCGCTGGGTTCCGTGGTTTTGTTTTTTCGAGTCGCCCGGTTACCGAAATCGTCCATCTGATTAGGCACGTGCCTGGTTTCTACTTGGGTGTAGTTGACGAGAGACAAAGAAACGGTTCTGTCGATGCAACCTTCTTATCGTCTGTCTTTGGGAGCCCCTGGCAGTGAGTTGATTGCATGACGTTGTTTTAGATTTGATCGGGAGGCGCCGAGATGTACTCAGTTTGTATATTTCTGGTCAACTATAGCCATCAAGAAGTTAACAGACGATCATGTTAACTTGAACCATGCTTGCATTGTATGCTTTATATCTAACGATAATGATTAAATTAAAAGAGTCAACCCCCCTACCTCAACGACTGAATATCCAACCCATTCAACAACCCCTCCAGCACCACTCGAATCTCCTGCAAGAACCTGGTCACCTCAGCCTCCGTGCCGACCGTGATACGCAAACATCCCTCGCAGCCCAGCTCCTTGCCGCGGAACCGCACCACCACGCCCCGCTTCTCCGCCATCGCCTCGTACGCGCCCACGGCGATCTCGTTGCTCGCCTTCCCGCTCTTATCCAAGAGCTCGACTAGCAGGAAGTTCGACTCCTGTCCGCCCAGGAACCGGCCCACGCCGGGGATCTTCGGCAGCTCGCGCACCAGCCGCTCGCGCTGCGCGATGATCTGCTCCCGGTACCGACGCATCACGGCCATGTTGGTCTCCGACAGAGCGGCGGTGGCCAGGGCGCTGGTCGGGCTCGAAATGTTATAAGGGGCTTTGAGGCTGTTCAGGAGCGTCGCGATGGGGGGACTCGTGAAGGCCACGCCGAGTCGAATACCCGCCAGCCCGAAGGCCTTGCTGAGCGTCTGCATGACCACCAGGTTCGGCCACTCGTTCACCCACTCGGCCAGACTGGACCCCTCCGGCGCGAAATCGATGTACGCCTCGTCGACCACCACCACTCCGTTCCATGTCGGGTGCTCCAGCACCTTCTGGATATCCGCCTTGCTGATCAGGTTCGCCGTCGGGTTGCCCGGGGAGCAGATATAGGCCATCTTGATCGAGCTGTCGGCCGCCAGCGTCTCATTGATCTTGTCCGCTTGCAGCTGGAACCCGTTGTTCACGTCCAGCGGCACCTTGACGATCTCGACGTCGTTGACCTGTGCACTGACGCCGTACATGCCGTACGTCGGAGGGCAGGTGAGGATCTTATCTTTTCCGGGGACGCAGAAACATCGTAGTAGGGCGTCGATGGCCTCGTCGGAGCCGACGCCGACGAAGAGATTCTCCGGTCGTAGGGTCTTCTGGGTGTGGTGGTGGGTGTTGCGGAATTGGCAGAACAGTTGTTTCAACTCGATCTGGTGACTATTGACATTCGAGTTAGCCATCTCCCCCGTACATGATGGTCGAAGGGATCAGAGAATGAATGACTCACGGATCTGGGTATCGGTTCAATCCCAACAGGTCGATCTCGGGTTTCGACGATCCAGTCGAGCCCCCCGTCACCGTGGATTCTTGAAGCGCGCCTTCAGAGTTCAAAGCCAGACCGGGTCCGTAGGCATTCTCGTTCGCGTCCAGTAGGATATTCGTGCCGTCGTCTTTGTAGTCACTGATTTGATAGGTTAGTTTTTTGCTCCGATGACTCAACTCATCCGGCGCGGGGAGATGAAGCTAGAACTCACTCTCTGGCACACCGGTAAGGGTGCAATTGCAAGATATTCTTGCGCGCGCATGTCGATAGATCGAAAGGTGATTGTCTGGCGGCCATCTTGGGTGGATTGATGAGTTGGGGTGGTTTGTTGTAGAGGGGAAGAAATATTGGTGGGGACCGTGGCGGGGAAGATTAAATCGATATCACCGGAACCGGTGTCGGAGAGGAGTCATTCTGCGGGTAACTAAGGTACCTTATCTACGATAACTAATACGGAGTCATTAACCAGTTGGAATGAAAGGAAATACAAATATAATCTATGTACTGTTCGTTATATTTATGCTCATGATATATAACCATCGTGGATGCAATTTCCACACCTATTTACTACAGTTCACAGCCTATCAAAACTCAAGCGTACGCCATGGATATGCTGGGCCTGTCTGCCCTCACGGCAATCGGTATCTGTGATCATGAGTATCTATTCTTGCTTAGTTGTCTTGGAAGATGACTCCTCGCTCTTCGGAGGAGGGTTCTTGCCGGACTGCTTGTACTTGTCCTGCTTTTCTCGCACGTAGCGCCAGGTACGAGCGAAACCCGAGGTGAGAAGGCCCTTGGCGGACTGCACAGAACTGGGCCACCGGATGGTCTTCGTAATCGAGGTTCGCACCTCCTTCTGCAGGCTCGCATCGCTGGCAATCCGCTGCTCGAATTGACCGCCTTGTCGCCGGCGCACCATCTCGGGATCCTTGTCGTTGCTTTCCTTCATCATCTTGTCGAATTCCGCGCGCGGAATTTCGTACCGCGATTGATACTGGAAATACAGCTTCTCCCGGAAAGACTCGGGCAGTCGACGAACCATGTTACCACGCTTGACAGGGTCCATGTCCTGCGTTAGCCGCACGTTGGCATCGGGATCGTCGATCCAGTCCTCCTGCGTGCAGCGCCGGTCGTTGAACGTCACGTTGGGGAGATTCTCAATGAGCGGCGCGTACAGTCGCCGGAAGTTGGCCATCTGACCGGAGACAATGTTGTTGACCTTGCGAGGGTCCTCGGTCGGCAGGGCCATGCGGATGTCACCCATGTAGCTGATTGCCGCAATGGTGCCGTAGAGCTCAAACTCGCTGAACTGCTCCGGCAGCAGCAGCAAGGCAACTCGAACCGCAGACAGCAGATTCATCTGGTTGGCCAGTCGCACCCGCGGATGGTCCCGGAGGATCTTGACGGGTTTCTGCAATCGCCCGGCCAGGTACAACGTGTCCCATTGGCTGAGATCCTGACAGAGCGTGTCCAGGTTCACGACTCCGTATTTGATCAATGTGCCATTGACAGTTACGTACGGATTGAAGTACACTCCCGCTCCGAGTTTGTCCTGCGTTTGCGAGACTAGATAGGAACCTAGAGAACCCAAACCGGAATAATGATCGCGGTGCTGACTAAGGTTTAGTGAGTGCCAATGTTGGGAGTACGAAACCCCGAAGATAAAGTCTATCATCTTCCCTTGTCCTTGCTGCATATTCTTGATGGCTGCCGGCGCCGATGGGTGGCATTGGCTAGAACCGGGTGCGCTGCCGGACTGCGGAAACACTCCCGACCCGTAGGCGAATGCATACCGAATGGGAGCGCGGAAGCCCCAGAGGATCTGGCGTAACGCTTCTTTGAACTCCTGGTTAATGATCATATGCTGATTGACTCCAAAGTCTTTCGAAGGAAGTTCCGAAAATGCCGAGATCGCGAGGTTCGAGTTAACCTCCCAGTCCCCAGGATCGGAATATTGTGACGAGGTCGAGAACGAGGCAGGCGAGGGCACCAGAAGTGGACGCTCTGCTGAATTTGAACGGACGCCATGGGATTTACCGGAGTAGAGCCGGCTTCGGGTTAAAGAGCCACCATTGTGATGTGTTGAGGTCTGCAAAGGAAAAGAGCGGAGAGCGATCGGAATGCGAGAACAGCGCGCAGCAAACGGAGAGTTCGGACGTAAATGCATACGGAAGGAGCCCGAAGAATTCATAAGGAGGGACTTCAAACGAGTATGATTGATCAGCGTTCTGCTTGATTTTATTCGATTCGGGGCCAAGAACACTCCGGAGAGATAGCTTACCGTAGCTTCGCGCATCGTTGGGGCTCCACGGATGAAAGGAAGGCAAAGGAAGGGGGAGGGAAGGAGGAAAAGGAAGGGATTGCACAGCGAGGGCTGTAATAAATGCAATAAATCAAGCTACCATCTGCAATCACAGTTTCAGATCATATTTTGCGACAAGATAAGATGGAGGAAAGGAGAAAACAGAAGAATGGCCAACGAGAGAGGAAAGAGAAGGGCCGAGACTGACGTACTACTGCGGTCGGGTCGTTGCCGCCTCGTCCGTGAGGCTGCCATCCCTGCGCCACCGTCAGCCACACCACGTGATCTCGTCTCTCCGCGGGCGCGTTGCGTAGAAGCGACCCAAACAAGAGGGTAAACAAGCGCCCTCCTGGACAGCAACCGCTTCCACGCCAAACCGACCGCTGCAGTTGAACATTCGTTGACATTATATACCAAGTGCTTGCTGAGATCTGCATTTTTTTTCACTCCATGATTCTCATGCGCTGGCCACTATGACCCAAAACATGGAAACGTTTGGCGCCCGCCTTGCCAGCTTCGACCGGGTGCTGCAACCAGAGAAGCGACGAGGATCGAGCGCGAAGGCCGCAAAATCGATCGCCTGGCCTCATCGGAGGCCGTCGCCCGCCGAGGTAGGACCTCACAAGGGAAATTGTAAAATATCGCAGCTAATTGTTGACTATCACAGTTGGCGCATGCGGGTTTCTTTTATAATCCTTACGAGACCAACCCCGATAATACAACATGTTTCCTGTGTCGGCGAGCGCTCGACGGATGGGAGGAAGAAGACAATCCGATCACAGAACATTTGAAGCACTCTCCAGACTGTGGGTGGGCGCTCATGATGGACATCCAGCAACACAGTTCCAACCCCGCAGAAATTGAAGACCCAACAAGCGAAACGATAAGACAGGCACGATTGGCTACATTTGGTGAGCTATGGCCACATGATGGGAAACGGGGATGGGTCTGTCAATCTGAAAAGGTAGAGTTGTTGCGATAAGCATCATGCACCGCGCATGTCCCTTGCTGATCGTTGAGTTGGCGACAGATGGTTGACGGCGGGTGGTATTTTTGCCCGACCGAGGAGAGCGACGATTTGGCCAGCTGTGCCTACTGTAAACTGTCCCTTGATGGATGGGAACCTAAGGACGATCCCTTGTCAGTACAGTCGATGTTATCCTTGTGTTTTATCCCCGCTGACTGTCTCCAGTGATGAACATTATCGCCGCTCATCGGACTGTTCTTTCTTTGTCTTTGCACAATTAGGCGGGAAAAAGAAAGGATCGCGGTCGAAGAAAGCGCGCACCTCCAAGGTTTCTCGACAGTCAACCCAATCCACTATCTCCGAAGCGCCCGTGTCGGACGTGGACGTGATCGACCCCCCTGCCATATCCCAATCAACTACGAAACCCAAAACCACGAAGAAGTCGTCCAAATCCAAGACAAAGACATCCAAGTCAAAGAAAACCGAAGCTGAACCGATCCCTACCGAGATGGAGATTGACGATAGTGAACAAGTTGATCCCGAAGCCCCCCAACCCAAGCGAGCTACGCGAGGCAAAAAGAGGGCTAGTGGTGAAGTCGATCCCGATCAAGAGGAACTAGGTGTCGCCAATACCCAAGAAGTCGAGCATTCCGAAGCCCCGACGAAAAAGAAGGCCAAAAAATCGCGCGAGAGCGTTCAGAAGAATGAGCAAGATGATGTCGTGATTGCCGAGGCGCACCAGGAGGATGTTGCCCACGAACCTCAGGAACCCCAGGAACAAGAAGAGCCTAAAAAGGCTCGCGGTACGAGCAAGAAGAAGACATCAGCCAAGTCGCGTAAAGCATCGAGTGCGTCATCTACGGCTAAACCGTCTGTGCAACCCGAAGAACCTCAAGAGGTGGACATGTACGCAGCCCTTGAGGCAGAGCTTGACAATCCTGAACCGGTGCAGCCCACCGAAGAGGTGGAACAAAAACCTGCGAAGAAGTCTAAGTCCAAGAAAAAGAAGAAGGATGCGTCCCCAGAACCCTCAGTTGAAGATGTACCCCAAGTGGAAGAATCGCATCCGGATGTCCCTCAAGAGACTGAACCGACCGAGCCTCCCGCCCCAGAAGAGCCCGCTCAACCAAACACGAAGCGAGAATCAACAAAGCGAGAGAAATCAAGAGGCCGAAGCAGCACTAAGCGAGTAATCGAAGAACCGACAGAACCGACGAGGCCTACTGAACCCGCTCCTCAGCCTGCTTTTGATAGGGACGATGGCACAGATATAGACGTCTCCCGGCATGAATCCTTCGTCTCGGTGGAAATTCCGAACAGGCTACCAGAACAAGATCCTCCGGCCGACTCCAGTGACAAGGCCACGAAGAAGAAACAGAAGCAAAAGCCTTCGTTAGACAAGACCAAAAAACGGAAGAAAACGTCGAAAACGGCCCCTGAGCCAGTCCAGTCGATCGAGGAGCCCATTGAAGAGTCCAACCTCGAAGAACAGGTCCAACCACAAGATATCCCGAAGCCTCAAGAGTCCCCGGAAGTCCAAAAACAAGAGCCTGATCCACAGCCAACTCGACGCAGATCTTCCAGGGTGCCTCCTAAGACAGCCGAGCGATACAGTGATATCCCGGAGGAAAAGCAGCTTGCTAAGTCGCTTGCGGGATCACGCAGTTCCGATGCCCGTGCCGCTCTGGAAGAAGATGAACAGAGAGATGAGCCCGAAGCTGTTTCGCCCATTCCGTCTGCTTCGAAGAGCAGCCCGTCTCCATCACCGCAATCATCCGACGCCGAAAACCGCCCACCATCCATGAAACCCTCTGCATCCCGGCCTGTTGCGGCGTCATCGTCCAAACAACCAACTCTTCGAGTTCCATTGGCACCGAGCACGCCTTCTCCATCGAAGCGCACTGCTAACACGGGAGGCCTCAATACTTCCTGCCCCTGGAAACCGGTCGACATCGACGAGATCCTGTTGGCCGGCAACAGCGATAAGGAGAACGTCGATATCACCACTGCTCTCAGCAGCGTGAAAGGGGATTTGACAAGCCCGGAAAAGAAGATGACCGTGGAGCAGTGGATCACATGGAATGCGAAGAATGGAGAGGAGAGATTGCGGCGGGAGTGTGAGCGAATTGTTGGCCAATTTGAGAAGGAAGGGGCACGCGCAATGCGTGTCTTGGAGGGTATTGAATGCACGGATTAGGGTTTGGTTTTCACGTTTCTCGGATTGGCAGGGTATGGGACATGGGTGGACGGCGTTGGATAAGTCTTTGATATTGGTGCTTTACAACATCTGGAGTACAATCTTTTGCCGAAATGGTAGTACATTATGTGCAACTTTATTTCATGCAGTTTCCATCTTACCACTAAACAAGCCCAGTAAAGATATATATATGTCAAAGCCAAAACGCCATGGGTATACTACAACATTTTATCGATCATGACAATGTATGCTCGTCAGTCACCGAGCGCGTCCCAATAAAATCTCCATTTATGCAATGATTCCCAGACGGCCTTCCCAACCATCATCTTCCTGCTTGACACCATTCTCGCCACCCTTCCGTCGCTTCTCGTTTCTCTTTCTCCTCTTCTCCTCCCTCTCCTTCGCATCTTGTTCCTCTCGCTCCTTCAACCTGACGCCCAAATCCAACTGCCATGCCCGTCGCTCTTCTTCCTCCCTCACTCGTTTCTGGTACGCCAGCATCCGCAACCGCTCTCGTACATCTCCCACCGTAGCCCTCGTAACCTCACCACTCTGCCCCGTCGCAATCAAGTGCTGCTTGCTATTCAAATGCTCCACCAACTGCAAATTATCCTTGAACGTGAGATCGCAGTCCGCACAGTAGAATCCCGCCCCGCGACCTCTCTTGCCAATCGCCGACCCCGACGAAACCATCGTCGTCTTTCCGACCATCGACGCGACATCGAGTCGTTGTTTTCGCGACGTCGTCGCTTCCAAGGAGCTGTAGTCTACCGGGGCGTGCCATTTCTTGCCGAGAAGTTTGGCCTCGTACCGGGCTTTCGACTCTTCTTTGCGTTTGGCTTCGTCGTCGGCGGCTTTTTTGGCGTATTCTTCGCGATCCCAGGTTTTGCGGAATGCGGTGTCGGAGGGGGCGGATGATTGGTTGCCCGACATGGTGATGTTGTGAACTTTTGGCTGTGGGGATGTGACGCGAGAGGAAGATGAAAAAAGATGTCTTTTTGGGAAGCAGAAAGTTGTGGTAGTTTGCACGGATTAACTAGTCAATAGCTTCTCCGGAAGTTTTGAGGCGATAAAGCGGCGGAACCGGGACAGGCAGGCGGTGAGCGACAACCCAACTCAGCCGCATGTGATCTGATCGGTCAATTGTCGCCAGTCGATGGATCTACTCCTCGCCCCTCTTGCTCCATTTAATCCGCACCCTAAGCGTATGGGATTGAGGCCAGACCCTCAGCTACGGAGTAGCTCACGTTCAGCTGACCCTCTCGTTCCTATTAATCGGTCGATCATTAGGCCTCCCATCATGGTTCTTTCCGGCATGGTCGTCAATCGTTCCATCCCGACTTGACCTGAAAGCCCAATCACTGACGACAGGTTCGCTTTCTTTGCGGCTGGGTCTCACACAGACCTGCAGTAGCTGAAACATCGTCCTCATATATAACTTTCCTGGATGTATTAATAGTGCTGGCGGTCTCGCTGGTCTGTTGTTGTTCTCGTGTTCATATTCTCCGTCTCAGTCTGTCCCTTAGGCAACAACCTCGCTGCCTTGGCTTGATTATATATCCCTGAATGGCTTTCTACCTTTGATGTTGGACCTATTCAACTTTTATTGTCTATCTACTTCAATTGACTACCCTGGCTATTAACCATGGACCACCCCTCAATCCAAGATCCTCAACGCCCAACAGGCTCCTTCCCCCTGATGGGCCTTCCAACAGAACTGCACATGCAGATATCCTCGTACCTGTCATATCCGGACGCTCTGGCGCTCAAACACACGAGTAGGCATTTCTATGCGCTCGTCTACACCGGTGTCCACCTGAAAGTCGACTGGCTGGTGGAGCGATTCGAGCGAAAACTCGAATGTCCGATGGAGAAATGCTCGTTTCGGACGGACGAGTCGTTCTGCAATTGGCGCATCCGGCGCATCATTGAACGTAGGCGACGGCATTTGGAATGTCAGCGAGGAAGAGGCGGGTGTTTCGTCATCTTGGGAGACACTTGTCAGGTGGGGTTGGTTTCGGCCTGGTTGAAGGGGCAGGGACGGCGGTTGAAGGTCGTGAGATATATTGGCAACGAAGGTTTGTTTTGCATCCTCAGTGCGCATGGTGATTTAGTGACTGATTTTGGGCAGTGTTGATACATGGGATCATTTTCTTGATCGTGAATGTGATCTGGAATCTTTTTCTGCGGTGAGATAATCCGCATGCGGTTTAGCACGTCTTCTCAAGGGGTGTTACTGATTGTCGCAGACGGTTCTTCTGAAGTCTACTATTACAGTATAATAGTTGCTGTGCAGAGGCGAATGTGCTTGTCACATGATAGGACGGATATTATAATCGATGATGTATCATACGTGTTTGGGGTATTCTGTTATCAAAGCTGCTGGCCAGCCTTGGTGCCAGTCGCTCGACTCTAGTCACGCCCATATCATGTTCAACCATGTTGGAAATTATTTTTACGATGGATCTCTGCTTAAGTGAGAGCTTACCACGTATATAGCAGCTTTCAAAGTCAATATTCCGGTACTCGCATGGGGTGGAAATATGCAGATCAATTGAACTTTGAGACGAGTCAATAGGCGGACCTCGTATAGGAAATCGACAATACCTTCTCTTCCGCAAGGATCAGGCACGATAGCTTTACTATTTAAATTTTGGCTTGCAGGAGCTCTGTTTGCCATTTCTTCTCGATACAAGTCGCACATCCAAATGCGAGATCCGAGTCTGCGAACATTCTATCTTGTTAAGCTTTGGGTCGTGCAGGACGGGACCCGTGCGGAGGCGGAAGATCCACGGGATCGTCGGAGTACTCCAGAGTAGGGCGCACGGCACACATACCTCTATTAGGTAATCTTCTATAATTTAAACCTTGAACACGATATCATCTCCAACAAAGGGACTTCCAACAAGGTTTTGGTATTTAAGCCATCCAGATAAATTTAGTATTTGCTCCTCTGTTCTTCAATCAAAGTGGAACTCTAAGCGTCCTAGCAGGACTTATTATAAGCTAGTGCCAGCTCTCTGTCCAGCTCCCTGTCTAGCTCCCTAGTTACTTAATGCAGTTTAGCACAAGTAGACAGGGGCGACCAGAAATTGTTTGGACCTTGAGATGGGCGCTTAACAGATTTGAGAACCTCATTCTCCCTCGATCAACATGCCTCGAAGCTCAAATCATGCGCTATGCTTTCTTCAAACTGGCTTGAGCCGTCGGTATGCCTTTCATCGTCGCCTCATTCAAGGCTTTCTCATCCTACTCGTGATCTGGACATGTCTAGAGGTGTCGTTCGTGTACCATGGAATCTCTGCCACCGAAAGATCTCGGCCTCAATCAACGCGACGAGACGAGAGGATCTATATCGCCAGCATGCACTGGAATAATGAAGCCATTCTTCGAAGTCACTGGAATGACGCTGTCCTTGAGGTGGTCAAGACATGGGGTCCAGGGAACGTTTTCGTTAGCGTCTTTGAGAGTGGGAGCTGGGATGATTCCAAAAGCGCTCTCCGGCAACTTGATAATCAGCTGGATCAGCTGGGCGTACGACGAAACATCACACTTTCCGACAGGACTCATCAGGATGAAGTCTCGGCTCCTCCCTCAGGAGACGGTTGGATTTATACGTCCCGTAACAAGGAAGAACCCAGACGCGTGCCTTATCTCGCCCGGCTTCGTAACCTGACCTTGAGGCATTTAGAAGACCTAGCGCGACAAGGTATTACTTTCGATAAAATACTTTTTCTGAATGATGTGGTTTTTACGGTAAGATATTCGTGAAGCATGGGTAGTTACTGTTCATGCCACAGCCCAGATCTAAGCTTCCATTCATTGCAGGTTGACGATGTCCTATCGTTACTCAATACGAACGACGGTCACTATGCTGCAGCCTGTTCTCTGGACTTCTCAAAAACACCTCTATTCTACGACACGTTTGCTCTTCGTGATATCGAAGGTTACGAGCACATAATGCAGGAATGGCCCTACTTTCGCGCTGCAGCTTCAAGAAGGGCGCTTTTAACTATGTCCCCTGTGCCTGTTAAGAGTTGTTGGAATGGCATGGGTAGGTTTCCCTATGCACATTATCTGACCACATTCTTATTCGTCATATCTCGCAGTGGTCATGTCGACAGAGCCCTTCTTGTCAGAAAGCCCATTGCGTTTTCGAGGCATTTCAGACTCCCTCGCGCGTCAGCATCTCGAGGCCTCTGAGTGTTGTTTGATTCATGCGGACAATCCTCTGTCGAGTACCAGGGGTATCTATTTAAACCCTAACGTGCGGGTCGGCTATAACGCAGCAGCGTACGATGCCGTTCACCGCACTTCCGCCTGGATCGGGTTGCGACATATAGCTATGTCTCTCTGGGAGAATCGGCTTCGACGGTGGATGACAACACCGCTCCTCAAGAGACTCGTCGTTCGGAACCGACTTAATCGGTGGAAAGCAGACGCCGATGATAGAGTCGAACCCGGAGAGTACTGTTTGGTTAATGAGATGCAGGTTCTCGTTGCTAACGGTTGGGCACACGTGTGATGACTTCCCGTTAATTGTACCACAATCTCTTTTTCCTTTCCCCTTATGAGCTCATATATAACACATTATACCCTCTGACGACCTGTTAAGTGCAAGATATGGTCGAAATAATTCTCTTACTCGTGCACACTTGTATATCTATATAGGAGCTTACGTGTCTAATAGTTAAGGACAATGACTTTCATGATCGTCATCGGTGTCATTGATCGATGTCTATCTACGTGCTGGAAAATAAGGCTCATCCTCCTCCTCCTTCTGTCCATCATCGATCATACCTAAGTCAAGAAGACCTTGCTTGATCTGTTGTATTTGAAACGAGGCGAAATTGTCGTGGTGTCGCATTACCGTGAGTAGTGTCTCTCCAACGGTTGTTTGAGCATTGATATTGGCTCCTCGGTGCACCAAGAACCGAATCATTTCTAACAGAGAGCAAGATTTCGATCCTGGGCATCGAGCACAAACAAGCAACGGCGTTTGTCCCTTGGAGTCTCTAGCCTCAATATTCGCGCCATTGTCCAGCAAAGTCGCTGCTGTGCGTTGGTCTAAGCGACGAGCAGCCAGATGCAAAGCTGTTTCACCCTTATCGTTTTTCAATTCCAAATCAGCGCCTTGGTCTGCAAGGAGATACATAGCCTCTGGGTTATTTGAGGATGTAGCCACGTGGAGTGCGGTTCGGCCGTCTTCCGTTCGCCAATTGATATCCGCCCCTCGAGTGAGTAGAATCCTGATAACGGCATCATGGCCAGAAGACGCCGCTTGATGGAGGACAGTGAAGTCATTCCATCCACGGCAAGCAATGTTGCTCCCATGGTCCAAGAGGAAGCGAATCATTGAGCACTTTCCAGCCTCCACTGCAACATGCAACGCTGTTTTCCCGGCACTGTTCTTTTGCTCTAGATCATAGCCATGCGTTATTAACTGCTCAACAATGGTAAGATGGCCTTTCATGGCGGCATGATGCAAAACAGTATTGCCACTCTGGTCTTGCAGGTCGAGTTCTGCCCCGGCTGTAAACAATCGCGTAAGAACTGCCTTGAAGCCGAAGCTAGCTGCAAATAATGTCGAGCTGTATCCATTTGAGTCCTGATGGTCAGGAATAGCACCCCTATCTAAGAGGAGTGCAACAACTGCTTCATGTCCATGATATGCTGCGCGGTGAAGGGGTGTCTGGCCGTATCGGTCAATGTCCCTGATATCCGCCCCATTGTCTACCAACATTCTCACAATCTCAACATTCCCAGAGATAGCTGCCGCTTGAAGAGCGGTTCCAAACTTGCCACTTTGGCGGCGCTGTGGTCCTATTTGTTTAATGGCGCTCAAAGTATCTTGCATGCGATCATTCCACCATGACCGAGCTTTGGAATGTTCCCAGCCCTCGGGCTCGCCCCCTTGTATTCGCACGTCAGCCCCAGCCTCAATCAGTTGTCGAACCACTCCTTCATGTCCTTTGAAGGCTGCAGCTTGTAAGGCGGTTCCGTACTGACCACCTTCGAGATTGACATGTGCGCCCTTCTGAAGCAACAAGCGCACAGATTCCTCAGTACCGGCATACGCTGCAGCTTGTAATGCAGTTCCATACTCACCAGCCATGATATTCACGTCGGCACGATGCCTAAGAAGCAACTGAACCATGTCCTTATTTTGACTAGATGAGGCTAATTGAAGCACGGTTCCGTGTTGACCATTAGTTATGTTCACATCGGCTTTCTTTTCAAGAAGCATGTTGAAGATCTGGCGGTGGTTACCAATAAGGGCGGCATGGAGAGCTGTACCATCATAAGAGCTGGTGCTCAAGGGAGCTTCGTATTTGAGAGTCACTTGGTTGATATCTTCTCCGGCATCCAAGAGATTCCGCACAATATCAACGTGGCCGTGAAATGATGCCACAAATAGAAGATATACTCGTCCATCAGCTGGGGTGATGGGTTTATATCCTCCTCGAAACGACATCACCAGATCTTTGTAGCCACGCCAGCATGCAAGCCTTAATTCTCTGGACTCAACCTGTGCGCCTTTGTTTAATAAATATTGAACGGTATCCTTCTGATCACAATGGATGGCAGCGCGCAGCGCATCTGTCATTTCCCTCGAGTCGACACCCTCATCTATTAATAGATGGATGATATCTAGGTATCCGGACTGTGACGCAATTTCTAGTGCTCTCGCTCGCTCAAACTTTGCTGCAGACTTAGAGCGCCTCATTGCGTGCAGCAACATTTTGACCATGTCCCGATCTCCCGCATTTGCGGCACATCTTAGAGGAGATAATGGAAGGGATTGTCCAGGGTATACCATTTGTTCCTCGTTATCTTGAAAGAGGCAACGGGAAACATCAATGGCACGATTGCTTCCTCTCCTTGTCGGGTCGGCGCCCTTTTGAAGAAGAATCTGCATAAGCTCCTTGTCGCCAGTCGCCGCGGCAAGATTAAGTGGAGTTCCGAAAAGCTGCCCTTCAATGCGGCTGGCATTGGCTCCTTGATCTAGCAAAAATCGCACAAGAGACCGATGTCTACCTGCAGCTGCAGCTTGGAGTGCAGTGCCAAAGGTACCCGATCTGGCATTGATATCGGCACCGCGCCGGAGAAGAAACTGGACAATATCCTGGTAACCTCCCAAGCATGCGATCATGAAGGCGTCTCCAAGATGAGCCCCATTCTCCACTAACAGCTGCGCTGATCTGATACTGCCACCTGTAGCAGCTGCCTGAAGTGCTGATCCGAAGCGTCCGCCAATTATGTTGACATCTGCACCGTGCTGCAGTAATAGTATGATTATATGCTCAAAGTCGTCCCGCGCCGCAGCTTGTAAAGCTGTGCAATATTCACCTGCCGTTAAATTCACATTAGCCTTGTGGTTCAACAGTAACTGCACAAGATGAACATTGCCGGAGCGTGCAGCTGCCTGAAGAGCTGTGCCATAGACACCTGCTTGGACATTGACTGCTGCTCCTTTTTGGAGTAACAGCTCAGCCACTTTGCAGTGTGACCGACGGCATGCCGCTATCAGCGCTGTTCCATATGTCCCGTTCTGGGCATTGATATCTGCATTGGCTTCCAACAGGCGTAGCACAATTTTCTCGTTTCCACAGGTTGCCGCAGCCTGTAAGGCGCTTCCGTATCGGCCACCTTCGACATTCACATCTACCCCCTCGACCTCCAAAAGAGTGGCAACAACTTCCTCATGACCTGCACGGGATGCTGCCTGAATTGCAGGACCAAACCCTGTCTCTTTGAGGTTCATATCAAGATTTTGCTTCAGGAGCAATTCCACGGTCATCTCATTTTTGGCTTCGCGCGAGATGTCGTGCTCAGAATCAGTTTCCCCTTGTTCCCGAAGAACGAGTTCTACAGCCTTGCTGACACCATGCGCGTAGTCTTTACTCGGGGCAGCCTTATATATTGTCTCATACTCGCCACCAGGTGTGTTGACATCAGCACCGGCAGCAAGCAGGTATTTAACTGCCCTGATATGGCCCCTGAGCGACGCAGCTTGAAGGGCTGTTCCGAATTGCCCACCTTCTGCTTCCAAGTCTACACCTTCTTGCAAAAGTGTTACAATGACTTCGACGTGGCCATGCAATGCTGCTCCCTGCAGAGGTGTCCCAAAGCGTCGACCTTGGATTTTCGCATTAGCACCGTGGGCGATAAGAAGGCGTACCAGATCAATATGGCCGTTAATGGAGGCACGGGCTAAAGGGGTCTCTCCATATTGGTCTTTGGCGTTGACATCCGCCCCGTGCATTAACAGCGCCTCTGCAATTTTTGAATGTCCGTATTCGCAGGCCAAGTGGAGTCCTGTTGCTCCCATTGCGTTTTTCATTCTCACGAGCTCGGGTTTTGCTCGGCTAAGACGTTGGACAAGGTCATTGAATCCGAATGCACAGGCGGCGAAGAAAGAGGTATCTGGTGAGCTAAGCGCCTGCAAAACCTTATCTTTGAATGGGTCGTTCCAGTGCAAGATCCGTGATACGGGCTCAATCTGTGGAAGCCACTGTTTGAACCAGGGCTGGAAGTGTCCATCTCTGATACACAGGTCATTCAACGCATCTTTGATCTTGTCGGTGTGTTGTTGTTGATCTACCTGCTCAATATGGAATGCCCAGTACAGAATCACGTAGCACTGAAGTGAGCTTTGCGCCAAAGATGATCCTCCGAGAGCCGGAACCCCACCATATATAACCTTCAGGCACATCTCAGCCGCAGTAGCATGTCTTTCGTGTGAATGGAAACCGGGCTGGTCTTCAAAGAAGTCCCTAACCGAGGTGTGGATAAATCGAAAGGTATTCAAATCTTCGTCAGGCATCACTAGGTTGCTGCAGCTGTCGAGTATCATGTGCTCTGTGAGACTATCCCGCTTACCGGTGACTTGGAATGATATCGCACTGATTAGATCATTCTTGGTGATAGACGCCTTAGCACACAGAAGCCATCTAAATAGTGTGATAGCTATTTCCTGCGCCCTCTGTCCACTGTGTTCAATTTTGCGGTAGATTGTTGCATAGAGCTGTGAGAGCCCCTCTGGCAGCCTTTTGGGATTTTGCAGAATATCTTCCTCGAATAGTGCTTGGTTGGGATCACTTAATAGACCAGATTGCAGTTTGATCCAGAGGAACCTGGTGTTATTAGCTTCATGTCAAAGGTTCACACTCATCCAGCACTCTGGAAATTGACGACTTACATTCCTTGCGCACTGGCCAGGAGTACCTTGGCTACTTCCTCCTTCAAGCTCTCCGACACCGGGATTCCACGCAATGTCATCCCTTCAATGCACTCGGTTGCTTTCACCTGCGCAAACCTCTCAATGTCGCCCTGATTATGGCCCGCATCAATCGAAGAACATCCAAGCAAGCTGAGGCGGGCAGAAAGGTCCGAGGAAGGTCGACTAGATAGAAGAATCTTCACAGTGCCCTTGACATCGTTCAACAGACTCTTAATCAGATCTAGGAATTCAGTCCGTCGATCTGCAGCACACTCATCGATCGCGTCAATGCATATCGTCGTCGTCCCTTCTTCTGTCAACTGTAGAAGCATATTCTTGGTATCAACCCACGCCAATTCTGCACCGCCCTCCTCGTCTTGCGATTCTTGGTATTTCTGTTTTACGATCCCTCTTATAGGCATGCCAAGACCTGATCGACATAATTGCCTTATAATGCTTCGTACGAGGGACTCGGGGTCGCTATGTGTTTGGTCGAGTGTGTTTCGCGAACAGTAGACGTATGCTAACGAACCGGCCTGTCTGTGATGATCAGTAGTTCGTAAGCTGTCGATTATAACGGACCTTTTTGGCCATGATATATTAGCATCGGTGGAGGAAGCGGGTTGTGGTTAGTTATTTCTCACATGAGTGTACTCTTCCCAGTACCAGCTTTGAAAGAAAGTTAGCCTTTGTCTTCATCAAAGCCTCGGAAAAGAGTGCTTACGGTATCCATGAAGCCACAGAAGTGACGATCTGTTTGAAGTTCGCCATGTCACATACTCCGGCTGGTCAAACACCCAGAGCCCCGAAACTGGCAAGCGATCTGTTCGGAGTCTTTGGTGATGGCCACTATGGGAGATAGGAGAAAGCCAATTAAGTATGTTCTTTTCTTCCTGGCCTGAACCACATCAGCAATACTTTCTTCCTTCAGATTGTCGTGGAAATACCCTCTGATCTTCTCTGCAGGTCAACAATCCCATTGGTCATCGATGTTATCGGATCTTGAAAGCTTTTGAGAAATTCTTTCAAGAGATCCTGCTCATGCGAGACATCTTCCAGCTTCTCAAGTATCGTATCACCTTTTTGCTGTGAATCTATATAATGTCAGCATCAGTATACGGGGAAAGCTCGAACAGCCATCTATACTCTCTGAATCAACCAAGCGAGCAAGATCCTCCACTATGACTTGTTGCTTCTCGATTTCTTTTATCAAGTCCTCGAACGTGCTGAATATTTGGAGGAAGCCTTTCGCGATTCGTTCTAGAATATGTTAGCATTGCTTTCAGGTCAAACTCATTAGACGCGGAGACATACTAGCAGTTCCCATTGCATAATAAGCCTTGGCCTTCGCCATGAACCTCAGAGCGCTGGAATAGAGCTTGATAATTTCTCGCTGGAGGACACTCTTTATTTGAAAATCACCTTGCAGGTACAGCCTCTCGAATACCATATAGCGAGGGATGAAGACAGTCAACATCTCGATTCCTCCGTAAACGACATGGAGGTATTCCGAATCTTTCACTGCGAACTATCCATTATACTACCTGTCAGTTCAATTCCAATATCTTTATGTTTAATAGAAAGGGTAGGATAGGAGAAGGGGGAATTATTGCTCCACAAACTTGAAGAACCAATTTTATCGCCCCCCAAGGAACAGCCAAATGCGTCGAATCCAGCGCAGCGACAGAATCACCAAGATCCTTGAACTGGGCGACTTTCTCAACTATCTTATCAAAGACCCCTCGAAGCTCGACTTCGCGGCCATCTCGCCGTTTGTATTTCCATCTTTTCTGCTTGCACTCTTCCTGTCTCTCTTTGGCGCTCGTCAGGACATCATCGAGAACGGTTAGATTGTCTGTCGCGTGTGGCCAGATCAGGCTTTTGTCGTCGTCGTCTAGTTGTTGAATCGCTTCTACCCAAAGGTCTTTTCACATGAACGCGTTAGATACGTGATTGATATAGACGTACTGTCGGGGGCGCTACTTACCAGCCTCCGGCGGCTTGTAGACCGCACCTGAAATGCCCATGTCGACGATGTACCGATGACTTGGGTGAGGGGATTAGAAAACAATGGTTAGTCATAATGACATATTGTTGAGCCTGGTTAAATGCAAAATGCCGAGGGGAAGGTCGTGGTGAGGATGTTTAACGCCCATCTCGTATCTCCTCCTGCTGCGGCTGACTGCGGGGCATTTGCAAGGGTGAAAACCAATGGCACAGGATTCTGGATGTCAGCAAACTAGATAGGTAAGCCTGTTCTTTTTGCCCTATTGGCGGATATATTTCTAACATGAATAGAGCATTGAGCAATATTTCATCCATTGGATAGAGCATTAACAACCCCATAAAGGTGATAGTGAGTATTGGACTTTGCATTTTCTACTCGCTCTGCGACGGACTGTATGTAATGATCCTTATGTAAACCCTTAAGATACTCTCATGTGTGAGGGGGACATAAAGCTAGGCTTATGGTGAGATGGCTTTTGTATACCGCCACACATTCTTGGGTTGACGCGGATGCTGTCAAACTAATGAACTGGCCATAAAGACCCATCATTGAATCAATCAAGGACGCTTCATATGCTACTTTACTCCTTAAGAATAAAGCAAGTCAGGACGGACTTATAAACTATTGAATGCAAAGATAATCAAATGCGCATAATACATAGATAAACATTCTTAGGCTGGCATAGATTGGTTTATCTACACTTATCTGCCGCTGTCAGCGAACAATTGTCTCACTTTAAGAAAGCTAGATCGGATATCAATGGAAGCAGTAAGAAAGCGCGAGTGTTCGGTAGATACATTACGTGATATAACAGTCGCATGACCGAGTATTGTTTACTTTTGAATAGCTTCTAGGGCATATTGTGCGTGATAATATTGAAATTGGCTTATGAAAAGCATTAGGATGACTTTTTGCAGGGAAACAGAATAGACTGGGATTCTAGAAGTCTTCACCATATCAAATGAACCATAGTTTCGTGCCACCAGGCTTGATCTGATTCGAACTTGCGTACATACTTAGCTGACAACTATTTAGACATCAGTCAGTTAATTATTTACTTGCCACATTCATAACACCGCTGCACATCTGTACCACTCCCGCCGATGACTGCTAAATTGTTCGGATTGCTAAAACGAAGGCCTTAGGATTGGTATTGACTCTGAGGACTCATCTCTGAGCCTGTGATCACCCAGAGAAGTCTAGACCAGCTAACGCGCGCGCTTGGTGAGTTGAGAACTGTTTGTCCCTGCTTTGCTCAGGCGCTGTTCCGACACGATCCAGGAGTCAGGGAACCAATCAGGCCAAGTCTGGTTGGTATGGTTTCTCTCAGTCCCGAGCAAGGCTTCGCTGAGAGCTTTGGCACACAACCACGCGGCGGGCATGCCGTCACCACTGTATCCTGTGGCTATCCACTCGGCACCCTTAACGACCCTCCGCTTGGTTATGGAACCGGGCAGAGCTCCCACGATGGGATATTCGTCCCACGACATGGCGTCGATGCCTGTCCACAAACCCTTGGATCGGCCCGGGTAGACGTCCTTCTGCGGTGCAGTTGCTGGCCTCTCTGCGCCCCAGTTCTCGTAGCCGAAGAAGGTGGGGAGGAATCCGTTGAGGTACGACGCGATGACAGGTTCCACAGGTGAATGGTCATCCCATGCAGACACCTTATCTCCCTCTCCTGCCACGCCACCACCGGCTATGAATAGGCCAGTCTTGGGCTGCTGAAGCATAGAGCCGTAGTAATCTCGCCAAAGACCCCATCCACGCCCCCCCGGCATGCTACTATTTCCGAAGATCGAAGGCCACTTGCCCGCGTCCGGGATCTTATCCCCGACAGCTTGCGCAGACATGTGCCAGCGTGCTTGGGTGATCTTGACGTCAAGGTTGTTGACTAGGTGCGGTGTCCAGGCACCTTCGGCATGGACAACATGGCGCGCCCGGATGCTGCCCCGTGGTGACTTGATCTCGAACCTGGCTTTGCCACTATCGGTTCCAGTGGTGATGTTCAGGGCGGGGGTATGGGTGTCCAGCGAGAAGTTAGGATACTTCTTGAGCAGGGCCGTCTGCAGATGGGTCACGAAGCGGTACGGCCACATGGCTCCTCCAGTCTTCGGGGTTCCGGCGAATATACCGACGACGTCTGGCATAAGAGTTTTCTGACAACGTTTAGTACTTTGTCTAGAGCTTGGGCTCCTTAGTTTCCTACCTCTCTTGCTTCGTCTCCAGCAAAAGCAGTCCACTCGTCCCCGATTTCCGGCACCTCTTGCTTCAGGATCTCAAGGTTCTTGACCGCGCTGTTGTAAGACGAATTGGTAAACCACGCATCGATACTATCAATAGCTCTCACTTCGGCAGCATCCCTTCCGGCGGCATCCAAGTCCTCGCCCGCCGCTTTGGCATATTCAAAGTAATGCCTTGCTTTGAGCTTGACAATCTTCGCTGCATCGACGGCGCCGATGACCTTTTTGTCTTTGACGTAGTCCCAGGGAGTCGGTCTGATGTGGCCGGCATTACGACCAGTAGCCCCAGAGCAGGACTGGCGAGCCTCGATCATGGCAACCCGAAGGGGTTGCGACTGCGAGCTGTCACGAAGGAGCCAACGAGCGACGGCGGTGCCTGTGATCCCAGAGCCAATGATCAACACGTCGACGTCGCTCGGCAGTTTTGGGCTTTGTCGGTCTGCCACGTCAGGATGGGGAGGTAATTGCCAATATGAAATATTGGGGTCCTCCATGGGGAGGCCAGGGTCTGCAGTCAAGGCAGATTGCGACAAAGAAAGGAAGACAAGTAGAAATCGGAACAGCATTTTGAATACTTTGGGGTTCGAGTTAACTGAAGATGAAAGGAGATTCACAAGGCTTGTGAGAGTAGAATGAAAGCAAGAAGATGTATTGACAGGTTCCACCTACCAGCATTTATACATCTTTCCCAACGCTGAGAAGGCAACACAAGACCCGGCTCATATCGTCGACATCATTCCCCAGGATCCCCGCTTTCGCCAAGTTCTATCCCTATAATTGAATAAAATACCAGGATATCAACCTCGGCACGGCCTTTCTTTGCAGACCGCAGGATTCGTGAGTATGCAACATCATGTTTCTTTTCCTAGAGTAAGCACGCAATGCCTATCGTTATCACCATTGGGGAGGCGTAGCCTTGCCTACGTACGGTGTACGTGCTTACTGAGCCCACCTATGAAAGGTGCAGATCGTTGCCTGACACCTGAGATACCCCTTGCCAAATAGAGCGCAAACCCCGAAAATCCTACATCACTGGCGTGCTGGGTGTCCGCGGGCTCCGTGCCGCGTACCCACAAACAACAAACAGCAAGAGAGCTGCCTTTCCGAGAAGGGAAGGTCAATCAAGATTGGAAACCCTCTCCGGGTGATCACTTTGGCTGAGGGATAAGTCTTTGTGCTCATCGTTGGTGGCTGACTGCATGTCAGCAACTGAAATGCCAGGGGTCGCGTATGGACAGCAAGGCAAGTCATGGGGGACAATCCTGCCCAGTAACTGTATGTCTACGTATTGAGAGGCTCAAACGCATAATATAAAGCACAGGATACATAAGTAGTAGGGTCTTACCAAGCAAGATAGGCCACCCCGCATGTAAACGGGAAATTTCCAGGACACTATAAAGCCCGCAGCCTTCAGCCTCCACCTTCTACTGAAGGACCAAGACTGGTTGTTGCTACATTTGAGAACTATCAGTCGATATTAAAGTCTTTCATCGTGCAACTTTCCAATATTTCCGTTGCCTTCCATCACAAGATGCTGTTTCTTGCCACACTGTTCTTAGCGACTACGACAGCCTATGCTAGTACGCTAGATCAGGCCTCCAATTTCCCTGTCTCTCCGGAGCTTGCCGTTCAATATGGTTGCGGAAGAAGTTGTCAAGTATACCTCAATACAACCCAAGCTAAGGATCTGGAAGACTTTGATACCCCCTTGGACTTCGATTTCTATGCTACAGCCCACAATTTCTCCGGGTCCCAGCCAGGCGACGTTTTGAAAGTGGTACCAGTCCACCCTAGGCTCATGCAAATCCCTGGCGGTATCGCTACATACAAAATTCAGTACACATCAGTTGACCTTGACAACTGTACCATTCCTGCTACTGCGTTTATTACCTTTCCATTCGTTCGCCAAAGCAACCCATTCAAGCTTGTCGCGTTCGCACATGGAACGTCGGGCGTATTCCGAGGCTGCGCTCCATCGACCTCCTCAAACCTTTTTGACTATGACACCTGGATCCCTTTACTGTTTGCAGGATATGCCGTTGTTGGAACAGACTACGCTGGCCTGGGAAACAGTTACACGAGGCATAAGTACATCGCTGCCAGTGCCAATGCAAACGACATCTACTGGTCAGTCATTGCAGCCAAGAAAGCGTTTTCCCACGTTCTATCCGAGAAATGGGTGTCTATCGGTCACTCTCAAGGCGGAGGGGCGTCCTGGAAGCTGTCGGAAAAGGGACTAGTGCAGAAGAAGGACAGTGGCTATCTGGGAGGGATCGCGATTGCTCCTAACACTCACATATACGACGCTCTTCTTGAAGGGCTTGATCAACTCCAGGATCTTTCCCGTGACCAGCTTCAAGATTCTGGTTCCGCCGCATACCTTCCCTCAGTCTACTTCGCTCTGAAGGCTGTTTATCCCAATTACACGGCACCTTGGCTGTCCGAACTCGCAAAACGACGGATTGAGCTGGGAGAGCGCGCTCAGCTCTGCGCGGCTGCCTTGCCTGCCGTCGTGAGAGACCTTAATGCGTCGCAACTTTTCTCAAATAACGATCTTACCGGTCTCTCTCGCATCAAGGATTTCCAAGACCTGAACGCCCCTGCACAGGGGGACAAGGCTTCGAGGCCTCTTCTTGTGATTGTGGGAGCAAATGACACCACTGTACTCCCGAGCATCACTACTAAAGCGTACAAAAAGAGCTGCAAGGCCGGAAATGCTGTCCGCCTGAGCATTTACCCCGAGTTAGAGCATTCGGCAGTGTTTGGGGCTTCTGCGCCAGAATGGCTCGGTTTTATCGACGACTTGTTTCGTGGTCGCGGTTTCTGCAGCTGCACTATGGAAACTATGGATCCTTTCGATGCGTCTCACGCTACCAAGCCTCTGGAAGGCTAGTTGATTGCAGCTTCACCCTGCTTACGGAAGAACTGTCAGTTTTGTAAACTCTTGTTAACGAGGAATCAGCGTGCTGGTTACCAATGATGGCTTCTGTGACCGGGAGTGGACACTGGAAGTGAAACATAAATCCTGGAAATTTAACCTGGCCAAGATGGACTTGAAGCGGTTCCAACTCCGCATCCCCCGCCTCTACAATTAGTTCGGTTTAAGTAATACATTACATGCAACGTATATTAAATGCAGCTGAGTGATCTTTCGCGTTCATAGGGCTTCGGGCCAACAACCATTGGTTCGGGGCTCGATGCTTAGGTCCAGCTTTAGGTAGTGGAACCTCCCCTCTCCTAAGGCCCACATGCCTAACTAAAATAGCGATTCTCATACGACTACGGCCAGTTTCCAAATGCGACTAGATTCTCTGGGTCCGGATCCATATTTCGCCTCACTATGCAGGCAAGCCGATTAGTGACTGGTCGTTTGCTCGGGGTTCGAGATTGGTTAACTCCTTTGAGCATCAGGTAAGCAATGATGGTACAGAAAGGATTCAGCCTATTGCCGTCATTAGTTCTTTTGCACTCGACGTGCGGAGCATCTTGTTATTGGTGCGTGACCTGATCGACCTGAAGCGGGGGATTCAGGTTGAGTGTCCTTCTGAAGTCGCCAAAGCCTATGAAACTGCACAGAGTTGATGGGAATAAACTAGGATCAAACCATGTTGGGAAGACGGAAATACTACTCGCATCCTTGGCCAAGAGTGTAAACCCCTCTGAGATTGTATCGTTTGGTTAGCCTCCTTCCATAACAGCCACTGACGATATCATCCAGAAAGGGTATTTACTGCAGCATGTCTTTCAGGATCGGAGCTTTTGGTCGAGCTCAAATCTTTGGCGGTTGACCGACTTTTTTAAGAATCAAAGATCATTCACTGAAAAGGCATGCACGCTCATGTCTTTCCTGCGAGGCTTGCACGGACATGTCTTTCCTGCGAGGCTTGCACGGACATGTACTATAGTAGATTACGATTTAGTGCTAGCAAAGGCTACCATGGCGTTGCCGTCACAGCATACTGCCAATAGCCCAACATTCCCTGTGGCTGGGGTTTTAGGAAAATAAGCGCTTGCGAAGACACAGATAAAGAATTGGTGAGAGCCAAGACAATGATCTCTCATCTGAGCAGGCTTTCTGTATATAATGATTTGTAACAGCAAGCTCACGCGCATACCAAAGAGCCGGAAGCATTCGTGCTCAGCTATCAAATCGGCTTTTGAGTTGACTTTCATACTCTGCCTTCTCCTTCACCTTCTTGTTAAGAATGTGTTCAGCATCTTCACCCCAGTATGGGCTGACTACCCGATCAAAGATACTTTGGGTGCAATGTTCCTCACAAAATCGCCCCTGGATATGCTCGTTAAAAACGCGAAGAAGTCCTTTCGGGCTATGAATCGCTTGGAAATACCAAAAGCTGCCCTTGGCCCAGCACTCTTTCATGATTTGTCCTTGAAATGTAGACCCGGTCAGGCTTGCTTCTTGTTCTTCGTATATGTTCATGAACTCCGTAATAACCTGATCAAAGGTTTCCAAATGCGGTCCATGCTCCATAGTATCAATCGCGCGGCCGGTTAGCCAGTAAGGGGGTGTTTGCATTTCAATCGGAAAAGAACATGCCCATTCCAGGTCAATAAGAGAGGTGATATGCCAGTCATCATCAACGAATATGTTGCTTGGGTGGAGATCCGTGAGTGTCAGTACGAATGGCCCATTGCGATATTTCCGGGAAACAAAGCGATGCAAAAGGCCATGCATCATGGTCAGTGCTGCGAGTTGTTCTTGTCCGTCTTTGACATTGTGAATAGCATTCGGCTGGTGACGAATACGGTTGTTGTGGCAGTGTAAAAGATCGAGAATATATGGTTCCACTGACGTATAGGTTGTCTCTCTAGGGAACGTTGGAATGCCTTCATTCTCAAGTGCCTGGAGTCGAAGGGTCAAAGGTCGATTTTTCAGATGGACGGTGCGATTGTCGAATGTCAGAGATCCAATATGAGAGAGGGGCTTTTGGTTCAAAGATAGCATGATTTTGGCAAGATCGCCGAAAAGGTTCTCCCGGCGCGTGGAATCCTCGAGGATATGCTCGGGAAATGTCTCAGATAGCATGCGCCCTTGTTTAACAAAGCTGATAATGATATAGCCCGTGGTGAGGGCACTTGGATGGCTCGCACCGACATACGGGCACGTAGAATATCCCGAGCCATGAATTAATGGTATGAGCTGTACGCCAACGGAACGAAGACAAAGGGAACACACAGCAAGCTTTTGCAAACTACGTGGAACGACATTAGTTACCTTTCCCTAACAGGATCCTCAAGGGATGTGGTAATACTGGCATACAATTTGTCCATCCGGGAACCCTAATCCATGCAATGAAGGAACAGGAACTGTCGGGCAGTTTTGGCTGATCCATATATATGTTGCGACTTCGCAACGAAGTTTCTCATCGACGTTTCCGGGATTGCTCATCTCTCCGACTTTGTATGGCAGAGGAATCCGAACAAGAACACGATCCTCGGATGGCAAGTCGACCGGAATGCATACATTGTAGCTGCCGTACAGCCAGTGATTGTCGTCCAGCATTTCGCAAGTCTCCACGCGGAGGTGAAAGGAGACCAATGTCTCAATATCGTTCTTGTGCGAGATTAGGTATGACCAGAAATCGGTTTGCTTCTTTGGTAGATCCAATTGATGTAGAATATTGTCATCATCGTCCAGGGCATCTTCCAAGGATATACTCTTCCCTCTGAGGAGAGGCAGAGCCGCCATGATAATGTTGTGCTTGCTGTTGTTGCTATCGCAAGAGGAGGAATGGGTAAAGAGTGAAAAGCGAGTTCCTGGGTAGATGGGTGTGGCCGCGGGAGTTGACTAAGCCGGCATTTCATCGCCTTGCTCAGCCGAAATAATCGACCAGTCAATTATTCAACATAATTGCTTCTTCCTGTTGAGTTGATTGATCATCATTTTGAAGCTCCAGGGATTGCATAAATACGAGCTATATCGCATAGTTAGAATATCAAGACCTTCAATCGAATTCCGTGGAGATCACGTAATTCAGTGCTTTAGTCATCCCTGCCAAGCCCTCCAAACTGCCATAGTTATGAGCCCGGAATCGCTCTAGGGATTACCGCTTTTGTCATTTTTGAAGCTATACAGAATCCGCCTTGAGCAACACAGTACGGCAACCCCGGTGGGACACCAGGGAGCAAGACGACACACCTGAATTCGACGATATGACTTCATCATTCGATACTGAAAGTGCCACGAAGGTTAAAGTCATCCTGAAGGGACGAGATGACTAGCGCAGCTGGATCCTCAACATTAAAGAATATGCTGAACGGCTAGATATATGAGATCATTTCAACCCGAAGGGAGATGATTACCCCCCGGCACCCATAAAGCCTACAAAACCTCAAGATCTCACTGAGTCGAATTATCGAAGGTTTCAATTGGATCTTCAGGACTATAAGGATTCGAAAAACAACATCGCGAAAATTGAAGAAGCAATTAGATCGTCAATTGCTATACATGTTCAACCGCTTGTCGAAAGAAAGAGACGTTTCGAAATACTGAAGGCGTTAAAGCAGCAATATGAGCCAACAACGGAGGAATTAAAAGATAAAGCCTTGAAGCAATATAAGACAGTCATCAAGAAATCCCCACGGCGAAGCAAAATCAACGCATGGATTCAGGAATTCGAACACACTTACCTGATGATCAAACGACTCGATATGCCTAAAAGTCAGGATCATTATATACAACGAGACTTCCTAAGGTCGATTAAAGCTGTGAATGCTATATACGCGAGTCAAAACTATGCGAGAATCAGGAAGACGTCATTCATTGACTTACTAAGCGACTTTCGATCCCACCTTGCCAACAACGATAAAGACGATTCAACAGCTTCAGGTCATCTGTACGCCACTCTCAACGGTCAGAGCGATTCAACATCAAACACGCAAGAATCGCAGGATCATAAAAAGAAGGAATTTTCACCCTGCCCGTGTGGAGAAAATCATCGATATAGAGACTGCTTGTATCTCTATCCCAATACTCGACCGAGAGGTTGGAAACCCGATAAAAAGATTATAAAGGATATCAGGGATTTCGCTTCAAAATCAGGTCTACGATCTCAACGGGTCAAATCGATCATTCAGAGAAACTGAAAGGAAACAGAAGAAAAGCATCAAGATCATCATGTTATGTCGCTCGCGTTTAGTGCTTCGAATGACTCTCCGCTCAGAAATTGCTTTATTATCGATACCGGATCCTCTACACATGTCTGTAATGAGATCTCGCGTTTTAAAAATATCGATTATTCAAGAAATGGACAACTCCATGCAGGGGATTCAACCATCCAAATCCTAGGCACTGGAAACGTGAAAATACGGTCAAACTGCGGAGGCGAAAAAGGCGATAAAGAGATCACTCTTATCAACGTTGTTTATATCCCAAGCCTGCATACGAATATCCTCAGCGCTCGAAAGCTTAAGCAAGCAGAATACGATTTCAACATAAATCGCAACACGATTTTGAAGGAAGGAAGAGTCGTTTTCTACGTAAAAGAACACTCATCTGGTCTGTGGATTATTGAGAAGTCAAGCAGCACTCAGTACAGCTTTTTAATGATCAACAATCAAGAAATCCGGAGATCAACGAGACCTCACGTTTTGAAAGACAATAGCGATTTATGGCACCGCCGAATAGCTCATCTTCATTGGGATGCACTTCGTCATCTATCTGAGACTGCTACAGACGTTCAAATTGACAAATTTAAAGCAAAGCAATATAATGACAAGAAATGTGAAGTTTACAAGCTCTCTAACGCCCCACGGCAGATCTCGAAACGTCCTATGATGAAGGCAGAAAGCCCTTTTCAACGTGTGCATTTTGATCTTATTCAAATGACTCCTGCATTGAATGAAGATCAGTGGATCTCTCATTTTTATGATGAGATGACTCGATTCCACTTTCTTATCGCTCACCGAAGGAAAAACGATTGTGTTAACACAGTCATCAATTTTACGCGTCAAATCAAGAACCTATTCGATCACACTGTTAAGTTCTTCAAGAACGATCGTGAGCAAACTCTTGAGAATACGATCAAGCAATTTGAAGCGCTTGAAAGGATCGTACACGAATATTCGATAATCAACACATCAGAACAAAATGGTCCGGCAGAACGTGCTGGGTCAATATTAATCATGAAAGCGAGGAAATTGATGATTGAAACAAGATTATCTCATGATCTCTGGTCCTGGATTATTTCAGCAGCAGCAAATATTGCTAATCGCATTCCAACTGCCGCTTTGCAGTGGAAAACCCTTTATAAAAGGATTACAGGACAAAAGCCTGATCTCTCAGGATTTCGAACAGTTGGTTGCATTGCCTACACGAGGCAGGATCAGGAGAGAAGCAATAAAATGGCTCTTCGCGCCTACAGAGGTGTTCTCCTAGGATTTGTGGTTTCAAACATCTGACATATATGGAATCCGAAGAGACAGCGTGTCGAAGAGGCAAGAGATATAGAGTTCGATGAGACGAAACTCTATGATCCCACACAGCCGTTTCTTGAAGATCTCATTAGCGAGACGTCATCCGAGCCACCTACAGAGGTGTTAGACTTACCAAGAGACGAAGGGATCTTTTTCGAACAGAAGACAGACCAGATAGAGTCTGCAGAAATCCCGAGATTGCCAGAAAATGTGCAAGATTCAATCGACGCTTTAAATGATGAAATCGGATCTCTATCAACACCTCAATTGACTCCTGATCCGAACACTGAATTTCACGATAATTTGACCCCAGACCAGAGCTGCACCGATATAATTCCAGAAGGATTTCCAGAGCCTTTAGACGATCTTTTACGAGATAAATCACCTTCATGGATTCTGCAGGATTCGCTACAGATCGCTATCTTAGCAGAAAGAGGCTCTGAGCCTTCAATTGAGCAAACCACTCAACATAACGATTTCGAGATACAGGAAGATCACGATTCACAACGCTCATCGAGATCAGGGGATGGAAGACGAAGAGGAAGAGGTTCTACTGATGATGGAACTCGTGAAAAAAATATTCTACGTATGAGAAGAGCTTCAAAGCCAAAGAGGAACCCTCAATACGTCAGCCATATGATCATTGAATCAGAATCATTTATTGAAGCCCCGAGGATCGAAAAGGCCTTTTCTATAGTCATGGATCTGGCACAGAGAGAAAGAAAACAATGGCACCGAAACAACTTTTCTCCACCGCCGAATTTCTATTCAGAAATACTACAGCACCCGCTTAAGGACGAATTCTTGCATGCTGCGCAGGTTGAAGTAGGTAATCTCAAAGCAATGGATGCCTTTGATCTTGTCAAAATCAACGAAGCTCGAGATTCGCAGATTCTTCCATTCAAATGGGTCTTCACATACAAATTCGATGAGGATGGCAACTTCACAAAAGCAAAAGGACGTATCTGCGTGAAAGGAGACCTTGAAAGGGACATAGTTGCTAATAATTTTGCTGCAACAGCGTCCGCGCGAGCATTCCGCGCTGTCATGGCACTTGTAGCAGCTTTTGATCTTGACATCGATCAGAAAGATGCTATAAACGCGTTTCTAAATGCAACGCTTGACGACATTATCTACACAAGATCACCAGACGGTTTTCATACTAAAGGCAAGATTTGGAAGTTCAAAAAAACGCTATACAGGTTACGCAAATCGCCACGTCTTTGGCAGAAAGACTTGGCCACTACCTTGTTTAAGTTTGGTCTCCTACCTGTCCCCGAAGAGCAATGTCTTTACACGAATGAATACATGATCGTGCTGGTATACGTGGACGACATCATTGTGATCAACTTACCTACTCCTACCGCTCGTGAAGCCGCCAGACGATTCAAGGAAGATCTTGCAGAAAAATATGAACTACGAGAAATGAAAGAAGTGAGCTGGTTCCTAGAAATCAAGATTATTCGAGACAGGCCTCACAGGAAGCTCTGGCTTTGTCAAGATGCATATCTAGAGAATATTGCTATGAAATTTCATTTAAATGATTTTACAAGATGGCCAGATACACCTCTATCGAGCACTCTGGACCTCTCGCCCTACGAGGATCAAGCATCAGAAGCGAAGATCAAAGAATATTTCATGAAGATAGAATCCGCTCAATATCCTGCAATAATCACACGACCCGATATTGCACACGCAATAAGCCGCTTATTTGAAGCGCTGAAGAACCCGTCTCCAGATTACATTCAAACTGTGGATAGAGTCATCGCCTATCTCTACGCAACTCGATTTCTTGCGATTGAATACGTCGCCAATCCAAACACCAAAGAAATTGTAATAATTGAATCAGACACCGCCTTTGCTGATCGACCTGACCGCCGCAGTTCGGCAAGATATCTCGTCAAGTTATACAACGGTCCAATTAAATGAAAATCAAACAAACAACGCGCCATTACAACCTCCACAACTAAAGCAGAATTTCTCGCTCTATCTGAGGCTGCAAAAGCCACCTACTAGTGGAGCAAAGTTTTCAACACCATGAGATTCGATCCTCAACACGAAATGATCATTTCCTGTGACAACCAGCAAACCGTTCGATTAATCAATTCAGAAGACGTTGAGCAACATTCTAAATTGCGTCACGTTGATATTCATCGGTCATGGCTTCGCCAGGAAGCTCAGAGAGGCGATCTACACATGGAATGGATCCCTACCGATCGAATGATCGCTGACAGCCTCACGAAGGCCCTTCCGGGTCAGAAACACCACAAATTCATGGAGATGTTGAATCTTGTCAACATCAAAGACCTCATTTTGGCCCAAGAAGGCAGATAGGTCTCGCAAGGCGCTGAGGGGGTGTGTGGCCGCGAGAGTTGACTAAGCCGGCATTTCATCGCCTTGCTCAGCCGAAATAATCGACCAGTCAATTATTCAACATAATTGCTTCTTCCTGTTGAGTTGATTGATCATCATTTTGAAGCTCCAGGGATTGCATAAATACGAGCTATATCGCATAGTTAGAATATCAAGACCTTCAATCGAATTCCGTGGAGATCACGTAATTCAGTGCTTTAGTCATCCCTGCCAAGCCCTCCAAACTGCCATAATGGGGTACTACCCCGTGTTTACCTACATTGACACACTAACCGAAAGTGGAATAAACAAACCTAAATATAGATCGGCCCCGTACTCCGGAGTAGATCACAGTTTCCACTCTCCAGGGAAGTTCCCCAGGATAAATACGATCCAGATGGCACAGCCCAACATTGTTTGGCTATTATTGAAGCTAAGCTCTTACCGTGGTGCACTAAGTACTTAGGGATACGTTCGCGACTCTTTAAGCTATACGCTAGATTGTGGCACCTTGTCCTGGTCACGGATGATCTAGAGATAGTCTAGGTAGGTCATTCACTTTTTACTAGGTTACGTTGGAGGATGTTTGGCATAACACTCTCTCGTTAATCTGGAATGGCTAATCAGCAATGTAAGGCAAGGAGCAGTCGGAAATGGGTTTAGACGGGTCTGGATCAATGTGGGTTGCAATAATATATAGGCATGATAATTACAGTGACTACCCCTAGTGCAACCATGAACCAAGCTTATTGGGAGTAATTTCTCTAAATAATCACGAGAATCCTCCAATGCTCGTCCCGTCGAAAGCCAGGCCAAAGAACACGACAAATAAAGGTTGTATATGTCGGTCGGAGAAACGGGTAAGTGTTTTCAACACCATAATTACACAAATCTATCACTGGCAAGCTGGACTAGAGTTGGGCCTTGAAACAGAATTACTGGGATTTGTCTGCGAGCACCCAGCTAGAAGGCCGCCAGCAGTATCGTCAATGGCAGCGTCATATGCAGCTCCACAGTTTGGATCGCTAAGAACGTTAAGCATGCTTGCCGCCCACAGTTGGCAAAGAGAAGACGTACCTGGCGCCTCCACTGGCACTGTTAAAGTATGAGCAAATATCATGGGAGAAGCAATCTTGCGTGTAGACGTTGCCTAATGCGCTGCCAGAACATCCGGCGCCGCATCGACCGTTACACGAGTAGCTAAGATGGTTCTGTCAGAAGACATTGATATTGGAAGAACAAATGTTACGTACTCTCCTGAGCCTGACGGGTTAGTACCATAGTTACTTCCCACGATACCGCTGAAAGTGCATTTCTGGCCGGCGCTGTTGGTCCAGCTGGCTGTTGCTGTGGAGCCGACTTGGAGGCAGGTGATGGAGCGCTTGTGGGGAGTTGCTATTGTGAGAGGGAGAACAGCGAGCAGATAGATGAAATACATTTTGGCCGGCGACTGAGAATCCGAGGGTAGAAGTTCCAGGGCCGAGGTATTTATAGTTACTGGAAGAAATATAGATATTGCGACTGCGGGTCTTCGGCGTAATTCTCGGAAAACGTCATATCCCCCGGACTTTCCTCATGTCCTTCGCGCCCCACTTTCCTTCCCCTGAATCCTGATGGCTGAGACCCCTCAGGGACCTACTGCGTAATCCTACGCTAGTCACTGGGTAGGCAAAATAGCAATAACAAGGACCCCTGCGTGCAAGACATCGTCAGAATGCCCACAGCGGGTTGTCCCAGCAGCGCAGCGTCCCATCTCTCCACCTTGAGCAAGAATGAACGGTTTATCCAGGATTCCAATACTGCAGCCAAGGCTTCCATCCAGGATAATGATACCACCTCGGTTGCTACTGGCTCACGGAGCCGGTCTTCAGCCAACAAGAATTGGGCGTTAACGACCCCTTTGCGACCACAGGCACTCTGTTCAGTATTGGCCAGTCCTCTGCGAACACCGCGGCCGCCTCTTCTACCCTCACTGCTCAGAACATGGAGGCGAGGGTGCCTGAAGGCATTCCCAACATCCCTTTGCTACAGACACCTGAAAATTATTGATTTACAAAAAGTCGATGCAGCACATGCTCAAAATGGCTCGGATACAATCGACTTTGACCAAGAAATCCAGTAACAGGAGCATTCCATCAAGGAGCACGGCGTGCCTGAAGTGCACGGTGGGATCCTCTGCAACGCCGCACGGAGACCAGCCCTCGATAAGATACTGAAGTGTCCATTTGGCGACGGTTTTCAACCCTCGGAAAAGGCCCAATCCAGCACTGTCTTCTCGAGTGAGGCTCACCAGTCACACGTCGCCGGCCATATGAAGGAAATTGCTCTGCTTACACTGCAGAAACTTCCTAGCGATGAAGACGAGAACGCAGAGGGCGTCAATGCAGACCAATCGTTAGAAGATGATGGACCTCACAGGACTTTTGGAATTACACATGCATCCATGAGCAACATACTAGACGACGAGGACCTATATTTCCAAGATGATTTACGCTAGGGCTGTAGATGGCAATCTGGGGCACCCGAAGAGGACATCGCTGCACGGGTGACAGAACTTGCTTTGGACCACAAGGACGATTTGGGGAGGACGAAGCTTCACTACGCGGTGCAGCCCGGCGATCTGGGCTGTGGTGGCCGGGCAAGAAGGCGGCACTGTGGGACCTGGTGTTCAAGGATGCTGACGTCAATTCATTCAGCGCGGATTAAAGGTCTGCGCTTGCTTGGGCAGCTAGTCTTGGATGGTATCCGACTGCTGAAATTCTTGTTAAACACCGTGCCAGCATACCCGTCTCTTGTTCAAAAGGACCCGTTTAGCGTCCACAATCTTCGCGTACGACAGGCTATCAACCTGCATGCGAACTATGTTTCCTTCCCTGCTGGACGCACACTCTGCGGGTTATGGAACACGTCGTTGGGATCAACAGCAGCCTTGATTTCCTCCAGCCGTCGCAGGTTAGGGCCCCAGTACGCCTCTTGAGCATTAGGCAGGAATGGATCGACGAATCCAGGGTAGACGTTTCTGTCCGCTCCCGGAAGCGCCTCCGTGACAAGCTCATTTATTCCGTCTAGGAAGTCAACCGTTGTCTGCGACACGCGGCCCAGGAGGTTAATTCCGAATGATTCCACATAAAACAGGACATTGCGCTGGGCGTACGCGGAGGCATGGACAGGGACATCGTTGGTTGCGCCGCCCGCGATGCTGATTACTGAAAACCACGTTAGGGTCCCTTTATCGGCCTCGTCCAGATAATGGAAGAGTTCGTGCACCGTCTCATTCGACGGAAGATTATCCGTCTCGAAGGACAATGACTTCTCGTAAAAGTGCAACGGCACCCCGCCGACGATGCCGGTGGCTAGCTTTTCTATATCGTGTCCAAGCATGGCCAGCGGGTCGGTGACCACGATCACAGAACCGGCGTTGGAAGCAGGAAGGCGCTTTTCGAACCCCAGTTCCTCATACTCCGCTTTCGTCCCGTGAAACTGGCCCAGGATGATCATCAAGCCTTGCGTAACGACCATGCGCGTGTCGAACTTGCGCGTTAGGTTCTTCTGCGCGCATAGCTCCTGCCAGGCCATGTACAAGTTTGCCCGCTCGGCGGAGCTGCCAATGCTGAACTCGTACTTATACTGGACTGTCTGGCGGAGCGACGGATAAGTACGCACTTTGAACTCGGTCACGATGCCAAAGCTGGCGGCCGCGCCTCGAATGGCAAAGAACACGTCTGGGTAGGACTCCCTGGAGGCACGGACGATGCTCGAGTTTGCCAGCACGACCTCCACCTCCTCGACATTGTCCAGTGCGGAACCCCATAGGCGCGAGTACGTGCCGAGCCCACCGATCGTGAAATGCCCGCCCACACCTATCTCGGGGACTGCGCCATATGGCATGGCTCTTCCGCCGGCACTGAGCTTCCGCGTCATGTCGCTGAGTCGCAGACCCGGTCCGACGGTGGCCAGGTAAGTTGAGTCATCGAGCGAGAACTGTCGAAAATGCTTCATATCGATGGCTACTTCACCGTTCACTCCGCCGAGACCTAATAACGCGCGTATAAGTTAGTACCTATAGCCTGAAAAAAAAAAGTCGGCCGGACATAGCAAGCGCGCATACCGAAGTTCGCATAGCTCCGACCTCCACTCTTTGCCTGAACCTTGTGGTCATATTCGACGGCGCATTGCACAATATCTGCAACCTGCTCTGACGTTTTCGGGGTTGCGACAACAGCTGGGTAGACGGGCCAGTTCAGATTGTAGGGGTTAGCAGCGAGCGACTCGTAAAGCGGTTGACTCGGGAAGGCCAGGAGAGACGAATCGTTCCCGACAGCGCTGAGTAGGCATGTATGAGCTGGTGAACTGGGCGCGTTTCCCATATTGACGGGACTCTGGAGGGGGAAATGTCGCAGAGGGAAATCTCACAGAATTGTAGACAAGGGGAAGGCCAAATACCCCTGGCCTGCAAGTACCTAGTCTTGGCAGCTCAGGAATTTGTCAAAGGCATGCCAGGGACTGTGCATGAAAGCTTAATGGGACCTGCTCATCTCCATAATTTCCCATAGTTCTGTTGATCCCTGCGAGATCGGCCTAGCTATGGTATGCGATATGGGTCAGCGGGCCAATTAGATGCTTGTTTGTAGTTTCGACCCATAATTCATTAGCCAGATCCGCTGGTCCAGTAGTCAAATCGGAGGATCCATAATCTCAGCTGAACAGTCAACAGAGCACTCAAATTATCTAACTCGCCCGCGAATCCAAACCAGCTATCGCACATAGATATTGCCGATAGACGATTTTCTAATATTTGTGACTTTTCAGGATTTCTTTAGATACTATATAGTACCATCAGATATTTTTCAGAATCATCGGGAATATAGGGTTTTTAGGTTATTAAGTTTATAGTCCAGCTTCTTATTTATTCTGACTTAGAATAGTTAGGGTAGCTTGAAGTTAAAAAGACCGTTAAGGTAGAGATAATATCATACTAGTATAGGCTGTCCCGTTAACAAGACCTATAATCTTGATTCAAACTACCGAGAGATAATACATACTTACATCCGTATGGAATTACGTAGGTATTGCTGTATATATCTAGATATAACTAGTCTGATACGACTGGGAATTGACTAAAAAAGAGGCTCCTAACGTCTGCGATAATAGCAAGTCAAGAAATAAACGTAGAACCTAACTATACGAGGTCAGCAGTATCAATGTAGCTTTGTAAATTCCACACGAGCCTTCCAACACATAGATACAATATTACAACACCAACTTTCAGCTATAGTGTAGCTTCGACCATCACTCGTTTATGGTCGCTCCCAGGGCACTTCATCGAACTTGCCATGTCGGCCGGCACCAGCGCTGAACCGAGTAGCCCCTTTCAAACTCTCAGAATCTATAACTTTAATTCCATTATCGTATTCGAAACTCAACGCATCTTCGAATGATCCCGCATTATAGACGGCATAGTAGCACGACTCTCGATCGGCGTTCATGCAGCCCTGGGGGAAATTCACGAGTTGCCGTGCGATATTGGTTGCCTCCTCAAGAGCCTTACCTTTGGGGACAACACGGTTGACAAGACCCATCGTGTACGCCTCTTCCGCGCCCACTCCTCGGCCAGTTAGAATCATATCCATTGCGCGGCCGAGGCCAACAATAGCTTGAAGGCGGACAGTGCCGCCGTCAATAAGAGGAACACCCCAGCGACGGCAGAACACGCCAAAGATAGCGTCCTCCTCAGCGACACGAATATCTCCAAGCAGACTCAGCTCCAGTCCACCCGCGACCGCATATCCAGAAACAGCACTGATGACGGGCTTCTGGATTTGCATACGGGAGGGTCCAATAGGTCCAATACTGCGGCCCTCAACACGCTCATGTTTGCCAACCCGAGGGCCCGTATAATCAGACTTCGGGTCTGCAAACTTGGCAAGTTCATGAAGATCAAATCCTGCACAGAAATTCCCGTTTGCGCCATAGAAGACGCAGACCTTTTGATCTTGGTCATTCTCGAAGTCCAAGAATGCATCTGTGAGCTTCTTGCCCGTCGGGCCATCGATAGCATTCCGACGGTGTTCTCGATTGATTGTAATGGTGGTAATTCCGTCTGGGGCCTTACTAACTTCAACTGCGTCCGGCTCCTCGTCAATGTTGGCGGAATGGGTGACTGGGTCCATACTTTTGATTCTAAGCGAGGTAAACGGTTCGGGGAAATGGTTTAAATATCCTCGGAAGACTGCCCGAGTATGAAGCGCTCGGTGAGTAAACAGCGGTTGAGCCGAGGATCTTGTCTAACGTGAAGAATCACCCTTTATATAGCAGTAAAACGCATGTGCATACCCCGCTTGCGGATGTCATCCTGGTTTCTGATCGGCAACAATCGCGTGGCGCTGTCGCATCCGTGATTCGGCGGGTTATAGTTCTGAAGTCAGAAGTATTCCGGCAAAAAGAATCCCTGTGCACGTACTCATGATAATTCTCATCTACGATGACGCAGTGAGGAACTGCACTATTCTACTCCTCGAAGACTTGAAGAATTATGTTTGGCCCAATTAGGGCATCAAGCCGTATTGATATAACCACCACTAAGTTTATTTGACCCTGAGATATCGCCTACTCCGGAGTAGGATTCTACACCGAGACAGCAAGTACAACACTCAATCGGATGAAAGGAGCTACGTAATCGGGTTAAAGGAACTTCTGCAGAGCGCATCGAGTAGCCGCAACAGCCGAGATTAGCTGGATCAGGCGGAAGGAACGGAAGGTGTAGGTCAACCGCAGAAACCCCATCAATGGGTGTGCGAGAGGACAAGCCGATTAGAATCAATTGATGAGCAATCACCGTGCCGGGCGAGATACAGGGCATCTTAGAGCTGTTAGAGTGGAGCAAGTTAACTATGAGATAGCTTTATAGCGCAGTATTCAAACTTGACCTGATAAATAGGGAAGCTCGCTAAACTCAAACAGATAGAGCCTAGATTATAAACATAAATGAACACTATTATATACCCCATCAATGGGCGTGCGAGAGGACAAGCCGATTAGAATTACTTGGTGAGCAACCACCGCGCCGGGCGAGGTCCAGGGCATATCAGAGCCGTCAAGGCGGAGCAAGTCAACTATGAGGTAGCTTTATAGCGCAGTACTCAAATTTGGCCTGATGAGTAGGGAAGCTCGCTAAACTCAAACAGACAGAGCCAGAAAAAAAAAGAAAATTGAAAGCAAAAAACATACAACAGCCGGGATTCGCTGGTGGTCACCCACCCAACTACTAACCGGCCGGCGTGTGGCTTAAGTACGGCTGAGCGGACGGGAAGCCCTGTTCTCCACACCCTGTGGTCGTATGTACTTGACGAAAGTAAGTAGTGGAATATGTTGGAAGGGATTGAAATGCATAGGATAGCTTTTATTCAGAGTTGGACCGGTCATTCTAGCTCAAATAATAGAAGTTACCACTCGGTGTACACAGCTCACGCGAGTTCGTTTTTGAACACGCGTGAGTTCACCCCACTTTTTCCCGCTTCGACTCGCGCGAGTTCATGCTTATTAAGCAGAACGACTCGCGCGAAATTTTTGAATTTAGATTTCATGTATTTAATTAGTATTTTTTAAGTATCTTAATCACTATTTAAGTACTATCTAGCTACTTCCCAACTACTTCCCAACTACTTCCCAACTACTTAAGAATATATAAGATATTCTCTAAAGAACCCTAATAATCCCTAAAGAACCCTACTACCCTACTATTAGGCTGCGGCAGGTCGTACGACATCAACATTTTTTCATTATCGTAGTCGGCAACCAATACGATATTGATTTTTTCCAATATCGTTGTCATATATACGATATTTAACAGACATCAGACAATATCGATAGATATTATACAAATATCCGCATTAACATAAAACTTGCTAATTTATTTTATTCTGAACAATCAGATAATAGTTATAAAACTAATCAATTATTATTTTACAATTGAAATTTTACATGTTTGATTATAATGATACTCATTTGTTATTTCTCTCACTTGTCATTGAAAATAATAAGATATAATATTGTATTCATAAACTAATATTGTTAATGTAACAGTATATATTTTATTTAGATAACAAGCGTGTTATTATTGCTTGTAATTTTACAATTATTAGTTGATAGATGATTGTTAGATAAAAATATATATTTAATATACAAACAATGTAATACGCTTTTTTATAAAACTTTAATATAATATCCGAATTTATAAATATTACAATTTTAATATTCAAAATAATATTTACAAATTTTCGAGGGCTTTGTCTCATCGTAAAGTTATTTTATTTAGTATATTTACATATAAAAATAAGACGCAATTTATATTTGAAGTTTCCAACTTGCAAATTTAAACATTTTTTTTAATTCAAACAATCGCGAGATAATTGTTTGATATCCAACATAGATCGAACGATATCATCCGATGTCGTTCAATATCAATTGGATATTAGATAAATCAATTAACAAATATCCACTTTTATTCATTTATATCTAATTAATATTAAATATTATCTTCAACACGTTAAAATCACATCAACATTTATTCATAATCTTATTTTTATTTTATAGCTGAATTCTCTGTAAAACTCTTACTCGTAAATCTAATTATTCTATTATTCTTATTTAATCTTATATTTATTATGTCTCATTTCCAAACATTCTCGAATCAATATACAATATTTCAATATGTTGATTCATTTATTGATCCAGATATTTTACAATTAAATAATTTTTTAGACGCGACAAATAATTAAATTACAATACAATTAATTTTTTTTTAAATTTTTTTTCCGTTTCGATATTCTCACACATCCGATTTATTTACACGCATTGTTTGCAAATCCTATCAACAAATCTATATACTCTATAACAATAATAAAAGTAATCGAACAATGAACAAATCACAGAAACATTTTGTTGAATGATGATTAATAATCGAATTCAACACTAAAAAAAAATTTCAAAAGTTTGTTTACTAAAATAATAATCTCAAAAAGTCTGATGTTTGGAAGTCATTTGATCAAATTACAAATATCAAGATTGGCAAGCCTAAGATTATATATAAACGCTGTCAGAATATAATCATTTACCCAGAGATTAACCGTGTTAATTTATCACCAATGAAAGCCCATCTTATCAATATAATTTGTGTTAAGTCACAAAAAACTACAAAGCAAAACATTAATCATTTATTATAAAAAATGATAAGTCTATCTCTAATCTAATTTATATTATATATTAATATTCTCTATTTCTATTCAATCACGTTAATCAACAAACACAAAATTCAACCAGACCACTTTTCAAAAAAAGATCTTCAAATTTATCACAATTATCCGTCTTTCATTCCGCATTGTTAAACATTCGGAGTTTAAAGAGCTATTGCAATATATTAAATTTGCTAATTCAAAATTTAATATCCCATTTATTCGCAATATAAAACGGCTTCTAAATAATAAAGTCCAAAAATAATAACAGAATGTTTTTAATAAACTTCTGTCTAAAAACTATTTCTCTATTACACTAGATTGCTGAACCTCTCTTTTTGGTCAGACATTTATAACAATTATTAGATATTTTTTTGATTAAGATTGGAATTACTGTAAGATTCTTCTTGGATTTAAACATATACAAAGATCATATATTAGAACTCAATTAAATAAAATTGTTATCCGAATCTTTTAAAAACATAATATTATCGATCGAATATTATCAATCATAACTAATAATACATCAAACAATAACACAATGATCGAAAACATTCAAAAGATAATTTAGTTTCAAACTTTTTACAATATATCTATTTTCCGGGTATCATGCATTATGCACGTCATGCAATTTAATCTAAAGAATTTTTTTGAAAAGATTAAAACAAACCCAAAGAATGCGGAGGCCGAATCAAAGTGATTAAATAAATATACGAAATCGTTACAAATTGTTTTGTATACTTTTTTAAAAATATCATAACTACATTAAAGAAAATAAATATATTATATTATATCAAAGAATTATAATTATTAAAATATTTTAGATTCGAAAGTTTGCTATATTCATTAACGTTAGTTTTCAACATTGAGAGATTTTCCGAACATTTTAAATAACAAAACCAAAGCTGTTATTTATTCAAGATGTTTACACACGTTGAAATTTTATTTTTTTAATGTTAAAACGTGCCAAGAAACTACAATGAGTTTTCAGCCAATATTGTTCAATTTATTAATATGTTCAATTTCAGCTCAATCCAGAGAAATAACATCAAGTAAAATATCTTTTTTTGATTATAAAATCTTTCTTTCATTACATCAAGATCTTATCAAAAACTCAAAATATTACTATTTATTCTATCTTTAATATTTATAATGAATTTTTTGGCCATCTTGATAATATTAAAAAATTATTAAAACACAAAATTATTTTTTGAAAAAAGAGAATGTTTCAAACATTACAGACAACGAAACAGAAACTTTCAAAATACTATAAAACAATTGATATCGAATCATTTAATACAGTTTATACAATTATAATTATTTTATATTTTTCAAAGAAATTTCGATTCTTTGAAGGCAATGACTGGAAAAAAAAACAAAAAAAAAGATATTTATTAAATGTCAATCTATCAGAATAAAATATAGAAAAAATTCAACCAATATTAACAGCATATTATCCCCCGAAACGAGCCTTCTCAAATCTAAATCATTCAAGAATTTGACAAAAAAAATTAATTTTATAATAAATTCGCATATTATTCTACAAGATGAAGTTGATCGGTCGAAAAATAAAATTATATAATATTTTGCAAAAAATTTGTATACTTTTTTGATTTATTATAAAACTTTTTAGTTAAGTTGTCTAATAAATCTTACTAAAAGCAAGTCAAAAGTATTTTGAAAGAAACATGAACATAAGTATCCAATACTTGTAACAATAATACGAGATATTCTAGCAACATCTGTTAATGATGCTAATATTAAACAGTTTTTCAACTATATTCGTGATATCTGTCATTATCATCAAAAACAATTAAAATCTAAAATAATTCGATCTCTAATACTTCATTTATTTACATCAAAGTTCGACCTTCAACAAACCGAATTTAAGATAATCAAAGAATATTTTTTTAATGGTGAGATTACTATATTCAATTAAA